AGATGCCTCAAAATAAAGTTTAAATGCGTAATCTGGGACGAGTTTCACAATCTGAGCATTTTATACAAACATATAATGTTCTTCTGGACTTTTTCTTGGTTTTCTAGCAGTTCAGTGGGAGTACAATAAACATTCACTCATAGCTACATATAGAAGTTCTTCTATACTTCAAACTTTCAGTTTGCAAGCTAATGTAAAACCTAACAACTTTATTAAGTAAATTTTACATTGAATTTATGTTCGCAAGTAAACGTTTGTACCGTTGTGAAAGCTTTAGTTGGAAGATCCGTCAATTATATGAATTGTTTAACACATGACATAATCAAGCTTCAAAATGTTCTTGCCCAAGAGGTTTCATCTCTTTCGAAATAGACCATCAACGATGGATAAAAACTATCTGTATCTAGGGATGACGCGTGAACTTGGTACCATGCATTGTGGGCAGCATTTTGCTGTAGTTTGAAATTATACATGTGCAGCTAAACAAAATAAAATACTGCCAACTTGGGAATCGCAGCCAAATAATTTTAAATCCGAAACAGTAACATACAACCGCAACACGTTTAAAAGGCTGCTGTTTTTGCACTCAAGGGTTGATTCGTCGCAAACATACGACAAAATAAACGATAAAATGAACGACAAAATAAACGATAAAATGAACGATAAAATATAATTTAAGCTACACACAAAAAAAGGAAAAACTGGATTGATGCATGGCGGCATTGACGCAATTGTGGTATTCTAAAGGTATTCTTGTGTCTCAGTTGTCGCTTGATAAATGCTATCTCTCCAATAAGCTTCTTGTTTGCTGATGAAAACATAAAACGATGTACGATGACACTTGACGCAGACTCTTGTCGGAGAAAGGAACCACTCCAATCAGGCCTGTCTAGTTCAAACCTGTCCAGTTCCTTTCCCCATTGATCCAACTTGGGCACTTCTTATTTGTTTCTCCTTCAGAGTTCGGGTTAGGAGGAATGCAACAAACAATTCACAAACCTTTTCCTGGACGAATCATTGTGTTGCGACTCTGGATTCTCCGACCACCATATCGTTCGAATTTCTAAGTAGTTCGCACGAGATCTTATGTTTGTATTCAATGACAAACTTCTCAAGGCGACCGCAATAATCTTTCATCGACGTGCCTCATGTCCCATTACATTTAGTCTATAATTGTGCAGTTCCAATGCTCTGGCACTTTCATACACTCTCATATTCTCTCATACACTTGTGCTGCACCTGTACTTCTATTAAACTATCAACATTATTATCAATGCTAGCCAATGGTAGCGTAGTTTTAGCAGACTTTGGTATTGTTGCTGTGCACTACTCATATGGAGCATTCAATTTTTTACAATCTCCAGTTTAACACCACATTATTCCCTGTATCTTCAGAGTTTCGTGATCGAATTAGGACGCAGAAGAATTTTACTCTCCTCCGCATCAACAAGCCGACAAAATTCGTGTGCAACAAGCTAACGTTGGTTAATGTGGAAAGCATTCAAAATTCATGATAAATTTGTAGGGAGGCCCAGGTTTTGGATTGTGAAAGTTCGGCGGGCTCGAGGCCCCTCCTACCCTCTTAATAATTTTTTCACTCTTCCCAGAGGACTTGTTAAACGTCGTCGAATGTTATTTATCCCATTTACTTACTGCTGCGCCAAAGTGCGGATGGCAAAAATCTTTCTCAACGCCTTTAGCCGATCGACTTTTGTATTGCATGGAATGTATACCAGATTAACAATGTTGCTTAGAGCGCAAATATCAGCGTCAGGAAAATAACTTCTTCAGACAGTTAAATCAATATTAAGAACGTTTGCAATGTATTTTAAAGGAGGAAAATTTTATCTTCACGGGCTTTTTGGGCCAAGAAATAAGTGATATGTGGTAAATGAAAGGAAGAACACGAGCATCGAACACATAGCTTTTATTATACATGCAGAAAAACACAGTTAGATAGCAAATCTTCGTCAAAATCTGCATTAAAATTTAAGATTCCGCACATACTTTGATAACATCGTTTTAAAGAATAATCAAAGAAAACTATTACAAACCAAAACTGTGTTTTCTTCTTTTTACATCACTTCCGGTGCGGAGTTTCATGAAATTCACACTTTCGACGTATAATAGGCAGTTATTTCGCCAACCCTGATACGGGCATTTTAATTTTTTAACCTTCTCTAACAACACTTCTTCTGATCCGTTACGATTCATAAAGAAAACTGTAAAGCCAGGAAGCAAATTGTGGCTCGCGGCTTATTTTCAAAAATATTGTGAAACTCGTACCGGACTACGCAAGGAATCTTTATTATTGAATTGCTGTCTGAAGATTATCATTTGATACAATCTGAAGATTATCATGTTGATTACCTGAGTTATCTGAGCCCGCAGAGTTGTGGACGAAACATTCCACGCTGTGACGGTCGATACGCACCTTAACAATAAACACTGGCAAGTAGCTTATAGTCATAGCGCAAAGACCCGTGAAACAAATACTGCTGCCGTTATGCAATTGAGAAACAGCAGAGAATCCAAGTGCCAGATAACAACCAGCATTTCCAGACCATACTACACCAGAACTTTCCAAATTGGCCTAAAATTTCATCACCGAATCGACCTGAAAGGTCTTGGATTTTGAATTACGTACTATCCATATGAAATGTTTGCTATCGTTTCCTGTAAAACATCTTTTTGTTCTCAAATTACGTTCAGTCTGTCAATAAACTTCAATTTCAAAGCACGGCATAGGTTCTTGTCGTATTACCGTTTACTGGGACGAATCAATAAATGATGCACGCCACTTAAATAACAAAAACAGCTGGATAAATACACAAGAGTACTTGAAGTGATAGCGTTTTATCAAAATTGCGCAGGTAAAATTTCGGAAATAAAACGTGCATTCAGTTATTGTGTTACAACATTTTCCGGTGTAAAATGGTCACTATTTTGAAACTGCTCGTCAAAATTCGATGCATTATACAGGGTGTATGAAAAAAGAACCTGGACAAATAGGAAAACGTCGCTAAAGTTATCAGCGCACAAGATCTGCAAAAACGTTTAATAGAATAGGTAGTTGGACTTTCAAAACTAAAAAGCAATTGGAACACTTTAGGTTAAAATAGGGCACATATTTTTAAGTTTGCAACATTCCGGGAAATTTGGCCAAACATTGCACGAACGATAAGTATCCAAATTGCGGTTTTTCTTACGTTTTTCCCTTATGCCATTTTCTTAAAGCCTTCATCAATTCTTCATAATTGGATTAATTTAAGCTCAAATTTACGCATAGTTGATGAGGGTTATAACAAGATGGCATTTAAGGTGCTTATTAATTTTCATACATTGTTTCATTTGCTTATTAAAAAATACTTGCTGTCAGCATCATTTTTATGGAAACAGAGTTAAATTTTGTCTTTTCAGATTGATTTTATAGACGTTAAAAGTGGCGGTTTGTGGTTCTTTTTGTGCGAACTTATTTGGCTGCCATGTTTGCTAAATTGACGTCATAAGTAGTACACATTTTCAACATGGCAACAGAATTTACTATTAGTTTGACGACTTCCGTACTACTTATATGACGTCAAATGAGCAAACATGGCGGTCAACAAAATTCGCCAAAGAGGACAACTACTTTTGCAGTTGAAATTAGTCAACTTCCACTCAACGTAAAATGGACATATATTAATATATTAAATATATTAAATTTATTAAATTGCTTGCAAACATCTGATTATTTCATTAAGGCAATAAAAAAGTATATGAAAATTTCCCTGCATAAACACTTTAACACAATTCTCATTGTAAAAATTGTAATTTTTTGCGACAATTTTACTGTCAGATAAACCATTGGAAGTCTAACTATCTATTTTTTTTTTTTAAACTTTATTAAAAAGAGGGTAACACGTGACACAACAAGTGTGAAAAACTTGTGGCCCTCAAACTAACAAACTACGAGATAAATTACAATTTAAACCAAAGGTTTTGGCATACCTGGCGCGTGACTTTTACGACGTTTTCCAAGCTATTCAGTTTTCTTTTTCATACAGCCTGTAGAGCAATCGATTGACATACGTCTACTAGCAACTTACCTCACAATAGACACTCAAAATGCAGTTGGAGCCGTTTGCATGCAATTTTTCACTGCTACACCGGCGCACTAAACACCGTTGTCTTTCGTCAAAATTAGATTGTTTATCGTTAACAGTTCTCAGACATAACCTGTCGTAATCAATTCGAAACTAAAAGATGTTTACTGTGTTTGCGCAGGCTAATGCAAACCGAGGAGACCTCGAGAGCAGATCAGCGAAAGAAGAGTTCTCGCAAACGTCTCCGAGATTTCCATTAGCCTGCGCAAGCACGAGAAACATTTATAAAATAACAACAAGGCAAAAAAGACAAATTCAAACCAATTTGATTGATTTCATTCGTTGAGCTCAGATATGTTTTGCGCAGGCTAATGCATTCGCAGCTATATAGACCAACCAGCGCATAGGTTGGCTGCATAGTTAACATCCAATCTTGTTAAGCTGAGGCCGGTTGCACGAAGACTGGATAGCGTTCATTGGATTGTAAAATACTCAAACTTGTAAAAAAGTTGTTTCATTTATCCTCACGAAACAGAAATTTTTGTAATCTTGGAAGCAATATTTTCTTTTAGTGAATGTAAATGTATTGCAAGATCATCCAAGGTTATATACGTATGATAGTTCAATGTAATGTGAAATGATGCAAGATCATTTGAGATGGTTTGAATGTAAGATCCTGCAAGTCATTACATGAAATATTAAAAAGATGTCGTATTAGGCACATGTGAGATCCTTTGCAAAGATATGTAAAAAAGCATAGAATAACAAGTAAGATCGAGCGATGTAATATATTAGATCGAAATCTTAATAATAATTAAAATACTTTTTGAGAACACAAGCGATCAGAACGAGAAGCGCGTGATAAAAGACAGTGATGAAACGTGTATGAAACGTTATGAAAACAGATTTTCTCACCTTTATCGATAGTTCCACATTTGATATCCTTTTTCTTTCTACCCTTCTTTGGTACGCCTTGGAATGGAGAAAATTCAACTACAACAGGATATTTTCCTCCTACGTAAAATACATAAAATCGAATATCATTGTCATTGGTCGAAAGTTTCACCAGCCTGGGATGGATGGTTATTGAGAGATTTTGAATTGAGGCACGTGCAAAACCATACTTATAGTGAAGACCGGGTGAATTCAGGCGCGTGCAAAACCATATTTATAGTGAAGACATGGTGAATTCAGGCACGTGCTAAACCATATTTATAGTGAAGACCGGGTGAATTCAGGCACGTGCAAAACCATATTTATAGTATAATTTCTAATTAGCAGCAATTTTAAAAAACACTTGAGAAAAACGACGATTTTTTTGAGAGCAAACATGTTTCGACATTATCAGAATGCCATCTTCAGTGCAGAATGATTAGTGTTAAGTAATATGATACATAATATGATATGAGTAAATTAATTACAATGAGTATTAAGTATTAATAACTATAACGTAAGTTCTAAAAATAAGTATTACGAATTTATAACAAAAGTATTATTATAAAGTAAATATAGTGTTGTAGTGGTGAACTTGGATATTTAAATCGGGATTAGTTTTATTAATGTGTAGAGCTTCCTTGATTTTGAGTGAGAAAGTGGATTGATCAGTGTCGATGATTTTAAAACAGGAAGGTGAGTGGTTATGATGGAGTTCATGTACTGTGTTATATATCAGAGAACAATACAGAGGTCCCTTTAGAAATTAAAATGATAAATGACAAATGATGGAGTTTGTGCACTGTTATATATCAGAGAACAATACAGAGGTCCCTTTAGAAATTAAAATGATAAATATAAAACAGGAAGGTGATTTTAAAACATATTTATAGTGAAGAAAGGGTGAAAAAGAGAAAGGAATGAAAACACTTGTCACACAAGCAACGCATAGACGAGCAAGCTTTTTAAGTTTCTTTGAATGGCCATAACATACAACAATGGTTGCCAGAGTAACTCAAGTTTAACGATATTTTCACCGTTGGACTTTATGGGTTATCCATTACCATATAATTACTACACCATGTAGACAGTTAAGATTGTCGGGAAAAGCAACAAACGATCAACATATTGGTGATTTTTTACCTTTATTATCAGTGAACAAGTACCCATCAAGTCTTTCCTTGAACGCCAAAATGTCCTTTACATTTTTGAAGTTAATGTACGCCCGCGAAAAAGGAACAGGAGAGAAACTGGAAAACAGAACAAATAAAAAGAAAGGTCAGTACACAGAGGTCTTACCGGAAAACAAAAACATTGAATTCAAAAATGCTTGAGTTTGCATGCTGTTATACATCGCAAAGAAATACAGAGGTCCTCTAGAATTTACAATGATATATAAAAAATAGTGGATTCCATGTACTATTTTTATATCAGAGAGTAATACAGAGGTCCTCTAGAAACAAATTATGATGGAGTTCATGTACTGTGTTATATATCAGAGAACAATACAGAGGTCCCTTTAGAAATTAAAATGATAAATGACAAATAATGGAGTTTGTGCACTGTTATATATCAGAGAACAATACAGAGGTCCCTTTAGAAATTAAAATGATAAATAACAAACAGTGCAGCTCATGTACTGTTATTTATTACAGAGCAATACAGAGATCTCTCTAAAAACAGAAGTGATTAATGACAAAGGAGCTGGTGCATCATCTAAGTTGATATATAAGTCAATAAATGTACGCAGCCATGATTGATTAAAATATGTACGAGAACTTTATAGAGCCGTAACTGCGTAAAAGTACTATTGATAATGTGCATTTAATAAAAACAACAAGATTCTTTAAAATAAACATGTTTCAACATCTCAAGAGTAATAAAGAGTATTATGTTTACGATGAATATATACAAGTGTAATATGATACAGTATGTATGAGAGTAATTTTATACAATTATGAGTTATATATAAATATTACAATGAAATAGTGTTTAGAATTAATGATTTAAAGTATTTAGAGCCTGAATATAGTGTTAAAACGAAAAACTTGAACGTTGAAATTAGGGTTAGTTTAGTTAATGTGAATTGCTTCTTTGATTCTAAATGTGAATGTAATATCAGCAGTGTCAATGATTTTAAAGTAAGAGGGTGAATAGTGTAAATAGATATGTGAGTTTTTGTCAGTTGTGATGTGTTCCCTGATTCAGGTGGACAAGTGACGAGAAGTTTCGCCATTGTATCAGGAATTACATCTCGCACAATCGAATTGGTGTATCACCTAAGATTTAATAGAATCGGGGGTAGGATCTTTGAAATTTGAATGAAAAGTAATTTTTGATTTTGAAGGAAGTGAAAATTAGTCGAATGTTAAAGTCAGTGCAGAAGCGTTTGATGATGTTTGTAAGTCTGCGTTGTGTGTGTCGTGAATGATGTCCGATGTACGGTAGTTTAAAGCAGAGTTTTTATGGACTGTTCGTTGTTGTTGGTCGTGTCTGTTGTATCGTATGTTTTAGTTGTTGCTTTGCAGTTAGTATTAGTTTTGTCACATCGTTTGACAGTTTGGTGAAATGTAGTGGGAAAGAGTTGCGTAATAAAATAAATGTTGTTCTAAAGAAAGGTCTTGTTGAAATACATCGTCGGTGTTAATTTTGTATGCTCTATCTTTACGTGTTCGTATTAATCCAGTCTTGTAAGAAAGTGGTGCGAAACTGAAGTAGTTTGTCAATAATCCTGTGTAGGTTGGTTTATGATACGTCGACGTGGTACATGTGTCATGTGATCCTGTTAATAAAATGTCTAGAAAAGGTAGTTTGTTTTGAAAAACTACTGAAAAATCTAATTTGGCTTTTGTGAAAAATGGATGAGAAAATGTACAAAACCTTCCTCATAACTTAGATCATTCATGCAACAGAATGTTTCTTTAAAAATAGAAAAAGTTCGTGCACGAGCAGATTGGGATCTAAGAAGCCAAAATAAAAATTTTGTGTTCAATTTTAACTTCATTTTCAAACCAGTGTAGACATTGTTACTGGGACATTTGCAAATCAAGATTTTTGAAAAACTAAACCAAGGGCCAATCAAATGTTAAGTTTACATTGTATATACCATTTTACAATGTATATGGTCAACTGTGGGACCCTGGGCCTTTTACTATTGAAAATACAAGCATGCAAACTTTATGCTTTTTTTTGCTCTGTTAAGGTTGATCATATAACATCTACGCATTAAATAAAGTAGATAAAATAATTCTAGTTCATATGTATGTCACATACGTATGAATATCAGTTATATTCTAAAAACACATACCTTAGATCACTACCACAAAACTTGAAGTAATCATGCTCAGGTGGCCCTTCTGGGAAGATATCATTCAGAGTTTGAAGGAAAAGGTTTTGGTCAAGATTTGGTGGCAGTCTACGGATCACAACCTGCAAGTTGAAAATTAATGAATCATGTAATTTGTTTAGGAAACATTGGAACAAGGTTGTGAGGTGCAGCCTCTGGTGCTATAACATATATTCATTGATAAAATACAAGCAATAAAACATGGTCAGTGATTGGTCGATAGCCATGTTTGCATTAGCCAGTGCAAACCGATCTGAGCTCAACCAATCAAATCAATCAATCAATCAACGAGAATTTGCAAATCAATCAATCAATCAACAAGAATTTGCAAATCAATCAATCAAACAACGAGAATTTGCAAATCAATAAATCAATCAACGAGAATTTGCAAATCAATCACTCAATCAACAAGAATTTGCAAATCAATCAATCAATCAACGAGAATTTGCAAATCAATCATGAATAAATTTTAAAAGAAGAATTACAATGTTTGTTTTATATTTGTCTGTTTCGCATTGTTGTTATTTTAGAAAAAAAAAGATGTCTTTTGTGTTTGCACTGGTTTATGCAAACCTCAGAGACATTTGTTAGAACTCTTAAGCAGATGCAATCATTGACCTTAGATCTCAGGCTTTCACTGATCTGCCATCGAGTTCTCCAAAAGATCTCCTCTGTTTGCATTAGCTTGTGCAAATGCAGTAAACATCTTTTACTTCTTAATGACCATTTTGAAATTAAATGTGCACAAAGTGTGTGAATAATATTATCATGGTACAAATTAGATAAATGAGCTGTCACTTTCACTCAGGAAACAAAGTTATGTGATCGAAAAATTAAGTTACCTTTTATATGGGAAATTGTCATCGTGTGAAGTCATGGCAAAAGTGGGATGTCAAACTTTTTCTTAACAAATATACTTCTCAACTGTATCTCCAGGTAGAGCTACAGGTCACACAAAACTATTCATTACATACTTTGATAAAAAAAGACCCAATGCCAACAAAATCAATTCAATTTTATTCTTCCTATGCATAAAAGAAAGTTGGCAATGATGCCATGTCTAGTTATAACTTCAGAGTTTAATATGCAAGTAATCTCATAATACCAGGTTGGTTGTTGGCCGGCATAGATGAAAGATTAAGGTATGTATAACGCATATTTACTCATGAACTCCTTCAGAGATGGACTTCTTTTCATAACAGATTTATGTTGTTCTCAAAAGAGACAGTGCAAAAGAGACGACTGTCAATTGTCAAACAACTGTATGAGCAACAGTGAAATCTTACATAATTGTCAAACAAAAATTTGCTGACAGCATTGATCACAGGAAATTCCTTTAGTCGAAACTGTAATATATCTTTTTATCGATTGATGATAAAAGATTTAAACCTACAAACCAAACATGAATGAAGACCTACCTTCGTGAGCACTTCGTCATTTAGTTGAGGTTTGGAATTACTTTTAGGCTTCGCACCATCCCCGTCCTCATTCTTAACCATGTTTTTAAGGTTACCAAATAACAACTAGCAAAACACCGTATGCAGGATAGCAAAAAAAACCCACCAAAAACAAAAGAAAACTTGTAAAATGTAGGGTAAAACGGACGTAAATACAAAATACAAAATTCAATGGCAGTGAGATCGGAAGACTAAATTCCATCAGCGAGAAGAGCACTGTTTATATTTAACTTAAACTTATCAAATATTTTAATATGAATTATTTACCTGTTGTATTTTTGTTTATCTGAGACTAAAAACTAATGAAAATACATTTCAATATCAGTACCCTAAGCTTCGTTACCTATTCGACTGTTGTGGAAGCAATAATGATACTTACCCTTACGTAATACTTTGTTTAAATTCAAGTAGTTTAAATAGACGTTGAACAATAAAAATAATCGTATAGTAATCTGGGACATCTCTATTTGTCTGTGTAAGTCAAAATGGTATATTGCTACATCACGAAACGTAACAAACCCAAAAACTCGTTATAACAGCGAGGACGAGAAGGAAAAAAAGCCTCGTTTCAGGTAAAATAATGCCATACAATATTAACAAACCTTTTATTACACTCGCTTTTCTGTATTTACTGAGAAATACCTCTGTCGGACTCGGTCTGTTCAAAAAACTTCGATCCGATATTTTTCCGTAAAAACGTTGCACTCGGTTAATAAGGGCTTACAAATTAAAGATCAATCTAGGCAATTTATTAAATTTACAAGAACTGAATGTGGGCAGTATTTCAATGTTTAAGAAGAAATCCTCCGTCAACTGGCTAAGGCACTTTGACCATGATCAAACAATTGCTTTTGAAGCAATCATCGACAGAATACATAAGAATTCGAATCCAAAATTATGCATGGTCGACGCGGTCTACAAAATGAAAAAATTAAATAAAAGTAAGTCGGCGATACTTAATTTAGCATTGAGATATATCTGAAATGCCTAAACTCTTCTAAGCCGGCTTGGAAAAAAATTCATACTCAAGCGAAACTATCTCAAATTATTACGACGAATACAACGAAACTCAGAAACAAAGATGTTCCACAAAAAATGTAATGTAAAAATGCAGATATAATCGTTCAATTAAAGTACTATATAGTTTTTGGGATGAGCATCAGATGCGATGACTCATCAACCCTATAGGCTTAAAGGCGAGGGACAGGCGGCTGATCCCGTACGCGTGTTTGGTCTTAACCAAGATCATTCTCAGCAGAAAAATATTTTCCAAATACTAGTCAAAAATGCAGTAGTCAAAAGATTTAGCAAACAAAAACTCTGAATAACTTCAACCAAGACTATCGGCCAATATCGGGAATGCTTACATCAGTGGTTGTTATGGAGACAGTGGTCGTTATGGAGTTAGTGGTTGTTGCAATTTTCCTGGTTGGTTTTGTGCTGTACGCCGTATTAACTGCTTGTGTCGTACCCATTGTTGTCATTGATTCTATACTACTATTTATGCTAGAACTTATATCGTCCACGATATTTAGGCTGATCGAGTTACTTGGTTGCATCACCCAAAAGACCTCCTTGGACTGAGCAAGTGTTGCGTAAAACGTCACATTCCGCGTCCTGTCCATGCGTGGCGGTGGTTGCCAAAAGAAAACTAGATTTTTCTTACTAGAACTGCTCGTGTGCGTAATGCTCGACCGTGGATCAAACTAAAAATAAGGATTCAATCATGATGATTTACAATTTTAAGGACCTGTTCATATTAGACAGGCCAGCCCGTTTAAGCCGGGCAACGTAGCTTTGCCGATATCTCGCCTCATATATTATTTTACGTTGTTTTTGAAATTGCGTTCATATGAAGAGCGGCCAGCCCGGCTTGGCGAGATCCCGCTTAAAGGAAGCCTGTATTCGCCACAAGAATGGGAAAACAAATTGGCCCGGCAAACTAGCTAGCCCGGCTTAAGCGGGCTGGCCCGTCTCATATGAACAGGTCCTTAAAATTGTACAATAGGCAATAAAGGATAAATTACATGTTTATAAATGTAGATCGTCCAGGTTGGTATAGTTCTGAGAAGGAATGTTTTTGTTGTTGTTGACTGACGTTTCGACAACCTTAGCGGTAGTCATCTTCAGAGTTAAAAGAAGATCATTTTTGACTCCGAAGATGACTACCGCTAAGGTTGTCGAAACGTCAGTCAACAACAACAAAAACAGTCCTTCTCAGGACTATACCAACCTGGACGATCTACATTTACAAACATGTAACGATACTCCCGGGTTCAAACCATTTACTTTAAAGGATAAATTGCAAAACGCACAATGGGCAATAATAAATAAAACGCAAAGAAATTCATAACTATACGAAAATTTTTGAAAAAGGCTTTTGAAAAACTTTGCTTTCGTTTTTACCTGACAAAGAGCTGTTTTATTTGACATGTTTAAAATGTTAAAATATTTTCTCTTGGCCGTTCAGTTTTAGCTGCATGGGTAAAGCACTATACTTAATTTTGCAGCAAATTTCTGTCCAAACTTACAGTGTCATAGTTATTTCAACGATTCTTGTATCTATGGAAGGCATGGAGAATTTGGTTTGTCAATAGAAAATAAAACCATACATCATGTTCAACATCACATACAATGCAGTAGGTTGTTTAAATCATATAATTTTTGATATTTGGCTCAAGTTTTGTAATTGTTAAAATTTCCGCTTTCTTGCGGGGGTGAGAAGCTTTGCAATGTGAAAACCAATATGCTAAGCACTCATAAAAAATCATTATAGAATTGTATCCAAAATATATTTTCTTCATATATAATAACCCAAGTCGAATCATGCCCCTAATGTGTTAGAAATCTATCTTTTTGTCATATATTGTGTAAATACTCGATAGCCATCTACTTATATGATTACATAGGGTTTATTATTGTTCCGAAGGACATTGATGAACCATGCGCTGTATGAAAATGGTAAATCGAATGAAATTAGAAAAACCCTTAGTAGTGGATATGTTTATATTACTACATTTAATATGAAAACAAAACTAAACTCTATGCCAACGAAAACTCCAAATCAAATGGTTAGTTATCGATGAGTATAGTACTATAATTAAAGAGTAGAAGCTATCATTATAAAAATTAATAGAGCAAAACACCTGATCCGCTGAGCAATCTTGATGCTGAGCAACTGATTGATTGATATTTACAAAGCTCCCAATCGCACTATCATTGATCTTAACTCTGGCTTGAAGTAAAAATCCTTGAAATTCCGAGCCACCAACTGAAACTTTAAACATTTTAAGACCATTATCCCATGCTGCGTTGAGTGTGTATGGACTAGGAATTGTTTCACCTTCCACTGGTGATCCAAATTGGAAATGTCTCGGCGTCATGGTTTGGCAACTTCGGAATGGAGCACCATTAGAAGAACTCAAATTGTGTTTCACAGATGTTAAAAGTAACAGCATTGTTAACGCGTACATTGTTTCTAAAGCTTGATATTCTTTGAAAGACACAAAAATGATGCTGAATGGCAATACACGTGCTAACTTTCACTCACTTATATTGCTAGGTGCAGTTATTCCATGTAGTAAACCATTTGAAAGTCAAGCACTAATTTGAAATGTTGATTTTGAACGATTAACTTTGATTGGCCAATCATCGATAGCTGTAATCCTTTCTAATAAACAATTTTTTCGTCAAACGATGCATGTTTGCAAACACAGACAATGCTCGTTATAATTCTTTGTAATATAAACATTACAAACTTCTAATGAGTACAGTTCTTGCCTGGACGTTTTGTCAAGAGGCTTCCTCATAAATGTTATACAGGCTGCTAAATGATCCTGCTACTCCATAAAGCTTCATATGGCTAATTGAAAATTATATTTGCTTCATTTACCATGGGTTCAACCAAAGGAAATGAAAATATACTCCATGTACGGACGCCTTTTGCAAAATAAAGTCAACTTATGATATATCATTTTACAGGCTATGCTTATTGAAGTAGCAAATTGCACAGAATACGATATTGTCAATTTATATACTAAAGTTTTCAAATTGGTAAAGTTAAAATCATCAAAGCACTTCTTGTGCGAAATTCGAACTGCAAATGCTTTTCCCATATTGGAAATATTCGGTGAATCAATTGAAATTTTCAAGTGTGAACTATTTATGTCGGCGGCAACCACAAACCTTAATCTCAATTAGGTAAAGTCTGATTTCAATAATTCGCAGCAATTATTATGACAAAAAACTTTTCGAACTGAGGTTTCATACGCTTCAAGGCTATCAGAACAAAAGAAACGTAAAGGCTGAAAATGAAAACGAAATATTAAGTGAAGTTTTAATTACAAAAGGTCGGGCTTAATACTTTTGTATTACAAAATCACAGTTTTCGCGTTTTTATTTCGTTTACTAAATTCTGATTAAGGCAAAATTTTTATGACATGTAGCGGAAAACCGGTAGAGAGTTTTAACCCTGAAGCTCTGTTTTTTTGGCTTTGTAACGACTGAAAAATAAGATGGCAAGTTGTATTGAAATTTGAAAGTTGAAGGTGACGATGACAATTTCAGCTGTGCGAGGCATTTTTAGAAGATAAATACTTAAATTACAAATTTACAACAAAGTAAGAACAAAGGTACTCATATCTTCAACATATTCATCGATATTGAAGTTGTTCACATAGGAATTGGTTGAAAACTTTGCTTTGCTCAATGACAACAGAGGTACTTTAATTCGCATATTTTGATGATGTACATCTCGTAGAGTTTGATGATGCCGTTTTCAACTTACTATTGTTCATTAAAATGTCTTTCTGATTTTTTTTCTATGTCGATTTGTTTTGTTTCTTCACTGATATAATAAAGACGTAATTTGAAATTATTATGATATTAGCGATGTGAATAACAAAATGTTGTTGAATAAGTAAATTTGTAGCAATCTTCCATGAACGTCATTGCAGATGAAATTTTGGTAGCAGTAGTAGGATTCTGTAATATTTCTACATTTTTTAAGAAGCAGAAGCATCATATAATCTCCAGTTTGTTTCAAAACAAAGCAGGTCGACCTTGTACCATTTCAATTTTCTGCCATTATAAAGCCAAGAAGACCAACTTTTTGGGATTAAATATCTTTGGCAGTTGTTCTGTCCCGTTCACAAAGATTTTGCTCGAATCAAAAGTTTATAGAACGAATAAAAACGCAAAAACTGTGATTTTGTAATACAAAAGTATAGTAAAGTGGACCAATACCCCCCACGAAGGCCATAATCAGATGAGCCAACTTACGGCTTCAATTATCTTACTATATTTTATACATGGATGGATGCGTTATCCAGTGTAATATACATATCAGTGGGTTTAATATTTGCATCTTCAAAAGAATTAGTCAAGTGTTTCCACTTGTAAATATCAGTAAAGGAGGTGTATCACAAATGCGCTATCTTAAACTGGTCTGAAATTTCATGGTGAATTAGGAAATATTATGTGAATTAAGTTGAATTTTGTACTTATCAATAAGCTGTTAACGTTATGATATTTAATAAGCTGTTACATGCATATGCAATTATCACGCTGGTTTTACGATCATTCTTTTAAAAATATTTCATCAAATTCAAGAACGATATGAATATGATAGGAACATTAGTTTGTCTACAAGTATCGCCAGCAACATAATGAAATGAAATATTACCAGGGCTTGTAAGTTGCAATGCATAGCTAAGCTTTATAGAGAATATTAAAAAACAAAACAAAGTCCACGAAAATAGTTGAAATATAATAATTGGATTTGTCAGCTAACTAATAATTCAGTGGTGGATCGAACATCAAGAAATGAAATTACAACAGCCCAATCCTAAATTTAAATGTATCTATGACAATGCTGTTAATGATGATCTTCAGAAACTAAAATCATACAAATAATGTTGCTTTGAGATATTTCGAAGTTTAATATATAGATATGATATTTTATTTTGACAAGTGCTAAATCCTGGACTAAGATCTAACTAACAAAAGACTGAACAGCAAATGAAAGACGACTAGAGCTTCAAAAAGAACAACAAATGGGGAGCAATTAAGGAGCCCGAATGCAGGATTAAAACAAAAACAAATTTTATATACTTGAAATGCAACTCTTCTACAGAAATTTCCTTAATAAGCTGTTGTGCATTTGATTTTTTTTTTACTTTTATAATTTTGATTCGTCGCGTAAGGGGCCATTGGCATAGGAAGATCGAGAGTTGGCACGAGGCACTTATTTATCAATGCATGATATGCAGTGTTAAACTTCTTTGAAATTCATTGTGTTCAACGAATTATAACATGCATATATGAACACGAACCCCTCCATTAATCGATCACTCTACGCCCATATAAGGAGACTATAAATGCCAGAAGTGTCTCGTTGACAACTCGAAAATCTTCAAATTAGTTGTTTTGCAATCACAGCTCCTGCGATGATCACTCACGAGTTTCGATATCTTGATCTCTCTCGACGTAAAGGAGCAACTGTGCATTTCAACCTCGCGTCTGGTCTGACATTACAGGAGTAAAATCACGCTTCTATTATCAAAGGGATCATGAACACAACACTTATAAGTCTGAAACCAAAAGTTTGCAGACTAGACGATCTCGAGCTCTTTGTTAAGTATGACGATGCCATTTCCTTTATCAGGTTTAGTGATGAAGATTGTTCTGTCGTTTTTTAAATTATTTAAAATGTTCAAGTCTTCCTGTGAGTATAGGAAAGGTGGTGGGCTGTAACTTCGGAAACCTGAGTGGGCAATATCTCTCAATTTGCATTTGATCGAGTCTGGAAAAAATCCATTACAGAATCATTAACAGAATCATCCGGATTTTTTCTAGACTCGATCAAATGCAAATTGAAAGATATTGCCCACTCAATTTTCCGAAGTTACAGCCCACCACCTTTCCTATACTCACAGGAAGACTTGAACATTTTAAATAATTTAAAAAACGACAGAACTATCCTCGCCACTAAACCTGACAAAGGAAATGGCATCGTAATACTTAACAAAGTCGACTAAATAAAGAAAATGGACACACTCTTATCTGACACTACAAAGTTTCATCCTCTTGATGGAGATCCAGTAAAAGTAACTTTACAACGAGAAAATCAAGTGAAGTCTTCATTAAAAAAGTTGAAAGATGCTAAATCTATCGGCCAAGAAACCTACAAAGAACTTTACCCTACAGGTTCACGAATAGGTATATTGTATGGTCTTCCTAAAATACATAAATGTAACATCCCTCTCAGACCCATTCTTTCTTCCATTAATCACTATTCGTATAAACTAGTAAAGTTTTTTATCCCACTCCTAAAACCCTTCACTATAAGCAACCTCATCATCAAAGACTCTTTCTCCTTTGTTGAAGAAATACTAAATGGCGATATCAACTCCAGTAATGCTAGTTTTGATGTAGTATCCCTATTTACTGACATACCTGTTGACGAAACCATCCGCATAATATCCAATAGCATTTTTAACAACCACCAGTACTTCAACGGACTCACTGCAACAGAATTTGAAAAACTACTCTCTCTAGCTGTTAAGAATTGTCACTTTATCTTTAACGGGTAAATGTACCAGCAAATTGATGGTGTGGCTATGGGCAGTCAATTGGGCCCTCTCTTTGCTGATATATTTATGTCCTTTCACGAACAATCCGAGCTGCATCAATGTCCTTCTTCATTCAAACCACTACTTTACCGACGCTACGTTGACCATTGTTTTTTACTTTTTCATTCCACCAGATTTTCGGAGCACTTGGGAATATCTCCCCTTACAGGCAACTAAGTTTCCCACCCTGCGTTATCGAGCATTTTTGCTCACATTAACGCAACTGGACACCCCCCCAACTTAGACGACTTTAAAATAATCTCCTCTTCTAACGGTTCCTATGAACTCTTCATTCATGAGAGCCTTCTAATCAATAAATAAAAGCCTTCACTCAACGTGCAAGGAAGTTCCATTCCACTTATCTCTTTTGATTTCCCTTTATTTTACTTCCTAACTTCCTTATCTTATAATCCATTTGACACGGCCTCCTTTAGTAGTAATTTAACCCCTTTTTTAAATATAATATCTTCTCTTAACATCCTATTAATTAATTGTCTGAAGATGTCTTGAGTAAAGACGAAACGTCATAATAAACTCAATTTTACAATTTTTGGTCTATTTCTATGGCTCTAATTAAAACTTTATGTTGGGCAGTAATTTTTATTACACAAAATATACAAGTTCTACCGAAACGACTTTTTCAAAAATTATTATATTGTGATTGTGCTTTCATCAAGTTAATGAACTAATAATTATCAACTCCAATTTTATTTTCAGTACATCGTACGATCAAGCACGCAGTTTCTATCTACCACCTTGCCTCTCCCTTATGGGAAACGCACATGGGACTTCATTGAAATCTTACAAGTTTTCTAGCCTTTAAAAGATATCAGGATGTGTGTGGACTAAATGATTTAACAGAAGTTTGCATCACGAGGTTTGTAGAGAGGTTGGAAATAAAACGAATGATCAGACTGAATTCGACCTACCGTCGACAAAATCGAAATTTGGCCGAGAAGAAAACAGACGTCAAAGAGATTTGCTATCTGACCGCACCTCATACATCTTTTGAAATCATTTTCCGTTCATTTCTACTCATACCAGTTTACTTTTCACTGTCCACATGATATCCTCAATAAATAAAGATTCAGAAGCAATATAGCATGTCACTGAACCATGCATGGCTATTGGTGTGTAATAAACGGTGTCTTTTAAACAGAAAACGACAATTTAAGACATCAAAACGATTGTGCTTCACTTTTACACTTTCGTTTTTAGTATGAATGATAGCCATAATACAAACAAAATTTTGTTTACCTTACTCGCCTGGCAATTTTGATATTTGACGTCTTCCTGTAAATCGACGAATCTACCGACGGCTCGACCATCTTTTCTGTGTCTGGCTTGAAGCAAAAAGCCTTGCAGTTCTGGCCCATCAATGGAAACCATGAACATATTCTTACTCTTAATCAAAGTTACGTTAAGAATGTACGGATTGCTTGCAGGACTTTGTCTTCGCTCAGGGAACCCGATGCTGGAAATGTGGCCTGGCAGCATTCTTTTACAACTCTTGGGCGGTGCGCCATTCCCATAACTTGAAATATACTTCACTGACATAAAAAGTACAAGCAGCGATAATTTGAACATTGTTGTGGTTGTATGACAGACGGTAATAATTTTTTGACCGTGAGGAACTGTAACCAAATATTTATAAGCTGCATGAATACAATCAAGCGGAAATGCTACGTCTATTGTGATCATATTTGTGATGAATATTTTGTTGTGTTATTAGGGTGTGTGATGAGATCGTCGGAATTTGAGTCAACCACATCCGCCACTATGATGTCACAGCAAGACCAGGCTTGAGAATGTATTCAAACTTATCACGGCGTCATCATCTTTTGTATGGGAGTTTAACATACGTGCTCTTTGAGTCTTTGCTGGTTTCTTTCGTTTGAGGGTGAGGTTTTCAGGACATAAATTTAAAAGATAGCGGTAAATGGTCTATTACACACAAATGGTAGAAGAGAGTTTCAAATAAAGCATGGGTAAAAACGCAAAATGAAAATGAAAGAACAAAGACAAACATACACGAGTGGTTAGATAATATATTCCTTGTACTTCCTCCTCCAAACCTGTAATGTGACATTGTCGCCTAATTTAAAGTATGACAATGAATCTGATTTTATTTTGCAATAGAGATGTTGGGGAAAACCACAAAAAACCTTTCATATATATTGGAAAAGAAGCTGTAAACTAAAGGCTAATTTATACTTCGTGCGACAAGTGTCGCGCGCCATGTCGCATAAGGAATATGACGTCATATCACCAAAACGGAAGTACCATTTGACGTAATTTCACCGTATTGTCGCACACGTGCGCCTCGCAAAAAGTTGTAACGTCGCAGACATTTTGTCGGATTGTCGCGCAAGATAATTGGCTATCTAATAACACGTGGTTAGTCACTTGTGGTTTGTCTCAGCATATGTTTATCACAAATATGAAAAAATATTAAATCATGGATGGATTCGAAGAAAGATTAGCGGAAGAAGTTAGGAAATACCCTCATATATAAGACTCGTCTAGAAGGGATTATAAAGACCTACAAAATACTACGAATTCATGAAAGGAAATCGCCGAAAAGCTCGAAACAAATGATGCTGTTTGCAGACAAAAATGGAAGAAAATACGGGACCGATTTACGAAAGCCAAAAAGCGTTTGAAATCGAAGAGTGGTAATCCTGGCGGAAAAATTATACCTGCTATTGTCATTAGCCTGTCGTGGTTGTCTAGCATTTTAGCAGAAATGAATTCATTTGATTCACAAAAAATATTAACAGTGCTGCCAATGCATTACTTGATGTAAATGTCAAAATAATTTTAAATTTGTATGCAGATTTCGCGCGGTTGTCGCATGGGTTGTCGCGTTTACTATAAATGCTTTATTTGACAGTCGGATGGCGCGTGCCCATAGATTGCACAAGCCAGAGTGTCGCGCGACACATGTCGTAAGAAGTATAAATTGGCCTTAATTCTCGTAGCCTGTTGTAGTCACGAAAAGCAACCGCTCTACTACACGGACTGTCACGTTCATGAACAACATAGATAGGTGGAGCTGCATTGAGCGTAGACCACATGCAGTTCAAACACGTTTGAATATAATTGATGATTTGATTTAACGGCAAACCTCAAGATTTCTAGAACAAAAATAAGTTTGTCCCACCGTTGTCAAGACTTTGGAGATTGGAACCGAAGCTCGAAGGAAACGAGGTTAAAATTAAGGCGAAAAGTAAACGAACAAAAATCAACGTTATCATGTCATTTATACGTTCATTCAAAGCGATTTTCTCGGAAAATTCCGAGCTCAAAGTTCGATGTGGTATACTAGCATCTATCATACTTATTTGTGTAGCTTAAGTCACAGCCTCACAGGTGCAATTTTGTTTGAAAAAAGACAGAAAAGTTGCAAAAACTCTTGTATTGCAACGCATTTTCTATAGCTTATTATACCTTATATGGTCAACACTAAATACAATAAAATAAAATAAACAATATAATGAAAAAATATAAAGAAGTCTTTTGTGCTTCAACATATTTTTTGACAGCGAATGAAGACATAAAATAAGTAAAGGAGAGAAAAAAAACAGGCTGTATGGGCGAAATTTCTGTATGTTGGCACCAACGTGATCGGAAGAGTTTAATTAACAAAATTGACTTTGTCTCTCTAAGATTCAAATTTTCTTCAAAAATTCCACCATGTACTAGAACTTTCTTCTCAAACTATTTCTACAGGATATACATACAATACAAACTTATATCAGTGGAAGGAAACAAAACATACGTTTATCGGCGAGCCCATTTCTGTGAGCTTCGATTGTTCGTTGCAGACAAAGCGACGACTTTTGATTTTTAATTTTGGCAAAGCACAAAATTGAAAACATTTTTTATGAATAATCAATTCTTAAATGCATGATATTCAAGGCAAAGAAACCAAGGAGTTGCTCACAAAATAGAAAACTATTCACAACACACAGTTATCTATCTTTAGCAACATCCAGTGAAATGTTTTGTCTCTAGTAAAGACTCTATAGACTACTACGTTAAGGAAATTAAAAAAGGAAACCAAAGGGCTTGGTGGGAAAGGTAAATTGACAGACAGTATGATAATTTATTGATAAATAAACTGCAATATTATTTGAGCAATGTTAATTTAAAGGCATTGGAAAGTGATGTTTTTGCAAGTTTATTACGCTATGTATCAAATGACGAGAAACCATTAGATGGAAAAAGATAATGGTAGAGAAAGTCAGCGACTGCGAGGGTTCAAACCGGGCAAAGCTAACCAAACAAACACCTACAAACATGGCGAAATTTTGCCATTAGTAAGATAGAGACTTTGTCGTGGTGAAAAAATGCAAAAATTATCATTTTAGAACTATATTAGGTTATTTTGGCCATCCACAATGGCAATTGCTTTTCTTAAAACAATTTTTAGGTTTCTCGTTGAAAGTTTCCTTGAAACAAAGCCTATACTTACACAAGACGTACATTGATAAAGAACTTTGGAACACTTCAACAAAGGAAGCAAGGCAACAGTTTAAGAGTTTTTTATTTTTCAGGTTTGATTGAAGCAGATCTAAGACGTGTGAATAAAGCAAATAACAAGTATAAGAACAGAACAGAAACACAAAAAATAGAAGAAAATTTCATAGGGGGATAGAACATACCTAGAGCGCAAAATAAGCAAAAGTAAAAAAAATCCTATGATCTAGTAGCATTTTATCTTTATGACAGTTAACAAACTTTAAAGTTGAACTTTTTGGAATAAGCCTTCATTCTTGAAGAGCTTCTCTGTTGGACTTTAAGAGAATGTTGTCACATTCGTAGCTATATTTTCCACCACATTTGAGTAGTTATCGATAGTGCGAAGGAAGGTGAGAGTTTCCCAAGTTTATTAAAGCTTGATAAATAAGAAAGTTGCTTAAATTTTGTTATTGCTAGTATAATTATAAAATACTTCTATACAGCCAGCGCACCAATTTAAAACTGCTATATAAGTTCAACGTCTGGGTAAAGATGTACTACAAGTATTTCCTTTATTGTATATTATTATATGGCAAGAGTTACTTCCTGCTAATTGGCGGGCTTTGATTGGCTCAGAAACCTTTTTGCCGGTCCATTACTTTCCCGTAATCGACCACGGGCCAAAGCGCGTAATTTTAAAATCAAATGCAAACAAACTTTGTGAAGCAAACAGCATAACGCATAATACAAAATAAACGAAACGAAAAACCATTTACGAATGTGATTCGAAGGAAGAACACTTGGAAAACAGTTTAACCATCCAGACGATACAATTTGAAACGATTTATTTTTTAAGGACGAAAACTAGAAAAGTGAAAGCCAACCGGTAAAATACAGCAAGGACGAGAAAGAAAGCAAGCTTCGTTTCAGGTCAAATAATGCCATATAATAAACCTTTTGATAGCCTCGCTTTCTCGGTCTTTACTGAGAGATATAGGACCTCTTGTCTTTTTGTACAAACCTCGCCCTACGGGCTCGGTCTGTACAGAAAGACCTCGGTCCGTTATTTCTCCGTAAAGACCTCGAGCTCGGTTGTTAAGGACTTATTATTGTTCACTATGGGAGCATTTTCGGCTGTGATTGGTCAACTACCTGCAGATAATTCTCGATATCTGCAGGTTATGACGTCATATCTACAGATAATAGATTCTACAAATATGGCCGCCATTAAAAGCCGGTTTTGAAAACAAATCAAACAGCAATTATGTTTGTCACTGTTTCTAAAAATGAGGTGAAAGCTTTTAAAAGAAAAGGACGCGGAAAACACTAAAAAGCAGCGAAGCTGGCTTTGAACACATTTACAACATATTTAAACGAGACGAACTTGAATATATATAAGTATTGAATCGTTTCCATTCGCCAAAATCATTTAACTCTTGGCTGAATCCCAGCTACCCGGGCTCATGTATTCAGCCCGTAAAACGTAAGTTAACAACCTAAATTGCATCCACTTTGTGTGAAACTTCGTAGATATACCCGAAATTGGAGATTCTGTAATCATTTGTCACAGCCACTTGTGGAAAAATGACAAAGTTTTTGCAACACAACCCACAAAATTAAAAAATTGTCTCTTATTCCACAAAAAATTTGGCAACGTAGCTATTACACAATACGAAACGGGTCTACAGAGCACACGAGTAGTTTAATATTGTAGAAAAGAAATGGTCAAAACGCCGACGAGAAACAACTATGTCTTTGTCTCATTTTTTATATTGTTCATCAACAAGAACAAGGTTATACGTTCACTGTCAAGTTATACAGTTTTCACATGTCAAAATGAAATTAACCAATTAGCGCCTACTACAAGGCAAGCCGTCCATGTGCGGGAATTTCAAAGGCAAATTGCCGTAAACCAGCTAAATTTAATCAAGCAATAAGCATTGTGAAATTCAAAGCTTAAAACTCGTTCTTATTTTCCATTCACCTGATTAAATGTTAATGAAATCGTGGACAAATTAATCGGGAGACCTTTGCTAGAAGAATTTACATTTTTGCCAAGCAATACTACACAATCGTGTTAATATTTTATTCTTCTAATCAAATTAGAATCACATGCAGTCTGCACAAGAAATTAAAATGTTTATTCAACGATAGAATTGACAAGAATATTGTCGGTTGTTCAAAAAAGGATGACGTGTATGTCTAATAAAGATGCGTTTGCGTTCGCTTCCTTGACATAAACATTTCAAAATTTCAAATTAATAAAATGAAGGCATAAAAGCATCAACATTTCATTTTGTTCGTATAGAACAACACTGTTTCTCACGAATTATAAATTATTGACATGCAAAGAGCAAAAGAAAAAGTTGGGGAAGACAGACTGGAACTTTGTGTTCAAGGTGATAATGAGCAAATGAAGACGCGGGAAATGAAGATTGTTTATTTTGTATTGACGTTACAGCGCATGTATAATTCAATCATCTTCGGCAATCCCTATTAACTTTTTTTTACATATATTCAAGCTCAAGGAGCGTGGCAGCGTTAAGAAAACTATTTTTATACGATTCATCACAATGCTGAAACGGAAGAAGCAATCTAATCAGTAATCACCTCTCAACTTCTCGACAAAGTTTACTTAAAACATCAATTCATTTATCAAATGTGAATAGATGTGGATAATTATTTTTGAATTTTTGAATGCTTCAATGACTTTGCTTGATGAAAAATTTAAACATAATCAATTTGCCGTAATACACAGTCAAACGGACCACCCTGCACTGTGTCCAAACTCCAACGCCATGTCATGTAACGAATATATGGCCCATAAAAGCTTTATCCATAATTTATTTGGGTGGCATTGCTACATGAATGAAGGAATACAAACATGAATTTTTAGCTTCAGCAAATACTTTTCTCGACTGAAATTTCCAAAACCATCACTACTGAAGCATACGACTGTCTTTTACGAAATAAAGTTGTACGACAGAAATTGACGTTTTAATACGTAATGATGTATATACAAACTCATACATGTACACTAAATTTTCTCACTGCAAAGTTGAGTATCTCAAATCATACATATTTCTGTATGTAACAACGTCAACAAATTTCACGTTGTGTCATATTAACATCCTAACAGTTACAAATGGATTCAAAAATATCATACATGCAAACATAAAATGTGTTTTCGTGTGCTTGTGATTTAAACACAATTATTATGAAAACGTTTTCAGAATAGAAGTACACTTCGATAATGAACTATAATGTTTGGCTCATTGAGTAAAAAAGCTCTTGAGTACATGTAGCTACGTCTGCTGTTGTTACGTTGCACTGGTTTTTTGCACTGTTGCTTTTTGTAAGCAATCAAGAATTTTTGTGATTGCGTAATGTATTGACTCGATGTAATATATGATGCCTTACTGTGAGCAAATAATTCAGTTATGGAAAAACTGGCTGCTTACTGTTAACATAATTTGCTTTCTGCTGAGGATAATCAGAAATAACATGTGGGGTGCTATTTGCTGCTGACTGGGAACATAATTTGCTTTATTAATATTGCTGGTTTTCTTGGACCATCCATTAATAACCTGCAAAATGTTATTCGCTGCTGAATGAAAACGTAAATGATTTCAAACTATTAATTTTCTTCATGTTTTAACAGAATTTGACTGTATGGACCAACCGCGTATTGATAACCTATAGATGACTGTCAACGTAATTTTATATGTGCATTGTTTATGTAGAAGGACTAACAATCAATAACCTGTAGAATGCTATTTGCTGCTGACTGAGCGCATAATTTGCTTTATTTAAACAGTGTTTGTTTACATGGATCAACCATGGATCAATAACGTATAATGTTGTTCACTGATTACTGTCAACTTAATTTATTTATGACTGTCTACATAGACCTAGACCATCAATAACTCCATTGACTGCTCACTGCTCTTGTTGGACCAGTTATCAATGCCTCACTGGAGCGTCATTAACATTAATATGTTATTTATGAGCATATATGCAATAAGATGACATGGATTACTTAATAGATTGCTTGATTTAGGGACATTATATACAACTTTGATTAGAGTAGATGTTATATTGTAGCGAGAGACTTGCCGAGCGGAAATCGAATTCGTGTGATAAAAATTAATGCCCAACATAAGAGTAGATGTTAAACTATCAATAGTCGACAAGTACGGCTGCTGCAATCCCAATGTACATGCACTTAAACTGATCTTGAAAGAACGTTTAATTAATTCACATGTTGATATGAAAACCACAGCTCCGTTGGTGGAGTATCTGTGACTAGGTTTTAACCATATAGTAGCTGCAGTCATTTAAAAAAGTGTTTGATCAATAAATTTTTGATTAATACCTTCAAATACATTTGTTAATCGACTTCTTATGAGATAATGTGCCTGGTTGAAAATTTTAACAAAAAACATTACAACCAGTGTTTTTTCCGTGCACAATAAAGCTATATCATGCACGTTCAAAAGCATGCTACAGCAATTATTTACATAAATAAAATTCTGCACGTATCCATCAAGGCTTCACAATAATTTTAAACGCACGCAATGAACACATGTCTACACAGTTTGATTCGCCCTGATAAGCAAACAAGATGCCAACATTAATGATTCAATTCACTCAATTATTTGAAGATCCACATTGCGTATAATTGATTTAATTAGTATTTTCAAAAGCATGAATATCGTGAGATCACACTATACCAAACTATCACTCCTACTGAGCAAGTGCATGATGTAATCACACAAAGGCAACAAATGCTAACTTGTGTAGCATTTTTTATTTGAAGAAAACCTGCAATTTATGAAAAAATTATCATTCAAAGCAACAACAACCCTTAACTTCAGTTTGAGGACGAATTATTTGTGTGGAAAAGAAACATTTATAGATCAGCAGCCAAAAATTCTAGTTCGATACAAATCCCACATCATAATCTACTAATTTTTATGGATTGTAGCTGTGTACAATTAATGTGAACATTATTCTTGTGACATCGATTTCCATTGATAGTTCTGGATACAAACACAGCCACAGAATAACTGTGGCTACCAGTGAAGTAAGAAAAAAAAATGCTGAATATGGTTTTGCCAAAACATCGTGTATTTATAGTACGGAGAGGTCTTTGACTTTGAGAAACCTAAAGATCTCGTGTCGGTGCCAATTGAACGACGTGTGATAACATTTGACACATGCTAGGTGAACATGCATCAAAAAAATTTCCGCAGTGTGTGAAGACAAAATTTCTGTTGGCAATTTCTGTTCACAAAAAACAATAGCCACCTATCGGTTGAATTCAATACATTTCTCGTTAGTATCGCAGTTTGCGATCACAATTCACAAGCCGTGCTCAATTATTTGAAAATAATGTTATTCAAAGACTTATGAAAACATAACAACTACGTAATTATAGGGATCATTATTAGGGTATCAGTAGTGATTTACCTGCTGATTTAATCAAAATCTCAACCCAATTAAAAATTCGAACACAATTGTATCAAAGCGTGCACGCATATCAGCTATTCTTATATGACGTTTCTTCTTGCAGACTTACAGATTTGTGTCACATTCTCTTAAATGAAGCAAAGTTGAGAGCGTTGCAGCAGTTGACTTTGATGGAGTTTGAACAAACGATAGATAACATATACATGAAAAAATGCTGTTAAATTAGTTGTATACATCAATGTGCATCAAGAAAAGGGCTTATGTTTTTAACAAAATCACTACTAGGTATGAGTTCAAATACTTAGCAGCTGTTTTCCAACAAGTGTTTTTCCAAATTTTAATGGAATTTTGCCGCTAAATGATTAAGGTTAATAAATAGTGTCAGTTAGGTCAGTTTTCTTGCACGTAACTAGTGTAAGTCAGAGTTCTGACAATATTGCTGCTTTGGGGAGAAATATTGCAATCTATGCATAAATAGGTCCAATTGAGTACAAAATACTTAAAAATGTCTTCTTAAGAAAATACAAAAAGAGGGGAGAGTACGACGTTTCTCTTTAGATACAGTGATATAGGTGTAGAATTTGATATACATGATCTGACGAGAATCTCAAAAAGAGGGGAGAGTACGACGTTTCTCTTTAGATACAGTGATATAGGTGTAGAATTTGATATACATGATCTTTTTTACTGCAACTATACTGTTTTGTTAACGCACTTATAAACAATTGCTGCACGAGCAGCAGGCATCTCCGTTTTCGAAAATCGTAGAAAAAGAGCTCTCAAGTGAAGCAAATCAAATGGCATTCTAACTCAGGTTTGCACAGCTATATGCAGTGGGTGTTTTAATTGAACGAGTTCTTTCGTAACAGGTTTATCACTGGAATTTCCCGCCACAGCATGTGAATAATCCCCCACCCCTAATCCTCGACATGTAGCTATAGTTCCTACAGATTTCTTTCCGCTGTTCATTAAGAAAAATCTAGTTAAATTTAAAAGGCAGCTCCTCCCTAGATAAATTACTATATGTGCCAAATGAACGAATCCAATCCAGTCTTTCAAAGCCTAAATGATTGCAATTGCCCTGTTTTGATACGATGATCCGGACAATCTTTAGACTGCATTGCATTTACACGATGACGACTATCAACGCATGTTGCTGAATAAAGAGAGCAACTAATAGCAAATACTACTGATGCTGATTTTGAAATTGGGTATTTTAGAATACAAAAGACAATACCTTCTTTTTCAAAGCACGAGTGACCTCGTTCTTCACAAGGCAGTTAGAAAATTATCTCAAGTCTAAATAGTGCTGTGTACCATTGTCTGGGATTCTTTCATTTGGAGTCTATAACAACACTTCGTGGGGAGAACTTTCATTTCGCATAGTGTTTGTCGTGTTTTTATCACTTTATTATACAATAATCAGATTTATTATATTAATACAAACATAAAAAGCTATGTTACGTTGAAGAAATTGAATATCTGACGCATTTTATATCCTTACTGCTAAATATTTTATTCTTCACGAAATAAATGACGCAATAAGAATTTATGCCACTTGTTGTTAATGGCTTTCCATACGCCGATGATGTCAGTAAATGAAGACTGTTGGATTTTCATCCCCAATCTCCACTCTCCAAGATCAACGTGCTGTTTTGGTAATCCCTTCCCACACATGATTGACAAGTCCTTTTCTGCATCCGGAAACAAATTACTCGGCCAAAATGTTATTCTTGGATGGCGATTTTAATGCTTCAAACATCGACTGGAAAACTCATCAATTACCTTGTAAATGTGTCGACATCGGAAAATGTTGGAAATATTTCGGACTAGCATAATCGTCGTCAAATGGTAATGGATCCAGCTCCACAGTGCCCGAAATTTGTTCGAATATTTTTTGTAATCTAGCTGATTCAAACTACGTCAGCAAAATCATCCATGGCATCAGTAATCATAACATATATTGTGACGGAAAAATCAATGTTAAATTCATCTATTTTTTTCACAAAATACAATTTGGCATATCCAATTTCAAAGAAGAGAATCACAAATCAAAATGCTGAGCTAGTAAACGATTTTTTAATTTTTTATACGATGAAAAATATTAATATATATACATCCCACACACATACAAGATATAAAAAAACATTGCATCGTCGCGGTTCCAAGGTCGCTACACAGTCATATGCATTAGATTTCTGAAATGGATTTGCTGACTGGTGGGATGAAATTTTTGAGGCTCATGCTTCATATGTCACTGATTTCGTAAATTGTGCATTCAAAAACTTCAATATCATGCATTCCGTGAAAATTTATTTCAAATTCTGATAATTTTTGTCTCATTAACTTTTGACTTTCGAGTCATTCCTTAGAGGACAGAAACAAATGATTGTTTGGAGACAAAAAACACCAAACCAATATTTTTAACGGGGAGGGAGCCTAACATAATATAAAATAACATATATAAAACATATAACATATAACATATAACATATAACATATAACATATAACATATAACATAATATGTAACATGTTAAGCATACACCATTGTGGATGAAATAGTAAACAATGTGCATTACAACTACTCATTGATTAAAGAGACTGCACATTGCAGACAAAAAAGAACCTATGAGGAAAAACAATCCACAGCGTAAAGTTATGGAAAACTAGACACGTTAACTTGTCTGTTTTTATACCGCAAAAAAATACACTGTTATGTTAAGCCGATAATTGCTTACATATATGTGCATAGCTATGCAGGAAGAAAACATGTTAAAGAGTTAAGGAGGCAAAAGTATGATTGTTGGAAAAGGAAGAAAAATACACGAACAAAATTTTGTAAAAATTTCAATTTCAAAAGTTTGGGAATGAATCTTTACGTAGACAAGTTTTTCGACTCCATGTTGTCTTTCGTATTTACGTATTTGTCAAATTAGTAGCGGCTGCGTGGCTTTGATTACAGGTCATCAAAGCAGATGAAAGCTCCATGAAATTACAATTAACGTTATCTTCTAAACAGATTGCTCGAATATCGACCTTGCCAGATTTCCATTTCGTACAATTTTGCAACGCGATATATGCAGACAAGGCGTACTGAAACGTTTAACTCTTGAGTATTGCCCTCAAAATACTGTTCAAATCGACTTTGAACTTTATCAAATGGCGCTTTTTCCAACTGACACAATAAGGTAGTTATGGAAGCCCACACAGAAGTTAATAGTAAGTTGGGCAAATGTAGCTCAAATAGAACAAAATTAATTCTTGTGTACCTAATGCACATGTGAACAAACGCGCTTATAATAGGTGGTAAACCGGTGCAATCATCTATCTAATCTTACATCACTCTTGCATCACCAACAATCCATTTAAACTTTAGAAATTAAGCACTTGCATGCAGCGCCGTAGAAAATCTTATTTGATAACATTTCAAATGCAATAGAACGAAATGCGATTTTGGCATCAGAAAGGAGTGAACTGAGAACAAAGGTTTTTAAGCGCTATAGGTACAATGCCTCCAAAAATTTTGACTCGATATCATGTGCACAGGTGACTCGAGTCGGGCAGGCTCTCAACACTAAAAAATTCCTAACAAAAATTGTCAGCGATATGTCTATGAATTAGTCATAAATACGGCTTATATGTAATGTACGAAGAACATTCCATTTTAGCAGGATTGCTCGCAGTGCCGAGTGTAAGTTACCAAGAATGAGAAAGCATTTACAGAAGGTGTAGAACGATTCCCAATTAAATCGATCAACAATACCGCACTGTTTCTGATGCATTACTGTAACGTAAAACTTGACGTGTGAGCAAAGATTGGCAAAGCTTAGAAGCGTGAAAAAGCTCCAGAGCACGAATGAAAAATGAAAACTCGAATCCCAATAATGTGAAATGACGAATAATGAAGGACGATATGGCATTCTTCAAGAATATGAAACGTTTGCCTTATATCTCGTTCATCACTCGTAATGCGCCAGTGCAACTGTGCTGCGTGGGTCACTTTCGTACACAATATAAGTTTATCGATTTTAAAATTTGTATAAAAGCGACGGTAAACAAAGCAAGTCTCTCGTCAAAGGTCGACTTTAGTTCCGGCAGATGTCGCAAGCATTCCAGTCTAATTAATTTGCTCGGTTCACCAGGATGGTGAAGGGAAGATGCGAAATATACGTTGTATTCCGCCGCGGTCGTCGTACACGAAAGGTCGCGCATTCATCGGCCACTGACTGCGAGCTCGAGCTGCGCTCGGCAAAAAGGATTTAAAAGCTTGCTCAAACACACGAACTGGCACAGTGTCGTTGACCACGCTACTCTTCGAACGCATAAGTTCACTAGTCGACACCAAGCACAGTCTTACTGCCGTATCGTCTAGAAGATCGAGGTCAAAATTGCCATATCTGTTTCTATTACTTATCAATATGAGGCCCAAAATGTTGACAATACAATGTGGAATAATGGTGATTTTGCTCACGCTACAAGACGTGCACTCATTTCGCTGGCTGTAAGTGTGCTATAAATATTATACAATTTTTTGGTGATCAGTTCGCGACCTGCACGAGTTGTGGCGTTAAAATTCGGAGCGTTGGGCGCTTCCTTTTGCATGATTATTTCAAATATGAAAGTATGTATGTATGACTAGATATTATTTTCATAAAGGAAGCTATGTATCCATTTTTAAAATAATCTTTATATATTGAAAAGTTTTCTTTCAGAAATTAATCCCTTTAATCAAATGATCAAATGAAAATTCCAATACTCAACATTGGCCATATGTATTGTCGATTATTTCACGAAGCGAACGGAAATTTATTCGTAGTTTCATGTCCTATTTCATTAATTCAATACACAAGCGTGCCACTTTATGAAACCAATCTAGTACCACCGCTCGGGGCAAAGTAAATGTTGTGACTATTTTTTCACGCTGCACTGTTGTACGGCCTTAACATTTGTGATCACTCATTGTTATCGCATCAGATACACGAGTTGGTTTATTGCTTTAGATTGCTTTAATGAGTTCCTTTCAGAAACAGCGCTGCAGTAACAGCATAAAAGGACGAAAAAGGAACTCTGTAAAATATCTTTCCTATACTGAAACACGAACATTTCTCACTGACTTGTATTTTTTATGTTGGCGTCATTTTACGGACTAAAGGGGAATAAACAGTACGGAGGTAAATCAATCGCAAGTTGAAGATCTCCGTCGTTACCTGTGTTCGTCATCACCGCGTGCAAGCAGGAATAAACTTTTGGACAAGGAACAGAAAAAAATTTGCAGAAAAAAGATCAGAATGATGAAATATGTCGTCATCGCTGCCGAACTTGCGAAGACCGAATGCTTGCGCTTGACAAAGTACGAAAGATGGGATTGCAAGGCAGTACTCCAGTTACCAAAGTTCTCAAAAGACCTGCGAGCTGGTATGTAGTAGCAGTAGAATTTATTTATGATATTTTCCATCGCACATCATACAATTTAACAGATTTTTCTTCAGTATTTATGTTGTCAAATACGCCAAGCTATTCGATGAAATGGTTTCTCTTGATAAGAATTAACTAATCATCAATCAGACATGTTTATTGGATTACGTGTATAAAATCTAATATTGTACTTCGCTACATAACCATCAAAAACGGATATAGACGTTGAATATTTGCCGGCGTTCTTCCGTGAAAATATTTCGTGCTTACGGGGCATATAAGTAACGTGTCAAAATTGTTTAACACCGATTTTTTCAATTAGTCATCACGCCGAAACAAGCTTGGCAGATTTATTGCTCATAGATATGCATAGGTACATAAAGGGCACACTATTTAACTGCTACATACCGTATATCCTCCAGCGCTCATGGTCATACTGTTTGAGTACTATCTTGACGTATTACAGAATGGTTTTTTAGAGAAACAAAATCATGTACGCCTAACACCAATACATACAATGAAACCAAGCAACAAAAATATACGTTTATACTATTCAGCAGTATCATGATAATTCAACGTTTATTGCGTGTAACCGTACACTCTTGAACTGCTTACAAGATCTCTATCAACATTGCACTTGAGATGGGTAATACACAATCTTAGATACTTCACATAAACAAAAGCCGATGTCCGGCCACTTAAGTCAAGCAGCAGTTGACATTTTGAGTGCCTATACACGTGGTTGTATACGAGCACTGAAGGATGGATGGACATCAAGCTGTTGTAAATCGTCAATACGTTGCTTATTCAAGTAACAGTTGTTCGTTGTTAACAAATCACCCCACTGCAGATAAAACACGAATAGAATTCAATAATTTAGACCCAGTGTTTGGTTAACTGTCAACTCTACACGGCAAAAATAATAACCAATACGACTTTCCTGTCAAGGCTTGTGTTTACTTTGAAGATTACAGAGAGTTTTTCATGAGTACATTGGCTAAACTCTTTCAAACATGAGGACAAACGTTCCCTGCGTGAACACTTACTATCAATACGTATGAGACGGGTATCTAATAACTAGCAAGATTATCCCAGTTGCATAAGACTCGTTCGTTTGAAAATGAGTTTGTTTAACGTGTAATAGTATGTTGATTAAAATCGAGTTGGTTTTCGTCTGGGATATTTTATCGAGTCAACTATTCAACAGAAGTACAAAGTGATGATTTAGTGAGTGCGGTCACCATTTAAGTCGTGAACACAATAGAATTATAAATATGTCTATAGTGGAGAACAGTATAGATATAGTTACACATACATAAATATGATCCCTTCTTCTATATGAAAGGCCATAGTATGAATTAAAATAATCAGAGTTTAAAAAGAGGAAAACATCGTGCATTTTATTGGTGTTGTTCATGCGGGAATTTTTATTACACTGAACGGCACAATCTTGATCTAATTTACAATGTGCTAAAAATAAATACAAAGGTTATATGTTTTTGTACCAAGAAAGATTAGGAGCGAGTACAGTTGTTTCCAACGGCATCACAATCTAAAGTTTATACTCATGCAGTCGAATATATGAAATACATGACCATATCTGTCCTGTATATAGCTAGAGTAGACTTCATTACTTAGAGGTGGTGCACAGGAAACAAAACTATTTAGTCGGTGTGTATTCATTTTTTACTGGCCATAGAATTGTTTGTTGAATTTACCAGCAGCAAACTTCTCCATAAAAAGAGTATTGACATATGGCTGGCATGAAAAATACGAAGGGTGTCATTTCTACAAAAGGAAAACGCTCGAAGAAAAATAGAAAAAAATAGAAAAGAAAATAGAATGAAAAATAGTTTCACACAATCTTGATCTAATTTACGATGTGCTGAAAAGAAAAAAAACCCAGTTTATAGGTGTGCTCTTATTCGATATACGTCATTAATCAGCCAAAAGCATAAGAAAATATATACCAGGCAGGTCATTTGTAAAATATTATCAATTTCAATCGCAGCAGGTATGTGATAGTCGGCAAACATCTAAGTTGATTTAACTACTTTTAAGGTCATTGAAAGCTCTTATTTCTCTATTCAAATCTTACCCATTTTATCTTAATCGCGTTTACTCGATCACTATTCAAGTCACGTTTTAAATATTCTTCTCAACCAAACATGGTTTCGTCTCTAAGGAAAGCATGTAGGCGTTTGAATATACGCTTCATGCAAACTATAGTAATCCGGGTATAGAATTGCTTAAGTACAAATTCATCAACACAATGGTACAGTTACAATGGGGATTAAAAACGATCGCTTTCATTGAATCGACGAACAAATAAATCATCCTTTTCTAATGCAATTTCAAAAGTTTTACCTTTTGCAAATTTTCGAAATTACTAACCCAATTATTTCGAAACGAATTTCATTTCCTTTAATTTGTTTCCAAATGAGGAACAAAGCAATATATATGTGTATAGTTGTATTATGTATATGCTACATACATAATATTTCAAGAAAAAGGCCTTATGTCGTTGAATCTTTTTTTAACACCACTCATATCAAAATCACTTGTATACAAGACGGCCACGTGCAGCAAACAAATTAAAGAAAGGACATTTGATAGATGTCTACACAAAATTAAAGTTACCAATTTGGGATTCGGTGAAATTTCAATGCAATAAAAATTGATGTGCAGCGCCCGAACCTTGAACCGAAAATTAAAATTAAAGCTGCGTTGATAAAATTATTCAGCGGATATTAACAAGTATACGTAGCGCTCTATATAATTGAAAGCTTATCAAGTTATCATGTGAAAACAACTACATTTGATGCGTGGCTGATGATACAAATTGATGTACGATGTCCACGTCTTAAACGACTATCACGTCATAGCTATAACGACCAAAATATGTTGTATGAAGTATTAATGTGCGTGGGATTTTTTCCGACACGATTGATTAAAAGTGTTGAAGTATCTTAATATGATTCATATTTGTCGCTTGAACCCAAGCTTTATTTGAAAATTGAAGTTTACTTGTAACTTCGTTCGAATAATATAAAATTTATAACCAACTGAGTTAAAATGAGTTATATGTATGAGTGCAAATATTTGACAATGAATCTCGGAGATAAAATAATCAAGTCTATGAGTTTTTTGACGCTACAATATCAATAAGAATTTATTCAGTTAGTTTCACTTTTTATTATTGCCATTTCCCACATTGTAAATTTGTATTGAACATAGAGCAATGTAGATCTTGTTGAAATTACAGTAACAATCACGTTACAAAACTTACAATTCTACAACTCCTATATTTCTACTGAACCTACATTTCTGCCACACTACACATCTACGAAACCTACATTACTACAAAACCTGCATAACTACAAAACCTACGTTACTACAAAACCTGCATTTCTGCAAAACCTACATTTCTACAAAACATGCATTTCTACAAACCTACATTACTGCAAAACCTACATTTTTACAAAACCTACATATCTACAAAGACTAAATATCTACATAACTTACAGTGCTACAAAACCTGCATTTCTACAAAACCTACATTTCTACAACTTCCACAACAGCCTTATTTGTGACATGCAAACACATTTCAACAACAGGTAGAATTTTACCACAACTATAATCCAAAACATAAATCAATGTGAAAAGCTATATCTACAACAGCTATATAGACTCGTATAATAGAAAAGCTTCTACCGCATGCATATTTTGTAAAATAGCTATAGTTTCAACAACAGCTATGTGTGCAAAACAGTATAATGAAGGTCAGAGCTACTGCTACTGCTACAACAGCTATACATTTGACAATAAAAATCCTCTATAACAGCTGTATCTGACAGGTATCTTCAGTTAAGGTTTTGCAACAGCTATGTGTCCAAAACTGCACCGATTGAAGAAAAGCTTTATTTTAATAACAGCTACGTTTGTACATAAGCTGCGTATATATTAATAGCTACCATTGACTTCTATAACAGGTTTCTGCAACAGCCAAAGCTATATCTACAAAAGTTGTACATTTGTTCAACACATATTTATGTTACTACAATTGATTCTCACTACAGATTTCTGCGACAGCAGAAGTAATTTGTCGAAAATAGTAGCTAACGAAGACAGGACTATTTCTACAACAGCTACATTTGCACAATAAAAAAGTTCTATGAACCGCTATATTTGTTATAACAGCTATATATCTGTACAAGCACTATAGTCCAAAATAAGTTATAATTTTACAATTATACACCAAACATTTTTGGCGCATAATACATTTCTACATCACTTACATCTACAACACTAACATTGTTGAGATCGCACTACAGCAAATATCTCTGTACAAAATGCCAACGTTACGGTTAAAAGGCAGATTGTTTTTCAAAAGATTGCCTGCACCTCGAGGTCCCATATAGTAGTCTCTTTCATATAAATCTAGCCTGCCTCAAACAACACAAAGGATAAACAAAAAAATATGCGAAGCCATATTTTCTTGTTCATTTCTTGTTAACTCGATCACTCATTTGCACGCGAAAATAAGCATGCAAAGCTTTTATGTAATTGTACGAATTTCACGGATTGTATTAGATGTAAGTTTGTCATTCTAAGCAAAATTTTACCATAAACAAAATTGATGTATCTCACTCGTAACTGAACTAAACACCACAACTTTGATGCATATGCTGTCTCTACTTGCTATTTTACGTATATTACTCTTCATTTTCAGGTACAAGAGAAGCAGCGTTTTTGCATGCCCTCTCATCGGCAGCACTTGTCTTTGCCATAACTCAAGGTTGCACGACAGATGGTGTGTGCGATTGTGGAAGGGAGCCCGGTCTATCCTTGCTTCAAAGCTACAGACGCAAGCATGGCAGTGACCGGTACACGTATGCCTGGCGTGGCTGTCATGACAACATTGCTATTGCTACACGATTCAGTAAAGACTTTCTCGATCGCCGCGAAGTAAAGAAAACAAAATCTGTTCCAAGAAAAGTTTTAAATTTACATAACAATGACCTAGGACGCAAGGTAAGTCATAGAAAACGTCGCAAGGATAGAAATGTTTTTGCGCTTGATGCAAACAATAGCACAGTTCAAAAATTTAGACAATTTCTAAATGTGGCGTGATTCCATCGCTTGCAATGCATTAAAGGCATTTAAAATCAGATCTATACTATGTATTTAACACCCACCATTGAGTCCATCAACACGACAACAAAAAGTCGTACCATTTTACATGGTAAACAAATGCCGATTATTTATTTACAAGGATCAACATTTTTATGTTTCCATTTAGCACAGCTTGCTTCTACGTAACAGAGTAAATCAAATTTTGCATTCGGACTTTTGATTTAGCTTAGCTTCAATATTCATCGAAAATAACTCTTTATGTGTTGGCTTGCTTGTAGCCTCAATTAACGAACAAAGAACAACACGCTACTTTTTTAATTTTGACACATCTTCAAGTCAAGGGAATTGCAATATTAAGACCATATTAGAACGACGTCAAAGTATAGGTTCTTATGACGACAGGCCATGTACGAAAGTTTTGGGTAGACGTCATGAATATGATCAGTTTATTAAATGGGTGCTGTCTTTTAGGTAGGGATAGAAACCAAGAACTCAACAGTTGAATTATGCTTGTACACACCCACAGGAATTTATAAACATACATAAGCTTATAAGGATAACAAACAGATCAACATTCCAGACGTGCTATCCTACTCATGAAATGAAGAACAACATTGATTTGTCCCTGTGTATCATACAACTTCAAAAAGCACTTTCTTGAGATATGATTTCTAACTTGATTTCAACATAGTTACAACATGACTATATATTTTACTACTTTATTCCCCGAATCATTTTGAAAAAAATGTGCTCTAGGATGCATGTCAAACGAATGTTGGTGTATGGATTGTATTGCGCGGTTATCCATTCCAACGTTTGCGCATGTGTCCTTGAATGCCAGCATTGAGTGCGTGCATTTATATTCAGGAAATATTTATGTATGTATAGTCTCAACAAGTGCTACTCCACGAGAAGCAATCATGAAAGAAGCAAATCAAGCAAACACAGTAAAACACAATAAGCTGAATAGTCACATGAATTGACAAACAAACCAACAGCTGACAAATTAATTTCTGTATTTGTATTGACGTCAACGACGCAGCAGCAAAAACTGTTGCGATTCCAAACAAATACCAATGGTCTGAATCATGTGATTCATGCATTCATGTTTGCGATTAAGGCCCGTGTTACAGACAAGATCAGAAAAATATAGAGCTTCTTTGGATGTTAATGGGAGTAGTATAGTTATGGGTGAAAACGTCAATGTTACAATGAACAACAAGCATCGTTCACTTATTTCATATAAGATTATTTTGAAAAGTTCCCAGCATTGAGGGTATATTTATTTAAAGTATCTCACTTATATGCATGATTTTCGTTCATTACTTAGTATCTTCACGTATAATCATCAAACATGTAAAATAGATATAGCCGATACATGAAAACAGTCGTAATGAGAGTAGGGAAAATTTTTCAAAAGCTCAATTGCATGGATGCCACACTCGATGAACATCGCAACAATAATAATGTTTCGCTTATTGTCACTGTTATATGCCATTCACGATCTATTCTATGATGAAAAAATAAATTGAGCGTTAAAACAATACATATAAAAGAAAATGTTAATGGCTCCTTCTAAAATAGAGTAGCGCTCATTTTACCAAAACAAACAGGAACCAAACCACCAAAACCCTTTAATGTCTTTAGAGCAACTAACTGATCACTTCAAAACGTGTTTTTCTTAAGTCGTGTTGGATAATGTGTATGTTTTGTCTTTATTTGCTGTTTACATGAATAATGTATCAGTCAAGCAACTATGCATGCTCAGAAAGGAGTTTTCCTCTTCATAGTCTACTTCTCGAGTCTCCTGCTATTGATTATCGAGTCTGACGTACGCAACGCGTAGGCTTCAGACGATCAATTTCAGTGGAATCTTCCACTGCGATTAAAGCAGAGAATTATCGTCTCAATACAACTGGGTGACAACAGGTGACTGAATGCTGTTTTGATATCATGTGCAATAATTTTAATTAATGAATGAAAAATGTTTGGCTCTCGTATTAAGTAGTGAATGAGTGAACTAGGTATAAGGATTAACATTTAGGTCATTCATACACCCAACGGTTAATACGAACGGAAACAAAATGTCACTGCAGACAGAGCTTTAAAAGATGAGATACCTCAGATGACGGTTGGCAATCGTTCCGAAATCATTTCAATGTCGATAGCTGCCATGAATGAAAGGCTTTAGTAATGAATTTTTAAAGAACTCAAGTAATGGCGGTGTAAAAGGAAAAAAATATTTAAATAACTTTAGGTAATTCAGTAGCTAAACAGGTAATTTCTCATGGGCATTTCCAACAACACGTTACGTTCTACAAGATTAATAGAAAATGCTTCCTAAGATGTCAAACCATTTGCCAAAAATCTTTATGCTTAATTCCATCGACTTTCTGAATTTCATGTTATTCTTATTTATGTTGTGATTAAAAAAACACGTCTGTGTCTTGTATAAAAAGTACCATATTAGGTAAATATTTACTAAACCAATTGTGAGAACGCGTCCTTAATGGATGAACCCAAAACTTCTATTAATTGAAGTATCATAATGTTCCTCAAGTTTTTGCCTCAGAACATAGTTTGATGAAGTAAAATATGTTTGTTTACTTGAAGATAAGTAGTAATTTTAGTTTCATTCAAACAGCTAAAATAGGATAAGAAAAAACCCTCCTAAATATGACGCAATGGTATGAAATAACCGTCTCGTAGACCAGAAAGGTAAACTATGCCATAAATATGAGATGAATTTCAACGACTTGCCTTAATCTCTTCTCAATATGTGCCAAAAATAGTTGACATTGCATTTTTCCCTTCATATTCTCAACAGTTGGGGATACCTCGACACCATCGCCATTTTGTACTAATTGAACGCAGATTGCAACTTTTTTAAAACACGCGCTTACACTTTTAGTATATATATATATAGCTGAATACCTCGACGATTACCGTAGTTTTGCTCTGATAGTAATAATTAAAAAACTAAGATTCATTAAATAATCGATCAAATATACAGCTCCACACACTTCAAATGATGACGAGTTATTAGTATAATTAATGTCATCAGTTTTTTCTGTACCGAATTCAAACACGGCATGAACCGAGTTTATCTTGTTTTTGAATTTACTAAACTTTTCTATTGTCTAATCATATATTCTAGGAAATCGAAGTAACTCGCATACAACAAACAAATTTGCAGCGAAATTTTGTATTCGTGGTTAAGAATTTCAATCTATTTAGTTGCTTCCATGCACTGAATATGTAACGATTGTTATGCTAAAATGACTCAAGTCAGCGGTCCATAGGATGCCGTTGCCCGGTACAATTGACGATAGTATAGTTTATAAACCATGGTCATATAATCACACCACTAAAACTACAAGTAGTATATGTCTATATAATGGTCGAGAATAAATAATGATATGCCCATATGAAGTTGTCAGAACTCAGATGACAAACATTTGCATCGCGGATGGATAAAATGCTTGCACGCAGCACATTATTTACATACAACGGCTGATTTCAATTAATAAATTGTTGAACTTGCCTTACAATACCATTCTACATATGCGAGGGGCTATGTCACTGCTTACCATGTACTAAATCAGGTTTGGCAAAAAAAAGAAACCCGGACAAAAAATCGACGACTTGCGTACATAAACGACTGGTATTTTTCCAAGAGCATCTCATTCAAATAAACGGAAGAAGAGCGGCACGCGTTTCCGGTAAAACCAACTTGGAACACGACTAAAGTTTCTTAGCGCACTGTAAGTATTATGAATTAAAATTTTTAATTTCTTTTGATACACATTCCTTCATGAAAATGCATAGCACGACAGAAGTGACATAGCCCCACTCTATGCGCTAAATGCAAAAGTAAAACGCGATCTCTGTTTGATCCATTGACAGGTTGTCGCAAGAAGCCTGTCGGTGAAATGCCGCTGCCCTGGGCTGCAGGAATGCAACGAACAAAAATGCGTTTACCATCTCACCGATCCTTTTAGCAGCATTGCTCAAGAAATCTTCAAGAAATACGAGCAAGCAAAAAAAGTATTTGCTGAGAAGGCAAAACAAGAGAGACACGGTATGGTGCTTAAATTCATAAAGTACAGCAAGAAGAAGAAAATTGAACAAAACGAAATGGCTTACCTTAAATCTCAAGATTTCTGCTTGCCCGACGTAAAGAAAGGGAGAAATTACCCGGGTACGAAAGGCCGTGTCTGCGGTAGAAGATTACAATACGAAAAATCAAAGTTGCAAACGCTCATCGATCTCAATCCAACTATGAAGATCGGTTTTAACGTGTGCAAGACGTTGTGCTGCGGTCGCGGGTTTGCTCAGAAAATCGTCATTGAACATGTGAGGTGCCGCTGTAGGTTTTTAGTGGATGATGGAATCAAATTTCGATGTAGGAATTGCACCGCCCTCGCCATTATATCTATATGCAAATAATGGAGAGATTTACATCATGTAACAGTTCTAAATAGACAGCAAATCTCAAATAATCTGAGTACGAAAATGCTCCAGTGTCCCCAATTAGAGACTAGAAATGATGTTGAAGTTCTAGACATTTGTAGTTAGAGTTAGTTAAATAATATTTCATAGGTAATGCTCATGGACCAGTGATTGTACTATAGGGAAAGTTTTTGAAGTATTTCACAGACATTTGCACGACAAGGAAAAATTATTATTCTTAAATTGCCGTAGAACAATATACTCCTAACTTCAATTGCATCAAATTTCTAATAATGAAAACATCAATTGATGCTTTAATTTCTGTGACAGGTTTCGAACACAAAAGTATTTCTAAGACTTTCCTGGAAAATATTCACATCGACAGCATAGTTTTAAATTTGACATATGCAAACATGTAAATTATCGTAACAATGTGACATATATTAATAAAAATGAAATGCATAACAGATAATTAACTTGAGAGCAGTTAGATATCTTTTTTCAGCGGCAAAGCATGGCGCCAAAATACTTTGCAACGGCGTATTCTTGGATATAACTTTTATAGCTTCTTACATTTCAAAACATCTCAAAAAGTAATTCTATTGTTTGGGCATTCCATTATTTGGTAATTAATTGCCAATCGCACCGTGATATTAGTGGCGTCACCGGCTCGATAATTTTGGGAGGGTGGCCTTCCTCCTCAGAGCGTTTCGAGGAAAAGGTTTCGAAAGGAAAAACCCAAACGCAGGTGGCAAAGGAAAAACCTGAATGCAGGTTGCAAAACAAAACGAAAAAGACCCAAAGAAAATCCCTGCCAGATTTGTGGCAATAATTGTTGAACAACTCGGCGATTTCTTGCACTCAAATGATTATGCCATCATTCCCTTTCGTTTGCATTGTTATTTTTCTATTTTTTACGTCATTTGTTGCTAATGTGAGTTTAGGGTGTAAAGGCCTGACGAAAATATGTTTTTTTCCTTGCAAATAAGAACGTACTAATACAGACCATGCAGGCCCTGGTTCAGATACTTGTGTAAGCGATTAAAATGAATAATCATAAACTACGTTATGCTATAGTAATCTAATAGCTTACATTTACTGATACGTGTAAGAATGATCGAGCATATAGAATCGCAAAGTCATAAGCTTATAGGAGGTGGTTATTCAAATAATTGCTTTACAACTTAAGTTTATGAAATGTTGAAGAAATAAAAAAGAGGGGGAGCCTCCCTAACTTTATTCAAAATTCTAAGCTTCCTGAGCCCCTCCCCCCTCCCCACGAGCTTCGCTACAATACACACCTGATCTTGGTCAGAACACACGGAAAGTAACGCAATTATTTATCAGGCCGAATTAATAAATCTTACTTCAAATGTCACAAACAGTATTTGTCCGCCAGTCCGCTGGACACTAGCTTTGAACTTAAAATTTTTGCATGGTGAGAAAATTTATCACTGATTTCCTTTTTAAGGTTGTTCGTGATAGTCTGGTTCTGGACTGTAAGTGCCATGGCATAACGGCACAATGCACAAAACGTTACTGCAGGCGCATTTTGACGATAGAATTTCCCAAGGTGTCGAAAAAGATCTTTGCCGCGTATAAAAATGCCATGCAGGTGAAACTGAAGAAAACTAGCAGCACCAAGATGGAGCTCATCCCAAAACGGAAGAAATTCCGCAGACCTGGTGAGCTCGCAAAATCCATGACATATCTCTACAGATCCAGGGACTTTTGCTCATACGATAGGCGCAACAAGTTGCCCGGAACAAGCGGTCGTACTTGCGGGCACAAGTACGAATACCCAAGCTCACAAACGTCATCAAAGCGGGCCATCGTCGACAGATTGCTGGTAAGCAAATGCAAAATGTTGTGCTGCGGACGCGGGCACCAGACGGTATTGGAAAATGTCAAGATAAAATGTCGTTGCAAGTTCGACTTCAGAATTATGGATGTGCGATGCAAGACATGTACAGCACGAAAAAACACGTACGTATGCAATTAATGGAATGACAACACACGCTGATTGGTCGTAATTTCTGATGACCATCGGCGCAAATGCACTGTACTCAAAAAATGGACACGAGCAAACAATACATACGAGCGTATCATTTTATCCGTTTGACAAAGTGTTGCAGTTACATAGATTGGGGAAAGACAAAAACTTCAAAGCACTATTCTTCCTTCGCGAACGCAACCCAATAAGTCTATTACTTAAGTCTATTACGAGGTAAATTTTATTGCATAAGGTATCATAGCAAAATATATAACGCAGCACATTTCAAAAAGAATAAATTTTAATATTTAACGCATGTCGTGCGCTTTAGAAGAATAAAACGGCACAAAGTATTCGGGAGAATGTAGATAGAATCAAAGTTTATGAAAAATCAATGGATAATACTGTGTGCTCAACAGGGTGCAGCTATGTAAAAAAGATCTTTTGAAATTGACTTGTTGTACAAAGGCAACCACGGGCCACGAAATTGTCAGCTGCATGCATGCATGTTAAAATCTTTGTCACATGCACAAGAGCTTTTCGGCACTTGGGAATTTAAAACAACTTCTACCTGTAAAATCCGTATAATGATGCACCATTCGCTTTTACACCCCGATCGAGCTGGAAGTAAGCAATTTTTCTATTTAGTATAACCCAATTGTTGAATTTTACGAACGTGCCATTAAATACACAATTTTCTTCAAAAATGTTGCACTAGTTATCCTTATTTAAAGGCTGCTGCCAGCAATAAGACTGATATGATATTATTTTGTATCAGACCATCAACTTGGCTGAATTGCAAGTCAAGAATATGACATTCATTCCTTTGCAATCAAAATGAAGCGTTTACCTTTGTTTACCTTAGAAAATATAGATGTTTTTACAAATATGTCGTTTTGGACTACAAAAGCTTGGATCTTATCGTCTTTGCAAGATGATAACACTTTGTGAAAATTTCGGCAAACTTTTGCTTTAAACGTGAATTATTAGTAAAATAACATTCTCGTGCAATACTATTCCATATTGATTTTGTGAAAGTATCTTGCTGGGAAGTTACACATGCGTAGTGAAAAAACACGCCACAGTTTTAGCCGGAGTGGGCCTTCTGTTGGATGTCTATACTGTGTTTATGCTGAACTGGTGAATGTGGCAGTTTATATTTTAGTTGGCAAAAAGTTACAAAGGGAAACTGGGTATATCAGCTATGATTTTCTCAAGTTAGTCCCAAACAATGATATGGTAATCGAAGAGAGATTTTTGGTACTTACATTCACAATACTATATTCCGGTCTTTGATTATAAATAGTAGTTTAATGGACACTCGACATGAATCCGCTGATTTATAAGATTTTTCTGGGTGTTAATGAGTAAAAGTGCTGTTTATTCACCTTTCAAGACTTCCAGCATCAGTTCAATCTTTAAAAAAATGGTGACAAAAGCGTCGAGCCAGTAAAAACATTGCTTTCGTCGGCCGCGAAGCATGCCAATTTTTTCTATTGCAATGCAAATACTAATCTGTGCAACCTCTGGAAAACAATGAATGGAATAAATTTTCTAAAGAAACCAACAGAAAATTTTTGTTGAAAATTTTGCATGGTAGGAGAAAAATTCGTGCTGGTTTTGCCAGCCCTGGCCCTCGATGAATTAATTTCACAGAATACCTTGTGCAAAATAAAACATCGACATGAGCACACCAGAAAAAATTAATGACCGATAAAATTATCCAAGTGCGGCGGGATAGGTTTTTTACCAACATCTCACACTTTTAAAAAACTTCCAACACATTTTCATTAGATCCTGTACTTGGAAGGCTTTTCCAAGATTCAAATATTTTTCTGGCGAACGGAAAACGGTATTCTTCACTTGCAACCATTCTCTTGAGATTTACCAAACAATGTTGCTCGCCCACGTCGGCTGGTGCCAACAATAGCACTGATAAAATATTCTTTTGTATCATACCACCAACATGGCTGAATTGCAACTCAAGAATACTGGCATCAAGAATCACAATCGCTGCTGGTACAAGAAAATACTACTTTTGTTTACCTTAATCTAATCATTTGACGCTTAATACTTTTTCTCAAATATATGTTAAAAACATTTCACACGTCAGCAATTTCAGCATGTTCAATTTAGTAAATAAATATAATATGACCACAATAACGATATATGCAACGTTGATTTTGCGTTAATTTATACTATTATATACTTAAACATCTTTTTCTTTATATATGCTAAATTCGTACTTTACAATTAATTAACAGGTCAGAGGGCGAATAGCGTTATCCATTGAATAGTAAAATTTCAAACTTGTAAAAATGTTGTTTATATTTTCCTTACGACATAGAAATTTTTGTAATCTTGGAAGAAATATTTTCTTTTAGGGAATGCTCATTTCAAACCTTACATTTTTCTCTTTTAAGAGGGCTATTTTAAACGTTCAAAAAATTTGCTATCCAGTGGATAGCGCTATTCGGTCTTCGCGCGGTCGGCCGCAGTATATTAGCACCCTCTTGTAACTATTCAGGCACGTTAACACTTACTAGCACATAGAGTCTTTAGTCCACGCATGGTTTTCCAACAGACAATGCCTTTGTCGTCCGAACAAAATCCAACTAAACAGCTAGCAGACCTCCTTATACACATATGAGCAAATCAGTAAAACTTGAAGTTTCACTCGCTGTGAGAGCAAGTTTCCCACAACACATCTTCATTGGGAGACTTGATTTTTCTCCAAGTGAGTTTACACGTTTTCCAAGACACGTTCAAAACGAGGTATAGTTCTATCATGCATAGCATCAAACTCACGTGATCATTTACACTCACGCGCAGACTGTGCAACGTGGCAACGAGCGCTACCAAGACGCTTTCCATGTGCACAATAATGGAGCATATGCCGTAGTAGACCAAAAAGAAGTTGGAGCGCTTATGTCCGTTCAGTATTGCCAAAAATGCTATGTGACTTACAGGGCAAAGGGTATTGTTTATGACCTGCCACATGCATTGAAACGGTAGCACAAATGGGGTCACCAGCCCAACAATGAGCATTCTGGCGTATCCCATGAGCCAGGTATTGTACCAGGGCCCAATTTGTGTTTTGATGTTCATGGTAATAGTCCACGAGCCACTGAACATGCATTTGCTGAAGAGAAAAAAACACAGAGTTCGTAATATGTTCCACAGCGAATAGGAAACTTCCAAGAATAGGTAAGACTTTAAGTCAATGCTCCGCAAAGCAGGGCAGTACTGGAACCTAGAACAAGTAAATACAGAAAAAAGCTTGTAATTTCCATTAAATGCACCGAGATGAGCTTTGAAAACGGTTAGGTAAACCTTCCACAACGTATGTCTAGCCTTGCAAAAGCCAATTTAAGTAATTTTACTCTTTCCAAGAAACTATATATGCTAAGGCTCAAAAAGGTCTGCTCAAGCTTTGTATGGTGAAGTTGGATAATGAGGATCATACAGAGGATCATAATTCTTTGCCAAAGATTAGTTAACTAAATAAATGGCATGTCTAACTTATGTAAAGCCCTGTATAAAGCAGGAGGAGGACCCAGCGAAATATTACATATTATAAATATTATGAATATTACAATGCATTTTTATTTATTTTTTTCACTCAACTCACAACAGATGTTTTAGTACTTTTGCCATAGCTACCTTATTTTCATGCATTGAGCACTTTCTTATGATTGCATCGTAAAGCATCAAACAAATGTTTGTTAAAGCTAGTTATATAATAACCATTAGAATTCGAGCAATTTCATTGGTCGAGAGCTATAAGAGGACATACGCACTGAATTGATGTCACAGAAATTTCTTGTTTTTGAATTAACAAACGAATGGCGAAAATATTTGAATATGTACCTTAATTTATCCCTGAATGGGTAAATGAAGAACATTCATAAGACCTAGTTGATTTGTGCCTCGTTAGCCAATAGCATTTCTTCAATTCAATAGATCATGTACGCGTGATACTTGCATAATATTTACTTTTAAAAGTGTCAGGGAAAACAAAAACAACTTGTTTGCCAGTTATAAATGGGAATTTTTATGGGTTTTGTTATAAAAAACAAATACATCCTATTTGACCGTTGTTGAACAGACGTGCAACGGTTAAATGTATTTTGTTTGTACGTCAACATGAGTTGATATTTTACGAAAAAAATATGTTTTACTTCCCTAAAATTGTATGTATGTATGTATGATTTCAATAAAAAATCTATGAAAATAGATACAATCGGTCCATGCTGCACAAATATGGCCAAAATGTTTAACGGTTTTCTTATGTGGTGCCATTTTTTTCATAAATACAAGAGCTTTAGCTACTCCATATAGTTTTTACATAAAGTGGTTCTCATAAAGTGCGAAAAAAATGTGAAACATTATTGGGCGTTATGGTTATTGATCCGCGTCCCGCTAAAATCATAGGAAAAAAACAATCGACTAATGATTTCGACAGTAATATAGAATGCGCTTTACTTTAACATTGTTTATTAACCAGTCCCGTTTTTGTCATCAGACATCTAGTCCTCGTTATCTGGTATAGCATAAAAAAGCAAGCACAAACCAAAGCACATGCACTTACCCTCTTAATTAAATTTAAATAAAACTAAAGGAATGATTTCTAGCTTGATATCTTCGAATTGCGTTCGTGCAAGTACTTAGCTAACAAATTAAGGATTCGGGGTTCTTGCAAACAACAATCGAAATTTCAAGAGCACTCCCCAAAGCTGTATATTCACTTAGATGTTATAGATGCTGCACGTGGTTGGTTAAAATTTTCGTGGCTTGCGTGTTATAGTTATTGATGTATTTATTAACAATCTTTTCGTTTTTGTTTCTGTTAGATTTACCATATCAAAAAATAAACATATTACATTACGGAGTCGATGAAAAACCTCAATTTTGTGTGATTGTCAAGCACTTTTCAAGCACTTTTCAAGCACTTGACTTTTCAAAGACTTTTCAAGTGCCCAATTGAGTGTTTAATCAAAGGACTTTTCAAAGGTCTTTAAGAACCTGAACGAGACCTGTTGAATTATGGAGTACCAGGGAACATTTAAGTTATGCACGCATCACACAATTAGGGTTTAATTGCTCTTCGTTTGTTTACACTTTGAAGCATTAGATTCAGTAAGTCAGAATTTGCAGACAATGACCAAATATTTAAAATACACTAACATTTCAAGTATCACTAATTAAGGTGTTTCTCAACACAAAGTGCATCTAAAAACAAAGAGGTCTAAACGTTTATGCCAAACATGTGTAGACTTTCCATTGTTTTAACGCTGTTTGCCCCCCTTCCCCTCAATGCAATTTTCCTTTGCTAGGCATTTGTTCGTAAGTAATTCGTAAATAATTCCTTGAATAGAAAACAGTTTTGGTTACGAAAAAAGCTCATTCACTAATTACAGTCATATAAAACAAGTTATCCGAGGACAAAAATACGTACTTCAGGCTAGAATTGCGGTAGTTGATTTTCGACAGGATGGTCTAAACCGTATTATATTTCAAGAAAAATGAGGCTATGTTTTGGCATTAGGAAGTACCATAAGTGAAAAGGAAATACATACCTTATGGTGGATCCGGGATATCCATATCCGGTAACAAAATAGTTCAACAAAGATACTGGGCTCGGTAAAGCTATAATCAATGCAGTTCCGGTCAGAAGCACTTTGATGATATACCTAAAAGATAGACATTTTTTATGTTTAGTATAGGTAACAGCATGGTTTCGAGTGCAATTTGGGAAAAAGATGCACGAGTGAGTTTTTAACGAGTGACTCTGAAGATGACTACCGCTATGGTTGTCGAAACGTCAGTCAACCACAACAACAACAGTCCTTCTCAGGACTCTACTAACCCGGACGATCTACATCTACAAACACGTAAGAATATCCATTCATGATCATAATTTGTTATTTTATCAAATCGTAGCTAATTATGAAATACTTGATATATAATCAGTATAATCGATAGGCTTTTTTGTTCGTAAGTACAATAGACGCACCTTGTACAAGTGTTCACGCGATCGTTCGAATCATTCATATAAATACCGTGGACTCGAATGAAAATGCGATGCGCCAGACGTAAAGGACCATTAACAAACAAGTAGATCTTCCTGTGGAAATAAAATTTACTGTTGCAGCATTTTCAATCCCCAAGATTTCATATATATACTTCGAGATTCACGTCTATTTCGATCACTAATAACTTTTATAAGAGCTGAATGTTGTCAAAATGTTTTACCTTGCCCAAAAGATTGGAGGAGCCAGAATCGATTCGCCGAGCCAAAAAAGGATTTCGCTCAGGAATGAAGGAAAATATCGCTCAATTATTGTTTTGGTGAGTCGCACAAGTACCCTATCAATTGAAAAGAGACTGAATAAGAAAATTCAGGACACGCAAGTAATTAAATTACAGTAAGAATCATGCAGCATGAAGATAAAGAAAATGTTTACCAAGAACTGATGGTCATAATACCTCGCGACATTTTTCGCCGTGATATAACGACGGAAAATCCAATTTACAACAGGTGTCAAAAGAGTCAGCAATGGCGAGATGACGTATCGGTTCACCCAACCCCAAACCTTACCAAAGAATCTATAGAAATATTGTTAACAGAATTTGGAGAAGGCAGACGATCAATTTCATTGATGGATAATTGCAACGATGAAAATTTTGTTTTCACATGCATGACATGAAAATTCATCAGATCATAGAATGTCAAGAAGAAAGTTGATGGCAAAAAATTTCCGGCAAAGTAGCTGATTTCAACCTATATTAATAATCTCAAGTTATCTATCCGATAGCATAGGAAAAAAATAAAAACCATTACACGGGTGTTTCTGTAATTCTGTGCCTTAAATTGTTTCTAAAGTTTCAGCAAGTTTTAAACGTTTTGAAAAAATAAAAAATTACATACACAAGAAAACCAGCAGTGATTGCGTATAGTACATCCAAAAGGTGAAGCACTGGTCCAAGTGGAGGCAACGGGACGATGAGAATGAGTGAGAACTAAGGAAAAAACACAGTATGTTCTTTGCAAAAACGTTTTGCTTTACAAACACCATTGCTTAGCAGCGTCTCAACTAAAATACTTCTTTGGGGATGCAAAACAATAACATTTCATTATTTTAAAAATGTTAAAATATATCAAAAACAAAGCCTGCTTTCCACCAGTACTTTGAGAATAAAACTCAGTGCAATACAGATAAGTTACACCAAGATAAGAGGGAATTTATTGAATAAATTTCCTCTACTGAGATAGGTTTCTGAAAAACTAAGAGCGTAGACAGTGATATTAACCAATAACATCTCGACTTGAATTGTTAAACTATTATTCTTTCTCAATTTTATAGATGATAGATATATGATGCATGTAGACACTCATGTGAAACACGTACATTTTTATTTCCCATTAATAAGTTCCTTGCCCAAAGCTAGCTCATTTAAAACAAATTTGAAACGGTACTGAAGAAAATTGATTAAGCTATGTTGCCAATACAAAGGGATGAATTTATTCATTCCATGAAATTTACGCTTTCGAAATGGTTCGGAAGCTTTTGACATTTTTAATCCACGTTTAAGAAAAAATAGACGACTTAACATCAGAAATTTGAACAAGAGAAAATGAAAATTCTTGATTTAGGCAAGGATGAATAAATTCACGAGTGATAAATGAGTAGAAAGCTTTCTAAATAGGAAGAAAAAGATGTATGACGGTTTTTTAATGACTGCACGGAATTTTGAGACTTTTTTTGCCTCTTGGAATGTGGTGGCCAACAGTAAACGACACGCAGTGATAACCCAATCGTACAGAGAAATCTTTTAGTTTGCTTCTAACGGCTGAATGGAATAGTATTAAGTATATTCTCTGATGATGGCTTTGGAATAAAGCTCTAACGGTAAAGTCAGGGTGTTTCAAAACAGGGACCGCAGCAGATCGATAATCGGGGGGGGGGGTATATAATCCCATATGCATGTTATAATCCGTAGAAAACAAAGATTCCAAAGGAGCTTAATCATTGAGTTATATTAAGACTGGAGGGAGCATGTCATCCAAATTCTTATAAATTATTAGCGCGCGGTCCGTGGTCCGGATTTTGGTTGTCAAAGTCAGCGGAAAGACGTGGCTCATAAAATTAAAATTTTTTTCGCTCACCGGATTTGACAACCACGATTGCGATTATATAAAATCTCAAAGTGGAAGTTTTGACAACCAAAATCCGCCATTACCGCCATGTTTTTGACAACATAGTGTTCAGTTCATTGAAGAGTCCCCTTTATACCTCCAATTATTTATATAACTCACTGAGCTTAATACGGTAAATCATTCATTTATGAATATTAGCCACCCTCCCATTGATAGATCTTTCCCAGTCAATGAAAAAAATGCCCACTTTTAATGATTTAGCAGTAATTGATGCCCAAAGATCCGTAAAAGCAATTGAATGTAATAATACATACGAATATTGCATAAACTGTATTGAATGCACATTGCAAATCCCGGGATGAAATCAAACACACAGTGAACAAAATGGCATAAAATCATTTAATATGGTACACTTGTACTTTATTGGCTTCTTTTTTTGCAAACGCACAGAAAGAAAAGGAAATCCGAGTTTTCGCAAACTAGTATCAATACTAGTTTTGCTGATCAGAGTTGAAGAGTGTTAGCCGGATATGTCAAATCATACCAATATATGGCTAACTGGGATCAATTACTGCTGAATCATGCAAAATTTGACTGTCGGCTGATTTCAAAAATGAGCAATTTTTTCAGACACCATCTAGACTTAACAAGGGAGGACCAACAACGGAATGGATTAAACTGTCTTAGAAACTTGACCTCTTTAAATGCTACCTAGTTACCAGTATCAATGAAAAATTACTAAGAAAACGTCTCCTCGATGCGTGCATGTTTAATGTTTGGAAATTCAAAACGATTTATCAAGTTACCCTCATGCATTTGATTCACAAAAGGAAATCCTTTCAGTAACGCTAGCTGGCTATATGAAAACATGCCTTTACACGATAAAGTCATAGATATGTCGCTAAAAGAAACTGTATGGTTCAAAATTATATTTCCAACACCATCGTCTTCAATTGAACAATTAAAATAACTCAGAGTAAAATATACCACTACCCCTTCATCCCTTCTTATTAATGAGCTTGCAGTATTATTGCACATTATTGCATAGTGCATACAAAGGTACTGTACTAATTGGGCGAGAGCGATCGAATTAGAACCAATTAGAATAATCAATTCTAATTTTCTTGAGCGCAAAAATAAAACATGCACGATCTAGATACATAGTAGGTCGAATGCAAAAAGCAAAAAAAAAACTTCTATACTTCAGTAATAGCAAAGAAAAATGCCTGATTGACACGCATATAGCCACATAAAGCCGAGAGAAGAGCAAGCGTGCCTCCAAGCAAAAAGAAAAATACGTAAGTGATATGAATACCCAGACATTTAGCCCACAGGATACGGATAGTAAATTGACTCCAACATTCATGCAAATCATCTTTGACAACTTTTAAGATTAGAAGGCGCTGCCTCTAAATATAATGCGATTAATGGCGAAATGACAGTCCGCAAATAAAGTGAACAGACTGGGTCAAAGTCTAACTTTAAACAAAGCACGTGGATCAGCATTGTTTCAAGGCGAAAGTACGACAGCTGCAAAATAAAGCGACAGACAAACCTCATAATTTGCAAGTTGCAACTTCCACTGAGAGGCATATGTAGCACAAGTTGAACGCCATTTTTATGTCCTCAATCAGACAATAGGTAAAATCAAACATTTAGTTTGGCCTTGCCTCATATGAAATACTGGTATGTATTTACGTCGCAATTCATGACATTTTTTATTCATTCTCGTTTCTGACGTAAATCAAACGAGTACGCTTTCAAGAGCAGCTGTGAGCAAACACATATTAGTTTCTAGCATAAATTCGAAATACGGACGTAAAATAAGTTTCACCACAAGGATATGACTTATTTCTGGCTGTGGAACTGTACCTACAAGCATAAGCGAGCTATGCCAGACTCAATAAAAACGACAGAGACTTAAAAGGCATGCCCGTTGTATTCTTGACTTGAAATTCAGCCATGTTGGTGGTCTGATACAAAAAATATTTTATCAGAGTTATTGCCAGCCGGTGTGAGCGAGCAACATTGTTGACAAGTCTCAAGAGAATGGTTGCAAGTCAAGAATTGACAAGCACACGAAGGAATGCATATTAAAAACTTACCAATAAGAAAGTCGAACTTATGTTCGGATGCCATCAAATAACCACGTAATAATAATAAGAAAGTTAAATATAAACACACGAATGACTGCAGCAACAATCACGACGCGTGTGTCCGTTATATTTGTCATTCTCGCTCATTGCTGTGTGATCTAAGTGAAGTGAAGCGCACAAGCAGCAAAGGTAAACACATATTCTATTGCGCAACTTCCTGTAAATAAAAACATGCGATAGATTACAGGAAGAGAATCTTTGCCCCCTTTAAATACGTCACAAGATTGTTTTACTGCTCCGTAAAAAATGGGAAGAATAAATAAGAAAGAAAGATGTGAAATGTTTTAATTTTCTACACAGGCTATAAGACACCGCGTGCTCCTAAATTTATCGACCAGAATTAAATAGGGCGAGCGTGCAATAGTACAAATAATTAATAAATCACATGACAAGACATGGGCATATCACGAGTGGTGACAGATCACATATAAATGTCCATAAAGCCTGGATGACTTAAGTCCCTTTTTCTCCAAAAAATGCATGGGACGCGATTTTTTTGTCTTCTATAGAAGAAATTGCAAATTGTAACGAGCTTTATCTTCAACACGTCAATATGTAAATATTGAAACCTGTAATATGGACATTGGAGAGTTTAGTGTCAATAATTTGTCCCTTTACAAATCGTAAGATCACGTTTACGTTCGTTACTGCGCAACAAAGCTGCTCGTGTTTCATTTAAATCAATTGATTGTCATGGAGATTGCCAGTGACCACATTATTCATACAAAGCAAATTTATTTAATAATGGGGAGAATGAATGCGAGCACAGGGGATGTGTTGATTAGGATATGAATGAACATAAATTCGCTAATTTACAATCGCGAATGGTTCAACAGTGCAAGAAATAAGCATGCAAAAATCTAAATGCTGAAAAGAAAGTCCATTGCAGTTTTTGGCTAGGCACTTTAAGATCATATAATTTTCAATGACACATAGTACAATCACCGTATTCCCCTCTAATTAGCCCAAAGTCTTATTAGTCCCCTTCCGCCTTCTAATAATCCACCACTTGAAAGGCATCGTAAAATAAGTCCCCCCCCCAGTGAGCTAAAAGAGCAAATGCCATAAGCACGATGACGTATTGCAGTTTCACAGTGAGATATTAGCGAGTTTACGAATTGTAAAATCCTAGAACGCCGCGTTTAACCCATTAACTGCGCAGGCGCGCACCAAGTTTAGGCCACTTAGCGTGATGGCGACGCCGTGAAAAGCTGTTGTGAGAAGGCGTCTTGAAAATCCAAAATGGCGGAATAATTAACAAAGACGAAGAGGTAAATTTTTCGTATTTTTTAAAGGTTGTGAGAGAAGAAATATTTTAAACATGAGGTGTTAGTTAAGAATTTCTTTTGACAGCAAAAGAAAAGTAATTAATAGAGAATTTTATTCAAATTCGCTGTATTTCCAATATGGCAGCTCAGGACCTTTGGTGTCGACGTCTTGGAATGTCTGTCATTTGGAAACCAAATTTTTCGTGTACGCGGATGCTGCGAGACAAAGGCGTCGCCATCGCAAAAACAGCCAGACGTAAACTCGCTATTTAAGAGTAAGTGCGGGAGGGTTTTGCAACCGGCAAAATTGTAGGAAGATAACAATAAGAGAAAGGAGTAATAAAAATAAGTCATTCGAAAAAATGAGGTTAGAAATGCAAGTGATTTCGCTATTCGCTGAGGCATTGACCAGAAAAAACCTGTTAAAAGCAACTAAACCCCTTGCCTACGAAACCACGCCCATAAAAAGCACACCCAATTCGTGGATGAAAATTGGACTTGCGTCACCCCCCAACCGCAACCCTAACTTGCATTACACTCCCCAAATCATAACCCTAATCCTCCACCCGACCAAGAATTATAGGCTTGCTACGAGTACTTTTGGCTGATTTGGCGAAAATTCTTTCAAATTGTGTAATCCCAGTCTTGACAATAATATCACGATATAATTCTTTATAATATAATATGAAATAGAAGACATTTCAAGTGTTTTTGTAGATGTTTATGTAAGCCGCCAGACATTCCCACTGTTCAACGTGTTATCTACTTTAACACAATCTGACTATTAATGCCCCTGATCTTCCAGTACAATATACTAAATTTTATGTATTTGAATGGAGCATAAGTCCGAAATTTATGCTTAGTACAAACAGAAGCCCATAATTTACTTAATAAATTTTCCCACATGTATGAAATTGCTCAGATGCATTTTGATATTTATGCTAATAAGCCAAAAAAGACTAAAATTTCGGCATTGATGAGTTCCTTATTTCCCAGAGCTTGCGCTCATATGATTCAGAGCAGATACCTCCAAAATAGGCAGGAGAAGTTTGAATGCGTCCTGTACAAGCGACGAACTATTTGAACACTCAAGATAAACCTCGGTGATCAACGGTGTAATATTGTCACCTTCCTCCATTGTTACATCGGCAGCCGAATTCAGTGTTTGCGCATAACTCGATGATAAACTCGACATGCGATCAATTACTACTTCTGTGATACGGTGCAAGGTCTTCGCACGCTCTTCGGCTGATACAACCTCCTCCTCTCTCTTCTCATCCGCCATAAGGATCATTTCAGCAATTTTTCTGTACATTTCAATCGATTTTGCTGTAACATCCGCAAAGCTTCTTACGAAATGCGAGAAGATTTCATTTGAGGTACGACTCGCCTCAGACTCCTTCTGATCTTTGGCGCATTCCTCGATCCACTTCGTGACCGATTCTTCGGTTTTGTTCAATTTGTTTGGTACATACGATAGTTTCAGACACATTGAGCATTTACCAATCTGAACAGCAAAATCGTCTTTTACAGAGTCATCGTTATCTTGATTGTCTTGGTCATGCGCATTGCACGCTTTATTGAACACTTCTTCAATGGCCCGAAGCTTATCTTTTGCAATCCCTAACTCGTCTTCAAATACATCCATCAAAGCGGATTCAACCTAAAGAAATCAAAAAATTTCATCGGAATGTAAAATAATTTGATGTTTTCGATTGTAACAGACAATGTCATTTGTGGGTTTGTACGAATTTAACGAATCAACTGAAAAATAGCTTTTTGCACAGAACAGAAGCAAAACCGTAGTCCATTTGTCTCTTTGTCGAATGAAGTCAGTTTTGTCTGTTTTGATCCAAGTTCACAAATTTGCACAGAACAGAAGCAAAACCATAGTCCGTTTGTCGTTTTGTCAAATGAAGTCAGTTTTGTCTGTTTTGATCTAAGTTCACAATTGTCATCTCAGAAATTTTTCGACCTGGCTTTATGTTTATAAGCGAATACGACAGAAATTATAACATATTTACTGCAAAAGACTCAAAGATATCGTATCGCAAAATAGTACAAATTTTGTATGAAGACAAGCAATTTGCAAATTCGGTTCCTGACACTGTTCCGGTCCGCTTGACACGACGAACTTTTTTCCAAAGGTTTTTTCTGTTGCTTGTTTCGCATCTTCATTTCTCAAAAATTACATAACTACATCATAAATTGATCCAGAACTTACCATTTTTACGCAGTGTAAACCCCATTCCCCCCCTTACTGTAAAACACCACAATATAGCCACTTTAATAACCAAAGAGACTCTAAGTACTAGGCATTGTAGTGTGGTTATATGACTTACACTTGAGTCCCTTTTTAAATTTTCCCAGTAATAAAGAAAGCGGACAAACAACCGCATGCCTATTGTACCACAGGAAAACGGACCAGCACTTCATATTTTACTCTTATTTCACCAAAGGAAAGAAAGAAAGCGGACGACTACGTACATGCATGTGTTGAAAATGACGACGTGAGTTGAAATCATTTTAATTTGTTCATACGTACTTTGGCCTCACATTCCCGTGAAAGGATTTCAAGTGCCTCGAGATGAGCAAGACCTTGAAAGCGATCAAACTCGTCACTGAAATTCACTTTTTTCAAAATATCTTTGGTTCTTTTCTCTGCAGCTTGCTTTGCATCTTCCTCTTTCGCTTCACGCAAAACCTTAAATTTCACGACAGCACGATTTACATGTATACATGCACCTTACACTTGTACATCATGGGGGTGGGTGGCTAGTTCCTTGGTATTGGCTCGAAAGTTTTGCGTTGGGCCTGGGGAAAAAACAAAACAGACACAAAAAGCGGCTAATTCCTAATTTGACACCCAATGCAAAACTCCATAAAATTTTAATTATTTCTCAACAGAACCAAGGCGTAAATAGCAATATTTTTTTCTCAATACTCAACATGAATTTTAAAAGCTAACTCCTTATTCACTTTTAAATAACTATGCCTACCTAATCTATACTTTCGCTTTTATTACATAACACTATATATATACTATCCTGTATCTAAGTAAATATTCTTATTCACTTCGCACTGAAGATGTCGTAAGGCATGCCAAACATGTTTGCTTTCAAAAAAGTCGTCGTTCATTTGATACGTTTACTGACTTTTATGCAACTGCAAAATTATGGAAATGATACTGAAAAAGTTGGACCGCTAACCACGACCCTAAAACATATACGTAGTATCAACCAAATATAAAAATCAAACATAGAAAAAGCCGAGGCAAGATGCTAAAATTGTAACGATTCATATGCAGCACGGAAGAAAACCATATTTGCTACATTTAGTTCATAAGCGTGAGACAAAACCATACAAAACCGATCACTTCTAAACTCGATTCAATGTAGCTATGGCCGAAAATGACACAAAATTTCAGCCAACCTGAGATAATGATGGCTTTCTAAACACATCCCTTTTTGCTCGAAATCCAGGATCACCTTCTGATATGACATCCATCGTTTTCTTGCCAATTGTTTCCAATGCACCAATGCCCTCGTTAACCAACTCGATTCCTTTGCTGGTGAAGGCATTCGACAAGGAAGTTAGGCCCCATGATGAAAAGAATGAGTCGGTATCTGCTATGTTCAAGGAAATAAATGATGAGAGATGCTTAGGTTATCATCATATACCATTTTTAGGATTCTGTGATGTCTATTCTACTATGGGAGGAGGGAGGGGGTTTGAGAGTTGTAGAGGACAGTAGGGGATGTAGGGTAAGTCAGTGTACAATAGAAAATCGCTAAAAATTCAAATTTACACTCACAATCCATTTCAATTAGAAATTTCAAAAGATGATTTAAGGACAAAATATTGCCGATAAAATTAGTTGTGAAGTATTTTAGTCGTAGGTAAATTGTTCAATATGAAATCACGATACCACTTTAAAACATCGAAATACATTCACGGTCGATGTCTTTATTCACGAGTGAAGTTTCGCCATCGAACGAGTTCGTTTACAACAATTTAACTTTTCGATTACAATAGATAAAAGATATAATAATTATTGCCAATTAATGAACTGTATACATATGTATGCATACGTAGGTACATAAGGACATTGGTTACAAAATAGGAAAATGATCGACGTTACGATTTTACGAAGTGCTTAGCCCATGTATCGGCAAAATTCAACGTAGGACAAGTCGACTGAACGAACAGATAGCATGCAGTTATCATCAGAAGACGTCATCAATATCGTGTGATCTTTTATGACTTCCTGGGATAGATCTGCATAAACTTAAAAAAAAGTTTCTCAAATAATTTGATAAAAGGCTTTTCCTTAACACTAGTCATTTGACGTTGTGTCATCAACTGACTAAAATAAAGTTTAAACTCTCCTAATCCTTCAGTCGTTACGTCGAAATTTTTCGAGTTGCTGTCGAATAGCATTTGATGTTTACTTGCAAAATAGCCACATGGTTTCCAGACGAATTCAGCAATTATTAGCCATCGGATATGGCGCAATTTACATTTGTTAAGTTGCTTAAGCACCATATTGCAAAACAGATAAATAGCTTACCAGAATTCGAGTGAACTTCCTCAACTGGGACTTCGTGATTCGGTTCTGCCGTTACAACATCTTCTTTGCTTTTTGGAATGTGCCTTATCTTGCAGCTCCCCTGGTTCAGGTATACCGAGAGTTGACTCCACTTTTTCAATAACTTGAGACAAACCAGACGTCATGGTGTTTGTTGCTTGATTCAGCACAGCTCCCCAAGACCCCCAGCCCCATCCAGAAGTTACGGTAGAAACTTTAGTTGGGTCAGAAGTGTCAGTTCGTGGTTGTTCCCTACAAAAAAAGCGTAAGACAAAGATGCCATCAAGATGAATCAGATTCTGAAAGGCGAAATTAAGAAGATTTTCCGAAATTTGAAATGTAAAGTGACAAATAAAGCCCGCCAATTTTAGTTTGTTGAATATTTATGTTAAATGTATGTTATGTATGTCAAAATTCTAGCATGTTTCTATTTATACTTTTACGCACAATCCGACTTTTAAAATCGAGCTACAGGAGAAGTGATAAGGTGGCAGAAGCTACACGAGTGAAATTCCTGATTACGATCCTTTACGATCCTGCGAGATCCTACTAGTATCCTGTCTTTTTACGATCTTTTGAGAGCCTGAATGAGATAAATATTAAGACCTACGTAACACGATGTGAACTGTGATGCGTACAGTCAAGGCTCTTCATTTTTTCTGAGATTTAACTCATGCTTAAACTCATCTTGTATTAAAACAATTAGGTTCCCATTTGGTGAAAATAAAATTTCAGCACCTCATACTGCAGGATGGTTTGGCAGTGGAAGTTTAAAATATGTTGCATTCAAAGTTTACTTTAATTTCACTTGCTCAACATCTAATGACCTGATTAGCTAATGACCTCATTGTGTAATCATCAGTTTATAGTGGGACTAAAATATGGCTACAAATGGAATTAGCCAAATAATATTCTGGTGGGATCTCATAAAGCTGAAATAATGATTTGTTGAAATAATGAGCATTTACAAAATAAAAATGCTCTAAGCTAGACATTGTATCATAAAGCATTTCTTATCAATACATTAACATTACATTCTTATGATTTTTAAATTTCATTTGTCAACTTTCAGTTTTCACCATGTGCACACCTTTCCACCACCAAGTGCACAACCCTAAAAATTGTCAAGCACCCCTTTATAAAAAATTTTAAAATTGTATTACGTACTGTAGACAATTAATATAATAGTATTAGAGGCTATTCCCATTTCAATTAGGTCATTTCGCATTTATACCAACACTTTTCGCAATTAAGTATTACTTTGCACATTTTAATTAAAATATTCAAATTGAAATAAATTATGGCAAATGTATGTTTAAATGCACTTAAAGTTAATTTTTAAAACTTATTTTAAGAAAAACCAAGTACAATCCTTCAAAATTCCATATTGAATTTCTTGAAAATGCAACTATCATAATCTTCAGGAATGAGTGCATTTTTAATCTTTTTAAAAATAGCAATATGCCATAGCTGAAGTTTGGTGTGTCATAATGAATAATGTTGCTGGGTTTCAATTGTTAATTTTAAGTCTTTTAATTATTTTCAGTCACCAATTAGTAGTTTTCATGGTAAAAATTTAAGGAATTTAGGCAAAACAAATTTTGTGTTAATATTACAAATAATAATTGTCACTTGACAGATGTGTAATGTCTGATATGGCACCTATGTGTTGTCTGCTATCGTGAAAACTGTCATTTATAGGTTTTTAATGTGAATGTTGCTCCAAACTAACAATCTTGAATATTCCAAATGTCTATAATTAAATAATTTGCGATGTAAAGTTGTTTGGATGAAACAATAGTTATGTGTAAACATCTCAATTTTACTGCATGTCTAATCTGGTTTAATGTCTGTTACATTCATAAATATATGTTAATTGACATGTTATTATAATTAAAAACTGAGTAAACTCCTGTATACCACACTTACATGGTTGCATTTAGGCACAAGGCTTAGTGAGTCATTCTTGTCAAATATCCAGTCATTTTAAAAAAATCGCTCAGTTATTGAACTGTTTATATTGGTGGTTGGCAAACATTGTAAAATCGTTTACATGGAATTTCCATTCCATGCTATGCACATTCATTAACAAGAAACATATAAAATTTTTTTTAAAAGATAATAACATTTTCATTACACAAGTTTCCCCCATCCTTAAGCCTTAGTTAAAATCCACAATAGCCCAATGCACTAGCTACTTCAGTTGAAATAAAGATGCACCCCAATTGGAAAATTTGCACTCCTCCTGTCACACAGTTGAAAGAAACAGTTCTTACTTTTCACTTTCTTTGAATTCACTGTTGGCAGCATTATTTGAGCTCAGTTTTTCTTTCTTCTCCACACCAATAATAGTTTGTTGATTGGCTGAGAGGTCAGCTGGTGGTGGTAAAGGTTCTGAGCTGCTAAGTTCACTCTGATTACCTTCACCTTTCACTATTTTCTCATCACTCCCGGTCTTCTCATCCAAAATTTGCTGGTCAACATTCGGTTTTTCAACCTCAAGTTGACCTGGTGTGGGGTCTTTGCAATTTTTTTTAATATTTTCGACGTCATGAGTCTCACTTAAGTTACTTTGTCCTTTGGCATTAGCGTGGCTTTCTCCCTCGTCGGCGCTCTCGAAATCTTCCTCCTCGTCACTGTTTGCTTTTTGCACGTTTTCCATTAAACAATATTAGGGTATACACAGGCACGAATTAACAAGAAAATTTGTGCAGAATTAAAATTCGATTTAGTCTTTTATCAACATTTTGTATTCCTAATGTGTAGGTGAATTTTGTATTCCTAATGTGTAGGTAGACACGTCACAAATCTTATTCCTGAGCCTGCAAGCTTTGGTAACTATAAAACGCGGTTTACATTCCGAAACAATTTCAATGAACATGTTACTTTTGCTATGAGCTCAACAGTATGTGTGTTTTACAGAGTTCATGCCGTATATTCATAGATGAAGTTCAAAAGCAGTGTTCCTACTGCTGACCGGTTTCAAACAGTTAAATCTTGTACAAGCTGACTCCCATCTTCTTTCGTAACCAGCACTTTTCACTAACGACGAATAGTTATAAAAGTGCTAGTGAAACCAAATTTTATCACACAAATTTATGGTTACATTGCAAAGACCATTTCAAATGACTCAATGACTTTCTTCAGTAGAATTATTTCATTTCACGTCTTTAATGAGATATTAAACTTTATTAATCATCCAAAAACATCACTGTCACATTAAGACATACGTAATTAGGAATTTTAAATGACAATTTTTGTCAACGATGTGTTGTGAAATATCTAACTTTGAGATCTATGCACCTATTCATCTACCCATTTAATTGTTAAAATGTCGTACATGCGAATTAAATGTTTTTACGATGCGAAAATTATTAATGTTCTTTGAAATGTTATGATGCAATGTGATGTCACGTACAGTGATGCTATTTGCGTAATAAACAAAGTTAAATTTCTTTAGAGAGAAGTAAAAAAATACAAATCTATTCATTAAGATACTATCACCTTAAAGAGAGCAATTGCCATGGTGAATAGACTGAAACCAAGTAAAAAACCACGAAGCCCAAGATAAAACCGAGAAGAAAAATTTATCTTGGGTTTCGTGTTTTCTTATTTGGTTTCAGTCTATTCACCATGGCAATTGCTCTCTTTTAGGCGATATTCAAATTTGTCACCACGACAAAATCTCTGTTTTGCTATTAAGAAATTAAGTCATTTCAAATGTTCTGTGCAATACAATCAGAAAACTGCATGGTAAAATTTCCTTTCGTAAATACTTTAATTATCACCGAACAATGTCATGCTATCCTAAAAAATCCACATTAACATCAAAAAGACTACATATATAATTATTCTTTTCTAACACACGATTTATGCATACAAGCAGTTCAGGGATTAAACTATATGTGGTTTAGGGCAGGGAAAATATAGCAAATATTTTAAAGTCGTGTCTTACCTAACATGAATATGTCCTTAGCATTGCTGTTGGTTTGAAAATGGACCATATTACGTGTTAAAATGTTGACATTGTTTGATTTTATACTTGAATACTATATGGACGATCAAATCAAGTCATATGTAATTATTTTGTATTGCTAATTATTTTTAACATTCTTTGCGTCATAATCAAATCATTCACAAAAGGATTTGTAAATAAAACATGTCATACAGTAAAATTTGAGTGGCTATGCTTCCTACGACCAACAACACCCCATCTATCATAACTCAGTTGCTATCCTAACATATACTTGGATGTACCTATACATGCAAACGGTAATTAAAATAAGTAGAAATTGATGAGCATCTCGCTGTTCATTCGTTTCGCATAAGGCCCCAGTAGCGCGGAATGTAGATCGCCTGACCTGCTCGTACGGTCTTCTTCACTTGGGCGTACACAAGAATACCACGAATAAAGACCAACCAACCTAAAAACATTCCATGTATGAATATAAATTATACATGCCTAAGCTGGTGATAAAATTCATGTTCAAAGGTTTAAGTTCTTATTGGTATAAAGGCCCATTCACACGATCCGATTTGTCCAACCCTAAAAAACAGATTGTGTGAACACATATAAGGTGAGCATCCGACAGTCGGATCCGTCAGTGTGAAATATCGCATGGAATAAACCTGCTCTATTCTCATTCAAAGGAAGCCGACTAGCCCCAGACTTCTCACTCTTCATACTTCTCAAATTTAATTAGGCGCGAAAAATTAGATTTGAAAAAGACTTGGAAACAAGAGCAAAACAAGCAAAATATATCGATAGATGTACTGGATAACAAAAATGGCAGCTTCCACACCATAAATATCCAAACGAATACAAATATCAACATTATTGGACCGTCTGAAAAAGCAACCAAAAGAAGGAACCGAATTGAAACAATCGGATCCAACATGCCGGATCGTGTGAACGGGCCATAAAGACCACGCTGTTAAATCTTTCAAATGAAAGTTTTCTCTTCATGTAAATTTTAAAATGGCACCGCTGTGCCAGCATGTACTATGTATCATTATTACATTAACTTGTACTTAAGACTTACACATAGCCTCAAATTAAACATACCTAGAAGAGCAAAAAGCCACCACAGCCAGGCATCCTCGAAAGACAGATCTTTGCAACATTTACTGTGCTGAAAATAAATTGCATGCATTTCAATACATGTGCCTTGCTCTACGCTGCAGATACAAAGTTGATCGCTGGCTCAAAACACATAGTACAAACTTAGCAGATCACGACTGAATCATCATTAAATGTTTGTCAGTAGTGCTGTACGTAGAACATATCTACACGAACTTATAACATTGATATTCAAGATTTGAAAATCGTCCTGCGCAACAGCATTCATAGCATGAATTATAAAATTCTTCACGCGCAAATCGAAATTCTTTACGAGAGCGCTGCATATAAAAACATATCTCGAATAAAAACTAAGAAACTTCGTGTCAATGTTCCAATGGTAGTAACCAATGAGATGACACCGTAACAGTTTAATACATTCGAATTCTTTTCTTTTTATATAGTATATATAAGGTGAACATGTCGCACAATAATCAACAGTGGTTTTAACATGTGCCTTACGTTTTCAATTTCCCTATAACGCCTGGAACCTCCGCGACAAGTTTCCAAATTAAATTAAGCACTTAAACTATTAATAATACAACAATATTAAAAAAACATAAATTCTAACAAAACGTTCCTATAGCTACCGCACTACACCGAAGCGATGGACAATAGGTGAGCACGAACCATGAATATTTGAGATAATACCTTCAAAATGAACACCCATTTTATCAAAGAAAGTCCAAATCCTGAGAGAGCACCATATCGACCGGCAATTGTGTCCGTCACACAATAGGCAAAAATGAAACCAATCCAATTGAAAATAAATGAAACTGCAATAAGAATCGAGATAACATATGAAATATATGCCACATCTTTTCAGTAGCTCAGTAAAATATGCAGGCATGCAGGCAAAAATGCTGGTAAACAGTGCTTTCGTATTGTGAAAATGTATTAAGTTAGGACAAAAGTCAAACAGAAATTGCTTTTAACAAACGCATCTTCCAATCTTCATAAAAAAGAGTCAATCTAAGAGGGTCATGCTAATATTTCATTTGCATATAAAATAGTATATAAAAGTACGATAAATTCATTTGCTTATTTAAATTCACTTAAAGCAAACAAAAATTTTCATCACCAAAGGAATTGGTTGGAATCAACATAGCTTCTTTTACACGAGTTATTTGCCAATTCACAAATAAAAGAAAAACGTACATCAAGACAAAAATTTTTTGACAAAAGCAAGTTGGAATGAGGTTCGAACAGACGTAAACGCTACTTAAACTATTAAACTGAAACGAAATATCAACTTTCAATAAACTGATATAAGATGATATGCGTAGCTAAGAAAATTTATGTAACAAATATGATTCATGTTAGCACCAGACAAATGGATGAATAATAATAAATAATTATTAGAAAAGATTGAGCGTTATATTCAGAAATATCACGGCAGAGGTTGACGTTGTCAGCCGAAGCGGTAGACAGATAACGCTACCGAGGCCCCGCTCATTCTAGATATCACGCAAAAACTGAATTCAATAGTTATTTTACCATTCAACTCAACGATCTGAAACATAAATAAAACATTTCGATGTAAAACACTTTTAAAACTTCAGCCAATGTGTTCTTTCAGCTGTCAGGTGGTTTATTTCATTTTTTACAAAAGTGAATCTATTATTTATAGATAGACATCATACTTACAGTACAGCTCGCGTATTTGTTAACATAATTTTGCGTATGATAGTATCGCATACGCGTATTTCGTATCATACGCGTAATCATACGCGTATTATCATACGCGTATCGTTTTATTTTATACGCATATCGTTCTCGTGTCATACCTGTATCATTTTCTTAATATTCTCGTATATGGTTTCAATATAGTTTGGTTTCATCTACGTACACAAATATAAGTATAAAGTTTTCGAAAACTTTGCATTTTCTGTTGCAACTGCCTATATTAATGATGATTTACCTTTAAAACAAAGTCTAGGCCGGTTTTAATATGCATGCAACTGTATAAGCTCACAAGCCACAGATTTTAAGCTCCAGTGATTGGTTGATTGCAGTGTAGTTTATGTATAAAATGCACTGTGAAAATGTGTTAGTGCATCGTTAAAGTGTGTAATTGCACTGTAAATATTATTATTTCACTTATATTTTCACTTATATTTCATTTATATATTTTTACTATTTCACTTATAATGAAGATGGCATCATGAGATGTCGATACATGTCTATTTTAAAAAAACTTGTCGTGTATATTAAATGCACATTAGCAATAATGCTTTTACGAAATTATGGAAACGCTGTATATACTTATCCTTCGGCTATTTCACTGCTAACTTTAAAAACTCTTTCGTGTATTTTAATCCGTAATCGCACTCGAAACTTTACTATTACCTTTAGTAAAACATGTTATCTCTAGCAGATATAACATAACATTAACAAAATTATTGCTAAAAATTTTAAAGAACTACTTAAAACTATGCACACTAATACGACATGATACGAAAAACATTCTCGTATGATACGCGTATCGCTCTCGTATCATAGCGTAACGTTCTCGTATCATAGCGTAACCTTCTCGTATCATACGCGTATGTTTTTCGTATCATACGCGTATGTTTTTCGTATCATAGCGTAACCTTCTCGTATCATACGCGTATGTTTTTCGTATCATAGCGTAACCTTCTCGTATCATACGCGTATGTTTTTCGTATCATACGCGTTTCATACGCGTACCGTATGTTAACAAATACGCGAGCGGTACTGTACGTACAACTACAAAATACCATGAATTATTTGTGAACAGGATTTCATGATAATTAGGAGCTCACCAATCAAAACAGAATGTCGTGAAAAATACGTGAAAAAACTTAATTCCGTTGTTTCACGTTAGTGTGGATCGCACGGCTATATATACAAAAAAAAACAATGCAAAAATTCTATACATACCAAAAAAACACAGAGCAAAAAGACTATCCGTTCCAAGTTTCACTCCTGAAAAAAAACACCACAAAGAACATTTTATCAATCCAAAGTAACGCCACACAAGCAATGTTTTTCTATTTGCACAAACAAATACGTAACTACTTACTGTAGTCCTCTTGATTATGCAAATCTCCTGTCTCAAGCTACACAAAGACGTGAATTACATATTAGCCAATAGTTAGCTTGGTTGCAGAGAAAGCGAGCAGGAATGTTTGTAGAAAGATACACTAACAGCAAGAGAAAGCTACAACTTAACTGTCAGCCAAGAACTAGTTAGTTTCGAAGAACAAATTAAAGAAAACGGGCAGGAATGTTTGTAAAAAGATACACTTATAGCAAGAGAAAGCTACAACTTAACTGTCAGCCAAGAACTAGTTAGTTTCGAAGAACAAATTAAAGAAAACGGGCAGGAATGTTTGTAAAAGATACACTTATAGCAAGAGAAAGCTACAACTTAACTGTCAGCCAAGAACTAGTTAGTTTTGATGAAGAAATTAATTGACAAGTCGGCTAGAGGGCAGTTTAACGGACAACAATATTTATTTTGTGGTGACCATAAAGATTGTGGGCACATTTAGCAGTAAATAGCAGGAAAATGCTTATCAGCAACAACACTTACGGCAAAACGCCGTTTCATTTCTTAACGAGTGAAAAAGCAAAAGCAACGTTATATAAGTTATCTTTATCGTTAGAATATGGGTTAGGGTTATGGTAAGGGTAATGGTTATGGTTATGAATAGGGTAATGGTTATGATTATGGTTGTGGTTATATATTTGTGGTTATGGTCAGTACCGTAGCCAACCCGACTTTTTACTCCTGCTATGCAAATAATTTTGTGTTTACTGACCGTGAGAACAATACATTCCTTAAGAATTGAATAATGGTAATAACCTTTTCAAGGTTATCGCAGCCATATTGCAGGGGGTGCAAAAACATTGGGCCGAGCGCGCGGTCACGCACGGCGTCCATATAAATTACTAATAAATGCGCAAAAATTACCCTTATACATATTGGCCATTTCTTTCAAAAATATTTCTCAAACTCGTCCATTTTAATAGTCAAATTATTATTTGCGATTTTTTATACACGTGAGTCCAATTTTGTGGTAATCAAAAAGCGGAAAGTTAAAGAAAACATTTATTTTCTTTGAACAACTTGACCGTCGTTTGAGCGATGTTCTTGAGTTTGCAAATGTGCGGAACTCATAAGCCAAGTCAAACGAACTAAACCCTAAACTAGCCGGAGTAGCCGTGAGCAGTCATAGCCGAAATGGTAAAAAATGCGCGTTGTGCAGTTGGATATTGCGATAATGATAAACGCTATCCTGATTATCAAGTTAAGAGGTCTCACGTAGAAAATTTAGTTTTTCATAAGTGGCCCAAAGATCAAGCACTTGCTGAAATTTGGCGAAAACAAATTGCAAACAGCAGAGCCGATGACTTTAACCCAAAGACTGGTGCACAAGGTACTTTAGTTTGCTCAAATTATTTTCCCTTGGGAAGAAGAACCCCAAATAACCGCGGAACGGATTATCCTTCGGTTTTTATTACGCTATCAGAGTACGAGCAATCGAGGACTCCGCTTAAACGTAAAGGAGGAGAAACATGGACGACATCAAAGCGTCCTCATCAATCCTATGACACCGAGGATTCTGATTCAAGTTTTGATGGAAATCCAGCAAAATCTGAGGCATCTTTACTCCCTGTCCCTTTGGAATTTAAACAGTTGACGAGAGAGTATGATGTAAGGTTTCACAAAGGCCTGCCATCGACTTACAGTTTTAAGTGTTTATTTGAATACTTGTTTGTTTCTTCTTCTGGCTGTTAAGTGGCCATACAAAATAATAAAAATAGCAATGTCACTTTACAAATAATTGGAAATACTAATAAGAGTTTGCCGTAGAATAGTTCCTCGTGATACTTGCTGACTTTGCTGTAGACATGTGCGTGTGTTACGAACTCAAAAACATCGCTCAAACGACGGTCAAGTTGTTCAAAGAAAACAAATGTTTTCTTTAACTTTCCGCTTTTTGATTAACACAAAATTGGACTCACGTGTATAAAAAGTCGCAAATAATAATTCAACTATTAAAACGGACGAGTTTGAGAAATATATTTGAAAGAAACGGCCAATATGTATAAGGGTAATTTTTGTGCATTTATAAGTAATTTATATGGACGCCATGCGTAATGTTTTGTGCAATATGGCTGCGATAACCTTGAAAAGGTCTATTATTAAAATTCACATAGCAGGAGTAAATCTGAAAGATGGCTACACTTTGGGTTATGGTTATGGTTATGGTTAGGGTAATGGCAATGGTTATTATAGTTTTTATGGTTATGGTTAGGGTAAAGATTATAGCTATTGTAGTTTTTCTGGTTATGGTTATGGTAAAGATTATGGCTATGGTTATGGTTATAATTATGGCTATGGTTATGGTTATAATTATGGCTATGGTTATGGTTATAATTATGGCTATGGTTATGGTTAAGGTTGAGATTATGGTCAGGGTTATGGTTATGGTTATGGTTGAACTCGTATGGCTTTTTTCATTGATGCAAGCCTGCAGGATGATTCTGCTGATCAGGTGACATTAGATGGGCCGCTAAACTGCACTTGACCCCAAATAATATTATACATACCCTTGAATTTGATGGCTTGCTCATTTCAGCTTCTTCATAGGATGGCAATTTGGAAGCCACTTCATAAGCGGGGGGCATTTCTGAATAGAAAATACAGGATTAATTGCAACATATTTTATCACTGCTAACAATATATTCATATTCAATATATTCAGTAAGTTAGAGGTTGGTAGTGTAGATCATCCGTGTTAGTAGAGTCATGAGAAGATCTGTTGGTGTTGATGTTGACTGACTTTCAACAACCTGACCAAGTTAGGAGTGTAAGTTTAATAAGTATTAACATCACATTAATACTTTTTAGTAAAATAATAATTTTGGGCTGAGATCATGCTGTATTCAAATTTCTCAAGTTTTATTCACGCTTTTGTTATGTAGGTATGTAATATGCAGAATTAACACTTAATTACTACACACAAAAATGCAAAATACATTAAACAAGTTGTTGTCCCATTATACATTTTAACTGCTGTCCTATTTTACAAGTTTCTTTCAGGCTAGTATTAAAAAATTACTGATTTTCAGATAAATTAATTCTACCTGTGCTTTTGAAAAATGTGTTTGATTTTATTATACATGATGTTGCAGGATTATTAAACCAACTACGAACCATCTTTGGCTAATTTACAAACTAAACAGATTTTTTTATGTCGTAGAAATATGTTCTTTAATTGTTCTCATTTCGTGTTGCAAGTTTATATTCATGAATGGTTTTTGTCTCAGCAAGTCCTAACAGGAGACTCTCATTAAATAAACATGAACATGTTTATAATTATTACAATTTAGGTCAAAGCAAAACACCCAGGCTAAAGAATTTTGTAATGTTTTGCAAATGAAAAAATGCATTGAACTTATTTTACATGGCCTCCAACTGAATTTTGTGATGTTAATATTGATTTCTAGGACAACAAACACCAGAGAAAAGAATGTACTTTTGGGTTTGAGCATGAAAAGATGTCATCATATTGAGAAGATTTTACTGTGATTGTAAAAAGCAAATATTTTCCACGAAGCCTGAACAAGATGACAAAAGAAAAATTTTGCTATTTATATTGAACATTTTTATTGAAAAAACTTTTTAAAAAGATCGTAATATATCTTAAGCAATCCAAAGTTTTGCAATGCTTGTTTTACAAAACAAAATATGTTGTCTTGCATAATGAGAGCTCAAACGTTCACTGTAAAAAAACAGATTTCTTTTACAGGGAACTTTTGACACTTTCTGCCCTCCCCCCCAAAAAAAAAACTTCTGACAAACTTCTAAGGAAAAAACTTGAAAGTATGTTATAGCAATCACACAAGCAAATTTACATAGTGGAATAGAATATTTTATTGAATTTTGGATCACCTTTACTAACATTGAGTTCTTTATAGTTTCTACAATTTCAATCACACAATATTCATATAAATTATGTTGAAATAAAAAATTGATTTCATTAGCACTTTAATTCAGGAAAAAACATGTTGCATAACCTGTTTCTTTACTGTCAAAAATCTTGTAATTACGTGAAAAATCTCTCAAAATGTTTGTAAAAAAGGTTAATGAAAGACATTTCCAAAATGCTTTCCTGGATTCATAAGGTGAGGCACAAATGACAAAATCACTGAAGAATCTTAAAACACAAATTATACTCAACCTGGTATTATGTCATCTTCATTTTCAGTTGAAGTATAAGATGGTGGAGGTGATGATACAACTGTAACCTCTGGAGTTGAACTCCCATTCAACATTGGTTCTCTTTCAGATTCTGTTGCATTGTCCGATTCAGCCAACTACATATAACATTCAAAAAATTGTGTTATCCCCAAAGTTTATGAACCCTCTTTCCCACATACATACAACATAATCCCTTCCACCCTTGCAATGAAAAGGTGCCCAATTTGGGAGAAGGTTTTTGATGACCTATGCTACCAAAAGAGGCATACTTTTCTGAATACAACACAGTCACTTTAATCAATGCTTTGCCAATACAGAACAAGACAAGCGCAGCCACTTAGTTCAGTAAATAAAAGCACAACAGACATAGTGCTTGTAACCTGTATTTGGAAAGTGAGCTTGATAAAAACAGAGCAACTTAGCACTTTCATGGTTCATATTTTAAAAACTATCTTTCTCATTTAAAAAACGTTGAAAACGTAGAAGCTTACACAATAAAATACTTAATCACGTAAGCTAACGATAAACTTAACACATACAAAAACACTGTCGATTAACGACAAAATAGGGAGATCACGTACGTTCCTTCAGGTACAAATATTTGTTCTTATATACAAATTTGTATCTTTCATCGTCATACAATTCATAATTTCAAAATAAAAATAGCAGAAATATACCCTCCACATAATTAAATGAAGACACAAGTTATGATATTAGGTTGTACATTGGAACGAAAAGATAAAATTTTGCCGGACAGACATCAACACTAAAAGTACATATTAGTAAGCTATGACGTACCCGACCATATCGCCCATTTTCAGACATTTTTAGTTTCCCCTAATGAGTATAAACCAGAGATTATGAGTAGTTGTAAATTTTCAATAATAGTGAAGGAACAGAACACACAAATAACACAAATATCAAGCCACCCGACCGGTTTCTATCAGAGTTAATACGGCAGATTAAACGAATAAATTTACGTCTTTTTACGGAACTGTCACGAAAGCTCACGTTCTTGTACGATGTTGGATCAAAATTCTCAAGCAGAGGGCGGAGCGAGCACAGGTGGGAAATTGGGGAGCTGGGTAATAAGGAAATCAGGGCAGTAGCGTTGCCAGCCTGCAGATTTATTCTCGCTATATAAATTCTGAAAGATTACCATTATTTTTAGTTCCTAAACAAGAAAACGCACAACAAAACAGCAAATATATCCGTTACTATCCACAAATCTGAAGTTCATTATCGAAAGCCATCGGACACAGTGGAAATGGTTCACTATAAAATAATGATACAAACGGATGCATGATTTTTTGTAATAATCAGAGACACATAGCCTACTATAGTAAACATAACTATACTTTTCTCAGGACCACAAGCTATAGATTGTCTCTCCCAACCACTGCCCCCCAACACAACGACATTTTTTGCCAAAAGCTGTCAAGAGGCTTGAAAATAAGAGTTTCACAATTACATTTGTTTTACAAATAAGACACATTTCTTCTGGGAGAAAACTCGAACGAAAGTTTTTTTTTGTAGTTTTACAGACAGCAGACGCTGTTCTCTTATACGATTTTCCTAAACTTTTTCTTTACACAGAGAAGAGTTTGCCCCATTCTTCAACTGTTACAAAACATATCTCACAGATTGAGAAGTGCAAGACGCATTTCTACAAGCAATGTGATGGTTTTCCAAATCATTCACTCGATTAATCATTGCTACAAGCTTCATGCATCAAACAAACTTGCGCCATCTTGCCATCATACACCCTGCAAAAGCACACATGAGAGATTTTCCACAGAGGCACAGACATACAATGAATAAAACGAAAAAACTTTTCTCTTTGGAATTTTCTATCATGAAAGCGAAAAACGAAAGAAATCTGCTATTAATTGGAAATATCAGTCTTATAAGCAATTAATGCATGAAACCTAATCTTTCCCCAATGTGCTGGAAGCTACCAGGTCGACAATGATCTTGTTCCAAAACCTAATCAACTTATCACCACAGTGCAATGGTGAATCCTGCACTTGGGACACGGGACGTACGGTTACAAATTGTATGGACTATATTGTAGAATCACCAGAGTGCTCAAACCTATAAAGGTGAGCTTTGCATATATATATATATATATAACTAAAGGGGCATTTACTCCCCATAGGTCCTAGTATAACTCGACACAGTAGTGAAATTAAACTACCCGGTAAAATGACCTTAACACTTTGAAGGCTTCGTTTTTGATTATTAGATGTAACTAATCGGTCTTGGAATTGCTATTAAAAAAATATATCCCAGCTGAAATACTAGACAACTTTTTAAATTTATTCCCAGAAGTCAAAACTCTTCATAATAAGAAATTTCCTTGTAGCAGGTTTTTCATATGCTCAGCATTTTCCCGAAACTATTGTCAATCTTGACACTGCCTTTACTTCCAACCTAGATATGATTTAAAAGATCAAAACTATGAAGATCACGACCAAAAGAGGTATTTTCATCTATTTTAAATACACATGTGTTATCTGGTCGGTAGCCAATAACTGAATGATTAAAAAAAGGGTTTTGAACTTTTAGTTCGATCGATTTTAGAAACTCCATTACCAAGCAAATGAAGTAATAAAAATAAGTCCAATTTTTTTAACTTCTTCATTCTTAATTCATATCTCTGAATTTTTTCCTTGAGAAGACAAAATTACAGAGAAAACCACTTCCAGCACTATCAATAATTTAAACTGATTTACTTACATGGCTACTATATTTTAGACGATCCAAAAATTAATATTCGTTATGTCATTTTTAGTTTTAAATCGTCTGGAATCTCTTGATAGAGTTATGCGATATGGACTTGGGCATAGACGTCCGGGATCTATGATTTCTGTGGGGCTTGAATATTTTCCCCAGCTCACAATGAAGGCTCCGCCATATTTTAGCCAGACTAACGTTTATAATTTTAAATCCTCAAACTCTCTTGGCGAGCAGCTCCCCCTGCCTCCCCACATCCCGTTCGCGCCTATGGATTTGAGAGACAACTCTTTTGTCTTTGTTTATAATGCATCTTTCTCGAACAGCTGTGAGAAAAGCCATTCTTGCCGCAATGCTCAATTCTTGGGTCAAATATTCAACATATAGACAAACTTAACATGCATCTTTTAATTTGATCCGAGGCTAATGCAAAATCGGTGACAAATTTAGCCATAGCAAAGGCTTCATGGTAGCTGCAACGCCAATAAACCAATTGGAACAGTTAATTTAATTACAAGTTCAGTTCTTACACGAGTAGTCTTTACACCCGAAAGTCATTCTTCGACAAGACCACTTAGACTAGGTGTGCTGAACATGTGCCTAAATCAAGTGAAAATAATACTCTTCATCATTATTGTCCTCAAAGAGATAACAAAACCTTTTCATTTTGTGGTGAGGTATTCCATGTTAGTTTCTGAAGTGAAGTCGGATTCTCGTCTCCAATAAGAAATGCCCATCTTATAGCAACCACTCATCATACTTTGCAATGTAAATACAGCGTATTTATATTGTGAAAAAGCATCGATCAACGCCCAACAAAGTGCAACAAAATGAGTGACGACAATTTCAACAACATTATAAAATTTCGAAATCTAGAATTCAGAAATAAAATATCCTGAGCTTTAACAAAAGACTTAACACAGTTCTAAAGTTTATAAAATACACCAAAAACATAAAACCACACAGCACCTGTTGTTATATGAAAGAAAAACTGGACTTTGAACGTATGTATATATATTCAAATGTATACAAACTTTAATGAAACAAAACTAAAAGAGATCAATTGAGTTTTTTAAGTAAATCTAAAAATTTTCCCATTTATTCATTAAAATTCGATATATTTGAATTAAGTAAATGGTTTGAACCCGAGAGTATCGTTACGTGTTTGTAGATTTAGATTGTTCAGGTTAGTAGAGACCTTAGAAGGACTGTTGTTGTGATGTTGACTGACGTTTCGACAACCTTAGCGGTAGTCATCTTAGAGTCTAAAAAGAAGTAAACGTCTGGTTAGCCGTATTTGTTACGGCGTTATCTGGTTCTTACGTCATTGTATTGTGTGTACAGGAAATGTGCGGTTATCAATTGTGTTTAGTTGCTCGTTCGTTATACCAACTTTCTAACGTAAGTCGTTGTCAATAGTCAGAGCTGTAATTAATGCATTTTGCCGAGTCCCAGTCAATGTTATTGGTTTTGTATTGTTTCTTTGTAGCTCGTTTGTGTTCAGTATGATTTATGTTTAAGTTCCTGCTAGTTTTCCTGATGTAAAAGAACTGGCAGTTGGAGAAGTTTATTTTGTAAACTGCACTTTGTCGTTCGTTGGGTTGCTCTTTGTCCTTTATGTTCGTTAGTACTTGTCGTAACGTTGTGATTGCTTTATGTTCGACACATATGTTGTATGGTCGCAAGATTGCCTCAGATACGCGAGATTGCCTCAGACGTACCTTTGATGTAAGATATCGTTGCTGTTGTCGTTGAGTTGTTCGTTTCGTTGGATTCATTGTGTTTGTAAGTGTTGCGTTTGATGAAGTCAGAGTTATAGTTTTTTCGTCAAAAACACGTTTGAGATAGTTGTTTTCGTTATGTAGAGCGTCCAGTGAATCGCATATGATTTGTGCACGTCTTCTTAATGTTCTGATTGTGGTGGCTTTGTGTGATGTAGGGTTGTACGATGATTGGTCTAGTAGTCGATCAGTGTGTGTTGGTTTGCAATAGACCGTTGTTCGTAGTTTTTGATTGTCATGTTTTACCAAACAGTCGAGAAAAGGAAGAGTTCCGTTTTCTTTGACATCTTTGGTCAATTATATGTGGCTGTTTTGCTCGTTGATGTGATTGTGAAAGTCATCAATCTCGTCTGCATGTAGTGCATGTTTGTAAGTCGTGAGCGCCCGTTCCTTTATAGATTGCATGATGATTTCAGCAACTACAACAGAAACGGGTGAGCCCATTGCTGCTCGTTGTAACTATTTGTAGTGTGTACCGTTGTACTGGAAGTAAGTCGAGGTGAGGCAGAGCTGCAGTAGCTCCACAATGTATTCAGTCGGTAGTGGAAGTAAGTCCGTGCTGTTTGTAATGAGGGTTTTTGTACAAGTAAGTTCAGAGCAAGTAGAATAGTGGTGAACAGTGATTTTACGTCAAAAGACATTCGTACATAGTTGTCAGATATTTGTATAGTGCTCACTTTTTGAATGAAGGTTTCAGTGGATTGTACCTTGTAAGTGGTTGCAGTATGTTGGTCAAGTACTTTGAGACTTCGTAAGTAGGCAAACCACAGAATGATACAATTGATCGCATGGGTATTTGTGGTTTGTGAAGTTTTAGTTGTCCGTACAGTCTGTCTCAGTACTACCACCAAGAGTACCTTAGATCAAAGGTACGTCTGAGACTATCTCCGTATCTTACCACCAAACAAGATACCTGTCGCACATAAACCAATCACAACTTTACGACAAGTACAAAGGACAAAGAACAACCTAACAAACGACAAGGTGCAGTTTACAAAATAAACTGCTACCGGGAAACTGGCAGGAACTTAAACATAAGACTTACTGAACACAAACGAGCTACAAAGAAACAAGACAAAACCAATAACATTGCCGAATATCACCGACTGACAAAACACAACATTTACTGGGAGTCGGCAAAATGCATTACTTACAGCAATGACTATTGACAACGACTTGCGTTAGAAGTTGGTATAACAAACGAGCAAATAAACACATTACACTAATCCACGATGACAACATAATTGATACCCACACATTTCCTGTACACACAATATAATGACGTAAGAACCAGATAACAAGTACGGCTAACCTGACGTTTACTCCTTTTTTGTCTCTGAAGATGACTACCGCTAAGATTGTCGAAACGTCAGTCAACAACAACAACAACAGTTCTTCTCAGTTCTCTACTAACCTGGACGATCTACATCTACAAACATATATTTAATTAATTATAAAACTGAGTGTATTCTATATTTACATGATTACAGCTAAGGTTGTTGAAACGTCAGTCAACGTCAACAAAACAGTCCTTCTCAGACTCTACTAACCTAGACGATCTACATCTACAAACATGTAACGATATTCCCGGGTTCAAACCATTTACTTTAGTAATCTATATTGTTCAAAACAGTGAATTCAAACTATGTTAAATATTACGTTGGCGTTTTGTTGTAATAGCGGTGTTCTGTTTTTTGATGAAATCAGTTGTCGGTCTCATTGACCCGACGTTCATATTCGCCGGACGCAATTTCAAAAACATTATATATCACCCAAGACTTCCTGAAAGGAGGGAATGTTAGTGCATCAGCTAATATCAGTGATAGCCTCTTACAACATGTCATCATAGCAACAAGCACAGCAACATGCCTTAAGGCGTCAACTCAATCTATTGTATTAAAAACTCACCTGGTGAGTAATTAATAAAAAATTAAATTGTGCTGACTAATGTAAAGTCAAATGCCAGGAAACATAAATGATCCCACTAGTTTCTTCACAAATTCAAACAATCAAAAAACCATCTGAATGACAGCTATCTCCACCATTGAATTCGGCATATCCCAATTTGCTGTTCGGCCATTTTTTTCATGCCATAAAAATAAAGTGTCTATAAACATTTTCATACCATTCGATGATTTTAAAAATGTCGAAACCAACACAAATTAACAGCGATATTTTGTGAAAATGTAAAACTTAATTAAAGCTTTTTCATGATGGCAACAGAGCAAATGAATAATATAAATGATTGTTTTGGAAGATTTATGAAAAGGACAAAATAGGGCACCCAATTTTCGAATCATCATTTGAAATTGCAAGAAGACGAAAAGAGTGCCATTTTCTAGAGATTTCTTGCATATAAACGTAGTACAAATTTCGGTGCCACGACATTTTTTAGTGTGGGGCCCTGAAAATCAAAGGGATACTTTGAATATGCACATCATAACAAGAAACAAATTGTTATATGTAAATCGAGCTTTAAGAGAGACCAGAAGACTAATGATACAACAAACTGTAGTAATTGATCATACCGTATGAAACAAAAAACCAGCAATAGGTGCGGCACATTGCCACCAGGGAATTTGCACATGTCTCAATAAAGTATATTGCTTATATTGATATCCACATCAACGTCATGGTCAACGGGTTATGTCATTGGAATGGATGCAATTTTATAGGTCACCATTAAGTGGCCACTATACAATTATATATGTGGCATGTATATATGAGTTGAAAATTAGCACAAAAATATGATAGCAATATGGCATAAATACAATGCAGGGCTTTCATAAGATTTATTTTGGAACTGTTGTGGGTATTATATCTACTCCAAGATATTTTTAAAAATGACATTTTTCTAGCAAAATTTTAGAATATGACATAGATTCAGCATCTGCAGCAGACATCGCGTCCTACAGGTTTAAGCTGCCAAACTAAATGTCATATTTTTATTGGCGTCTTCACTCTTACTGGAGTCGTCAATCCAAGACAACGCCAGATGCCAATGGATTCGTCGCACAATTCACAGAGCTGATAAATAAAAGCGTATATGTCATAAGGTTTTTATTTCATCATATGTACTTTAAAAACACAATCACAATTTAGAAAATCTAGAAAATGAAACAGTACGCTGCCATATACATAATTCAGATACAAGCATCCTAAGCCTCGCTGTAGCCATATATAATATAGCTGCATCACCATCAATATACTTTGGTAGCCAGGTTTCGGTGATGGTTAGCGTTTCAGGAAGGTATTTTTTAATGGTTCAAAAGTACCGTACACGTTTCTGTCGATTGAGAAATCCTAGTAGTCAACTGTTGCTTCGTGAATAAAGCGCGAGACGAGTAATTCTTCAACAAATGACATCAATAATTCAATTCTGAATGACTCTAACAAACAAATTCCAATTCCCAGGGAAAAAACCGACACTCTTTACAACAATGAAACCTGCATTCTTATATGAAGGACAACAATGCTCATAACTAATAAGAACTTAATAATTATTCAATGAATAGCTATCGAGACTATATGGCTTCGTTTACACTAACAGGATTCCTCATCACGACATCTTCATTTGCTGTAACTGTTTGCCTCGAGTAAAAGCTTATTAAATTGATAGATTTAGTCTATTTGATTGTGTTTCTCACATTGAACAATTTCACTATCTTTTAATACGAAGAAAGTTTAACCTGCTACGATAGTAATCTGGTATTATGTAAACGGGGTCTATGTCTAATTTCTAAGCAGAAACATGACGCATGTGCAAGAATTTCGTTCTCATGCATAACTATTCTGAGATGCCGCTTGTGCATGCATTAAAATACCGATATACGTTTTCGCGTAGGCTTCAGCGCTAGAACACATCGCAAACCCTAAAGGCAAATCATTTTCGGGGTAGTTAAAGAAAATTCCAACTACCCGCGAATCCTCTGCTGCTAGGGATACAAGCTTTATTTCGTGCAAATGATGTGCGAATGATATTCATTTCAATTGCGCTTAATTCATCCTTTGGACATTTGGCATGAAAGAAACTATAAAACGACGCGCGCAAAAACACGCACGCAAATTTAAAAAAGCGTGGTAGGTACAATAAAGACAACGGCACAATAAACAGAGATATTGACATACCATTTTATATTCACAATTAAAGACAAAGCAAAACAAAACCGCTAGCCGAAACTATAGAACAACATATGCACTTCAATAATGTTAACACTAATCCCATTCACAATACACTCGAACCTATAACAACACATTTTATACATTATCCAATCATCTTAATCCATCTATTAATCCATAGACGCTCTAAACGTCTACAAAGAACCGAGTCGAAAGCTAAATAAAATTATGTATCATAATCCGGAGTAACTTCTATTATAAACATATAGATATGAAAGATGTCTGAAACAAAACAAGACCTCCATTTTTATTTGCACAATATTACAGCTTATTTAAGTATAGAATTGGTTATCACGATACAGAAAATACAGAGTATTTCTTTTGAATAGGTAAAATATCGTTCTTTTGCCTGTTTTTCGAGGGGCTTGCCATTAAAGGTTGCTCGTATTTGAAAAAAACGTTACTCTACATACATTCATGTCGTGTCTTTCTTTCTCCCTTTCGGTTTAAACATATGATGCAAATATGTAAACACGTATTCAAGTGAATAGATTAAATGCTAGGGATCACGGTATTCAAGTTCGTTTATGAGTTTACACAAATACTTTACTTTGGATCTTATTAACTCAAGTCACATTACGCATTTGTTAAAAACGAAACATTACACAGCTTGAAAAACGTTGCAAGGTTGTAAATGAAACGCATGAATCGTCTCAATGTATAGCAACATACCAAAATCACTTGAAAATAAAAGCTAGGGCAAATATTTAAAAAATCACATTATAATGCGTGTCAAAGATCCACGATCTCAAATATTGGCATTAATGACTTCCTCTTGAAACAATACAGAAACGCTGAAGCTCAAGCAGGATATGCTTAAATCAAGCGATTCACTTGTTGAAAACATCGACTCTTTTTTAACGATAAAAGAGGAGGATTAGGGAAGGGCTTCAGAGGAACAAATCGCCCTAAATGTCTAAATAAAATGTCAAAGATATTTTAATTGCGTGTCGTTAATTGCTTCATTTAAATATTGTTTTAAAACTAATCACTGCGCAGATGTATTAGGTAGCTATTGTTAGGAGTTTGTTCAAGCAAAGCGTTCATTTCGCTGTGAACATCATTGCGCAAACAGTTCAGCTTCTTACAGCAAACGTTTTAGTCCATGATGATCAATCCACATTTGAGGAAAGAATGTCGCACCTTCAAAACCAATTGGGTCGATTCAGAATCAACCTGAATCCTGTGGTTACGTTGGCCTCCTCGGTAGTTATTTGGGGTCTCGTAATATGGGCTATGGCCGACACCGACAACATAACCGGCTACATGAAAGACGCAAAACGATGGATCACGGAGAAATTTACGTGGCTCTATATCGGAACTCAGGATGCTTGGTTCATTTTCATCATCATCGTCTATTTTTCAAAATATGGCAAAATGAAGCTGGGTGGTGATGACGAAAGCCCGAGTTCAGTGACGCAGCTTATTTCACCATGTTGTTTTCGGCTGGTGTCGCCATTGGCTTGTTTTACTTTGGTGTTAGTGAACCAATCAGCCATTATCAGCCCGGTGCTTATGGCAATCGTTTTTGGAACAGGTAAGTCGCATATAAACAATTCAATTGCGCAAATTAAATGATGCGTTGCATACTTGCATGAGTAAAGTACGGTGAATTAAAAAATCAGCCAACTGCCATATATTTATTTCAACTCTCATTCAGACTAAGCGAAAGTAAAATATATAATGTTTGCGAAATGTAAAATTTGTGAGATCGAACTGTAAATTCTCCACGTTACCCATCTTTCGCACGTATGCTTGGTGTTTGAGGAATTTCACTGGTTTAATAGTACTTCAAGGATTGGGGCAATCTAGATTCGCATAACAAAGTTAATGATATGGCTCTCTGGATACACAAATGAACAGTTTTTCATTCGAAGCACTGATGTCGACATCCCAAAATCAGAACTAACTTTCAATTTGATTGATTTTAAATTTTCAATAACTAAATGGACCCTTCTAGTATATAATTAAAGTCCTTTCCAGAATACGATGTACAACTTACAAAACGAGACTTCATAAGAGAATCAAAATTAAAAATTCCAGTGATTTTCCATCGCAAGTCATCCGATTCAGGACTTTGATCGTCATGTAATAGCCAAAGCATTGTTTGTTAAATTTTGTCAAATGTGCTCAAATGTCTCACAGGCAGATGCAAAGCGTTTAATACTATATCACCAAGTATTCAACAATATTTGTAAGAATAGAAATCATTTTTTTCATCATATGTATTAATGCATTCACTACACATGCATTGTATAATGTCGCATCGGTTTCGACTAAACAACATCTATCAAAATTATAAGAAATAAGCAAGTCTTGATTACATTAGAAACAGAAACCTTATTGCCACTAGCAGGCTTCAATTAATATGTTTAGCTTGAGCAATATCATCGGCAAGTTCGCATACAAATACCGCGGTGGCAAGACGATAGTTTGTTTTACAGAGAAAAATTATGTTTCGATGCGCACGCATTCATTTTGCATAGGTTATTTGTCTGATGGATAAACAATTTAAGTGAATAACTAAGTTTGCAAATGCCTGTTTGTAATGCCAGGAATATGCCGAATATACTAATCAATGATTTTTTGATTGTTTCGTATTTTCGTATTTGCTGGACATTTGTTTTGACTGGGGCTAGGAAGAATGGCTCCAAATATTGTTGCGTTGATGCTAACTGAGCATGACTATCCAATAGAGTAGGATAAATGAATGAAATGCCTTAAATTCTTTTCCTTTTCCATAAAAAAAGCAGCTGGAAGTAAATTAAAAAAACGTATTGGTGAAATAGAAATCTTCAATGCTTGCGATGCTTGGGTAACATAATATTGGGGTAAACCACCTTGATACTTCTAGATAATTCTCATAGTTATTTTACGTATAATTAAATATGTAAAATAAAAATTCATCAATTCTTGCTCAGTTAGGAAAGAATACAAAGTTAGATTTATACGGAATAGCTAGATCCGGGGACAGTTTTTATTGGAAAGTATAATCACGGTCAAAAATGCGGTGCTTGTACTTAATTTGTGATGACAATGCCTTTAGACTAGAGACACAATAATATTACTTTATCACCAGAAATTTCCATCTGTTTTGAGTTTCCTAAGTCCTAAAATGATTTCATGCACTTTAATTTTTACTTTAAACTAGTTGTTTTTCAAACAGATACACCGATAATCAGCGAGCGCAAGATGCTATAAACGTCACGTTGTTTCATTGGGGAATACACGGATGGATAGTTTACACCGTTGTGGGCCTTCTTATGGCGTTTATGGCGTACAGAAAGGGTCTTCCAATGAGCATACGCTCTTGTTTCTACCCACTCATTGGCGACAGAATATATGGTTGGATGGGCGACTTCATAGACACAATGTCGGTGATTGCTACCATGTTCGGCGTTTGCACAAGTCTTGGTATTGGTGTCACCTCCATTAACGCAGCCTTGAATCGCATCGATCCGGATATTAAAGAGAATACTGATACGCAAATCGTCTGCATCTGGATCATCACTGCAATCGCGACAATTTCGGTAGTATCAGGACTTAAGATCGGTATTAAGTATATCAGCGAGGTATGCTTTACTCTTGGCATGTTTCTCATGTTGTTTGTATTATTTTACGACGACACGTGGTTCTTACTCAATCTCTACGTTCAAAGCATCGGATATTATTTGCAAACGATCATCGGACTCGGCTTTCATACGGACGCCTTTGCGCAACTTGGCAACGCTCCAGACGGGCATCAGAATAAAGAATGGATGGACATGGACCATTTTCTATTGGGGTTGGTGGATTGCATGGTCGCCATTCGTTGGTATGTTCATTGCCAAGATCTCACGCGGCCGCACAGTTAGGAATTTCATCAACGCTACTCTAACTGCACCAATAGTGTACACTTTCCTCTGGTTCTGCATCTTTGGCGGGGCTGGTCTTCGCATGGAACGCAACGCTCAACTTGCGGGCATCAAGAAATATGATGTTTTAGGAGGAGCAAACTCCACCGCTTCAAACAATGGGTTGTATCTACTGAGCGTTCGAAGTTCCCAACAGCGATATTTCGACGTGATTGAACAGTACGGCGAGAATCTGAGTGGTTTTCTGCGAGTGATTTCATTGATTGCTATTGTCCTTTACTTCGTCACAAGCTCAGACAGTGGTCGTTGATCATCGATTGCTTGTCTGCTAACGGAAATCCCGAGCCACCAGTACTTCAGCGTATTTATTGGGCACTAACTGAAGGTGCATGCGCTACGGCTCTCCTACACACCGGAGGAACTGAGGCACTGACCGCTTTACAGACTGTTTCCATTGCAGCAGGTCTTGTCTACACTTTCATTTTAAATTTCATGTGCGTTGCACTGTGGCGCGTCATGAAAGAAGAAGCAGGAGATGTTGATCTCAACAAGCGTCAATTCCCATCGTCACTTTTTGCCTTCTTTGACTTCGCATCGGATTCAAAAGTGAAAAACACAATCCTGTCCGTATTTGCGCCATGGTTTCTTGCTGGTAAAACGGCCGCAAAGGTTTACGGTACGAGTCCGTTACCACACATGATCACTCTCGGGACCCTGTACTATTCTTGGATTTTGTTGCTAATCTTGGAAGTCGCCGAGGACGGACTCTCATACATTGGTTGGGTGTTGCTGTGTGGCTTCTTCGCATACGTCACTGCCATACGAATTCGTGTTCGATCCCGTTATGGTATCAGGGGTACGATGATCGAGGATGCGACAGCTGCAATGTTTCTGTATTTTTTTGTCATTGAACAAATGCACGAGCTTGTCGACTCGGACGAGGTCGGTGCTCCGACTGGAGAGAAACAAGTAAAAGCGGAGATTGGCGTTTACAATGCGGGCGGACAAATTGACGATATACCCAACGGTCACGCGAAAGACGGTCATTATGATAACACTGCATTTTAAATTGTTTAAGTTGGCACAAATGTTAAACAGGTTTTATTTTAGACACTTAATGCTAATAATGTAACGTTTTACCTTTATCGGATTTCCCTTATTGCTTATACTCACCACGTATGTATGTCATATTTTTGCAAATATTAATTTTTATTAGTTTTTTATGGTAAACAAGTTCGATATCAATTGATAAAGTTGTATATTCTTTACCTCTAGAAAACAAATAAATACTGTACGTAGACCACTTTTGAGCGTACTGGCTATTCAACTTGCACGTTCTAACTTGACTGGTTCGCATTTTTATTTTATCCGGTATTTTTTTTCCACGACACCATAGCTTCAACTTGTAGCTAAAACAAGGTACTTTAGTGAGTGTTTGTATTTATGAAATTCCTTAGATTTGATCGCTAAAAAAATCAAGACTTACACCAGCTTGTTTTTTTTCTCTTTTGATTACAATAATTTAACATTAGCGCTTGTCAAATGTTTTTTAGTTAGTTGGATCTTATGATTACTTAAATTGTTTAACTAATCAATCAGGAAGAAATTGGCACTGGTATGTATCTTATTTTATGGGTACTGATGTATTTAGGAGGAATTTAGTGCTCTGCTATAAACCAATTTTACAGAATTAAGCATTTTGTATGTATATTAAATTAATTTTACAAGAAATGGATTTTTGTCATGTCGTACAAAGGTTTTGATTTTGCGTGTTGAAAATTAAGTTTACTATAGCAAATAACTTTCATTAATACCTCGAATTAGAGCATTATTCTATACTTAACTTTAAACTGCTTGCTTTATTGAGACGATAGGACAAATTTTCAATTTGTTTAGTGAAAATTCACAAACAGCCTGATACTCTGTTGAAATCAATTACTAATATTTGTAGTAGCTACAGAGAACAAGGTAGGAGGTACATGGATCATCCTCATACAAGAATGATGTCCTACTCAACATGAGAGAAATCCTACTCAACATGAGAGAAGTCCTACCCAACATGATTTCTTATATCCATTATTTACTTGACATCTGGTGTAGAAGCCTCTGTGACTTACTTAGATTCACTTAGAAATTGTGTTACGTTGTGGGAAAGATACTATGAAAATATTGCATTGCTTGTTACATATTTTTACGACACATCAAAATAAGTGGAAACACACAAAATATCGGAAAGTTTATAAATTGTCATGCAAAGTTAAAACCACGGTTCAAGCAATCGATTTATTATGTTTACATTATACAACAATTAAAATATATACAATAAGTTAACGAGAGTATATGAAACAAAAAAGTAGACAAAAGTCTTGATTTGTGCTATTTTAAATATTAAAGCGCAGTCGGAGAGACAAAGAGAAAAAAACCACAATTTTTCTACATAAATGTTTCGACGCTTTCTTTCAACATGACGTCTTGGAGACAAAAACTTTGAAAGTTCCAACGAAAGTGGAACTTCTGCGTGATCTCTATTCCTTGCACGCAGTCTTCAATGTTTGCTATATGGTATGCTTGTTTGACTTGAAACCAAGCAAAATCTCCATCAGATGCTCTGTTTACATAACTTGTCAAATAAAATTGTAAAAATAAGTCGAATAAATAAAAATATTATTCTTCGGCCTAATGGTTGAATGCCTGGCCATTAAACATTGTTCGTATTTCAAAGGAACGCTATGTTATTCACAATTTCCCCTTCTTTCTCTCTCTGCCTTTGTATCAATGATGTAAACACGTCTTCGTAATTCACGTGAATAGATTTTAGGATCGTGGTTTTTAAATTCGTTTATGAGCTTACATAACTGGGAAATGCTATACTTTGGCTTGTTATTAACTCAAATCCTTTAATAGCATATAGTGCATTTCCAATTCATATAACTGTTTTATTCACATGAAAACAATGCATGCATGCGTAGTGAAATACGTACGAAACGCATGAATTGTCTCAAGTTTAACAACAGTGCATAGCAACAAAATCACTTGAAAATAAAAATTGCCCAAATATTATCACTTTATAAAATGTGTCAAACGAAGCTTTATTTCGAATCATTGCGCAGAGGTACTGACAGCACAGTATATGAAAAACATCTAGAATGCCACACCATTCACACTTTTTGTATCATGTACATGTTGTCTCAATAAACTGCTCATTTTGGAAACAAGCCGACTTTTAGAATTTCGGCTTGAACGAGAAATAATTAATCCCCAAAAAATGAATTGAAACGAATTTCATGCTTGAAACTTGTAAAACCGAAGCCGTGATTCGTAGGTATTTTTGTTTTCATTGCGTTAAGCATTTGCATGTATTTGTGAATCAATAGACAACTTGCATTATTACATCACTTAGTAGTCACGCACATGAAAACATTGCAATATGGCCACCTAGCGAAAGAGAGTTTACTGCTGTTCTTAGTCACGTTTCTGAGTGAGAAAGCACGACTGAAGGCCCTAGTTCTTTTGAGAACTCTTGCCCGGGTCTTTGAGAAAATTCTAGCTCGGAAAGTCGCGGCGAGTCTACGCTTTTGTTGACGATGTATCGGCAACAAAACGAAAAGAGGTGCTTGTGCATTTATATGTTGTGTACCTGGTTGCTTTTCAAACAACAAAAGAAACCATGAGCTTTCTTTTTACAATTTCTCCGGAGGTCAAAGTAAGGAATCTCTAGATCTTGGAAAGAAATGGATCACTCTTGTTTCTCGAAAAGAATTTTATTCTAACGACCGGCCACCGAGTGTTTTCTCTACACTTCCCAGGTGGATGTAAGACGTATTTAAATCGATTACCAACTATTGTTTTGAAAGCCACAAAACCTTCTCAAACTAAAACTTGTCCAACTGAGAACAAGAATTAAGACGCCTTTTGCTGGAATTACGAAACGCTTGAAGCCAAGCAGATTGTTTTCCCAAGTAAACTCTCAATGCAAATGCAATGTTTTCATGTGCGTGACTACTAAGGGACGTAATAATGCAAGTTGTCTATTATTGCTGAATCATGCAAATTTCAAACGTCAGCGGTCAGCCGATTTCAAAGATGAGCAGTTATTTTGAGAGCGAACCTGACCTATGAACACTTCGCATCACGTGATATTTTTTTTCTCTTTAATCGCCGACATGAATTGCCGCCCTCTTTGATGTATTACAGGTAGCCTAACCGTATTCTTCTATTCACTGTGTTTTGAGACACCCTGTGTGTCTTATTATGCACGTGATTATTACAGTGGCCGCCAGTAAATTGCAGTGTCTGACCAATAAGAAAGATAAGCTTGCTATAAATGCGGCCAGTATCCGAAATAGTTATACAGTACGAACTTGCACTGCGAAGTAGCCCTACTGTTTCTTTCTTGTATTGTGCTAACTGCCAACTTTTGCACTATGAACCAACATTTGAGGAAAGAATGTCGCACTTTCAAAGCAAAATTGGGTCCCTTCAACATCCACCTTAATCCTGTGGTTACGTTGGCCTCCTCGGCAGTTATTTGGGGTCTCGTAATATGGGCAATGGTCGACACCGACAACATAACAAACTACATGAAAGAAGCAAAACGATGGATCACGGAAAAGTTTACGTGGCTCTATATTTGCACTCAGGATGCTTGGTTCGTTTTTATCATAATCGTCTATTTTTCAAAATATGGCAGAATGAAGCTAGGTCGTGATGACGAGAAGCCGGAGTTCAGTGACGCATCTTATTTCACCATGTTGTTTTCGGCTGGTATCGCAATTGGCTTATTCTATTTTGCTGTTAGTGAACCAATCAGCCACTATGAGCCCGGTCCTTATGGAAATCGTTATTGGAACAGGTAAAGTCGCCTGTCAACTAATCAATCGCGGAGATTAAATATTGCATTGCATACTTGAATGACTAAAGTGCCGTAAATTAAAAGAAATAGCCAACTGCCATATTCCTAATCTCATTCGGAATAAGTGCAAGCTCTCTACGCTATCCATCATTCCCAGGAAGTTATGATTGTTGCTCGAAGAATTCTTTAAGTTTGAAAGCAAATTGTAAACGTCACGGATTACAACAAGCCTTCATTTGTGTTACAAATGTGCGTGGAACAAAGTAAATGCTTGTTCTCAACACACAATGTAACTGAATACACAAGCAACCAGATTGTTCTTCATTCAAGTATCGACGTCGACATCATTACATCAGAGCTAACTTATAATTTGATTAATTTATATTTTACAAAAACATGCATACGCTTTTTTACTGTGCACTTGACTCAGACTTCATAAAGTCAACAGAAAACGGTGCTTACAATTTTCAAGCACAGGCTTAAAAAGAAACTCAAAATTCGAAAATTACAGGCGTTTTCTAACAAGTCATCCGATTTATGACTCATTGTAATGAAAAAGCGCTAGACCAAGGCATTGTTAGTTAAATTTTGATTAAATGTGCCCAAAAAAATAGGCACACAAGCAGATGCTAACAAAATGTTTTATATAAGATTGCTAACCATTTAACAATAATAAAATTTAAGTTTTGTCATATATATATATAGTTATGCCATCTTTACATATTCCATTATAATTTCCTGTCATGCAGTTTCGGCAGAATTACCTCTTTTCAAGGCCTGCATTTGAAGGAAATGGTACCGCCACTCATAGCCTGCAGAACGCAATATATGTTTGTTGGCAGTTACGAGTTTTGCTTAGGCTAAATTATTATTGGCAAAGTTCGCATGAAAATAGTGTAGGCAAGCATTATTTAGGTTTACAGTTAGAATTTTATGTTTCGATGCGTACTTTGTTAATGTTTGATGAAATAACAGTTTAAATGAATAACTAAGCATAGTAAAAATTTCATAAAAACTTTTTTTCATGCTAGGTATTACACAATACATTAAAACAGTTCATTGATAATTTATTGATAATTTATTCATTGCTTGATATTTTTCTTTATATTCTGCGTTTTTTGACTCGACAGATTAAGTTGCTCTACCGATTGATGCGCATCCTCCGTTGATATTCGGTGTTTGTTATCTTTTAATGCTAACTTGCATGACTTGTCCCGCTGAGTGTGATAAATAAATGAAATGCCTATCCGAGGATTTTTTTCCTTCCAAAGGAAAAACCAATGTCAACTGCATGCTTGAAAGGTACAAATTCATTAAGGGTTATAATAATACCCTAGACCTATTCGCGGTTGTCGAGGATTATATGACTGTTATTCCACCTAAGATTGAATATATCGAAAGGTATTCAACAATTCTTCCTAGTTTAGATACAGCTATTTAGCAGCAGATTTAAAAAAATAATCTAGCAAGCAACAAAAAATATCACACGTTAAACTTTTACGACAGGAAGTTTCTTTAATCAAACTCCTCATGTAAAGAATGAACAAGGCTAATCTGCGTAAGCTCGTAAATGCAGAGATTAAATAAAGACTAGAATCGTGTTAAATATAGGAATTAACTTAGCTCCTATTAGTTCGTGTGATCTGTCTCGAAATGTTAACGAAATAACTGAATATGAAGAATAATAATAGTAAGACTTTGTGACGATAACAGCTCCAGACAAAAAATTCAACTCTATTTTTTCAATCCAATAAATTTCAATAGCTTTGAGTTTCTAAATTCTTTATAAACTCACTTCTATAAGTTTCAATTCAAACAAGTTGTTCTCTTGTAAAGGTACACAGATAATCAGCAAGTGCAAGATGCTATAAACGTCACGTTGTTTCATTGGGGAATACACGGATGGATAGTTTAAACCGTTGTGGGCCTTCTTATGGCGTTTATGGCGTACAGAAAGGGTCTTCCAATGAGCATACGCTCTTGTTTCTACCCACTCATTGGCGACAGAATATATGGTTGGATGGGTGACTTCATAGACACAATGTCGGTGATTGCTACCATGTTCGGCGTTCGCACAAGTCTTGGTATTGGTGTCACCTCCATTAACGCAGCCTTGAATCGCATCGATCCGGATATTAAAGAGAATACTGATACGCAAATCGTCTGCATCTGGATCATCACTGCAATCGCGACAATTTCGGTAGTATCAGGACTTAAGATCGGTATTAAGTATATCAGCGAGATATGCTTTACTCTTGGCATGTTTCTCATGTTGTTTGTATTATTTTACGACGACACGTGGTTCTTACTCAATCTCTACGTTCAAAGCATCGGATATTATTTGCAAACGGTTATCGGACTCGGCTTTCATACGGACGCCTTTGCGCAACTTGGCAACGCTCCAGACGGGCATCAGAATAAAGAATGGATGGATGATTGGACCATTTTCTATTGGGGTTGGTGGATTGCATGGTCGCCATTCGTTGGTATGTTATTGCCAAGATCTCACGCGGCCGCACAGTTAGGAATTTCATTAACGCCACTTTAACGGCACCAATAATATACAGTTTCCTCTGGTTATGCATCTTCGGTGGGGCTGGTCTTCGCATGGAACCTGACGCCAGACTAAATAACATCACAAAAGATTCAGCTTTAGGAGGAGCAAATTCCACCGCTTCATACAATGGGTTGTAGCTACTGAGCGCTCGAAGTTCTCAAGTGAGATACTTCGACGTGATCGATCAGTACGGCGAGAATCTGAGTGGTTTTCTGCGAGTGATTTCGCTGATTGCTATTGTCCTTTACTTCGTCACAAGCTCAGACAGTGGGTCGTTGATCATCGATTGCTTGTCTGCTAACGGAAATCCCGAGCCACCAGTACTTCAGCGTATTTTTTGGGCACTAACTGAGGGCGCATGCGCTACGGCTCTCCTACACACCGGAGGAACTGACGCACTGACCGCTTTACAGACTGTTTCCATTGCAGCAGGTCTTGTCTACACTTTCATTTTAAATTTTATGTGCGTCGCACTGTGGCGGGTCATAAAAGATGAAGAGGAGATGTTGATCTCAACAAGCGTCAATTCCCATCGTCACTTTTTGCCTTCTTTGACTTCGCAACGAATACAAAAATGATACAGGTAGTACTGTCCATATTTGCGCCGTGGTGGCTTGCTGGTAAAACGGCCGCAAAGGTTTACGGTACGAGTCCGTTACCACACATGATCAGTCTCGGGACCCTGTTCTATACTTGGATTTTGTTGCTAATCTTGGAAGTCGCCGAAGATGGACTCTTATACATTGGTTGGGTGTTACTGTGTGGCTTCTTCGCATACGTCACTGCCATAAGAATTCGTGTTCGATCCCGTTATGGTATCAGGGGTACGATGATCGAGGATGCGACAGCTGCAACGTTTCTGTATTTCTTTGTCATTGAACAAATGCACGAGCTTGTCGACTCGGACGAAGTCGGTGCTCCGACTGGAGATAAACATGTAAAAGTGGAGATAGGCGTTTACAATACGGACGGACAAATTGACGATATACCCAACGGTCACGCGAAAGACAGTCGTCATGATAACACTGCATTTTGAATTGTTTAAGTTGGAACAAATGTTGAGCAGGTTTTATTTTAGACCTCGCTTAATGCTAATAATGTAACGTTTTACCTTTATCGGATTTCCCTTATTGCTTATACTCACCATGCATGTATGTTACATTAATGTATGCAGATATTAATTTTTATTAGTTTTTTATTGTAAACAAGTTCGATATCAATAGTTATATACGCTTTATCTCTTGAAAACAAAAAAAAAAATACTGTACGTAGACCACTTTTGAGCATACTGGCTATTCAACTGGCACGTTCTACATTAACCGGTTTGCATTTTTCCATTTCGTCTGGTATTTTTTTCCACGACACCATAGCTTCAACTTGTAGCTAAAACAAGGTATTTTGGGAGTGTTTGTATTTATGAAATTTCATAGAACTTGATAGCTAAAAAAATCAAAACTTACACCAGCTTGTTTTTTTCTTTTGATTACAATAATTTAACATTAACGCTAGTGAAATGTTTTTATTTGGTTGGATCTTATGATTACTTAAATTGTTCAGCTAACTAATCAGGAACCCCTGAAAGAAATTGGCACTGGTATGTATCTTATTCTATGGGTACTGATGTATTTACGAGGAATTTAGTGCTCTGCTATAAACCAATTTCACAGAATTGAGAATTTTTGTATGTATGTTAAATTAATTTTACAAGAAATGGATTTTTGTCATGTCGTACAAAGGCTTGGGTGTCACTGTGTGGCTTCTTCGCATACGTCATTGCCATACAAATTCGTGTTCGACTCCGTTATGGTATCAGCGGTACGATGGTCGAAGATGCGACAGCAGTTACGTTTCTATATTTCTTTCTCATTGAATAAATGCACGAGCTTGTAGATTCGGATGAGGTTGGTGCTCCGACTGAAGAGAAAAAAATATATGCGGAAATGGGCATTTACAATATGGGTGGAAAGATTATTGAAGATCTTCCCAACGGTGACGCGAAAGATGGCCATCAAGTCAAAACTGCATTTTGATCATTTTAATTTAAAAGAACGTCCAGCTGTTATCATATTAGACTTTTAATAATTTTGCAAATTTCTATCCTTGTTTATGCTCACCATGTAGGCATGCAATTCTTTTCGAGATAGTAATGTTTATAGATTCTGTGCAGTTAAAGTAGAATCAAACAATTACATAATGCTTACCGTGTTTGGATCATAGAGTTGTAATAAAGATGGAAGAAGTATAGTCATCCATATTATTAGCGACCAACATGTTACAAAAAACACGGACGCCATTTTGCAGTTATACCATGTACGGATAATATTGGTGGTCAACTTCAGCGGAAAAACGTGTGCTAGAAAAATGAAAACTATATTCCACCCCTCCAGATTTCGACATCACTCGTTTGCGATTAGAAATTATATCAAAACGACCAATATCTTTCAAACTCTTTTTGCAAATCGTATTTGACAAAATGCCGCAACCTTGCGTTGTTGATGGATGCAAAACTAACAAAAGAAAAGAAAACTTTTCAATGTAGGCAAGATAATATTGTTTATTGTTCAAAGTCAACAGTATTTTTTTTGACTAGAAGCTGCACATTCGTGGCTAACCACTATGTTGTACAGAAAAGTGTCGGAGTGTCTGTCTGCATTCTCGGGGGCGGTCGGATATACAAATGATTTCGAATATTACCGTTTAGTGCGTTCGTGGCTCTCTCCAGAAAATATAGCAAGCAAAGGATTTTATTTCATTAGCTCGATTGATACCGCATTTCGAAGAAAATTTTCGTGAAGCAAAGAGAATTTTTAATGTTCAAATGAATTCAAGTCATTCTATCATTCAAGTTAATACGCTTGCTATATTTCGGTCACTTTCGGTATCTCGATTGTTCATTTGTAATACGTAATAAGAACATAATTATATTGAATCAAAACATTTCCATAATTTCATCGCAGCTCGATTGAAATCAGACATTTCACTTAGACGCCAACTTTTTAAATTTTTAAATGCACACATGTTCACTCCGAAACATATATGCATTAGAAAATTTTAAAAAAAGTTTTTGTCTACATTAAATGAAATCAAAATATTGTTAAGAACTATTAAATATGCAAGCTTGGTAAGCGATCACAATATCAAGAAACTGAGTATTTCGTATGTGAAAATGGTACTAGGCAAAAAAAAAAGGCAAATGAATTGTTTTGCTTACGAGACAAGCACGAGTTACAAATATATATATACATTATGTAAGGTCAATTAACAATAAAACATGACAAGCTTCATCAATGATGCTTGCGAATACTTGCAATGTAAAGACAAGTTTACATTCAATGATTAAATGTTATTTTAAAGAATCGTCGAAAATATCTCACTGCAAATTTAAATACTCACAATCCTGCTTTCGTATATTAAACAATGCCCACATTCCTTCTTCTTTAAAACTAAAAGAAACACTGTACATCAAAAATTGAAATAAACATGAGCATAAACGAAAAATAAATTGGATGTAAATTATATTACATATGTATATATATAATATTAGTTGAACTACATTTATCAATCTACATTATTTTGCTGATTGCTGCCATATGTCATATACTTCACATGTCATATCAAGGGTTACAGTGAAACTTTCGTGGAGACACAATAGACCCGTTTACACGGTAATCAAATTTGGCACGGTACTCCAAAATTTTAGGCACGGTACTCCAAAATTTTAGGCACTGTACTCCAAAATTTTAGGCACGCGAACGTGTTTTCTTGAGTGCGGCTCTCCTAACTTTTCTCGTGTAAACGATAGCAGGCCTAAAATTTAAGGGTCGGGTGCCTTGAAATTTTAGCGTGCCGGGACCTCCGAAAGAGGTAGTCTCGACCCGTTAAAAAAGCGGCACCGTGCCGAGTTTTTAGCTATATCAGCAAAATGAGCATTAAATAAGCGCGAAAAGGAAATGGCGGGAATTAAAATAAACAAAGATGGTGCAACGAAAATATACAAATTGCGTTGGGCAATTCAAAAGGATCCAAAGATAGAAGCAAGGTTTACAAGTCCTTACTGGTAAGCCATTTTATCGTGATATCAGAAATATTGTATTAGCTTCAACTGTGAATCCACTCGTAATGATATCACATACGCTGTGCACTGGCGTTAGTTGAAAGGCGCCATTTTGAATAAACCGCCAAATTGACGTCATTTACAGCAAAATAACCCTCTAGCAATTGGAGTGCCCCGAGGAAATTTTACCGCCTGTCAAACTGAGAAAATTTGCTCGTGTAAACGCAAATGAAGTGCTATAAAAATGAGTTCGCGTGCCTAAATTTTGAAGTACGTGCCAAAATTGATTACCGTGTAAACGGGCCTAATGTACAGAGAAGGACAAAATTAAAGGAAAGAAAATCAGAAAAAAAACTTAGCAAACATGGCATTGTTCAACGTTCTGTACGAAACATTTCATTTTCAAGATTGAGCATGGATGATCGATGATCGATGTTATATAGGCGTTAATGAGCACACTTTCGCGGTTGTGGTCCGATAATTTGGCCTCTTATAAGAAATAATACTGTGATGGCTTATAATTGATGTGGTGTGGTGGCTTATAAAAATTTTGATAAGTTTATATATTAAAGAATAAACATTGCTATGCTTAATACATAAAGACATAAGAGAACATTAGTTAAGTGGCACGTGACCAAAACGTATATCGAACAAACATTTCATCACAGTAATTATTGTATCTTTTACCGCATATTATATGATGTCACTTACCTAAAGCAAACATTGTTTCTTCAATAAACGCAAATATTTCATTAACAGTTAACAATAAAGTTTATAAAACACATTCCACGCCTGTTTAAAGCAAGTTTGTGGTTGGCTTTTGACAATGTGTGATACACGAGATTTCAAAGGAGCAGATTTCGTGGGGTAGCGCTCACCCCCCAAAAATTCTAAAATGGTATTACGTTCTGTAGACTTTGATTATAATAGTATTGGAAGCTAAGAAATTTTACAGTAAGGCATGGCCGCATTAAGGTTTTCTAGGCCCCTGGGCACTTAGTGAGTTTCAGTCCCCCATGTCTGATGTCGTTGTTGTACGTTGGCGGATATTATTCTGGGATATTACGCACGCAGGTAAGATTTCAATCAATTAAAGCTTGTAAGTGATGTGACACCAATGACTTTTCAATAATGAAATATTATCAAGCTGAATTAGCTGAATTAGCTGTAAAGATTTCACATCATGAAAACAATAAATTCTTTCCGATGGCAATTGAATACGGCAAAACAACATTTGTTTTCGTATGATGTTGCTGCTTTTCAAATTTGATCTTATTATCAAAAATAAAAACTTTTGGGCCTGGAACATTCTGGGATCCAAAAAATTTTTGGTTAATGCAGCACTAAAGTAAGATTGAGCAAAAAGTGGAATTACCTTTTCAAAGGCAAAGACATATGTTATACTACCACTTTTTTAAATTGAGTTACTACAATGCACGTTTTTATCAAAACATTAAATTTGAAATAAATTGTTAAACACAACCTGTAACCTGTTTCTTTGACATGTCAACTCGAGTCAACTATTGTTTCCCTTTATTTTCTTGTCCCTTGTTTTTCATGTGTGAAAGCAACTGTATTAATGATTCACTCGTCGTTGGCAATATTTGGATGCATAATTTATGAAGCTTTGTTGATTATTTAAAAGTACTGTACAGATATAAAACTAGGAGTCACGTACAATTCACTTAACTTTACAAAAAGTTCTTAAAAAGTTAACACACTACTTTCATTATACGCATGGTACCACTCATCCGTAAGCCTATATATCTACAATAACCAGGACAAGCAGACAATTTCAAATAATACAAAACAAAACAAATTCCGAAGAGGGACATCTCGTTTTCTTGATATTCAAGATATTACAAGAGTTTGAAACAAAAGATGGTGTAATATTTCGTCTTTATTCCAAAGACATCATTAGACTTTTGGTTTACAATGCAGGCTGCGAAACGTTTATATATTTACAAGCGGAAATGACAGTTATGTAATTAGAGAACTATAAGAGTAAACAATCAGGCAGTATACTTACATTAAAATAGAGATAGTTTCTTACAAGCTTCAAGACCACTATAAAGTTGTGGCATATTGTCAAAAGTGCTTCTAAGATGAGAAGTTGATTAGGATTATTATTTTTACAGCGATATAAGATTTTGGTGTTACTTGGAATCAAATTACAAGGATTAAGTGGCACGCGTGTGAGATCGGGGTCGGAATCAACGTCGGGAAGTGAGAAAAGGTGTCTAGGTTTCGTTCAGTTTTGCCTATGTATGTATGACCACAGCCCGGACATTTAAATTCATATACAACATTGGCTTTAGAGAGTTCCGGAATTTTGTCCTATTTGGGACAGAAAATTGATGTCTTTTTTGTTTCCTATATAACTATAGGTTTGATGGGAATTTTTAAGCTACGGCGAATTTTAAAACTTAAGGACACCTGAGTTGATCAAATCAGTGACAATAATGTTTTCAAACTCAGTGAGAATTATATTAGCTAAGACGGGACCGAGAGAAGACCCCATGGAAACCCCGTCAAGTTGTCCATAAAAAATACCGTTGCAAGAAAATATAGTTTTGGTGCATGAATCAATAATAAGTTTTTTGAGTGTTGATTTTCGGAGTGTGGTATTAATAATATTTTGTTTGTAAATGCGATCTAGTACAATGTTGATGGTTTTACGCAAAGGCACGTTGGTGAAAAGGGATTCAACATCAAAAGAGACAAACTTATAACCTTGGGAAAATAGATCTTTTGGTATATATTCAATAGCATCAGTAGCATCGAAAGAGTCTTGTAATGAAAATTTATTTAGGATGAGTGGATTCAAAGGTTTGCAATGAATTTGCCTACGTTGTAGTGAAAATGCTCTTAAAAACACACTTTTCTTCTTTGCAAATTGCTCAATTTTTACGAAACTTGGTAGGATTGTGTATTTACCATGGAACTATAATATTTTGGTGGATTAACGTTTAGGTATGCCTGAAACTTTCTAAAACGCAGAAAAAGCAACAAAAAATCGCGCGGACTTTTGGTAATTTTTGTCTTTGCTTTAACATTATTCAGCAGTACTATAAGTTTTGGCCGATTCTTTTAGACATTCTGCCAGTTTGACTAATATTATTTAAATATAATAGTATCTTGAAAAGTAAACGCAAGGTGTACTTTTGAAATTTTATGAATATAAAAATGCCATATTTTTTACAAAAGGGACTGGAGCTACCTGCAAGCTGGCATCATGCTGGCTTCAAAGATGGCGGCGAAGTAATCATTCCAGTTGATATTATAGTTCACTGATTTGACCAATTTGACAACGGTACCCAGACCTCTTCCTACCTCCAGTTCATTGTACAGCTCAATGGCCTCCAAAAACATGGCAAAACTGGAGGTACTTTTGGAACAAAAATGGCAGCTAGATACCCATGTGACCATATTTACAGAAACACCTTGATCATAATGCGAAATGCAGAGAGCAACTCTTACAAATACAGGGTTCTGGCAGCTAGATACTAGAGATTACAACAAGACTTTAAGAATACATGCCTGAAAGTATTTTTCGAAGAAACAAACGAATATCTTTGAGACAGCAGCAGGAATACCCCATTAAAACGCGACAGCGATTTGTCCATTTTATCTGACTAGGATTCATGCAAAAAAGTTTTTCAGTTTTTCTCAACAAATGGCCTGCAAAATTTAAACAAAGGAGTATTAGCGGAAACAATTACAGAAAAAAATGCAATGAAAGGCAAACAACTTCTCTATATGTCACACAAAGACGTATTCAAAACAAAGAGGAATTTACTCTGCCATCATTGAATAAATTGCCAACAGAATTGCTCACTTTAAAAATTTCCACTTATGTTGATAAGAGGTTCAATATACATAAACCAAATAAAAGACAAATAGGCACACGTCACTCGTAAATGTGTAACATTACATGACAAGAAAATGGGCACTTTCTTCATTCATAATCGACAAAACAGTGATTGTTAATTTTTTATGTTATCACAATATCGCTTCCGTAGCACTGGGATTTGTGTAGGCAACATTGGCAGAATTGTCGAGGAAGTCAGCGTGTGAGAACTTTTCAATAACCGCACAACCAACTGCGTCTCCTGTAACGTTACAAGCGGTCCGAAATCTATCCCTACAAGACAAACACAGAACAACATTTAACATTCCACCACGCAGGCCTTTTAAAGAACACTCTTAATTCCGAACTCATATCCAAAGGCAAATAAAAATTAATTTATAAAACCCTTAGTATTATAATGTATAAAAACCGGTTTGTGGAACATCTATGTCTGGCTAAAGCTACTGTACGATTCCGATAGTGCCTCAGTAATGTCGGAAGTTAGAAAAGAAGTTTTGCATTCTGATGCGTTTTTACGACAATTGAACACAAGATTGCTAATGCAAGATAGATTTGCTGATGCGCAAATCAAGGTATATTTTAAAACTATATTCATATATATTTATACTATTAATTTCATTAATTATCAATTTAATTAATTAATTTAATTCGATACTACTTAGTTAAATGATATAAATATAGCTGCAAATACATATTATCATGATTCCTTGGAGCTACTGAAGATGGCAAAAGCATGCCAAAACATGTTTATTTTAAAGAAAATTGCCGTTCCCTTGAAATGTTTTATATAGCTATATAGTGCTTTTTCAGAAACTATGATGTATTTGCGCATGGACATTATTTACTTTCGGAATCTGATATTGACGTAAATGTTGCACTTTACTTTTTTCAAAATTACTTCTGATAAATGAAATTTGATTTTTTTGTGCGTTTTCCCTATATTTTTCATCTCTAAAACACAAGTAAAGTTAGCCAGACTTTTGCATAAGTTTGACTAAAAAAGGCCCTGAAATACGGAGGGAGCATTTTGCCTCCACATGAAAAATATCCCACCCCCTTTTTGATGTTTTTCGTGATTGGTATTTCAAATATTTTACTACAGATAAAAAGTAGGCATACTAATTTCATAACACATGGCTCGCGCTTCACAGGTCTTTTTGATGTTAATGGCCTGCTAATTTCATAACACATGGTCGGCATGCCGGCACAAGTCGGCATGCTAATTTCATAACACATGGCTCTGCCACATGGCTCGCGCTTCACAGGTCTTTTTGATGTTAATGGCCTCCCAATATAAAATCTTTAAAATATCCCTGGGCGCAAATCTAGTTCTGGCAAATCTATTTCTGTTTTATGGTTAATGCTTTTTGATTAAGTGAATAAGTTTTTATCAAGAGGGACGTTCTGCTCTTAACACGTATAGGACTACTTCAGACAAGGTTCTAGAAACTAAATAGTTTTTTTACATAATTTTCACTTGAACTTAATCTATGTTAGCCGGAAGATTTCCTGTTTTAATGGAAACAAAAGTCTTATAATGAAAATCTTATCTAAAACGTTTTTTATCGTAAAAATAAGTCAAGAATATAATTCAAAACGATTAATTTGCTTGTGTCAAATGACTACCATGCGCGCATGTTCACGAATATATAGGACCATTGGAGAACAACCATGTAGTATACGCTCATCGTGAAAGAGACTTTCAAATTTTAGGGTTTTAAGATGTACAGCTAAAAACAAAGCCCGGATAATAATATGCCATTTTCAAGCCATTTTCAGGCGAAATAATCGATGGCTATACTTTTGACACGATAATGAAAATGCATCTTTGAATTACTATTAAATTTCCAGTAGCTATAAATTGTAAGATCATCAGCTTAGATCAATTTTTTTAACCACAAGAGAATATATGCATACTTACAAAAACCAGTCAATTGAGTACAGTAATCCCACATCAGTAGTAGGTAAGCCAGCAGCTTCTAGTACCATGATCAATGTAACCAATCCAGCAGATGGAATTGCAGCAGCTCCAATTGATGCAGCAGCAGATGTTAAGCTACAAGAAGAAAGATTTCAAGCTATTGCATGGCGTGATAAAATGCACAAAGCAACAGTCAGTTATAGAAGCACAGTAATTATAGCAAAGAAATGGATGAATTCACTTTTTAAAAGCATGCTATAACGAGAAATCGTGTACTCATTTGTGATATTGCATGATAGACTATGACCCCGTTCACCCGATACCGGTAGATTTTGAAAACGATGCAAAACTCTTACGGTTTGGGGGGTTGTTCACACGACGCCGGTATGAAAAAATATGAAACCGTAACGTTAACCGTAATAGTCTGAAAACGGTATGCCTATCCGTAGCAGTTTGAAAACGGTACAAAACTATACCGTTTCCGTTACGTTTAAACAGTTTCATTACGGTTTGGCGAAACTTTTGTCCCTGCTAAAAGTAACGCGATAAAATATTCGAACATAGTCGTGACGGCGATAAATATGGTCAGAAAAAATATTTGGACTCCAAATAAATATAACTCAAATAAGCTGAAAGCCGCATTAATCCGAAATAGTGTGACTACAGCACTCCCTCAAATCCTCACAAATATAAACAACCCAACATCAAATCGAGATGGGGTGGGGGAAAACGAAGAAAGACAGGCAGACTTTTCATTTCAACACCATATACCATATCCTATGTATATGATAAAAAAGAAATGCATAAAATTTATTCGGAGAAACAAATGCTTTTTCAAGAAAAAGATCAGGTTAATTTCTATATGTTCTCCACGGCGTAGACACATGTGTGTGTTATCACAAAAAGTAAAATACGTATACATATACTCACACTGTAATCAAGACCTTCCCGATGCCAAAACTGTAGCCGTTCAGTTGTGCGATGTAAATGCAAGCTACTGCCTCGTACAAAGCTGTGCCGTCCATATTCACTGTTGCTCCAATTGGTAAAACAAAATGAGCAACTCTTGTGTCAACTTTGTTTAGTTCTTTCACACACTTCAAAGTTACAGGCAGAGTCGCAGCGCTGAAGTGAATAGACAGAAAGCACAGAATTTTTTAGGTCTTAATCTGAAAACCACGACTTGCAACATAAAAAGCATCATACTAACCTGTTTGTAGTCTATTTGCAGGTTAATGCAATGCTCCTATGGTACAAGTCGTGGTTTTCCGACAATTTCTCGGATTTCTCCACGCAGAAAAAGTTGACAAGTCTTATTGAAATAGCCTATTATACATAATAGCTTAAAGTTGCCATCACTTACAAATAAGTATTTCGGAAAAAAGCGGCCATAGCAAAATTCATGCAACAGCAATCTCACTGAGACTAAGTACCTGTGCACGGATAGTCCTAATATGGTTTAACCAGCAAGTTCAGTTTAAGCATAGATGGTTGTAGCTCAAATCGCATAAACAGTTTCAGGCAAAGCACCTATTGTAACTGACAACAACACTCTACCTCGAGCTTGTTCCAAACGCCGTGTAAGCAGCTGCTTGCATATTGAACAGGTATCGAAAAGGGTTCTTTCGAATGAAAATAAAATATATCGCAGGGTAAACGATCAAAGCCTGGATAGCGATGCCAGTGATGGTCGTCACGATCAAGTATGCAAGCGATTCGAAGGTCTTCCCAATGTCCTCCATATCAACAAGCTTGCCAGCAATCAGACTGCATATGCCAAAAGGAGATGTCCTGAAACCGAGCACAAACAAAATTTTAGTGTGCTAGCGTGCATGTATGCACTAGAGCACATGGCTTATGAGTTACATTAAAGAAGTGGCTGTGTGATTACTATTAGTACGAAGTTTCGTTTAACTGACATAATGAAAGGACAAAACATTCGAGAAATCAATGCATGTCTTTTTTATCATTTACTGTTTTTTATCCATTTAACTAATACTGCCACAAAAACCAGTTTTTGTTGTAACACAGGTCGATTTTGTGAATGGTTTAGTCGTGGAGTATCCTTAAATCGAAGCATATGTGATCATCCAAGTTAGTGCAGTCCTGACATTGACTGTTGGTGTTAGAATGACTCCCCATAAGGATGCCGAAATGTCAGTAAACTCTTAGACCAACGGTGTTTATTAGTGGACAAACCTAGACAAAAATCATGATTGCACGGTTCGTGAACTGTAAAGCTTAGAATAAAGCATGCAGGCGCAATCATTGACGTTGTAAAACTTTTTTCATCTTCTTTTACTTATATTCCAAGCGAACTACATCATTTCGTTATATGGAACACACACACATATAGCTATATATACCATATACACCATACAAAATGAAGCTCACCACATAACGGCGTTAATCAACATCATAACAATCTTTAGGCAGACATCAAGTAATTCTTTGACTGGACGACCTTCAGGTCCGAGATTACTCAATGCAATACCAAATGCAATGGAGCACGTGATCATTCCCAAAACGTTCATTCTATCTGTCTTCTCGATCTTCGCCCAAACTTTTTTGGAATTTTTCTTAATTATACGAACGCTGGTGGACGTTTCATTAACACTCCAAGGATCATAGAGGTTATTTTCCAAAAACTTTGAAAGGTTGCCTGGGCTACCTCGGATATCACGAACTGGAATCGTGGTGTTATAAAGAGAGTTGACGTGATCTTTGTAGGTAGTTTCCGACTATAAGTTAAAACGTCGCTGTTACCATGACCATAATGCAACAAAAGTAAAATCGAGAACAAAATCCCATTTCTCTTTACTTAACATAGAACAATTGTTGCATTTTTTGCTGTTTATTTGAGTCAAGTAAGCAAGACTAATCTAAATGACAAAAGCTATTTACCGTACGAAATGTGGTTTCCACCAAATTGTCAGGGAAGAGATTCCTACACGAAGGAAAAAACAACATATCACTGGTATGGAGATGCTTCATTTCATCGCGGATCATGCTTCTCAACACATTCTCCTTAGGATAGAAAATCAGGTCAATTATGGTGGATGGTTCAAAGAAAAAATGCAAAAGCGAGAGCAGCTGTATTTTCTGTCATAAAACATTCTAGCATGCACAAAGTTCTATGAAAGTAAATGGTGACTTCTTACAACATTAAATTGTTTATGTCATTTTATTTAATAAATTATTCTTTTAATTGGCAACGATAAACTTGTTGGAATACACTCTCGAGAATATCTTGAGAGCATGCCACCACATTAAAAAAACATCCAAGAAATGTTTTTTTTTATTTGTCACTGCACCGAGGATATACAAGTTAGTGTTGAAAGTGCTTATTATTTGAAATTGTACGTTGCAGCTTTCTCATTCCATTTGCAAAGAACACATGAAGGGACTTCAATATTAGAATTGCATGCGTTAAATCACTTCTTTACAGAGATATTTAACTTTTCTCAATTTTTAATACGCAAACATTTCCCACCCTTTTGATTACACATCTTACAAAGGCAGTTTAAACATTCATTTCCAATTCCCTCAAATTCATTAAGGTATCACTCAATGAATCCAGCACTATATCTTAAAACTATAACTGCCCGTGTACTGGCTGCCATGACTTTATTCTTTCCCCTCAATTTAGTCTAGTATGTATTTCATTCAGTGTGTATGTTTATTTATTATCAAATCCTATACGTTTTATTCTCCTCTGATCTGTTTCTAGTATACCTAAATACATATATGCTCTCTATCCTCAATCTCCTCCAGCACTTGACTGGATAACACATTTCTGACAACACATTTTTTTAACCGTGTAGCTAATTATCTTCTCACGTTTCATCACCAGCACCCCACACTTTTCCCACAATATTCCATCTCTGTATCTTAGCTCACAGTATGTACGTACTGTCCGAGATCATGTTTTTAAACGGATTTCGATAAAAGTTCATCCATAAACAAGAGATCATTAAATTTCTAAAGTCTCTTTCTCTCGATCCACTTTCATACTCTTCTCAACACAAACGAAAGTAAAAGCATAATCAAAACAAACAGCAAAGGCGAAAGACTGTCCCGTAGGAATGTGCCTCTATTGGAATGAACAACTTCATAAGTCTGTCTACATGACATCAGCTCATTCATCCATTTCTTCATTGTTCAATATGTACTGTGTTACTGGAATTACTTTATCATTTATGGCAGCGATAAGGATTGCATCATTCAGTCAGGGGTTCAACTAGAACGTGAACTGGGGGTGGGTTGGGTGATGAATGTTCATATATTCAGTTGCGCCCGCGACTGATTTCTTTTTAAAGTGCAATGGCCAATTGGCCGTACCGGTTCAGTCTGTACAGAAACACTTCAGCCCGATTACCCGTAAAGACCTCAAGTCCTCAAGCTAGGTTAATCAAACTCGCCTAATTATACGCTTACAATCTATTCGATTCTATTTCCATACCATATTCAAAACTGATAAATGTACAGCTTTCACACCATTTCGTCACGCTCAGTCGATCAACATCTCCTACTATCCTTATCGACGAAGAGTGTATGCTGTAAAAAGTTTTCTAGTTTTTCGATCTAACCTTTCAAGTTATTCTCTTATCAATTTGATTATATCCATATCGCATACGATAACGACATTTATTGCTGTTATGCAGCTTGCTCCATTAAACTTAGTTGATACTATCAACATCATCTTGCGTTACATCACTGTTGGTTTTAGAACACGTTATCTTTCTACTTCCATTTCGAGCTCATGCAAGCGTGAATTTTAACTGGACATCCGAGTCAGAACATATAACACTAATTAATTGTTCAAGTTCAATAATCATCACAATTGTTGGGTCAAGTGACATGATAACATCTTGATTTAATTTGGTAATTTTGTGTAGTCTTAAAACCATTATCGTACGCGTATTAAAATTTATCCGCAACCAAACGGTGAAATAAAAATCATATGCCAATAATTTCCGAGCACCTGATTGGGCATATCATTGTTCTTCACTAGTGAAAAACGTATCTGCATTCTGATTGGATATAACATTTTTTCACTAGTAACAAAATGCATATCAAGTTTTATCACGAATGGTGAACAGCATTAAAATTAAAGAAAACAAAAACAATATTTTTTGATTTCATTTATCAATAGCTTTGCAATTTGCCAAGACAATATCCGTAAGCTAATTCAATATAAATGAAAGAAAAATAACACAAACAGCAGGACATTGGATTTCTTCAGTAATTTTCATCGTCGAAACATGACTTTTGAAGCATGAACAATATTCCCGTCAAGCAACTTAATAAATATCTAAGCAAGTGTATTACGCTACCTTCTGAAAGAAAAAAAAAGTAAACAACGAACCTAGTTCCTTTGTAAGAGAGGAATTGCCTTTCATAATGTCCAGACATAAACGGCGGAGAAACTAGTTATTCTCGATAAACAATTTAATTGTGTTATTGTATTTTTTCATACAAATTAGGTGGTTGTTTTAAAGTGTTTAAAATTGTGCCATCTCTTTGACGAAAATTTCACTATAATCTAAATTTCAATACTCGTATGATAAAAAGATTACTTCATGGTTGGTTCGTTTGTACGATTTTTATTATGCACTTGTTGAGAAAGATTGAAAACCAACGAGTGAGACTCGTGCATAAAAATCGTACGCACTCACCAACCATGTCATAAACTCACCTACTGTCATGTAGTAGTTTGATAGATTAAGTAGCATTTACGTCTGTTCGAACCTCATTCCAATTGGCCTTTGTCAAAAATTTTTTGTCTTGATATCCGTTTTTCTTTTATTTGTGAATTGGCAAATGAGCTATGTAAAAGAAGCCATGTTGATTCCAACCATTTCCTTTGGTTAAGAGAATTTAAATAATCAAACTGAACGAGCAGCAATCATATTTTCTGTTATTGTGGTTATACCAGTGATGAAATATTAGCATGACCCTCTTAAATTGACTTTTTTTATACAGATTGGAATATGCGTTTGTTAAAAGCAATTTCTGTTTGATTTTTGTCCTAACTTTATACATTTTCACAAAACGAAAGCACTGTTTACCTGCATTTTTGCCTGCATGCCTGCATATTCTACTGAGCTACTGAAAAGATGTGGCATATATTTTAAGTGTTATCTCGATTCTTATTGCAGTTTCATTTATTTTCAATTGAATCGTTTTCATTTTTGCCTATTGTGTGTACACAATTGCCTGTCGATATGGTGCTTTCTGTTTCTCGAGCTGTTGTTTTTTGTCAAAGAAAAACAATATCACTAATTTTATTCCATAAAATCTAATGAACGTACTGAGTCTGGCAAAAACCAAAACAAAATGACGGACAAACAAAATATTTCATTAAATATGAAATTGATGATTCAGCCACGTACATCAGGTATTTTTATTACTTGCTCGAAAGCTTTTTTCTTTCAAATTCACCAAGAATATGAAAAGCTTCGTCGTTCAATTGTTCAGCTGCGTATTGTATGATCGTAATGCCAATACGAAAGGGACACTAAACAACACGGTTTTCTACGCTTACACAGTCTTGAGTAATGAATGCTTAAAAATGTACTTATTACTGAACAATTTAAAAAGAAATAAAGCAATAAAGTTGAGTTAGCTGTTCTCGTACTCGTAGTAATCATCTTAACAAAAATTTACTAGACTACAAGTACAACTTGTTTATCGAACCCAGATCCCTCACGGTCTAAACGTAGCGGTAGTCGTACTCAAATCTGAAACTCCAATATAAACTGTTGTCAGCTTTATTACATTGTGAAGTTTAATAAGTATCGGCTTCCGCATTTTATTCTAACGCCCTTTAGCTATATCATGATTATTTTATGATGCGTGACAATGACTACCTCATAATGACAGAATGCATTTCTTTGGGAGGTTATTTAACAAATTTGATCACCATTTTTAATTTTCTCGATAGTTTTTGCATTAGTTTATATATCATGTAAAATAAATAATATACTTGCGGCTCGTATGCATGCTTTGAAGCGACAAAAGCAATGCTGGCTACGTTGAAAATGACGTTACAGCTCTAAGTGCTTTCCGAAGTTCATGGAAATACAGTTAATAATTGTAATTATCCCAATGGTAGCTTATGTCAAATTAAAAGTCGCTTAAAAAACAATTTAATATAAAGGCACAACATTTATAAAGCATCCAAACCTTATCAGATCCAATATGGAGTCCATCGCATTGACATGTCTTGGTTGCGATTTCTCATGCTGCACTGCGGTATCTCCTGGGCGAATACTCAACACCAGTATTACACCAATAATAGCGGCGATAAATGTCGTTCCTAAATAATAAATCACCGTGCGTCGACCAAGTTTTCCTGTAGTTGCGGTGTCCAGCGAAGCGACAGCAAGCACAATACTGGTGATGATCAATGGGATTATAAGAAGCTTCAGGAGTCGAACAAATATTTCGCCTACAAACCCGACCAAGATGACAATCTTTTTCCTTTCTTCGAAATCATAACGAGAACTTTGAACATGGCTATTCAATGGAAGGCCAATGATGAAACCACACACAACCCCAACAATGATTAGAATCAGAAGCAAATTATTAACGACAATATTTCGGAGCTTAGTTACTAGGCGAACAGAGGAATCCATTAAAACCTTTTGAGATTTGGGCGAGAAACAAGAGATGCTAATAGGAGTAAGCGACACGAACGTACTGTATACGTGGCCATATGAAGTATTGAAGCGTTCCACATGCGAGTTTCACGTGACTGTTTTTCACCTTAGTAGTAGTGCTACTATGATTTATTAGTGAGCTAGAGATCTTAATTTACATTTACTATAAAAAGAGAGTGTTGTTGCCTGATGCGTCTCTCAACAAAATATCTTATGTAGTACACAACATTAATGTAACCTAGCGCATTTTTTTCGCACTGGCGATGGCACAAAATTGCCGAAACATGTCTGAAATAAATAAAAGTTTGTATTTTACATTAAGTTAGCATTTGTGATGAATGATATTTTGATTTAGGTGTGTTACTACACAACGTAGTAACTCTTAGTAGCCTGCTACAAAGTTGCTTGTACTTGTTTATTCAAACGGATTTCGTTCATGCAAAACGTAGAGAGCACTGGGCACCATTTATCACTATATCTGGCAGTTTGAGCGCACAACCTTTCGACCCTTTGATATGTACTGTGGACATTTTCATAATATCATGCACTTTCCACATGAAGACAGCAAATAAATTGCATGAACGTGATGTTTGGCAAGGCATTAGCAAAGCATGACCATTTACAAAATACATTTACATAAAGGGTGTGATTGTGTGGGAAAATGTTATCTTTATAAATAGTATAGCACCTTTGCAGTTTTCAAAGTTTCAAAAACGTAGTGGTGCAACATTTTATTTTGTATGAACACAGAACAAATATACTTGATTTATAGACATTGTATAAAACAAAATGTTCTCGATTCTCTCATCCAATTTCATATTACAATTTAAATTAAAATAAACCAGCGTGATCTCATCGAAATTACATTGATAGCATTACTAGCACTTAAAAAGTTAACCATGTGTTAATTCAAATACAATCAAGTGGCTAAACAATTTACTATTAAATAAATGTTGAAAATAAGATAAATTTCCTCTTTAATTTCTCATTAAACAACAACAGCGCAAGAGAGGGAAAGACGGAGAAGCCGTTTGATGTGCGAAAAAGGTCATATCAATTAAGGTATGCCAAGTATGCCAACGCATGCATGTTCATCATCGAAGAAAAAAAATTATACCCAAAATATTGGATATTATATATAAGCGATGAAAAATTAACACGACAGTTATGATTCGAACAACATGACCCTTAAACGTCACAATTAAACCAGTTCAAATACAAGGTGCTAATCAAATCATCACTAAGCAGCTTACTCCAAGTTCCACCAGCATTCAAATACGTATTCATTTTTGGACACAGGTTTCATTTAAACGCGCTTTCGGCTTTTTCAACCTCCGGTAACATACTCTGAGTTACAAGTTTGTAAATGTAGATCGTCCAGGTTGGTATAGTCCTGAGAAGGTCTGTTTTTGTTGTTGTTGACTGACGTTGTAACATGTAACGATACTCCCGGGTTCAAACCATTTACTTTATACTCTGAGCTAATTAAAATAGTGTATATACAAAAAAAGCGATATAAATTTTATTGTGCAGCGATGTTTCGATGCTTCATGCAACATTTTCAAGCAATGCTTTATACATAATGATTTTAAATTATTTAAATCAATTACGGAAAGCACATGATTGGCTATTTGCAAATGTTATCTTGCAAACAGCTGCTTTTTTAAAATCATTACTATTTGTAAACAATACTTGCTAACGATGAATGCATCGAAGCGTCGTAAAATAAAATTTATGTTGCTTTATTCGTTTCTAAATTGTTTTCTATAACCTTTTTGATAAATGATTAAAATAGTTACGCTATTCAATAAACGTGTTTATATGCTCATAATCAAGTTGATCTAGGCGTTAAGTTGCGCTTCATCCGGCCTTTAGGGGCTGATTACATGAGCCCGGTAGCAGGGATTCAGCCAAGCGTTAAATGATTTTGGTAAATGGAAACGATTCAATACTTATCATCCGATAAATCTTCTCAAGCAATTTCATGATATTCTGATTTAATAACTTCTCAAAACATTTAAAATTAAAACTACCAATTAGCCATAATTTGAGAATTACAACCGGAGTGACGTGTAATGATTCGCAAACAGTTGTAATTTTAAACCTTGAAGTTTTGGCTCCTTTCAATCCCTTGAAATCATCGGGCTAGCTTGATATCCGGGCCAGATCGCCTCCATATAATCAGGGCCTTAGTCAAAATAAAGTATATTAAGATATCCCTTTTTTAAATTAGAAAAGTACCTTCATAACAGTGCAATAACAGTCCTCAATTTTCAAAATTTTACAAAACAAATTGCTTTTGAAGTGTGATTAGCTATATATAAACATTAGTTGTATTGAAGAATAAACTAAAAAATTATTGAACATTGATTAACCAATCTACCTCTGACTTCAACCAATATATCTTCTCATCGACTTTCCCATCACAGTTTTCGAGCGTAAATTTTTATATTCAAACGCAAACCAAATCGCTCCAGCTATCCACGTTAGAAACAATAGCCCACAATATAATAGAATAAGGTTTTTGTGAAACATAAATGGGGCAGTGATACGACCTGCCACGAATCCAAAATGACTGGCCGAAAACAACAAGCCTTGGTAAAATGAGGTTTCTTTTGGGTTTGTTATCTTAGATAAGAGAGTGCTTCCAAGAGCAAAAGCGAAGTATGGCGCACCTAAGCAAATGTAAGGAATAAGAATGTAACCGCCTGATGTGTTCATTCCAGAGTCCCAGTGAAAACCGATGAAAGCAAGCAAACACATAGGAGCGAGTTGAGTAAGTACAGAGAAAGCCATAAGAAATCTTGCATCAAAGTATTTTGAAGCAATATAACACGATAGTATCAGGACGATCCAAAAAATGGCACTGACAAGAAAAAGCATCTGTAGATGTATCATTCTTAAGTGAAAATTTTCTTGCGCGAGCAGTGGAACGAAAAATGTAACCGTTACAGAGTAGAATACGGCAGAAAACACGAGATAGTAGAGCATTAACACAGTAGACAGAGAGCCAAAATTTTTCTTACTAATTTTTGTCAGCTCCCATTCGCCTTGATCTGCTTCATAGTTAAGTACTTTTTGTGTGCCAAACTCTAGCGGCAGACATAGAGAAGCAAACAGGAAAATGGAAAAAAGAAAAGCATTTGCAATACCAGGTGCATTTCCAGCATTAATTTTCCAGCCTAAAACATTGGCATTAAAGTTTAAAAACGCACTAACCGCTGGTGCAAACAACGAGCCGACAGTATATAGCCCATCGAGGATTAAGAATACCTTAGCTCTGTATAGTTCGCTTGTATATTCAACCACCTTTCCATTTAATACTCCTGCAGATCCTTCAGCGATCCCGCTAAATAATCGACCGAACAAAGGGCAATAGACTGAAATGGGAACAGCGTACAAAACATTTGATGCGACCTTGAGAGCAAAACATGCGATGATAATCGTTCGATGGTTTCCGTATTTGTCTGCGATTTTCCCAAGGATCGGAAGCGAGATAACAGCAGCAACTGGAAATGCAGATAGGACAATACCGAGAAATACCTTGTCCTCTCCCAAGGATTTAATGTAAAACCAAGCTGACGGTGCAATGAAGGATTCTTCTGAGCCTTCCATGAAAAAGCGGAAGGCAGCAAGAAAAAATATCCATGGCTTTAAGTAGGTGAAATAAAGCTTCATGCCAACGAATTTAATGAACTCCTATTAAAAAGACAAACATGCTTTCGTGGAATTATGCATCGAACAGACAATATTGATTAACTATGTAGTAGTCAAATTCGTCATGCCACTGTTTTTTGTAATAGAGAAATGTTATCATCACTGACTTTATTCAATAAATTTATCGTGAGCTTGTAGAGTTTGGCAAAAAAACAAAGCACGGTCAATCAAAATATTTCATAAATATGAAATAAATTATTCAGCCTCATCTGGTTTTTTCACTACTTGCTCCAAACCTTTCTTCTCACAAATTCACTTAGAATATGACAAGGTGTTCTGCGCTTAAACACTCCTGAGTAACGAGTGCTTCGAAAATAGATTTATTATACAGCACATTTTAAGAACAAATAAAGGCTATGCATATTTAAGAACATTCCCATTTGTCTTTTTCTCACAAATCTATTGTTTTTGCAGTGAGTGAGCATTGGAAGGTTTCCATGGCATGACTGCGTGAGCAGCCAGGCTAAAATACTGTACTGGAATTCCTACTACAGCCAATCAATTATAAAAGTGTTATAAATGTTCCAATCCTTCAGATTTATTTTCTCCAACCCAACTTTTTAATTGAAGCTTGTTACGTAGTAGAAGAGGCAAATTAATGTTTTACAGATTGTTTGAGAGAAATTCACGGTTGTGAGTAACTACTGAACTAAATAAGCTGACAAATAATGATTGATAATAATTAATAATTGATAATAAATAATAATAATTGATATATAGCAAACAAATCAAATATGTACAAGCTCTGTGCATGTTTAAAAAATCTTTAGTAACAGATGTTCTTGACATAGCTTTCAAGTATTTGTAAAAAACAAGGTGATTTTAAATGTTTTAAAATAATGGAATGGCTGCCATTTTTGTCATCCTAAACATGAAGCCGGTATAATTAAGAAATAATATGGCTAAAATTACTATTTTACTGTTGCTAGATAATAATTATCATATTATGACAAAGATGGCACATGGATCAAGAAATATAAAAATAGGGATCAACAATCAGGAATGCCCCCTAGAACGATAATTGGGTGGCCAATATTCATATATGCATAGTATGCTGTATTAGTTTCTTTTGAAATCCATTGTTTTTTACTGATTATAAATGAATGTAATATGAATATTGCCCTCCCCCCAATTATCATACCTGTAAACAATGCCACAATTCACAGCTAGTATGCAATGTTGCATGTACGTTTACACAAACTGCCTCACATACACACATAAAATTTCTTAAATTTGACCAACTCTTCACATGAATTGTGACCAGGGATATACCAGGCGGAAAGCGTAGTTTAAATATAATTATCAAAGCCCAGCAAAGTGCTTTTAAAAGAGCCATTTAATGCATAAAACGAAATATTTATCTAAAAGTGTAATGTTTCGTCTTGACTCTCAAGACATCATCAGACAATATTGAATTACAAGTATAGAGGGATATATATATAATAGCTATTCAGATGAAAGTCTATATATATATATATATATATAGATATATATATAATAGTCTTCACATGAAAGCAAAATGATGTTAACTAATGCCAACTTCTGTCATTTTTCTATCTTCCACGACTCTTTTCCATACCTTATTCTATAACTCATCAATTTTATTCCTCTGTTGTTTCTACAGCTCAAGAGGGGGAGGGAGAGCTGATATTTATATATGTGCATCAAATAATCCAGAAAAAACAATTGATTACAAAAAAGGCCCCATTGCTGCATGCTCTGACACTGTTCTCCCCAAATTTGTCACGCATATTCTCACACTCTATGATCTTGTAAGCAAACTGAAACAAAAACTTGACAGACTCCTTTCTCAGACATATCCACTCTTCATTCTGAAGAACACTTCTAACTTCATCATTAGCAACTAATCTTGGCAGGTTAAGGGTCTATAGATCGTCCTCATGCCCTCCAGTCTTAGTTCAACCTCATTTTTGTTATTTATCAACTCTCGGAAGTACTCGTACAATCTTCCTGTCAAACATATCTGGAATATATCATCTGGTAACATGATGAGGTCGTGTACTAATGAAGGTCACACTAACAATTACATTTGCTTTAAGACGACTTTACTTTCCCAAGCTCGAGGTTTTTGTTTACTCTTGTAGCATAGGTAACATTTTTATTATAAGCACATTGGTGGAACAATATGCAAGTCTGTTCACAGGGGTAGGTCTAGTATCCACATTTCCCTTTAAAAGCTATGCAGTTGGGTGTAAACTTTCAGAAAAATTACCTTAGAAATTGTACATGTATGTAAGGTTGATCACGCCGTAGTAATGTATTTTTGACCTTAATTACATCTGCACCATGATCTAAGTGCATTTGATGAGAACCTGCTTATCATTGCAGCCTTGCCACATGATCAATACCACTTATGTCTGAATAGCTGGTCTTATTATTATAGCCTTGCTATTACACAATGAATGGTTTTGTAAAGTCGAATTATACAGTGAATTAGTTTTGTTACACAATGAATAGTTTTGTAAATTTAAATCAGAATATCAGAGTATGTAGTATAAATTTGACTAACTAAAATCTAGATTAGCTCAAACATAATGGTTGATACAAGTGTCAGACTTGGATCAACACATTTGCCAGGGGTTGATCAACATCGACGCACAAGCAAAGAAAACCATCATTGAAACTATCATTGATATCCTACATTATAATATTATGTTTGGAAATTGTCCCATCTCCCTCGGCTCGTCGACTCGAACAATAAGAAAACTACTAACCTCGTTTAAATGCGTTGACAATCACTGAATGCTTATCCCAATCCAATCAATTGTATATTTTAGCTCATAATTCATAAAACAACACGAACCATTTTCTAAAGATGGTAAATTTGTTGGCAAATTACCGAGCGTAAATTCTACCACGAGGCATGTAAATACAGTAAAGGCCCGTTTACAAGATCCGATTTGTCGGACCGATTGTTTCGGTTCCGACTTTTGGTTGCTTGTTCAGACGGTCAGAAAATTTAGTTGATATATATATTCGTTTTCATGGTTTAGATATTTATAGTTGTGTGAACGGCCATTTGTGTTATCCAGGACATTCATCGATGTATATTTATCGTATTTTTTGATGTATATTTATCCTTTTTTCTCAAATCTATTTAATTTGGCTAGTCGGCTTCTTCTGATCTTGTCTGATGAAAATTGAGGAAGTCCTATTTCCATCCGATTTTTTAGATTGACGGATCCGATTGTCAATTTATATGTGTGGCTCACTTTATATGTGTTATCCGACAAAATTGGATCGTGTGAACGGGCCTTAAATTCTACCAGACGACTCTTGTTTTCCGCATTCCGGAAATAAATTGATTCATGAAATGAATTTATCGACAAATGAGTGGTGTCAAATGTAGATCAATCAATCCACCTTTCCGACGGCAGAAGATGCTCTTGGGGCAAAATCTTGGGGCATTTGTAAATCTTGTTTTAGAAATCAAGTACGACTGATTATAAAGGCAGAGGGTATAATAGTGAATAAAAACCATTTTCCGTCAAATCAAAGGAAAGCTTGGATATGACATTTAATATGTATGCAGATATAAAGATGTAGAGAAAAACAGGGGCGGATTGAAACTATGTCACATTCAGCACGCGACGTTGTTAAATTCTGCACAGCAGCGGAAAAAATTAATCAAATTTTAAATACCCTTAGCTGAAAATAAAAAACAATGTGCAGGAGATGGAACGAAGCTCGTTTGGTCGAAACGACCAAGAGCATTTTTCTATGCGTGGTTTGCAAGTTCGAATCTCGTCTCGGTAGGGTGTAGTTTGTTTCGATGTGTGGATAATGATCATGAATTCTTTATCCTAAAATTAATTAAACTTTTTGTGTCCTCACAACGAAAGCATTAGAAAAATAAACTATTGTCAGGGTTAGGGATAGAATTATGAGAAATTTGTGCAACAACGTGCATTCACTGAACAATGTTATTGTTTCCAAGACCTGGATTAAGCATGGGATTAAGGGATCAACTGGCTAAAAATACTTATAATTCACTTGCGGGAGAAATACCCATAGCTAAACGGCACAGAGTCAGCACGCCTAAAATTGTGCTGAATTGGGAAACTAAAATCTGTCTCTTGATTGGTATATTGCCGTTGTGCTGACTAACGAGCCACCGTTTTTGCTGAAATGTTCAAGCGGTGTTGTGCGAAATTCAGCACAGATTGAGATTGTTGATAGCCGAGGTTTTATCTTTGAGCTTCAAAACCAACAATATTAATGAGAAGCATGGCATCTTTTACTGATCGAGTCGAAGATGCTTTTACGAGGAAAGATGAGACTTTTATGGCTCAACTCTACGGAGAGATGTTGGATTGCCTGAAAGTCAACAGCATTGTTACCAACGATAATTTGTTGGATCGTCTCGGTGTTGATATTTTCCGAAATATCAATGCCGAATTTTACATACCGCAGAGTGCCAAGACAAAGAACACAGATTTGGTTGCCTTAAGGTTAGAAAACTTATAACATGTTATGCATGCATGCTTACACAAGAATATATAAGCAAATATAAATTGACTTGATGTGATGCCCGATGGATTTGTCATTTGTGGTTTATTTATGTGATTCAAAACAAAACAAATTTTCAAATTTCGATCATATTTAAAGCGTTTCTATTGATTTATTTCTTGATGTGTTCAATAGTATACTTAAGATAAGATATACAAAAATGAACTGATGCATGATATTGGAAATTTACATAACATTATTTCAGATCTGCTACAAATGGCAACTGCCTCTATAGTTCATTGTCAATTCTGCTTGTTGGTGACAACTCTGTGGTGACTATTTTGAGGCCGATGACCTCTATAGAATTATTTTTATATGCTGATTATTATGCAAAACATCCATGTTTTTCAAATCTTTTTGAAAGTCAGCATAACAAACACTTTGATTCTATCTCAAGCATGGTGGCCATGTCAGTCTCTTTTGAAGCTATTGATAGTGCTGGAAGTGGTTGTTCTGTTGCTGAACTGGTCAGGCAGAAGCTGTGTTAAATGCAAAAGATATGGCATGGACTGGGTTTTTTTTGTTTGTTGGCACTTTCTTCATTTACATCCTGTAGCATTTTTTCTTATTATCCTGACATATACTCTAGTGCTTATAGTTGGAATTTATTATTTAACAAAAGAATTGAACCTCGAATTCTATCTAGAGCTTGTGCTTCACTAGTAATTATTTGCGAGTTTTATTTGTCTTTGAAGGTTTAGCTCCTCAAGCAACTGCATTCAAACACAATCATTATGTGCCTTTCATACTTGGTGGGAAGGGAAGTAAAAGAAAGGGAAGTAGTCACTTGGCACAAGCTAAAAAGCCCAGTATACAAACAAAGTTAAGGTTTACATCTGGTCCTACTGAGACAACCATGACAACTAAGGCTCATCCATATAGTATATCTCACAGTAGCGCTTTGGGTTCTTGTGATCCTTCTTCTTCTATTTCATCTTCTACCTTGCAAATACCAGATAATAAAACTGCAAATGCTGTTTTCCTAGAAATCCATATGATGTTGGTTTTTATAGAGAAAAGGTGAGAGGTATGGAAATTCATGAAATTGAAAAACTTGTGAAGAATGTATTCGTACCTGATGAATGCTATGAATTTCTGTGCACTGTTGATGCAAATGGTCGCAGTAGGTCCTTTCAAGATGATTGGCTGAAGGATTATCTTTGGCTTTTGTATTCTCCAAGTCTTAATAGTGGTTTTTGCTTACCATGTGTTTTGTTTGGTGATAGGTTTCCCTCCAAAAACAGTCGAATTAAAATATTTTTTCTGAGCCATTAACACATTGGTCTGATGCTAAAAGTGCATTTAAAAGGCATATAAGTACATCATCAGGTCTTCATGTTCACACTTCTGCTCTTTTTAAGGACATCTTGGATCAGACTTCCGGTAAAAGTCAGCCAATAAACGTCATGACTGACAGTAACTTAAAGAAAAAGATTTCAGAGAATAGGAAAAAATTATTTCCAGTAGTTGATACCATCATTCTTGCAGGTCACCTTCAGTTACCACTTAGAGGTCATCGGGATGATTCTCACTATCATCCTGAAGTTGGTGAATATTCTGAGAAGAGATATGTTGGTAATTTTATTGAATTATTAAACTTCCGTGTTCGTGCAGGACACCATTTTGGAAACACATCTTAAGCATCATGATAAAAGGCCTCCTACATTTCTAAAACTACTCAGAATGAGTTAATTAGGTGTTTTGGTCAATTCATCACTGAGCAGCTTCTAGTTGAAGTAAAGAAGAGCAAGTTTTATGCATTGATTGCTGACGAAACATGTGATATTTCTAATAAAGAACATTTCTAATAAATGTTATTGGTTTTGCGTTTTGTTGACGAGGAGTTCAACATAAGAGAAGAATTTTTTCGTTTCATTCATTATAGTGAGGGTATGTCTGGGAAGGACCTTGCATCTGTGATTTTGAAATGTTTAAATGAAGAGTTGAATTTGGACATTCAGGACTGTCGTGGGCAGGGTATGATAGCGCAGGTGCTGTTGCTGGATGCATTAATGGTCTTGCTGCAAGGATTAAGAATTTGAATGAGAAAGCCATTTACACACATTGTTTCAATCACAGATTAAATCTTAGTATTTGTGGGACTTGTGCTGTTCAGTATGTAAGAAATGTTTTGGAACATGTGAAGGAAGTTGCTAACTTTTTCAACTCTTCCCAAGGCAGACAACTAATTTTGGAGAAATGCATTTTGGAGAGCACTGTCCAGATTCTGCAAAAAAGAGATTGAAAAGTGCTTGTAAGACAAGATGGGTTGAGCGTATTACTAGCTTAGATACTTTTGAAGAACTGTATGTTGCTATTGTTTTTTCCTTTGAAGAAATGAGTTTTAACGTTGAAGGCAAGTGTAATCGTGAGACCTCTAGTAAAGCTTCCCCTCTGTTACATCTTTTGACATCTTTTCATTTTATTGCAGCACTCGTAATAACTAGATGTATTTTTGATCTTACTCTTCCAGTTACTCAGTTACTTCAGTCTTCTAGTAATAATATTGCTGACGGTTTGAACTTGATTGAGGCATTAAAAAAATTGTCGAGAACTGTAAGAAATGAAGTCGATGTTTATCATGCTAATTGGTACAGTATTGCATTGACGATGGCAGAAAAGGTGGGTGTTGAAGAGAAATAACCTAGAACTTGTGGTCGTCAGACAATTAGAAGTAATGTTCCGTCAGAATCTGTGTCTGATTACTTCAAGAAATCAATTACCATTCCTTTAGCCGATCACTTGTGTTCTGAGTTAGAAAAAAAGTTTGATTCATCTGCAACTAGCATATGTTATGGCTTGTTTTTAATTCCATCCAAGTTACTTTTGTGTCTTTCTTGTGGCGTTTCTTGGAAGGAAAAATTTTATTCATTTTCTTCTTTGTTCTTGGATAATCTTCCAAATCCAATGGCTTTAGATGGCGAATTTGATCTCTGGCAAAAATACTGGAAATCGTCTTCTACAACTTGTCCTCCTGAAAATGTCTCTTCTACTTTAAAGTCGGTAAATTTTCCAGGTTTTGAGAACATAAAAGTATTGTTGAAGATCTTAGGTACTATTCCAGTCACTTCTTGTGAGTGTGAGAGGTCGTTCTCTGCTATGCGAAGCTTAAAGCACTATACAAGAAGTACTATGGCTGCTGACAGGTTAAATGGCCTTGCTTTATTGTATATTCATCAGGACATTAATCCAGATATAGAAAAGATTATAGGTCTTTTTGCAAAAGACAAAAGAAGAATTGAACTAGCTTTCTAGTTTGGAGTGAAAGTTTTTGATGCCTTTTTTAAACTCTTGACTGTAAATATGACTGCCGCTAACCTCAGTCAATATAAACACAAACAATCGTTCTCAAGACTTTACTTACCTGGACGATTGATATCTACAAACATTTTTTTGCTTTTTTTGTTGACAACATCATTTGATAAATTGACATAAAATCGTTTGCATAATAATCAGCATATAGATATGACTAGACCATTATAAAATGAAATTCCATATAAAAGATGATGAAGCGTAAAGAATTTTTTTAGGCTAAGTTTGTAATGAACCAGGCCGTCCATGTCGGAAGCCCTCAAAGCATATTTTTCTGCGAGTTTCCTAGGCATGCTGATGAGCTCTGATATTGAGCGAAACGGTCAAAAATCGATAATTTATGAGGAAGAATGTTAGCTCATTCCGGTAATAAATATTTTAGAAAACCAACAGCAAAAACGCAGGAAATAGCGTTTTTCGCAATCCAATTTTAAACTTTTACCGGGGGGACATGCTCCTGGTCCCCCCTAGGAAAGTCGCGCTAACGGTGCGACTTAGTGCCTAAGTTCATATACGAAGCTGGATCCGCCCCTGGAGAAAAATAAAAAGATTTCTAACGATGTCGCGGATATTACGAGTACCGTAACAAAGTGTTGATGATACGCATTTGTCAAAACAAACTTAAGAAGACAAAGATCATGCCAAAAAATACGACTGGAAATTTGCTAAGCGCATGTACAAGCACCAATTTCAGAGCTCGCTCGGCCACAAATTAATCGAGAATTAATCTGAGCAGGCGTAGTCAACACCGCTACCTCTCCAAGTTCATGGTTATGGCAACGACCAACTGGATGTAATAGTAGCGACTATGGAGTAAAAAGCTCGCTTAGTCAAAAATTTTCGGATATATCATTTGAGCATGCGCAGTCCACTCGACGAATTGATCATAGTCATGGCAACCACTAACTATATGTACTTGCCCTACATTTATGGCAATTAGTTCATTTAGTCGCAAATTATCAAGGACATCATATGGGCATGCGTGGTAATGTTGTCAATCACGGCCGAAATCTCCTACCGAAACGTTAACATGCGGCGTTTTAGTGCCTTACGCTTAGAAGGTATCGGGAAGCATGGACCAAAAACAAGATTTCTTGCTTTCGAATTTAATCTTTTTGTTTAAAAGAGTTCTTCTCATAAAATAAAGCAAGGAATGTTTCAATTAACTTTTTCTGACACTGTGCCTTTTTTGACACTTATAATTCAGCTCAGTCAACTTTCAACATGTTTTATACAATTTTTATTGGTTTACATTTTTCTGATTTAATTCTCTCATTTACTGTTTCTCATGTATCACAAGCAAAGCATCCATGGGCTTCATGGCAACAAAGATCATCTGGTTCCTTTAATTAACATGCGACGCTCTAGTGCACAACTATTTCCAGGTATCGGGAGGCATGGACCGAAAATGGGAGAATTGTTTTCAGAATTTGTCTTTTTTCTTTACAAGAATTCTTCATAAAAGAAACTGGAACATCCAAGGATACTGCAAAGGTTCAAACAACTTCTGCCTTTTTGAATTATAACTTAAAAGAACTCTAAACATGATTATACGTTTTTTTGTTCTTGTCTTTTACAATGTAACTTTCTCATAACTGTGTCGTGATGAACGAGAGCCTCCTTATACAATGAAACTCTTTCATCGTGAACGAAAGCATCCACAAGCTTCATGGAAAAAGGGATTATCTATTTTTTTAATAAAAGTTTTTACAAAGATTGAACCCTTACGTCATTACATTTTGATTGAGTTTGGAGAGTAAATTTCTTTTTACCTTACAATATTTTCATGATTCAATCTAGAAAGTAACTTCACTTCTCGAGTAATTTTGCGATTAAACAGTACACTTTCTGAATTCCGAAGGACTTTTTGCATAGAGACAGCCGTCCAATTTATTACGTAAATGCATGTAGTACGCATTTTGTTGTAAGAAACCACCCTACCAAATAATATCCAGATCCGATTAAAGCTGCATCGAGCGAAGAAAATTGTAAGTCATAGAATACTTTCAACTGTTATTTTATGATGTTTATGATTCGATAAATGAAGAGATTCGAGACGAGATTCATGACATCTTTGAATACAATTAACACATATATTTATGATAAGACAATGCTTTATATGTTATCATTTGCGTCATCGTAATTTTATTCATTTAAACTTATAGCTATAGTGTATAAATTGTAAATGAATCTGAAAAGCCAGTTTTAGGGAGAGTTCATTCATCAATAATAATAATAATCATTAGTGATTATAAGATTGCAAAACCAACATGTAATAAAAATAACAGTTCAAAAATTTGTATGGCTTGCTTTTTTGCACTTTATGCAGCTGGAATCCGTCCTGGATATTCACGCCGTAAAGGCCAATATAATCATTACAAAAAAGCCACTAGCGCAAGAACATGCCAGTATTCAAGCTTTCATTTTATCGTTATGCTTTTTTCTAACCAAACTGGTTAATATTTACTGTTTTGCCTTTTGCCTTTTTAAATAATCGTTCTGAATAACTAGAATCAGATTTACAAATGCCCCAAAACTCAAAAGCATCTCCTAGCCATTTTATTGCCACTATTCTACTTAAACAGTACTGTATAACCGACCATATGATGGTCCGAATTTTGTAATTTGATCTCGTATTTTTGACACGTGTGTCTACCACTTATGTCTACCATTGCAAAGATGGACTGCAGGGACCAGTTGTACGAAGTCTGGATAGCGTTGTCTACGGGATAACAAATTTTTCTCAACGTTCATAAAATCTCTTGTAGGAGAAAAGTATATGATTTGAACTGTGAAATCACTGAAATAAAATAATGTTTCGAAGATTACAAAATTTTTTTGTCATAAGAAAAATATAAACACCTTTTTTACAAGTTTGAAAGTCTTCGCTATCCAATGGATAACGCTATCCGGGCTTCGTGCAACCGGCCCATGGGGTTTTGCAGGGGTGGAAGTGTGGTATTAATAGTTGGTCGTCGGGTTTTTCAGCTAAAGCACTCAGTAAATTTATGGTATCCAGAGACGTACCGGGAGGGGGGGGGGTGCCACAACCCACACTTTTTGAAAATTGGTCGGTAAATATTTAAAAAAAAGTTGCTTTTTTAACAAAAGTGGTAAGTCATTTAGTAAGAAAACAGGGTTCGTAACAAGGGAGGATAATTGTGGGGCTATATTCATACATTCATATGTTATAATCTGTAAACACAATTGATTTCAATGGAGACTAATAAAGTAAAACATGTATATGAGAATAAGACCACCCCTCAATTATCAATGTTCCGCCGCCCTTGGTTCGTAAAAGTGCACAAAAACCTTGATAGTCCTGGAAAAAATATATTAAAAATTCAGACCTGAAAATCCTGGAAAGTCGCTTCCAGTTCTTAAAAATCCTTGAAAATAAAAATTATTTGTTGTTCTGTTTTTGTGAAACTGCTTTTATAACATGTACAACATAAATCATAATGCGCTGAATCACTTTTATAAAAGAATCACATTTATAAATTAAAATAAACTAGAACGCAATGTTGTAGCCATGTTAATATTAAGTAATTTGAACATGAGTATGCTGCCTCCCACAAAAAAGTACAAGTTAGTACATCATGGTGACATAACACCTACCTCTCCTCCCCCCCCACACACACACAAAATCCTTACACACTTGTAGATCACAGTGCAACCTATATTTCGAGTTTGATAAAATCAATCTGAAAGTAGAAGTCACGTTTAAGTAGCTACTGTTCAAATATGCATAGAACTTTATCTTGCAAACAAGGACTCTTTCATGCGACTTTCCCCAAAACATTCGCTTCGACGTACAACATCCGATTCAAGCAGGACTTGAAATAATCCTGTCTCATTTTTTGCAAAATTTGGAAAAGCTGCTTTATGTTGACAATAATCTGTAAGAAAATTGTGCTTCACGTTGTGTTTTGTCCAAAAAACCGGATTCATAGTTAAAACTTTTTGTGAAATGTAAAAAACTGGTTGAACAAGTGTGGTTATCGCTAAATTTGCTTCTATCAATTGTCGTCAATAAGACTCACAATGAACCAATTCCTGAAAAACCAATCAGCTCGTTGACATTGTCGTCGACTGTTAATTTTGATATTCAAACGCAAACCAAATCACTCCAAATATCCACGATAGTAACAATAGACAACAATATAATAGGATATAATTCTTGTGAAACATAAATGGGGCAATGATACGACCTGCCACGAATCCAAAATGACTGGCAGAAAACAACAAGCCTTGGTAAAATGAGTTTTTTTTGGGTTTGTTATCCTAGATAAGAGAGTGTTTCCAAGAGCAAAAGCGAAGTATGGCGCACCTAAGCAAATGTAAGGAATAAGAATGTAACCGCCTGATGTGTTCATTCCAGAGTCCCAGTGAAAACCGATGAAAGTTTGCAAACATATAGAAGCGAGTTGAGTTAGTACAGAGAAAGCCATGAGAAATCTTGCATCAAAGTATTTTGAAGCGATATAATACGATAATATTAGGAACATCGAAAAATGGCGCTGACAAGAAAAAGCACCTGTAGTTGTATCATTGGTAGATGAAATATTTCTTGCGCTAGCAACGGAACGAAAAATGTAACCGTTACAGAATAGAATACTGTAGAAACAAGAAAATAGCAAAGCATTATCACGGCAGATGAGCGTAATATCTTTTTAATTTCGCTCTTAAGTATCAATAGTAACCTCCTTACATGCTATCGTTTTTTATGTTTATCTCACTCGTTCTCATCCCTAGATATAGTTCCTGTCACCTGTCCAATTCTTATCAATCATAACTATAAATTAAACTATGAAAGTATCTGTTTACTACATCACTTCCCCCTTTTTAAAAAATGTCTATCTCCACGATAATGCGCTTCCATATCTTTGCGGTGCTTTTTTGTCTCTCGTTGACCTTCTATTTGTGTTGGTTGAAAAATCCGTGTGCATTGTTCGTTCTTATTGAAGTCGTTGTAGAATTTCTCGGTCTTTCCGCATTCTGTGCCACTTCCACAGGATATTTGTCATCGTCAATATCGGTGTTCATTTCATCATTCTTCATGGGATTCTTTTAAAATGTGATATATTTTTTGTGATTTTGTGACCATCATTGTATTGTGCTGTGATTTGTGATTAGTTCTTTGCAATCACAAAGTATGGTGTCGTGTCAAAATTAACACTTTACAAGCAAAAGAGTATTAGGAATCATCACGTGCACACGCAAAACATTTCTATGCACGCAGTAAAACACTTAGGTCGCTATAAATTTTATGTTGTGGTGTTAAAGAACGCGAACTATTTTATACCAGCTTCACCACTGATAATAGTAAGTATCGTGTCAGATGATCAACATGAGTAGGTCATTGTGCACGTGCTTCTTGCATGATAGACTAACTTCGTGCATTCCCACCTTAAAATATTTCGCCGTTTGACTTACAGCTGTATATTAGATTACTAGCATTTAGCCTTTTCAGCATGACTATTGGTAAAAAAAATGCAATTGACCGGCTGCATTATGCCAATCACATGAGTAATAAGATCGTTGTATTATTTGTTGTCTGCCTGTTGGCATTGCTCTAAATCCTTATTAGAAGGTGATTAATATTCATTTATAAGACAGCAAAATCTAATTGATTAAATTTTGATAAGGCTGGTTCATTTGTATGATGGGTGATACAGAAGGTCAGTAGATCTCCAATTGTACATGCAGTTGTACATGCATTTCATTGTATCAATTCAATGATTTATAATAGCAGCTGTATTTTACCTGCATAATTGCATATCTCTGTGATTACGACATTTTAAAAAACTATTATTATTTTAGAAAATAGTTCCAAACTTTTTTGCATCAAATATACTAAAACCTTCATGCTTTTTAGCCTATAATATAAAAAGATGCAACTGCAAAGTGCTGTCCGTATTTTGCAGGAATAAAAGCCTCCAATGGCTACGATCTGTCATATGAAGCTCGAACGAACATAATGGATTCATCTGCAGTTAGCCTGGCAAATAAACTCCGAAACATTGTCGTCAGAAACTTGCAGGTGATACTGATCATTTTGGGGGTTGCTTTGGGTTTTATCATTGGCCTTTCGTTGAATAGTCATGTTCAAAGTTCTCGTTATGACCGCGAAGAAAGAAAAAAGATCGTCATGTTAATAGGATTTTTAGGTGACATATTCGTAAGGCTTCTGAAGCTTCTTATAATTCCCCTGACAATCACAAGTATTGTGCATGCTGTCGCTTCGCTGGACACCAGAACCACAGGAAAACTTGGCCGACGCACGGTGATTTATTATTCGATTACGACATTTACCGCCGCTATTATTGGTATTATACTGGTGTTAAGTATTCGTCCAGGAGATACCTCAGTGCAGCATGAAAAATTTGAAATGAATCACGTGGATGCATTAGATTCAATTTTGGACATGATAAGGTTTGAATGCTTTATAATTTCCCTGAACTGAAACGCCTAGTTGTGCATTAATACTCAAGTTACTAATTTACCTATATTATATTTTTTTCATCTAACTTATTTTCAAGGTATTTCCTCTGAACATAGACACGCTAGGATTACGCACAATTCTTGTTAACCATTGCACGCCATCGATCTCTAAAATTAAGGAAAAAAACGAATGAATTGTCGATATGAGAATGCCTTTGCAAAGGAATGATGTGATAAAATTAAGAAATAAAAGATGTTTACTGTGTTTGCATGGGCTCTCGAGCATGTGCAACTCTTGACCTTCGGTCTCGGGCTTGCACTGATCTGCCAAAGGTCTCCTTGGTTTGCATAAGCCAGTGCAAACACGAAAAACATCTTTTATTTCTTTTATAAAATAACAATAATGCGAAAAAGACAAACAATTTAAATTTTCCTCTGAAATATATTCATGATTGATTTGCAAATTCTCTTTGACTGATTGATTGTTTTGATTGATTTGATTGGTTGAGCTCAGATGTGTTTTGCACAGGCTAATGCAAACACGGCTTCAGACCAATCCACGCACGCGTTTTATTTTTATTTTAAAAGATAAAATGAAGAACCTATAACTGATATTTGTTTTTTATTGATTATGTAGAAATATTTTCCCTGACAACTTGGTGGAGAGCACATTTCGTTCGGTAAACTGCTTTTGTCATTCATTCTAGTTGCAAACAACTAGAAGGCAAACAACTGCCTTCACTTATAAGTTGTGCTTTCCTCATTACTTTTAGTTCTATTCAATTTTGCAATCCATTTGATTTTATGAAAACTGTAGGATCAAGAGGCATAGGGTTTAGATTATGCTAATTATTATGCAAATTATTGGGCAAATTATTACGCAAATGAGACCCGTATGAAAGCATGGTTTTGGGATCTTTTGAGATTGAGCACAATTCATGTATAGTGGTGTTTTTTTTGTACATGGATGTTTATAATTAATGGCCAAAATACGAGGTAACGATGATTATGGCTTTAGGCCTCCTTGTCAGTTATGTTCTATACACTCTGTTGTTTAGAACCGTGCGTTTGACGCATTGTATTGAAATAAAGATTTATCTGTATATCAGTCGCTGTTTTAATACTAGTTGAATGTACGAGTATCTTGCTGGTCACATAAACCTGGAATTGTTGAAGCTTATAAAAACTATTTAGATTAATAAAGATACTCTGATATAGACTTTGAACTGCTGATGAATTGAATGCACTTGATGAGTTTGTCTTAATTCAAGGAAAGTTTCATAGTAGTAAATTGTTTACAAATGTCTGCTGAAGTTCCTGTTGCAATTTCATTCTGGGCATTTTGCCAAAAAGTATATACTACACAAAACTGAAACTTAAATTCATATTTTGCTTTAGCGGAATTTACTTACAGCTGCATTGGCTGCGATCCTTCACTTTTGTATCCTAAGCCAGCATACGGCGTTGTGTAGCTCTTTATATTCCACCTGCATTTACTTTCATGTAGCGTTGGAAATATTTTTTCCAGATAACCGTTTGTCTATTTTTATGTGAACAACTGGCAAACAATAGAAAGATACATCATTTGAGTCGAAAAACACTTAGCATAAATTTTGTTGTCTTCAGTTGATTTATGTAACGCGATAATTTCCGATTTTGAACCGCACATTTTAAATGATTTCAATGATTATCTCCATCGATACTATTGTCAACATGTTACATGATCACACGTTCTCTGATCGATTCATATTCATAAGTATTTTTTTACAACTATATTTTTACTTATAGACCCAAACTGCTTACAAAGATGACGTCACGTTTATATATAATACAACGATTCCAGATCGAAATATCCGAGGGAGCCTGGAAAACCTTACAAAGTTTTTGGATAACAACGTGTATGATCCTTGGATTGTTAATGAAACGTCACCAGATGTTCGTGTGATTAAGAAAAATTCCAGAAAAGTTTGGGCAAAGATCGAGAAGACAGATCGAATGAACTTTTTAGGAATGATTACGTGCTCCATAGTATTTGGCATTGCATTAAGTAGACTTGGTCCTGAAGGTCAACCATTAAAAGAAATACTTGATGTCTGCCTAAAGATTGTTATGATGTTGATTAACGCCGTCATGTGGTGAGTTTCGTTCAATGTATTAAATGTTATGTTCGACTGTGTTGAATTATTGAACATTACAAACTGCAATGGTTTAGATTGCTTTGATTATGAATAACAATAAAAAGAAGAAATGTTCTAATTGAGTATGCAACTCTTTGGCCAAGTAAAATTTTAAATGCTATATTCGACTTTTGGGTACATGTATGCACAGAGCAATATGGCATTTTGGGTCTGCATTTGTATATCGAAAATATTTGCTTCTTCTTTCATTTTTTCTTAGCTTCATTTTAAGTAATTTGCTTTCACCTGTCGACTGCCAGAGCAACTAAGAATGTTGCATTTTCTCGTTGAATGCATGATTGCGGATGATAAGGTTTGGGCTATATTCTGCTTAGAACGATAACTAATTTGACACTAGAAGCTAGATATTATACTCTTCTCTGGTTTTGTATACAACATCGTGCCGTTTTCTACATAAATTCAGGCTCTACCCTTGCAAAATTTTCACATTTGATTTCACATGTGATACCGGAATTTCATATATGAAATAGACATTTTCATATATGAAAGAAAAAATTTCACACATGAAATTAAATTTTCACATGTAAATGTGAAAAACAATTTATATTTGAAATTACACTTTCATATATGAAAGGCTAATTGTTCACATGTAAATTTTTCATAAGTGAAAAACAATTCATATATGACAGATTCTATTAAAATGCGTATTACTCCAATTGTCCAACAGACTTTTTGAGTCCAACTGGAAAAGAAATGATTTTTTATGCATAGTATTCACATAATCAGCAATTGGCAATTCAGTGAAAATCGTTTGATTTTTAATCAATGTTTTTCAAATAACAATTTGCTTCCAAAACTTGATCGGAGAAAATACATTGCAAAGTAACGAGACCAATCAATTCGCTGTTGTCACTCGATGCTTGTTCCTCGCTTCCGCACCGACTTAGATTATACATGCTACTTCCCCATTTGTTTTCTTTTACGCCAGCTCATGCCCAAAGAGCAGGTTAGAACAATTGACGCAAACTGGACAGTGTAACCCAGACTTACGGTCTACCCAACAACACGGCTACTTTTTGTTTCGGCAAAACACTGCATCTATTGCATTATGAAGTAACCCATTGCAGTAAGCCTATTAATTGGGACCAACAAAAACGCCGACCTAAAGCAATCCACCCGCCCGCCCCGATTATACGACCAATCAAAACAGAAACCATGTAATCAGATCAACATGCAGTATAATTTGAGATTCTTTTCTTAGAAAACAACATGTTCAATGCATTTGATTACTTATTATGTTTCTATTGTTTAGTGCACACAAATTACTGCGCTAAGCAAAGGAATGAATACAAATTTCGTTGCGTTGCCTACGTTTTGAATGTTTATCTTTTCCTTTAAGTTTTGCATTTTTTTTCCTTCACTTGTTTCATTTCGGACAGATTTTCAAACCGCTAACATTAATCAATGTGCTCACACTAGAAGAAAATACTACCTTTTTTAGGATATGTCCTCTTGGTATCGGCAGTCTGATTGCCGCCAAACTTGTTGAGATGGAGAACATTGGAAGTACGTTCGAATCACTTGCATACTTCATTGTGACTGCCATAACTGGCTTTGCCATTCAGGGGTTGATCGTTTATCCGACCATATATTTCATTTGCATTCGAAAGAATCCTTTTCGATATCTGTTAAACATGCAAGCTGCTGCTTACACGGCGTTTGGAACAAGTACCAGGTAGAGTGCTATTTTCATTTACGGTGTGCAATGGCTGCATGTAGCTGATGTTGGGATAAATACGTTATAGATTGCAATCTTAAATTCAAACATCTTAACAACAAGACCGTTCATTAGGATTTCCTAATGGATGAATTTTACCAATTGACTGGGTTTTGCATATGTGGATTTCAATATAAATCTATGGAAAAATAAACTATTGACGACCATTCCTTCAAGCAGGGCTGAAACTTGAACGTTAATTGGGGGGAGGGGTGAATATTCATATATTCAGCACTGCCGGACTGATTTTGTTTGTTAGCGATTTTATTTTCAAAAGATGTTACCGATTTTCAATTAACGTTCGAGTTAAGGCCCTGCCTTCAAGCCCTTTTTCACAAACCAAATTTTAACGACAGCTGGTTTAGACGACTTAAGTACGTTGATCTGCATTTATATATTCATTGAGAGATTTCGATCTAACAGAAACTTTGCTTTCTTGATACTTTTAAAATTATTGACAAACTTATAATAGATGCTAGCAAGCCATTATAATGAGATTTTTCAATACAATGGGACTTTTTTGCCATCATTTTGTCTGATGATGGTTTTGAAATAAAACCGAAATATTACACTTTTAATTGTCTTGCTCAATAGCTTGAATTTAAGTTTACAATATGTTTTTTTTCGGATTATGTTTTACTTAATATCTCATGAAATTGTCGTCTGGTCAAGTATTAGCTAAGCCTCATTTTTGAGATTCTAGACTAAAAGAGCGCTTTAATGTCTTTTTACTTTAGCGCTGCAACTCTACCAGTAACCTTGAAGTGTGTGCAAGAGTTAAACCAGGTCGACTCAAGAGTTGCTCAGTTTATTTTACCAATTGGAGCAACAGTGAATATGGACGGTACTTCTTTGTACGAGGCAGTCGCTTGTATTTATATCGCACAACTAAACGGCTACAACTTTGGTATCGGAAAGATCTTGCTTACAGTGTGAGTATATATATATTTTATTTAGTGTTTATATGCCGAACCACAAATAAGAACCAAACAAAACAACTTTTTTATCCTCTCTTTTTATAAGACAAAACATTTTTGCTTCATGCATCTTTTTTCACATGTAATATTGTCCACGAATAGTGTGACTAAAATCAAGTCTGTGCGAGGCCACTTTATGTGCGAGGATTCTTTAACCATGCACTCAGTCTGCTCAATATGAAATTGCATTCTTTAGTTGCGCGACTTTGCAGTTAGTAGGCGTAAATATAATTTTCAATCTGGCTAAGCATTACATTATGAAGATTCTAAAACTACTGGTTTATTTATTGTATTTCCGGCTTAATCATCATTTTTGATACATTTATCAGGCCGTAATTTACAGAGATATTTTTGTGAAATAATTCACATTATGTATAGCAAAGTGACATTTTTGATACATTTATCAGGCATAATGTAAAGAAATATTCTTGTGCAATATTTTCACATCATTTATAACAAACTGAAATTTCATTTTTTTGTATGTTGCAGCTTTACTTCTGCTGCCGCATCAGTTGGGGCATGCACTGTACCTTCTGCTGGATTGGTTACATTGATCATGGTACTAGAAGCTGCTGGCTTACCTACTACTGATGTGGGATTGCTCTATTCAGTTGACTGGTTTGTGTAAGTGCATTTTATTTTGTTGAGCCTGTTGGGCAATCGTTCTTCACTGAGAATTTGATTTCCACTTCTGGCCGGATCTATAGTTGAAATTTTTATTTTTCTATTGATAGTGACGTTTCGTCTAACGCTAGATGCTCTTCAGACAAATATACACTCGAGTGCGTTACAGCACAAAAGAGATCTATGTAAAAAATAAAAAGTCCTTCATAAATACGCAACATGGCTGAAGCTACTTACAATACCAGTCACATACTATTTATATCATCAATTACATGAAACAAACCCTCTCGATTATCATGACAGTCGATTTGAGCTTTACTTTCTAACATTGACAATTTTGTTCAGTTATGGTTTATATAAACACAAATCAACATGCGTGCATTATTTCGTTTCCAACTTCTGAGACATATATGACTATATACCAATAGCTTTATTGATAATAACAATTATGATATCAATAGTAAACTTTTCATTCACTCTTGGACATGAAATGTGAATAAGTCAGGCCATTTTTTCAAACAATCTCTTCAAGTCATGTCGCTGTTGTACCTTGAAAATAAAATGTCCAAACTTTGTTGTGTAGGGATAGATTTCGAACAGTTTGTAACATGACTGGAGACGCAATTGGTTGTGCTATAGTCGAGAAGTTCTCACGTAAAGATTTAGACGAGTATGCTCCACTGTAATTTGATGCATCTTTAAAGCTCAAGAAATTTTTTCGATGGTTTAATTGAAAATCTTCGTACTTACGGAAACGGTCACGTACTTATAATCACTGGAGAATTTTGATAAGAAGAAATACTTATTTGAAAACGATAAATAAATATGTAATGATGATTAGTCAAGGAACTGTATAAGAGTTTATATACATTTCATTTACCGGAAGTTATCTCAACTGTTTTTGGGCAAAATGACCATAACGAACAACCTGGCATATGTGTCTTTTCCTCGATCCGGGACGAAAGTGTCGACATAGCTCTACCTTCCAGAAACTAATAGCAATAATTTATGGTGTTAAGAAGGTTCACTTTCAGGAGTGGTCATGGGAGGAAAAATTTGGATAAGTTTAATATTTACTGAGAAAATTACTATACACCAGCTATGGTCAAGCGCCAATTTTGCATAAATTAAGAAATATTCTAGTCAGAGATCAAATTTTTATATTTTCAAAGAAAAAATCATACAGGATGAAAAACCTCACCCAACTCACTCTAACTATTTGTTATTTCAAGCAATTGACATTGTTTTTGCTGGCATACGATAGAATATATTTCGCGCACCTTCCTTTAAACCCGCTTTCAGCCGTATTTTGCCGTCTGTATGCTTTTTATAGCCAAATATTGAATAAATTCGGCCATTCTTGTACATTGTCATGATCACTGATGACAAAACAAGATATCAACATCAGTTTAGTTAAGTTTGGACGCAGTGCAGTGTGTTTTAAGAAATTTCGTACACGGACATTACTTTAAATTCGAAGTGTTGTCGCTTTTCTGCTCGGTAAGTCCCGTTTCTTGGACTTCATAAGTATTCTGATTGCAGTATTGCAAAGAAATACATTGTACTTAAGTACCAATTGAAAAAATGAAAAGATTAGCTTTATCTGTAAGGGAAAAACCTCCCTTAGTACATTAAGGATTTGGATTCAAAACACAGCTCTAAAAAAACATGCAGATCAGGCGCGAGCTTCGTGAAATGCGAACTTTTGATTAAGTTTGCAAATTTTTACGTAGTTGATTTCATAATTTCATGCATGGGATGTCCATGAAAATATTGATACCAAAAAAATTCATTAAATTAATGTCAAAACGTGAGTGCTTGATGTAGTATCGGGGTGCAATTCATTTGCAAAGACAATGGAATATTAGGAAACTACACATCTAGTTAATTTAAACAATTAAGAACGGCTTATTTTAGATTGCAACCAATCTCCAAGGAAATATCAAACAATGGTGCTCGCCCACGATGACTGGTGCTCACAAAAGCATTGATCAAGTATTCTTTTGTAATAGACCACCAGCATGGAGACTGTGATGCTACCCCCTGCAGGGATTTTGATGAGTCTATTTAGTTGTCGTAAAAGCTGAAGACATTATTCTTACAACGATCAATACTGAGTCGATTCTAAATAACATCTTTACGTGATGGATTGAAACAGCAATCTCAATCTTAAATGAAAAAATGCCCAGGACGTTCTAGAGCTGCCTCATATACAGTTCAATATAATAGACACAACTCAATGAACATTCAGATATGTTTAGCAGATTGAAGAATTTCTCATGAGCAGTAATTCTTGACTTGCAACCGTTCTCTTGATATTTACCAAACAATGTTGCTCACCCACGTCAGCTGGTACCAACAATAACTCTGATAAAATATTCTTTTGTACAATACCACTAACATGGCTGAATTGAAAGTCAAGAATTTGTGTTTACATTGGTAATTTCTGATGTTTACTGTATGTGAGCAGTTTAACGTTCTCAACTTCATTAAAGCATAATGTCCATTTTTGATCATTGACTATGGGATTTTTAAATACCTGGATAGTCGAAGAGAATATTAGTTCTCAACATAATTATCATAATTACGATCAGAATGATTAACATAGAAAAAAAGATAACTGCTTACTTTTAACATTACTCACACCGAGTAGAATTTCGCCAAAGCGGATTTGTCTACCACTCATTGCATAATGGGTGTGCAGCACAGCCTCAAAATCAGGGGCAACAAGAGCCACACAAAAGTCCAACAGGAACAAGAACTGCATGTTTTCTTTGGCTCTATCGTTCTACGAGTTTACCATTATGGTGAATACAACCATCCACATTTGCTCGTAGCTTCCCTATCGTAATTCATTAAGATTTGCCATTCAGCAAATGTCTAACATCAATATGAAAAGGCACATTTAGTCGCGATAATGAAAATCACAGGCTCGTCCACATTTTGTCGACATCAGTCAAAGAACAAGTTCTCTGTTAAAAGAATATAAAAAACCACATTTACCTTTACTTAGTTCGACCTATGTAAACTATTCTTTTTGCATGCATGAACTGACAGCGCAAATATACAGTGTTGTATTCTGATTGGCCATTTTGCTAGGTGCGTCATCAATGGTGCAAAGGCCTGTATGCTTTATGTTTAGTGCTATGATTAACTATCTCAGATTCATTCTTTTAGCACTTATATATTTAAAAAAAGAATACATTTAAGTGATTTAACGGTTTTCTGTTCAGTTAGATACATGGATAAGACATCATTTGTGATAAGAATAACTAAGAGTGATCACTGGCCCACGCGACTCGTTGCCATGTTTTTATGTTCTTATCATAAATGAATTCATACTTGTGTATCTATAACTGAAAAGGCAACGGTTAAAGAATGAGACTCAGTTATGCTTTGTTCGCTTATGTTCACTTCTGTAAATCAAAGTTCCGCTTTCGAATACAGAGTTGCATAATTAATCAACTACAATATTACAAAAATATGCCAAAATTGAGATAAGATCCAGACATGACTGTGTCGCGTTAGGAAGATAAAGACGACAACAACCTGATGACAGAATAATGATTATGTAGAAGGTCACTCAAGTGTGCAACGCGTCCTCACGTTGGTCATTATTCCAGACAGATGATTAGGATTAGTCACTGGTTTCCAACCATTAAAATTACATGACGTCATTTATGAATAATGAATTTGAGAATATTTCGACTTAAGGAATGTCTTCGGATCGCTTTAAAGGCTGGGAATAAGTCAAAAACCCAAATCAACTGGCTGAAATAATAGCAGCCGCTATGCGCGACACGACATGCGCGAAGCATTACCGCGAGACTCATTCTATAAATGTAATCTATTTGTTTTGTATAACAAAACAGAAAACATCTCAAATTTAACTGGTAAATAACTTATACAAGTTTTTTTGTTCTCCCCACCTCTTGGATTTGTGAAAAAGTCAAGATTTTGTTATTTTTGTAAATCTACACGACCATGATCTATAGGATTGAAGAATTGCTATTGGCCAGCTTGAGAATAACGGCCTAACGCTATGCTACTGGTAAAATTTATTGGAAATCTGGTCATGAAATTGCACACAGTATTGAATAATCTTGTTTTTACCAACCTTCCCAAACAGTAACATGGACACAAAAGGATTGAGTATTAAATAAAATTAAAAAGAGAATACTAACAAATAGCAATTATAAAACATCCAGTAGTAGCATTACGAGATACATTAAAACATCATATTTAATCATGCATAATATGGGACCTTGGTGCTCTTTCTCAGATCTGACAAATCGGATCGTGTGAACGGGCCTTTATACTGCTTTAATCCACTTATTACAGACACTCATTACCGTTATTACTTTATTCCATGGCCGTTTTAGTATTATTGAGAGAAAAATAAACTATTGTTGAATTTCTTTAGATTTAAAAGAGGCATCAATTTACAATGGAGAATACTCGTCATCGTGTAAGTCTTTGCGAGAGAACTTTTCGATTACTACACAACCAATTGCATCTCCAATCACGTTACAAACAGTCCGAAGTCTATCCCTACATAAAGACAACGCAAGACATAATGATACGTTTAAGAATTCATATCCAAAGGCAAATTATTATGTTTATCATTTAATCATTATCATAATTATCAATTTTGCTATTGGTGTCATAATGTTTGGATCAGAAGCTTAAAACAACATTATTCATGTTGATTTGTGTGTACATGATAATCACAGTGATAAGCCATTTTAATTCAATTTAATCTGTCGTTGAGATAATGAGGCCCCACAATCTACAAATCTAGCATATACATCCAGTTGTACAAGTACAGCCAATCAGCCATTTAATATACGTAAATGAGACTTTCATTAAATTTTTACTTATTATCAGTGAAACTACAGGTGTCCAACAGATTTAAGACATTATTAGAGATTTTTTGTTTCACAGCATCCAGGGGCGGATTATCTAGTAGGCTAAGTAGCCTTAAACCTCTAGGAGCCGGACGTTCTCGAAAGTTCGTACGCATATCTCTCGGTGATCGTTGCTCGTGAGCAACAACGGCTTCTAGAGGGTTAATGACAGGCCCGGGCTTTCAAGAGGTTCGTTGTATCGAGACATATTTAGGATTTGGACGTTTTTGCTATTCTGGGCTATAGCTAAACTTGTTTAACTCAGATAATTTACACTGTTGAAAACATTACGATCAATTGAATGCAGAGAAAAATGGCTTTCGTTCTATCTAATATTTAAATGCACGTTGCATAGAACTCATGAAGTATTGGCTTTTCCATTTTCCCTGATTTTGTAAATTTTCTTTGAACTTCAAAATGAGCATTTTGATTTTTTACCGGCCTATGGGGTTACAGACAAAAAATGCAAAAGCAAAGGAAAACTGAACGTAGTGGTTAGAACAGTTATCACAACAACTTTGTCTTAGCCTACAGGCCTCGTAATAAGGCCTAACCGCATCACAACTCTTTTCTAGTTTTTGGATTTTTTAACAACCGAAAAAAAACAATATATAGTATAGATAACGCAAACTCTACAAAAGAATATGTATACTAACATAAACCAATCAACTGAATACAGCAATCCCACATCACTGGTGGGCAAGCCAGCAGCTTCTAGTACCATGATCAGTGTAACCAATCCAGCAGAAGGAATTGCAGCAGCTCCCACAGATGCAGCAGAAGAGCTAAGACTGCAACATAAAAAAGATCATCAATTCAAATTGTTGTATGGTGTGATAATATTGCAAAATATAGCTTCATATAAAGTACGCTATGGTTAGAAAAGCTCCAATTACAATAAATGTTTAGAAAGAAAAGTTAAATATTTGTTTAAAAATGTTTCAGAATGCATTCTAGAGATCGTATGGTTTTTATAATATTTGCAAATTACAATAGCAGTCTGTCATGCAGCAAAAATACAAGTTCATATTAAGCAGGCTGGAGGAACGTAGCCAGTCCACAAGCTTAGTCCTACTAAGTAGGTCGTATTCATTTCTTTGACAACCTAACATAGCAAAAATTAACGGAAATATTAACATAGCAGGACCAAACTTGTGGGTTGGCTATTCCACAGCAGGAATCTTATGTCCATAAAAACAACTTTCTGCGTATACACAATATCATAGATGACAAAAAATTAAAAACAAGAGTTTATTGTCTTTTATGTATATTAAGGAGAGAAAGAGAGACGGTCCAAAAGGCATGTCAAAGAAAGGTAATCCTTAGTTCTGTGAAATTCATGAATTTGGCATAAAAATGCAAAACCTAAAATACAATATTTATACTTACACTGTAATCAAAATCTTTCCAATACCAAAATGGTAGCCATTTAGTTGTGCGACGAAAATGCAAGCGACCGCCTCGTACAACGCTGTACCATCCATGTTCACTGTTGCTCCAATTGGTAAGACAAAATGAGCAACTCTTGAGTCAACATTGTTTAGTTCTTTCACACACTTTAATGTTACAGGAAGAGTCGCAGCGCTGAAGTTAAAAGGCATAAAAGAGTTCTCTTAAGTCAGGAATCTTAAACAGCGGCGGACACTATTTGTACTTCCATTAAAATTTTATCTCATTTGTGCATACAGCAGTAAATATCACGAGAAGCATTGAACAAGTAAAATCTGACGCTTTTTTTCTGAAAGTTGTAGATTTAACATGTTGCTCCACTTTTGTTCTGCAAAAATGATGACGGAGTGCATTGGCAAAGTCTCATATCTAAATGTGTTAAAAGATATAAAGAAAGCAGATACACAGCTCAAATGACATTTAAAATGCCCGCCGTGATTTTAGCCTTCCATGGATGTTTGTATTAATGCATTCTCGACATTTACAGCAGCCAATTGATTAATAAAAATACATGGCAAACAACATTGTTGTAAACGTATTTCGAATTTGAAATTAAAATTTATAACTTTTTTTGTCTATAGTAAACCAAAGATTCGCGATTTGGCATGGAACTGCTATGCAGTGGCGCCGCTAGAAGGATATTTGAAAGGGGGTTGATATACTCATATATGCATGAGATGCCGTATTAAATTCCTTTAAAATCTGTTGTTTTCAACAGATTACAGCATGTGTTTAAGAATATTTGCAGTCTCCCCTTCCAATTTATCTTTTTGGCAGCACTACTCCAGCTGTGGCAATGAAATCTCTGAAAAAGTCTTATAACAACACTCTACCTGGAACTTGTTCCAAATGCAGTGTAAGCAGCTGCTTGCATATTGAAAAGATATCGCAGAGGGTTCTTTCGAGTGCTAATGAAATAAATTGTCGGGTAAACGATCATTCCCTGAATAGCAGTACCAGCTATGGCTGTCACAATGAAGTATGCAAGTGATTCAAACGTCTTTGCAATGTTCTCCATCTCAACAAGATTGGCAGTGATGAGACTGCAGATACCAAATGGACATACCCTAAATGCATGCAAAAGGTCAAATACGTAGCTTCTAAAGACACATTTTCTAATCAGATCGCTTTGAAAAATGCACTTTTTGATCAATCCTATAACATCTCATTTTAATCGTAGCTCATTTAGTTCAGTGATTGTTACATATCTGCTTTTTTCAAAAATTTGTCATTATGAGATGTATTTTCTGTTCTCAGCTAAATGTCTTCATTTTTGGACTTGTTTTTTATAAGTTAGGGATATGGATGTTAGGAATAATGTGAGAAGTAATAGTGCTTCTTTCAAGAAGCAGAGACGTTAATTAATATTTCATGTCATGATTGGACAATTGGAGAAAGTCTTTATTTTAATAAAATCTGTAAGGTCAATGTCTGTAAAATGTATTTTTGATGTATATACATGATGTACAAATCCAAGCTTCTATTGCTTGGTGCACAATTTGTACCAACAACAAAAAGATCTATTTTGTTCGTTTTTTGGACTAAAGAGTTGGTTACTCCGAATAATTGTAATGCTATAATCAAAACAAATTAAGTCATTACGTAACATATGCATTTATTATCTGAGCAATTACTACAACATGCATCAAATACAGCACACATTAAATGTGCAACTCACCACATGACGGCGTTAATCAACATCATAACAATCTTTAGGCAGACCTCGAGTAATTCTTTGACTGGTTTACCTTCGGGTCCAAGTTTGCTCAAAGCAATACCAAATACAATTGAACACGTGATAATTCCTAAAACGTTCATTCGATCTGTCTTCTCGATCTTCGCCCAAACTTTTCTGGAATTTTTCTTAATCACACGAACATCTAGTGACGTTTCATTAACACTCCACGGATCATACAAGTTGTTCTCCAAAAACTTTGTAAGGTTTTCCACGCTTCCTCGGATGTTTCGATCGGGAATGGAGATATTATAAAGAGACGTGACGTCATCTTTGTAGGAAGTTTGACTCTATAAATGAAAATATAGCTATCATAAAAGAATAATATGATTCATCAGTATTAATGAAGATTATGCATTAAAGTTAATGATAATGAGCCGGTTAAAAAAGAAAACTGAGCTAAACACAGAAATTAGCTCAATACAGAAACAAAATCTTTGTTAGGAGTTTTTCGAGTGTCACATTTCCCCGTATCTCATCAGTGTGTAAATTACTCGCACGAATAATTAATAAACAATCACTTGGAGATTTACTGATTAAATACAAAGATTTTAGGAAAAAATGACTGCTTTCGTCAGTATCGTGTGGCATATATTTGGGGAGAAGTTGCAACAGAAAGAAATTGGAAAGCAGCTTCAGATGCGACTTTTGAAATGTTTACTTCTTTTGAACTTTATTAAATGTCGTTGAACTTTGACACATCTACGCCATTCACTTTATGAGCAGTTACAACGTAAAGTACCGTAAAGTCATGAATCGACTGTAAAATTAAGTATGCAATGCACTGAGAACATAACTTATGTAAAGTAAAGGCAGACGTTGCAGTTATGAAATGAATGACAACGCAAAATTGAGTATGACAACTGCAAAATTGAGTATGACAACTGCAAAATTGAGTGTGACAACTGCAAAATTGAGTATGACAACTGCAAAATTGAGTGTGACAACTGCAAAATTGAGTATGACAACTGCAAAATTGAGTTTGACAACTGCAAAATTGAGTGTGACAACTGCAAAATTGAGTGTGACAACTGCAAAATTGAGTGTGACAACTGCAAAATTGAGTGACAACTGCAAAATTGAGTATGACAACTGCAAAATTGAGTATGACAACTGCAAAATTGAGTATGACAACTGCAAAATTGAGTATGACAACTGCAAAATTGAGTGTGACAACTGCAAAATTGAGTATGACAACTGCAAAATTGAGTATGACAACTGCAAAATTGAGTATGATAACTGCAAAATTGAGTATGACAACTGCAAAATTGAGTATGACAACTGCAAAATTGAGTGTGACAACTGCAAAATTGAGTGTGACAACTGCAAAATTGAGTATGACAACTGCAAAATTGAGTATGACAACTGCAAAATTGAGTATGACAACTGCAAAATTGAGTATGACAACTGCAAAATTGAGTATGACAACTGCAAAATTGAGTATGACAACTGCAAAATTGAGTGTGACAACTGCAAAATTGAGTATGACAACTGCAAAATTGAGTATGACAGCTGCAAAATTGAGTATGACAACTGCAAAATTGAGTATGACAACTGCAAAATTGAGTATGACAACTGCAAAATTGAGTGTGACAACTGCAAAATTGAGTATGACAACTGCAAAATTGAGTGTGACAACTGCAAAATTGAGTATGACAACTGCGAAATTGAGTGTGACAACTGCAAATTGAGTATGGAATGCAGTGAGAACATAACTTATGTAAAGTAAAGGCAGACGTTGCAATTATGAAATGAATGACAAAAATAATTTACCGAACGAAATGTCGTCTCCACCAAGTTGTCAGGGAAAATATTCCTACATAATAAAATATATACACGTATCAAATACAGGTTTTTCATTTTTACACTTGTCATGTGTTTTTGCTAAGGCATTCTCATGTCAAAAATCCATTTAATCTATTTGTCATCGATGGAAATCGATATAGAGGCATCATTAAGCAAACAAATCGAAATCAAATTATCTAAACGAAGTATATCTTCTCTAAAATGTCAAGACTACATTGATAATTTCTTATGGTAAAGGTGAACAAAATTAACCTACATAGTAAATTTGTGAAATGCATGTCTAAACAAAGGAAATAACTTGAAAAAAGCTCAAGTTACGTGTGTACCTCAGTATAAGTATAAGCAGCTTGCATATTAATGCACAATAAGTGAGGAAAGTTATGATGTAATGCCTTCTAAAAGGGCTAAATAAACGATTGAACATCAAGTTCTCAAAAATATTGATTGGCTCTTACTATCAACGAGCTCGTCACTTCATTGGAAATTTTATTTTAGCTTTTCCCTTTTTTATACCCAGACCACAGAAGTATTTAATCTTTTCAATTAATACAGGCTAGGAATGAGCAATGTGAGCAGTCAATGACAAAAATGTTGGTGTAACTAATTTTAACGCACACGTGGACAATGGCGACGTTATCACAACTCGTCATTTACGCACTCAACATCATTTTTGTTTTTTTGACGTTTTCAAGAAGTATATATTGCAGCTCATTTCTTGTTTTGAATGTTATTTTGGTCTCCACAAGATCATACATAGCACTGTCCTGACCATGAATAGGGTACACAATATAGTTTCAGATGAAAATAAAGTGTTAATTTTAACAATATCTAGTTCACATTGGTTAATTTCGGAACGGCTATGGTTATATTCAACTGAAAACATTTCAGTTCTTTGAAATATTAAAACGTCCATACCTTATCATGTCCAGTATTGAGTCTAAAGCGTCTACATGACTCGCTTGCGATTTCTCATGCTGCACAGCGGTATCTCCTGGACGAATACTTAACACAAGTATAACACCAATGATAACTGCAATAACAGTAGTGCTTAAATAATATGTAAATGTACGTCGACCAAGTTTTCCTGTAGTTTTGGTGTCCAGCGAAGCGACAGCAAGCACAATACTGGTGATGATCAATGGGATTATAAGAAGCTTCAGAAGTCGAACAAATACTTCGCCCACAAACCCGACCAAGATGACAATCCTTCTTCTTTCTTCGACGTCATAGTTAGAACTTTGAACATGACTATTCAGGGGAAGGCCAATGATGAAACCACAAACAACCCCGACTATGATTAGTATCAGCTGCAAATTCCTGACGACAATGTTTCGAAGCTTATTTGCTAGGCTGCCTGATGAGTCCATTATGTCCGTTTGAGTTTCATGTGCAAGATCGTAACCATTTGATGCTTTTACTCCTGAAAACGTAGACAGCACAATGCATCTTCTCATATTTTGCAAAAAAAACGCTTATAAAACTGACGGCAGCTGGCCTGAAAGCATGTTTGCTACACTGCATGTCAGTAAGAAAACTAGAACGTACTATGTATCCTATACAAATGATTTGCAATTAAGCTAAAATTTATATGGTAGTTTACGTATTTGAAACAAGACGGTAAGTTACATGTTTTTTCTACAAGACCTTAGAAACAAAGCTCTACACGGTGCACTTAAACTATTCAATCGACGTAAACTACAAAACAGAATTCCATGGAATTCTATTATGTGCTTACTACTTGCCGATGTTGAACATTGTTTCAGACTTTCAGTCAACCTGATGTAAAGACAAATTTGCAAATCTCAAACATCCAGAATTTGTCAGTTCAGAAACTGCGTAACCAAAGACACTCGATGTTTTTTTATTGATTAACTAGTTCAACCACGTCAAACGCAGAGACACAAAGAAGTATCCCATTCTCAGTGGAAGTGAGGGTAAATGGAAGCAAAAAGTTTCAAAAACGAATGACTCGCGAGCTTAGCCAACCTACTTATTTGGTCGGAAAACGGAAATATTTTTTGTGTTCACTCAATGCATGAAAGCAACGGATTTCTACAGAAACGATGGATGTTTATGTGTTAAAATTTACAAAGCTTGACTATAAGATCTGCCTGCTGCATGGCTGGCTACAATGACATTTCGTGCAGAGTATTATTTTTGTGACAATCCACGCAACACGTGTGTTTTATATTTACATAGCTCAACTGACAACCCTCTATTGCATTGCTTTGTTAAATTCTAAAGTCTAACTCTAATTTCCAGTAATTTCTTTGAGTTATACCGTCAGGTGCGTGACGGTACCTCTGACATATAGGCTGATAGGTCAAGTGAAGTCAATGAAAAAGAAATGTGGCCATTGATCATTGATAAAAATATCTTTTAAAGCAAAATATTAATTCAATGATTTATAACCCAATCCTCTAGATGTCTAACTACCAAGTCAAGGAGAGGCAAGGACGCCATTTTGAAAGAAGGCAAACGCAAAACTCAAAATGACAATCAAGCTGAAAGACTTAAAAACAATCCTATAAAACATACTAAAACTTAAACCAAGACTATCCTCGAAGAAAACCTCACAGCCAGTTGAAATGGGCGTAGTCAGCCTTAGTTTGGTCTTGCTCTAATCAGGCTAGAAGCGACAAAAATATAAATTACTAATAATATATTAAGCTGCATTGCGTCGTACGCATTTTCACTCGCCCAATATTTTCTTGCCGTCGTACACAAGTTTATTAAGACGAGGGTTTCAAATACTGTCGAAGCAGTCATTGATTTACTGTGCTATTGGAGTTATTTTTGTGTGAGAGCATGCAAAATAAAGATTCGGATATATAAATGTGCAAAGAAATATTTTAAATAAAGTCTTTATAGTTTGGTTACAGACTTACAGTATAGAAAAAAAACAGCAGTCCCATTCTATAGAACTTTTTGTGTAGCACATATCTTATTACGCATTGATTAGCATAGTGGCAACCAGTAAATTGCATTTTCTGACCAAGAGCGCTTAGGTGGCTAGCCGCAGCCAGTAATCTAATTAAATATACAGCACCAAGTTGCACGAAGAAGTGAGACAACTGCTTTTTTCTATACTGTGGTTGGTGTTTATTTGATTCATTAATGTCCTGAACATTTTGCAGGCTTGGTCATTATCAACGCACATGCATGAAATTTGATGAAATAAAGCAATTATTGAATCATTTATATAATGACGTATTTGTTCAAATATTTAAGAAGCTACATACCTTCTGCATCAACTATCATTTAACTGCTGCTTGAAAAGAAAACTAGCCTAGTTAGTGATATACAGCAATGCCATGCACAGGGTAGAAAACAAGTAATACAACGATCTCATTATCGGCATGTGATTGCCATTCGATTGCATTTTTTACCAATAGTCACGCTGAAATGTCTTAACGCAGCTGGTAATCAAATTAAATATACAGCACTGGCTTAAATGCAAAGCGTTGGGGTGCTACACTTTTAATTCTCGTTGCATGACATTGCACGAGGTTTTTTTGTGGCACGAAAACTCGTGTTAATCATCTGTTGGAAATTATCATGAGTTGCGTAGCCAGCATTGAGTTCTGTCAGTTCTGTAACATTAAAATAAAAAAACGTCTGAAGCCCATAGTGCACCCTGAAATGCCGTTTAAATTAGAGATTTATCAGTTGACAATGACTACATTTTGATGTTAATATAGCTACAAGTAATGCGCATCTTTCACTTCTTTGATCTTCAGAACATGCATGATTTAGCCGCAAATGCTCCACAAAGGAGGCCCATTATCGTCATGGGAAGGAGTTTATGCGTGGTATTTGCAATGGAAAATTGGCGAAATTCGTACGTATTGTGTTCAACTGCGTTAACAGATCTTTGGAGATCATTTACTGCTAAATTAGCTACTTCAAAATTTTAATGCCCGCAGATTTCAAAGCTGTACAAATTTTTTGATTCACCCGGTATTACATCTGAAGACAAAGCATATTGTATGTCTTAATACTAGCTTCACAGCTACTGTCATCTGTATCAACGCCATTGTAAATATTTAGATTGGATGCACGTGTTTTTATGTAAAACAATCAACATTAGTAGGTACGGTAGGATGCATTAAAGAAGGCCAACGTATGAAACGAACATATTGTCTTTATTTCAATGCCCTGCCTTATCATATTGTAAGCCTTTAGATGCAAAATTTTCTCAACACAAATAAATATTTCTGTGTTAACTCATTGCAAAAGCAATAGATTTCTAAAAAATGAATAATCTGGTGCTGTGATATCTACGTAGCTGCGGAACCAAAACCTTTGGCTGGCCCGGAGCAATAAACTGTGGCTTACGTTCACAGCATATACAGAATCACTGATTTTCATCTATTCTAAGACATAACTGAAAATTTTGAAGCTTCCTGGTTGATATACTTACAATACCTCGATCGTTCCTAGGAAATATCCGAATGGACAAGTTTCACTGCTTCAATAATAACATTAGCAGATAAACATCATTTTGCAGAACAGTGACATGTTTCATCTCATTTCCAGGAACGTTTTTGAGAATTGCTGCTTATGCCACGTCTAAAGCACGAACAATAACCATATATAAAACTATAACTAAAACTATAACTAGAACTGAAATGCATCTAGTCGAGAAAATGCCCGTGCCAATCCACTGATGTCTTGTGATTACGAATCTCCACCTAAACAACGCATTATAATACATATCCACCCCCATATATGAAACAGATTTCAACGCAGCATACTCCAAATCTTCTATGTTTCCTTAATTTACTAACTTTATAATTTTGTTTGTTTGTTTTGTTATTGATTGAGAAAATTGGATTTCCATAAAAATGGTTTATTGTTATGCCAACAAAACAGTTTAAGATTTTTTGCTCTAATTGAAAAACAAACTCGGTAGTGCTTGCCTTGTCCTATTCAGATAAAAATAAGTACGCAGTGCGTAGGAGTAAGTACCCTGACAAACATTTAACAACAATTTGATGATGTTGAAAATAATATCAAGAATTATTCAGACTGAAGTCAAATTTATCTTTTGAAATGAAGCTGAGGTGGATAATGAGGTCACTATTATTAGATTTTTTTGGCTGGCTTTAATAGCATTAAAAATTGTGTTTAAATATTTGTAGATAAGACTTCATATTTAGGAAAAACTACCAAGAATTATTTATAAATATCACGTCGTAACAAAAAAATATAAAGATTATTTGCAGGTAGTTGAAAAATCAAAACCGAACTTGTATTTAGTAAATATTAAATACATTATGCATATACAAAGTTTTCCCCTTCAAAACTAGAAATTTTATACCTGAAGTATCTTGGTATATAGTACACTAAGGGACAACGTCAATCATGACGAAAATGTTTGACTATAACGAACGAGAATTAGAACTGTATCAAACAACTGTTTTCATAAAGTTTAATACCCTCTACAACCACCCACCCTTCAAGCATGATTCAATGGTAATAAAATTTATATAATAGTTTGTGATACTTAATACATGTTTTGATTACTTGATTCTGATTTTATTGCAGTATAACTCAACTCGGCAAGCACATTTTATATAAAGTATGCAGAATCTTATTTCAATCTTAAAGTATTTTAAAGATTATCATGTGTATGCATTCGTGATATTCCATGAAAAGTATTCCAAAATAGGTGGCAGATGTCTTCTTTAGAATACAACGACTTTTGCAGAACTTCTATCCTAAATTAAGGAGCGAGGGAACTCTCTAATTTAGTTAGAATATTGCAATTTGCATATAGTCGTTTCTGTTTCTGTGCATGTTTTTGGACTGGTTTGTTTTGATGCAATTTGGCTTTAGATATTTATACTTTTGGAATAATCAAAATCTTCAATTGATCATCTGCAAACGCCAATCAAAAAATTGAAGTCAAAGCTTTTTTTGAATGATAATACTTAGTCTAAAAACGAGTAAAAACAATTGATTTTACTTACCACAAGAAACGTTAATTGACCATGGTAGGCTACGCAGTTCTATAAGAGACACAAGCAACAATACTGTTAGACTTGATGAATGATAAAAACACTTACAGCCCTGATTTCTACTTCTTTCATCATCTTGTCTTCTGCATCTGAAAAATACTTTACAAAAAGTTAGTGGTTTGACAAAACAAATAAACAGGCAAGCAACAAACCGAGATATAACAAACAGACAAACACTTACCGCCGTTTTAAGCTGAAACTTTTGCCACGTAAGAATAACTGCAAGAATAATAGTAAAATGCAATCGTGACGAGCTGTTGACGCACATGTATTTCATAAAACCAGTGTTTGCAGAAGATCTCTCAACTTGCTGTTGAAACAATGATTAGCGGTAGACAGCTGTAAACTGCAGACATTTGCAGGGAAAACTCTCTTAGACGTTAACATGAAACTGGTGTCAGATATTTAGTCGAGTAACTTTATCAGAAAATGTTTGTGTTCATGATGTTTACTGAACTTCTATAGAAAGCTACTGTCGTAACATCCCTCAATGTTATGACAGCACAAATTATAGTTACAATAATGTGACTAAATATTCAACGTCGACAGCTTGTAGAATGATACAGTAATCACATGAAGTTCAATTAAACCAAATATAATTAAAAGATTTTGCAGTACTCTGCCAGCGTACTGCAAAGTTCTTTTGTAACTTTGGCACCAGCAAAGTGACGATAAAGTATTAAGCAATGACAATAAGCAAAGTAAAGAAGATTAACTATTACTTGACCACTAACATAAGCAAGACTAAGCACAAAGCGAACAATGTACAAAGAAAATTCTGTTTTTTTGTCACTAAGTCTCGTGAGATTAAAAAACTCAGAGTTTCTCGCTCGTGTTTATTTTACTAGTCGAGATCAGTTGCATAGATGACACATGCATTTTATAACTTTGGACTATTATAGGCAGTTCAACATTAATTACTTTATAAATACCTACTTTTATCAAAACAATTTGACTACTTCCATTTTTTCTTAAAAACAGTGACATCCTAACTCTAGCAAAACATATTTGTCTAAAAACGGCTTCCAGGCAAGTTGCTCATAAATATTCGATGTACAATGAATAAAAATTCACTATAAAAATGATAAATCTAAAGCCTAATTTACATATAGTTGTAAACTTGTAATTGTTGTAATTCCATCAGCGATGAAGTCTACAGCAATTACAACAGTAAGCGTTTACATCATGGTTGTAACTGTTGTAAAAAGGCACGCTATAGCGAGGTCTCGCGCGTTATGATGTCGGCGATTTTGGTTGGATTTACGCATGCGTTGGGACATCCTATCTAGAAAGGAGAAATATAGTGCGTGTTAATCAAAAAGTCTTATTAATGTATCAACAAATGATGTTGTTGGTCTTAGCCCAATCACGTTTACGGACTACAATGAAAAAAAGGAAAGAAATGTTTGGTTGCTTTTAATTGAAGTTGCGTAACAACGATTCCCTTTCACTCATTGGTTAATGGAGGTCGAGTTGTAATCAATATGGCCGAAAAGCGTTCACATATAATTTTGGCATGTCTGTGAGTGCTGTAATTGTTGGAGAAGTTGGATTCAACCTCTACAACAGCTCCCGATTTGTCTGCGATTAAATTACAACAATTACAACGCGCGTTCACATATAGCTGTAACTGTTGTAATCCTTCATCGCCGATAGAATTACAACAACTACAACTATATGTGAATTAGGCTTAAAGAGCGAGACTTATTCCTTCATCAACCCAATTCCAAAACACATTCATATAGGCGCAACCATTCCCCTAGGAGGGAGAAAAGAATGGAATTGATGGCCAAGTTAAATGACGTTTGCATTGTAAATAAGAAAAATGCTTATACGCGCATGAAAGATCAATACGCCATCTAAATATCGATAAAGAGAATGCTTTATACGTATACGCACAAACGAACGATCTATGGTACTCCTCGATCAATGTTTGATCAACTGCGTATAGAGTGTTTGCATATGACGTCAAACAGCCATGTAGTTGGAGTATGTAAAAGTGCCGATTCCCATCTGAGCATGAAATTAGAATAAATTCTTTTCAATATATCGGATTTCCCCCCAACTTAACGACTGATGAAAACACTCTATAGTGACCATCGACTTGTTATATTCCTTTCTATGGTAAGAAATGCAAAAACTCAGACACTTAGCAGTTTTAAATGTAATGTTAAACAAACATTCGTAAACGACTAACCACAAAACAATACAACTCGTTTAAATGTAATCTTCACTACAAACTATATTATCCTTAGCTATGAGTTTTCTCGCGAGTATAATTTTTAAAAAGTCCACTTATGTTGATGTTCCTGTTCATCAAGTTTTGATAAAAATGAACAAAATGTTGTTTTCAATAAAAGTCAAATAAAGTCTAAAGTCCTTTCTTCTAACCAAGCAATATGGTTCACCACATTATCTTCGTTTCCATGCATTGTTTTCAAACATGTCTCGCTTAAGATGTCGATGTGTCACCTCGTAAAAAAATTTGAAAGTATGATCATATATTGCTCAATCAAATAGTCTTGTTTATTGAAATAGCAACCCAAACACTGACATAAAAGAGTAAAGAGGAATAAGACTTCATAAATTATGAATACAAGAAATACTAACCATTGTAAATTAGTTATGCAACTGCTTAATTGTCCTTTGACAATTTAAAAAATCATATTTAACCTATAAATATGCACCATTGCGCTCTTTAAAAGTTTGAAACCAACGTTGTTATTATGACATCATTACATGCAAACAAACTAAATATTGTTTTAAATGAAGTTCTGACTATCGATTGCTATACCAAAACACAGTATAGATACATGCAGCAGTCTCACTCCAATGTGCAACTTTCTGCTGTATATTTAATTAGATTACTGGCTGCGGCTAGCCATCTCTGCCCTCCTATTGGCCGAAAAAAGCAATTGACTGGCTGCCACTATTCTAATGACATGCGTAATTAGATATGCGCTACACAAAAAATTTCTATAGAGTGGGACTCCTGTTTGTTTCTATACTGTGTACCATAACATGCAAAAAGAACAAACAAAGGTGAATTGGTAGCCGTTTATGTTATATAGGCGGATTCCATCAAGCAAACCATCCATAAATTTCTTCAGCTATTAGAATGCCTCAAGCCAACAATGGAACATTCTCATCTAATTCTTTGTGTGATAACTTTTCGATCACAGCACAACCAATTGCGTCTCCAGTGATGTTACAAGCGGTAACAAATCTATCTCTTAAAACAGGCATAAAAAACAATGTATTTTAGGGGCCCCGAAAGATCGAGGAGAATATTGATTTATGCATTTTCTACTTTATGAGTTAAGAAGCAAAAGATGTTTACTTTGTTTGCACAAGCTTATATGCATACCGATGAGACCTTTGGCAGAACTCGAATCGAATGAATCAAATTTGTTATATTTAATGTTCCATCCTAGTTTTCAGCGATCTTAACTCCAATTGCAATCTTTGCAATTCTTTGCAAAAAATTGTAGTCTTTTTAATCAAGTAGATAACTCATCGATATGCAATTAAACACAAAGAATACGTATAGACTTACATAAACCAGTCAACTGTATATAGTAATCCCACATCACTGGTAGGCAAGCCAACAGCTTCTAGTACCATGATCAATACAACTAATCCAGCAGAAGGGATTGCAGAAGCTCCTATGGATACTGTGGCAGAGGTAAATCTGCAAAATGAATGAAAATAGACTGAAGAAACCTAATTGAAGTATGTTGTGCTGAAATTGCAAAAAATAGTTAATGCAGATAGTATGCCTTACAAAATTTAGACAAACATTCATAAGAAATACAATAAATAGATTCATGAAAATAAAAACATTTTTGAAAGTATTTTTGAATATATTCGTTGTTTATAAGCCAAGAAATGGCGAGGTTACTTTAAGTGTTTATCGCACATCAAAATTTATATTGAAACTTCAGAGGAAAGGAATTAAATGGAGCATACTTTAATGAAGATTGCATACTTTCCCTTTGCATGCATCCTATATCACAAGTGACAAAAAATGTTGATGCAGAAAACAGGAATTCATATAGAGTCTTTTATACAGACAGACCTGTTTATTTTTATGTTCTTAATAGACTTGGCATATAGCTACGGCACATGTTTCTTCAGAGAATACAATAAATTAGCACTTACAATGTAATCAAAATCTTTCCAATACCAAAGTTGTAGCCGTTCAGTTGTGCGATGTATATGCAAGCCACTGCTTCGTACACAGCAGCACCGTCCATATTCACTGTTGCTCCAATCGGTAAGACAAAATGAGCAACTCTTGCGTCAACTTTGTTCATTTCTTTCACACACTTCAAAGTTGCAGGCAGAGTTGCAGCGCTAAATTGAAAACATATGACAATCATGTTATAATATTTGAAAATAGACCTAGAGCTGGCAAATTGCAATCAGGTGCTATACGCAAGTAGTAGCATTTCATTGCGGCTTCCCTACTTTCTTCACTCTTAAAATGTTAACAGGTTGCACTGGAAACTAGAAAGGTCTCATCTCAATGTTATAAAGTTTACATCCTTTAAGTATATGTCAAATTTTATGTAAAAGGAGCAGCTGTAGCTAGGGGCGGATGCAGGATTTCTGCTAGGGTGGTGACAAAAGAGGGCGCTGAAGAATTCCATTTGGAGGATCTGGGTCAACACTCACGTCTCTTAAACAACTTTAAAATCAATTTTGTTACATGCTTGAGCATTAGAAAAAGAGTTGTAGTTTTAGTAAGTTGTTTGCTTATTTGAATCCTTTTCTTTCCAAGCATCTTCGAAAGCTCTCTTAAAAATACTGTCCGACGTGTTTCGTCTGCACTATTATAGCTAGCCCATTGATTTACACCTGCTATGTTAATTTTTCTGTGTTTAATCACTGTAAAACAAAAATAAATAAATAATCATGCATTGAAAATTAAGTAGCATGAACAACACTTGCTGTCTTGTTACGCCAGTGTCTAAGTTTCATCTAGAGTTTCGTTGGTTTTTGCTTATTGCCTAATGAAAATCGTTTTGTTTACACTTTAATGCCGCCTAATATGCATTTAAGGACCGATTACATGGAGCAATTTCAGCCCGGACTGAAATTTTGTGTGATTATATTGTCAATTTCAGCCAGGTGTTTAGACCGGACTGAAAATTACGAAGCTCGTCCGAGGCATGATCGCCAGTTGTCGTTAATTTGTTGTCGTCATAATAAGAAATAAGTATGCAATTACGCATGCGTGAATAATTTCAGCTGTGGTTTCAGCCCGGGCTGAAACGATTACATGACAGATTCAGAATTTCAGCCCGGGCTAGAATTGTTCTCATGTAAACGCGTACACTATTTTGATAGGATATTATAACAGGCCTTGTTGAAATTTCAGCTCGGCCAATCGGCTGAAACTCACCCGGGCTGAAATTGCTCCATTTAATTGGCCACTTAATGCCTTATCGAAATATTGTTTTACTAGAAATTCGACTTCTGTAGTTTTGATAATAAGTCACAAAACAAAAATTTATGCTTTTTTAAGAATTTTTACCAAAGAAAGGGTGGTGACTAGCCACCTGTCCACCCCTACCCCACCCCTTGTATATCAGCTTCAGCGTGGCATACTTCTTTTATGCCTCTTGGAAGAGCAATCTCTGTATAGGAAATTACTCTTCGTGCAATGCACTAACTTTAAAGTTAAAACTCGCTCTCTACCTTACCTGGAACTTGTTCCTAACGCAGTGTAAACAGCTGCCTGCATGTTGAAGAGATATCGAAAAGGGTTTTTCCGAACGCATATAAAATATATCGTCGGATAAACGATCAGCGACTGGATAGCAACGCCAGCGATAATTGTCGTAATGTAGTATACCAGCGATTGGAAGGTCTTCCCAATGTCCCCCATCTCAACAAGCTTGCTAGCAATCAGACTGCATATGCCAAATGGAGATGTCCTGAAAGCAGTCAGAAGGGAAAAAATTATGATACGAGCTCATGGTCCAGCAAAAGCGCATGGTTCATATTAGGAAATTCACTTGTGTGCTGTGTGTTAAATATAGGTGGAGTTTTTTACCAAGCTAATGAAAGGAAAAAATAAACAGCTGGAAATTGTTATGTACTTCATAGAGTGGCGTGGTAAGCTTGCCAGTTTACTTTCTGTTGTGCCTGATTTTCTTGAAAGCGAGGCAGCACCCACTCATTCCATATTTTTTTTTTATAAAAGTTAAATTGTAATGAATTAATTGTAGGAAATGGAATACAGTTTTAGGGAATAATGCGACAAATGATTGTTATGAGTGACGTTTATCCAAAACTAGAAATATGAACATTGTATTTCTCAATGGGAGAAGGGTTTGCCTATCTATAAAAATTGTAACACACTTAAAATAAGAAATGCAAAGGATTTGCCACCGAAGTATTAATGGCAAATGTCACAACACCTTGAGGCAGCTGAAAGTAATGTGGCAAATATCACGATATCACTACGCAGTGGAAAGTACTGTTTATAGCTATTGATGGCAAACAATTTGATATCTTTTGTTCACTGAGCATGCTAAGCAATCGTTTGGACCAACCTCTCTACAACTTTTGACAAGCATTCAACAAGTGAAAAAAATTTCATTATAGTTATTTAGTTAATTTTGCGATTTACAAGTCTGTTACTTAACCCGTCGTAAGTTTTTCCTATCAATTACGTTTTACTACGTTTGATCATTTTTACTATGCGTTAACATCTTGCAGAGGAAAGGGCAAAAATGAAAGTAAGAAAAATTGAAAAACACAGAATACTTCGATATACAATTAAAAATTTAAGATGCCATCCTTCTTTTTTTGGTTAGTATCAACATACATTGTAAAAGTCATTCGTTTCCATTCTTATTTATAAAGCAAACTAAAGCATTGCATATCATTTGATACATATATGACACACATATATGTATAACATAGTCTACATTTAGTGCAACTCACCACATAACGGCGTTAATCAACATGAAAACAATTTTGAGGCAGATTTCAAGTAATTCTTTGACGGGTTGACCTTCGGGTCCAAGTTTACTCAAAGCAATACCAAATACAATTGAACACGTGATCATTCCCAAAACGTTCATTTGATCTGTCTTTTCGATCTTCGCCCAAACTTTTTTAGAATTTTTCTTAATCACACGAACATCTGGTGACTTATCATTAACACTCCAAGGATCATACACGTTGTTCTCCAAAAACTTCGTAAGATTTTCCAGGTTCCCTCGGATATTTCGATCTGGAATCGTTGTATTATATATAGACGTGACGTCATCTTTGTAAGCAGTTTGGGTCTATAAGTAAAATTAAAATTGTGAAAAAGAATTTGAAATTTAATTGCCTCACGTGTGATCATGATGATTTCAAAATTGTTGTCGATGAGCTTTGTCATTGAGATAATTGAAAATGTGCTTCTTCAAAAGAAAAAATGCATTGAGTACATGCATAATTGAGCTGAAGAAAAGTTTCTGAAGCTTTTATAAAATGGATACAATGAACATGAAAGTCAGGCTTAAAAATGGTCTTCATTCAAGTGTACCAGGAATCGTGATTTGCCATAAAAATCAAATTGATAGTAATCATATGTTTCTTTTCACTTAACAAAGCTGTAGAGGTTTTTTGTCATTCATTTCCTTCAGGAAGTAAAACGATAACAATCTTGTAAAGAATGGATGGAGCTGGCCATGTTGTAAGCGTTAAATTCTATGAGAAACTTGAAGGCAGTTATTTTCTTTTCTACAATAAAGTGAACGACAACAGCACTTTACCGTACGAAATGTGGTCTCCACCAAGTTATCAGGAAAAACATTTCTATACAGTGAGTGAAAAAACAGAATATCAGTCAAATAGATGTTTTCGTTTAAGCCTTATAGTCAGGCATTTGCAAAAATATTTTCATGTATAAAATCCACTCAAAATTTATTTGACATGCACGGAAATCGAGAGATGTTTTGATAAACAGATAAACGAGACTGGGCACCAGCAAATCATCTAACATAAATGCAGTACATTTTTTAGAATTTTTTGTAGAAATCATTGATCATTCTAACACCCAGGAGCACGAAAACTAACTGTGTGCGCATAAAAAAGTTTAACCTAATACTCAACATTGAAGACGAATTAGTTTTTACAAAAATTTATCTACTAGTTACTCAACACTTAGAATAACAATTTTTTAATTTTTCTACAAGCATTAAAGAGGAATTTCATGTTTTCAAATAACTAGAAGTGACTAAGAAATACGTAAATTATAAAACATGATCAGCAATTCTCACCAAACAATTTTTCCTAACAAACTTTAAATTTTTAAAATACTTTAATCATGTTTTAAGGTTAGTATTTTCCGGCAAGCGAACGTATGGTTTCTTTGTTTTTTGAGGGAGGAATACTTATTGCCTTCATTATTTTATGTGAAATCGGTTTCTATTCGACTATAAAGATGTTTTCGATTCAGCAAAATAATAAACCTTATCATATCCAATATCGAGTCCAATGCATCCACGTGTTTCATTTGTGACTTCTTATGTTGCACAGCGGTATCTCCGGGACGAATACTTAACACAAGCATGACACCAATGATAGCTGCGATAAATGTAGTGCTTAAATAATATGTAATTGTACGCCGACCAAGTTTTCCTGTAGTTGCGGTGTCCTGCGAAGCGACAGCAAGAACAATGCTGGTGATGATCAATGGAATAATAAGAAGCTTTAGAAGTCGTACAAATATGTCGCCAAAAAATCCTGTCAAGAGGACTATTTTTTTTCTTTCTTCGACAGTATAGGCAGAGCTTTGAACATGACTATTTAAGGAAAGGCCAAGGATGAAACCACTTATAACTCCCACTATTATCAGTATCAGCATCAAATTCCTAACGACAATGTTTCGAAGCTTATTTGCCATGGTGGTTGATGAATTCATTACGTCTGTTTCAGCTTCGTATGCAAGATCGTTACCACTTGATGCTTTTACTCCTGAAAATTGGAAAATGTAGACAGCAAATGTAGTTGCACCTCTATCACTCGACCTTTGAGGAGTTCTAACTACAAAGCGAGCATCACACTGACATTTAAATTTGCAGACTACAGTGCTTGATACTTGCGCAGGCAGGTACATGTCATTGGGGGTGGATGGTTGTAGTGAAAAGTTTAGGCGTGGTTGTATGAGTGAAAATTTGATTTTATGTGACTCAACAGCTGGGAAACTTCAATTGAGTAACGCTCCCTACGGCAATTCATATTTTGACTATAATTTTAAAGAATTTTATGAACTGTGATCAGTAGCATTTATGATTTATCAATATAGCAGGTCTCTAATAGTATACAGGGAAGTCACTTATAAAATTTCATTAGGGTGTGATGTTTATTTGATTCATTCAAGTCTAAAATAATTTGCTCAAAGCTTAATGGTTTTTTATGTATCTGAATCCATTGCGTAGCTCACTCCATAATTGGGAGGAGCTCATCGTAAGTTCATGTTTTGCTCTGGTGATTTCCTTTGAAATCAATTATTTTCTACGGACTAAAACATGCATATATGAATTTGTGTTACCCTTCCTCCCATAATATAACGAGGTTTCTACGCCAACGATCAGAATCACGCAATTATAAGCTGGTTTGATCATTAACATTGCACAAGTGCAATGTAATGGAATAAAGCGATCATTAAAAAATTTATATATGCATGACACGTTTGAACAACTATACTATAAAAATGCTACTGACCTTCTGCATCGAACATCATACAACTGTTATTTGGAAAACAAATGAGTCTAGTTACTATTTGATCAATGAGATTTATTATCTCATGGAAGATTATTATCATCTGTTCATAAGACTATTTAGCGGAGATCTTATTACGCATGTGATTAGCATTATGCAGCCGGTCAATTGCATTTTTTGACCAATAGTCACGCGGAAAAGGCTAACTGCCTGTAATCTAATTAAATACAGCAGTAAGTTAAACAGGGAAGTTGTCTTACTGCTTTTTCTTCATACTGTGGCAAAACACGAGGTAGAAGCACGCGCACAACAACAAACTCATGTTGATCATCTGGTATCCATTACGTGGCGTAGCTGGCATAAAGGAGTTGCTTGATCTGTATAAAGCCAAAATTTAAAATGTGAGGATTTAAACCTTTTGATAGCATCTTAAGCGTGGTACATAATAAAACTTAATAAACTTAAGAACAAACATAATTAAGATGACTTAATTTACAATGACTACATTTGTCTTTTAGTACAAATGTAGTCATTATAAATCACCGTCACCTTAATCGCCGAACCTAACCCTAACCCTACATTCTTGTAGCGCATGCTTTTTATTATTGTTGTTTTATAATGTAAAATATTGTCACCTTAGACAAAATTTTTTAAAAAAGTTCCTAAATGAGCATTGATATTGCTTTGAAATTTACAAAGCTTAACCAAAACATACAGGCTGGCTACTCCCTCGCTTGATAGTCTGGACAAGGAAAAGCAAAATATAATCTGGATAACACATCAATATAAATAATTGCTGCTTCTTATCGATACTAGGTAATGAACTTTGTAAATTATCAGTCTATCAAACGACTTTGTAGACTTCATTAAATCGATTGTAGACATGCTTAAACGACAATGGTGTACAAAACCCACAACTTTTGGTCCTGCTATCGGAATTTTTATTACAATACATCATTATTCATTTCTTTAGAAATCTTCTGAAAACTTTTAAATCCATGATTTTAACTTTTTCAAATGATGTAACACATAATCCATTCATTGCGGACACTCAAGCGATTGTTGTAGTCATTGCCGTTTGTGTAATATCGAGATTCTCGAACAAATCATCCTCAAGCTAACAACGGAACATTCTCGTTTAGGTTTTTGTGTGAGAACTTTTCGATCACTGCACAAACAATGCGTCTCTCTGCACCCGACTGCATGTCATAAAGAATATTTTAAGCTCCCATGACGTTGCTTGTATGCAATGACAACTTTTTGAAATGATAATTTCTATAAACGGTCATTACTTTAGGAACAACGACTTTTTGAAATTATGACTCATTCTGAAATGACGACTTACATGAAATGACTCACATAATTTTGGATAAACTTAGAGCCGTCATTTGCTCTCCCCAACAAGCTTCTCTGTTCGCTGACCGTTGTGGTTACTGTACGAAAGCTTTTACCTTTTTTGAAAATATGCACGTTCCATTGAGCTCCATGGATACAGATTCCACGGTTGGTATGGGATGTCTGGTTCGTTTGATAGCCGTATTTGCTATCTGCATATCAACACACAATCGAATCTTAACATCGAGCTTGGGAACACTAACCACAGGAGAGGCCTAGTCAGTGGGCATGCCTTCAGGTATTTTTCCATTCATGTCATCTTTTTCTAGTCTGTGTATTTCACTTTCAACTTTCTGGCGCAGGTGGAACGGTGTTTGTCGTTGTGGTTGTGCAACCGGGAGCACAGATTCATACATTCCTAGTCTAATTTGCTTATTTAACTTCCCAAGTCCGTCAAAGACCGGTGCATGTCTGTCCAAGATGTGATGGAGCTTTGCATCCTTTGTTGTGAGTGTGTTGAGTTTTCTAGCGACATGTTAATCTTGTTCAAGTTTATGCTTACACGTCCTTTTCCTGTTTCCGAGCTAAGAAAACAGTCGCCATAGTCTGATGTCACATATATAGTAGCAACTGTGAACTTGTGTTTTGACTCCGTCAGGACACGAAACTTCCCTTCCATCTTGACTGTTTTTGAATTAAATGGGTATGCTTTCACGGATGTGGGTTCAAAGCTCAGTAATTCGAAATTTCCGGAAAGTTTTCCTGTCGATTATATTTTTTCTTGAGCCAGTGTCAATTTTCATTTTGACATATTGTCAATTGAGCGCTATTTACGTTTCAGGACATTTTGGCTTGTTATTGTTACAAACTGCATAACAGTATTCCGATTTATTGCCACTGCTGCTATCTTCTTCTCATCAGTCTTTACCAATCGTATATCTTGGCGTAGTTTAGCGAGTGTTTTGGTTTTCTGCGCATTTCGGCTGCGACATTGGCTTTACAATGTGATTTAGCTTTCCACATTTGGCCGGCACATGTTTTGTTCTTCGCTGGCCACGGTTTGTCTTGGTGGAGATAGTTACCTCCACAGTGAAAGCCTATCTTCTGTGGTTTATCGGTCTTGGGAATTTTCTTCATAGGTTTTTTAGTTTATGTAAAGCGTGGCTGTCCAAATGCTCTTCGATGTTCGCTGCTCCTACTTTACTTGTTTTTTCGCGCCTTGCTTCAAGTAACAGATCTTTCAGAGTATGTTCAGGATCTCTTAATGATTGTTTTCGCACATGACTGTAACCAATAAAAATTTGAACAATTATTTCAAAATCCACATCAGCAAACTCACAGCTCTTAGATAACGAGTGCAACCTTGAAAGGAATTGGTCAACTGTTTTGGACTCGTCTTGCTTTACCTGTCTAAATTTATAAGCTTCATATAATCGATTTTTCTGTGGTCCAAAATACTCCATAAGAAGTATTTCCGCTTTAGCAAAGTCCTCATCTTCTCCCGGGTCTGAGAATTGTCGAAATATCTCTCGAATTCCGGGTCCTGCTTGATAAAGAATCAAAGCGTGTTGCCGAGTTCTATTTGTTATATTACTGGGTCGTGACTAAAACACCACACGAGTACATACGAGTACATACGAGTAACATACGAGTACATACGAGTACATACGAGTGACATACGAGTACATACGAGTAACATACAATGAACTCCATAACAACTGGAAGGCAGTGAACTCCATATATATATATCTGGAATGATAACGACAATACATTTTATAGATATAAAATTGAAGCCAAAGTCCTAGTCTCTTGCGCGGTTTGTACGTCAGTTCCAGTCCTTCAAAGTCGAATATTCACGCGGTTTGTACGTCAGTTTCATTCCCCTGAGTGCCAAACATACACGGCCAATATAAATTTGAATACAAATTGCAAAAGCATAAACATATAAACAACATCACGACAAACAACACACGAGGCCAACTCTTCGCAAAAGATTATTTTTTACAGCTGAAACTTTACTACAGAGAGTTCGTTTTAACTTACAACTTGTAACGAGGAAAAGCCAACTGAAAATTACACTGTTTGCTAAAAAGACAATACAATAGAAAATATGACGAAAAAATATTCAAGCATAAATTTTTCTTTCGTCGGAAGGTAAACTTTCAAACGGAAAACAAAAAAGACAGTGTTTGTCTTTTTTGTCATTTAAGTGGATTTAAAGATCTGTTTTTCCGAATAAAAAAGAAACTTGAATATCCAGTTTCATAAAAAATATCGAGTCTATAACTCGCATTTTTACTTTTTACAGAGCGATTGTATTTTTCATCGATTTTGATAGTGCTTGAAACTTGAAATACTAAATGGTTGTCATCTCGATATCAATAATTGAATATCCTTAAAGACTTTGATATGTTTTAAAGGAAAACCGCAGCGTAAGAGCAGATCGACTAAGTTCACCTCATCTTGCTTCTCGATTTATCACTTTGATTCACTTTCCGTGAACCTTTTCATTACAAACATTTCGTTATTTTTACACTCTGATCAAGATCCGAACTCTACCATTTCCAAGGGACAAATGATTTTAAAAAAATAAAATGAACACGCGAGAGACTAGAGCCTGACGTGTGATGACGAATGATGACGACAAATATTTTTTTGGCTTCAATTTTTGGCTTCGGTTATCATTCCAGTTATTCAAATGTCGAGTTCACTGCTGGAAGGCTAACTTGGACGCCATCTTTGAAGCCTGCATGAGCGCCGCCATTGAAGGTACGGAGGCGAAATACATCACTTCGAAATTGCCGGATTTTTTGCAAAAAACAGTGGTCTTCAAGCCAGCTTAATGTCTAAAAATTTTAAACAATGTTTGGACTTTAATATAAAACAAGTTTGAACGACATTTGTACATGTTTAAGCTTCTTTTTAGAAGGATGAAAAGCGAACTTTGTTTTGGCACGTGAAAACATGCCTTCTAACTTGAATATAAAACGGACACCCCTCGTTTTTTTCATGAAAAGGATGTAAAACACACTTGTCTATCCTTAAAATATTGTTTGAATCTTTGAAAATGAAGCTGTTAGGGCAAAAAACACTGTTTTTCGGTAATTTTTGTGTTTCCGAGCAAAATTAGCTCGCCCCAGTCCTTTTTCAAAGTTCAGAGCGTATACAAAAAGAAAAACACTTTGCAAAATATTTCAAAAAGTTAGCAAAAAAATATTTTGAGTTCGTTTTAAAAAAACTGTTATGCCATATTATTGTGTTATTATTAATTGCACCATTAAAGAGTCAAAAGGTTCAATACCCACTTAAAAAAAAGACAAAAACACAATTGACACTCCATATTCATAACTTTTGAAGCACTTAAGTAAAAATTGTAATGTAATACAAGTATGAAAAAGATTATTAGTCTAATATTATAGAATCATCAGTGATACAAGTAAGCAGTCCACCATCAAACAAACATTATTAGCAGTTTAAGCACTTAGGCATTTCTCCATATATGTTTAAGCTAGACAAATGCAAGGAATTTAGAATATTTTGTATCAAATAAATATTTTACAACTCAAGGCCTTTCTTACAAATTTTTTGCTGGGAAATAATATTTATCAAAGATTATGACACTGGTTTGTATCATTTGAAAATCAAATCAACATTACTTTCAAGCAACAAATCTTTGACGACAAGATTAATGACTTAATTTACAAAAAAATTTTGTACTTCCTTTAGTGTGTGGTAAATCCAACAGTAAAAACTTCTTACGCAAAAATTAAAAAAGGGAGCTTCATTACATACATTTATATGGGAAGAATCTTTGGTCTAAGTCCTGAAATATCATGCAATCCCGAACAAGGTCCAGCAATGTCAAACGAAGTGCGTTTCTGTTGATTTGTGCTATGAGCCAATCAGAATGCGTTAAATGACTAAACAATCAGTTTTTTGCAAATCATTATTGACTTTTTCGATAATATATCAGTTTTCTATCATATAAGCACTTTTTTTGTCATTTGACATAAGAGATATTAAAAATCGACGTTAATCAAAATATTTAGGCAAGTAACGCGAACACAGAGAGCGCTTTATGTGCACGATTGTCAGAATTGTGCAACAAATTAGGTCGATTAAGACTACTATGTTACAGAGATTTGAAATAGACATTTGCTTGAATGAGACATACGAGATAAATATTGGCCAAAATAGATGAAGAGCCTTTCGGAGTTTTTTTTTTGCCATTAAAAACGTTAAAAATAGAGATGGCTTGAGTTTGTTTTGACCCTTGAAATAAAATGTTGATGAATGTTATGATAATCATCAATGCAGAAAAATATTCTTATTGTGTATTTTCTATGACACCTTCAAAGACGAATAGGACATTTTTGCATAAACTTGTGTTAAAGAGGAAGTGCTTGCCCTGATAATTTTTGAGCGTGTTAATACCAAGGTTTTTATAAAAACCAACCCACGATTATTCATACTGAATTGATGCAAAATCCTAAAAAAGACAAGTTTTTATGCTGAGAGGTAGATTTTAGAAGTTTGGGTGATATGCGCCTCATGCATATCAATTAAGAAGGGGATTTTCTGTCTCGATATTTGAATGCAAATCAATAGTCACATGTTGTAGAAAAACATCTTCGATCTGCCTGTTTAGGACTATCATTCTTGGATTGCAACCAATCTCCACAGAATTATCAACGATTGCCTCTGATGCCCACAATAGCATTAACAAAATATTCTTTGGTATTGAACAACATGACTGCCGTGACGTTAACATCATAGATATAATAGTCATAGAATGCTCACGCATTTATAACAGCTGAGGCCATCATGAGTAATCCACTATGGCGTCGTCAACTGGGCAAAAGATTTATAGATTGTATTACAAAATGGGTTTTTTTGCAGTTCTTGCCAGTGTGAGCATATATTTGAGTGAATTCAATAAAAACTTGCAAAATTATCCACCGATAACAGTTTGTGCGAAATGGTCACTTGGTCAATTCCTGCGTTTTATTGCCAGAAATATGATAAACCGCCAACATGGCTGCCATGCCGTTAACATGCAAATAAAGCATTGATTGCATTTTTTACCAATAAAATACGAGTCATCTCTTTTATGAAAACAGAAAATGTATTTATTCAGCTCAAAAAAAAATTTGTATAGACCATGCGAATATTGAGTTACTAAAGTTTATTTTCTTCACTAAATTGACATTTCTTCAATTATAATACGCGAAACGGAATTCCAACCTGTGGAAGCGTCGCCACCCTTAACTCCAGAACAGGCTGCTATGGAGAGACCGACTTTGACTGGTCCTGCAGGTATGTTATTGCAAATGCCATCAATTATGCCAGGGGTGTGACGATTTACCGAACCATTTGCATATACCAATGAGTCAATTGTAGCTGGATCTTTGCATTCCTTACCTATACGTCAATCAATATTGTATCACGATTTTTGTTTCGAAAATACCATGCATCAGTTGTTAAGACATATGCTGTATAATGCATCAATCTTAATAATGTGTGATAATTTTTGATGATAGATGTATTGTACTAAATATCGAAGCAGATGCTACTCAGGCATGCATGTAGGAACCAAGAAAAGTAACTTAAATTTCCTACAAAAATCTGGCTACATAACATCTTTTTATCACAATATCCTTTTGTATATTTTGAAAACACGCGCTCAACTTGGAGAAGTTCAATCTGCACGCATGACAACATCCGGAGTTCTTGGTCATTTTCTATTACATCATTCTCTTACCGTTGATTGTTATAAACCAGCGACGACAACATCCAGAAGAACAACCAATCACTCTCATAACACCGTTGAATGTCACTCGTAGTGAAGTATCTGTTTTTTCTTTGTTGAAATCACAAGAGAGTTTCTACGAAGAACAAGTAAAATCATTGTGAGAAAGGTCTTAATTTCTGTTTTATTCTTCATTAGTCTTTTAAGAAAGTAAACTTTTCACACGCTTTCTTCTCACAAATATTTTGCACTGCAGTTTTAATTTTTACTTACAGTGAGTACACCGACGTCTCTATAGTCGTTTATGCTTTTAAATACGCATTGTTTTACCAATCTCTTTGCGTTTGCGTAGTATTGCGTTTTTGGACATGAGCTTCCTCCATCGTTGCAGTTACAGCTACAGCTTGCACTCTTCAAATGAAAAAATATTCAACCTCTTGTTTGGGATCGCCTCCCAAGTTTCTGCCAACAATTCACTGAATTTAAACACATTTGAATTGTAGAGTCTTGCATGATTATATTCCTCCCGTTACATTCTCAGACAATTACCAAAGTTACAAGTATTTCGTTCCCCTCTATTTTACATACCCCACACCTTTCTTCACTCCTTATTGGCTAGTTCAAGTGTTTGTTACAAGTGTTCGTCGTAAAGACTTTTATCTAAATAAAACTACCTTGAGGGTAGTGTATACAATGCATCTATTTGGAAAATCTGCACTACATGCTCGTCATCTAACTGACAAAGTATATTGAATTGACTTAAAAATTTAGCTTTAATTTCAAAATGATACACAAATAGTTTGCTCTTTAGGTCTTGGGAGTATCAAACTTTTGTCATAGTTGTAGGAAAACTTATATATAACCTTTGCATGATTATGATTAGTTATCCTATCCGTAAGTGGAATAAGAAAAAATCTGCATCAATAAGTTTCATAGGCTCTATTTCCTGTTCGTATATGTACGATACTCTCTACATAGAGGAACTAAATGAACTATAGAGAGAAATATAATGATAACGATAAACGAAAGTATTTTTTGTCACACCATGTTTGATTGTTAAATCAACGAGAACCTAAATTGTTTTTTAATTTATGGTCGTTTACGCGCTTATATTCTTAATTTTCAAATACTGCGCGGACATAGTGTTCGTGTCTTTGTTTAAGCCATGGTTGTACCTCGGTTGGACAGTGAATCACAAAGTATAAACCTTGTTGATTTATAACGCACTAACAACTTTCGTTCTTGTTTAATCCTAGTTCCAAAAATTTAAAGAATTGCACTAAGTATACTCATTGTAAAGATGAACAGTGAGGAACTATACTATATAGGAAAACGAAAAATAAGTAAAACTTTCTAACAACAAAATCGTAAAAAAACGTATTCGTACCTCAACAAGACTTTCGTATCCAGTGAAAAGGATCACGAGCATAGCAAATGGAAGTGATATCTTCATGTTACGTATCGCAGATATATGAACGGTTATGTTAACTTTAAATTACCAAGCCGATCAACAGTAAATGGTACAGAAAATGATGCTTTCCGAAGTCACAGCATATATAACTAACCGGAAGCGACACTCCTCTAAAGTTTTCGGTCACGCCGACAATTTCCAGAAGTGAGCACCGCCATGTTCTTGGGTAGTAAAGTGGGAGAATTTTACTCATCAACAATGTAGCGAAAATTGGATTGTTGAATTTAAAAATGCTTTTTTTGGAGTTTAATTGGACAATCTTTGCCACTTTAATAATTATATTAAAGAAAAGGTAAAATGCGTTTACTTCGTCGATTCTTTTGACTTAAAAATCAAATTTTACAATACAATTTGACTGCGATTTTTTGGAAGTATACTCACCTACTCGGCGGCTTTGACTCGTAGGTTTTAGTGTAACTTTGTTATGTTAGCAATTCGTCTAAAACAGAGCCCTGTATTAGAATTGAGACACCGGAAGTAAAATTGCTTGGCGTTCGCCATTTTGTTCCAAAAGTCAGAAAATATAGCTCATTAAATGGTGGAAAGACAAATTTTCTGTTGTGCTTTCTTATTCATGAATAGACAGCGATCACAAACCTTCAGAGTTCAGTTGTTTATAGATGTTATAATAATAGAACAACCTTTATTTATCGAAGTGGATGTAATTTATGCGCCTTTAATACTGTTTTTACCACAAGGGAGCGCGTATGTTTCTATTCTTCATCGCTTTGATTGGCACTATTATAACGCAACATAAATCATTTTAAAAAAATTTTTATAATTTATCTCCTATGTCAAAAATGGTTATAATTTTCCATTTTGGAACAAAAATGGCGGCTAGGTGCACATGTGACCATATTTAACCGATCACCTTCATCATAATGCAAGATGCAGAGAACAATACGTGTCCCAACTATTATAAATAAAGTGCTCTGATCTTAAGTATTCATTGTATTTAGTCAATAATGCTATTTCATTTAAAAGAGGTATGGTACAAATAACCATTGTTTGTGATTTAAAGGAAGCATTGTACAACAAACCTTGGTTAAATCAAAATACTTTGTTATCGAACAATACAAACAATATTTCTTATCTTCAATTATGGGAAGTGCATTTAATATAGACGACGAGTTTTTTAAGAATAGACATGTTTCGGCATAAATAATTACATAAGTAATAAAAGTTTATATAAAAGTAAATATTCACTGTTGCTCCAATTAGTAAAACAAAATGAGCAACTCTCGTGTCAATTTTGTTGATTTCTTTCACACACTTCAAAGTTACAGGCAGAGTTGCAGCGCTAAACTGAAAACATATGAAAGAATTTTGTTAAGTTAAGGGGTGTGCTGCTAAAAAGTTCAAGTAATCGCACTTTTCAGTCTACAATCATGGTATAATAATATTAAATAGACCTAATTAATGCTAGCAAATTGCACCCTGCTGCTATATGCAAGTTGTAGAATTTTTTCACGGCTTCCCTCCTTTCCTGACCTCACTCTTACAATTGATAGGTTGCAATAGAAACTGGAAATGTCTCATCTCAATGTCTTAAAGCTTACATATATATATGCGTCAAATTAGGAGGAGCAGTAGCTAAGGGCGGATGCAGAATTTCTGCTAGGGGGGTGGTAAAAGGGGGATACTGGATGATTCCCATCTGGAGCATCTGGGACATCACTTACCTCTCTTAAACAATTTAAAAATCAATTATGTTACATATTTGAGCATTAAAAAAAATTTATGTTTAAATGCGATGTGTTCCGTCTACATAAGTGTAGCTAACCCATAGTTAATAACTCCTGCTTTGTTCATTGTTCTGTGTTTAATCACTATAAAAACAAAAAGATTGAATAATGATGAAAATTACGTAGCAGGACCACCACTTGCTGTCTGGTTACTGCACTGTCTAAATTTCATCTCGAGTTCGATTTGTTTATATTCACACATATAACACCTAATGGAAATCGTCTTGTTCACACTTTAATTACGCCATGTTTTTAGCGTACGTAAACTTGTACTAGCAGATGCTCTCACAACTGTTGTGTATTAAATATCTTATCTGAATTTTTTTACTAGAAAATCGAATTTAGTACTTTTGATAATAAATCACAAACAACATTTAATGCTTTTTAAAGAATTTTGACCAAGAAAAGGGAGGGTGACCAGCCACACAGTCCACCTCCTTGTATCTGCCACTGCGTAGCATATCTCTTTTATATATACCTACTTCAAGAGCAATCTCTGTATTTGACTAAATATTGATAAACAACTTAAAAGAAATTATGCTACATGCAATGCACTCAATCCACTGTTAAAAGCCACTGTCTACATTACCTGGAACTTGTTCCAAAAGCTGTGTAAACAGCTGCCTGTATATTGAAAAGATATCGAAAAGGGTTTTTCGAACGCATGCATATGTAAGATATATCGTAGGATAAACGATCAAAGCCTTTACAGCAATGCCAGGGATGGTCGTCACAGTCAAGTATACCGACGATTCGAAGGTCTTCCCAATGTCCTCCATTTCAACAAGCTTGCCAGCATCATCAATCCACAAACCATTGGATATTTAACGTAGATATTTCATCTTTGTGCTCTTTAAAGTTTTAAATCCATGATTTTAACTTTTTCAAATGATGTAACCATTGAGTTCTATAATAACTGGAGGGGAAACGTCAACAAAATTAGTATAAATTATTAGCGCGCGGCCGCGTGGTCAAAAACATGGCGGATTTTGGTGGTCAAAGTCAGCGGAGAGACGCGGGCTCATGAAATAAAATTTTTGTCGCCCACCCTGATTTGACCACCACGATTGCGAGTATAGAAAATATCAACACTATTTATTTTCCTAACATAAACACTTTTTAAAATTTTATTTATTAAACCGCCAACTTCTGTGGTTTGCGGATGCTGAAATAGCGACAGAAAAGGGAACATTTCTGGACTCCGGTAAGTAGCACAGTATTAGTTTTACTATTGTGTTTTTAACACGATACTTGAAGAGTGTTTCTACTACTAAGTTTTAATTTAAAGTTATTTTGGTCCAGTCTTGTTTGTTCTTCACTTAATCGCTCGCCAGACGTGGCGAAGCTGTCAATTTTTATCGAGTTTTGCATCCATCTTGTATCATGATCAAGGCATCAAGCTAAACTCTCCTGATTTGAATTGAGTTTACCTCCCAAAAATGGGGTATAATTTGTTCATGTTTTTTTTTGAAAAGATGAAGGGAAAGTTTACAACAGAGTTGTGTTGAAATTGAATGCAGTGCCATGCAAAATTAATGAGAACTATGGTATATGTTGTATAATAAAAATAACTATTAAACTGTTTGCCTGCTCAATTTGACTGACTGTATTGTGTAGACAATTATAATGAGATTGGAAAGTTGGATTTATGCAAACAATTTTAAAGTACTACTTAGCGTTTCTGTAAATGAAGTATTTATTGTTATAGTAAACAGGTTAATACTTCAAAACCAAGATGAAAGTAGTGTGTTGAACAATGTGCTAAGATTTGTTTCTACCTTGAAATTTTTGTTCAACAGTAGCTTATGATTATATCATTAATATGCATGAAAAATTAAACATATCATTGTCTCATCTCATTAAATCCATACTTGGTATGATTCCAGGTGATCCACAAATTCACATCGGATGCATTGGTTACAATGAAGTTGAATGTAGAGGAAGCAAAAATAGATGGCAAAGAAATTCTTTGTGTCTTATGAAGAATGAGTAGAAATCAATAAAAAGAATTCTTTAAACAAATTGTAAACAAATTTAAATTTGCTCATGGTCAAGCAACCTAGTCAAAGAAGCAAAGTCTGTCTTCAACATGCGACCTTTCCAATTATTTAGTTTCTTTGTACAAAATACTATTTTCGAGAAACTTGATTTGTAAGTCTTTCCTTAATATTTTTTTACCAAGAGATAAAAGGAACTAATTCAAAGGCTTGATGTAAAATACAAAGATTTAACAAGTTGTTTATCATTTAATTCCCAAATGTTAGTTTGTACATATAAATAATTAGTATTGGTAGCTGTAAGTTGTTTAAGCAAAACAGAAGAGTAGTAGTGCTCGAAGGGGTTAGCATTTTTGAAAAATTATATCTTGTTCTTGACATATATTACACAATTCCAAAAAACTGTAAGTAATGCACAATAATATCTATAGAACTTGATAAATTTCTTCACCTACACTGTCAAATAACTATTTTGCCTTCATGCAGCAATAGACAGTGTTTTTGTCAGAGAAACCAATACACTTTAGTTTCCAAGTTTGCGATTTCAATGGAAAATCAATGTAGTTCTGTTCAGTAATAGATCCAAGATTCTGCTAAGCTGTTTACAAAATACAAATTACCAAGCAACAGTGTCATGGTGTTTTGAATTTTTTCTTTTTTGTAGCTCTTCTAGTTCAACATACTTTCTTTATGAGTTTTCAGTAGATTTATCAGGTAATGACAATACACTTATGATACTTATCCATGGTAAATTTTTAGTTGACTTATGTCGTAGGACTGAAGCAAACATTTTCTCGCTTCCTTAGGAGCATTTTTACACAGATTTATCCATTTGAAGCAAGAAAAATAGGTGCACCAAACTGTTTACAAACAGTCAAACACACAAAAGCATGAAATAATGTATAAGTTTGACGAGATTGACAGGTCTAGTAAAGAATGCCGTTTGATTTTCACTTTTAAAAGGCTAAAATGTCATAAAATAACTTAAATGTTACATCCAAAATATGCGTTTCTCTACCGTCGATCTTCTTTATTTTGATGCGTGTCTGTACTGTGTTTTTCACGCAATGCTGAAGCATTATTTTCACATGATATGCTGTCGGTATCGTAATTGTTTTTTTTTCTCACTTGTTTTCGTTCATACAAACAGTATTGGAAATCAGGAGGGAGTGAATATTGAAAAAAATGTTTAAAGTGGAAGTTTTGACCACCAAAATCCGCCATTACCGCCATGTTTTTGACCACGAGGCCCAGGCCCCTTTGCCCCTCCAGGTCTTATAGAGCTCAATGGATGTAACACATACTCCATTCATTGCGGACACACCAGCGATTGTTGGAGTCATTGCCGTTTCTGTAATATCGAGATTCTCGAAAAAATCATCCATAAAGTGCTTCAGCTACAAGAATTCCTCAAGCTAACAACGGAACATTCTCGTTTAGGTCTTTGTGTGAGAACTTTTCGATCATTGCACAACCAAATGCGTCTCCAACCAAGTTACAAGGGTTACAAATTTTCTATACTCGCAATCGTGGTGGTTTTGGAAACAGGATTAAGGAGAACGATAATTGTGGGGCGTTATAAATCAACAAGAGCTATACTTTGCAAGTTACAGTCCAGCCTAGATACAATGATAAGAGTTTTGAAGTCTACATGGCACAAACACCATCTCATCCCAGAATTTATATGAACTACAAACTGAGCTCTTAAATGACAAGAAACAAAAGAGTATTTTGGTTTATGTTTGCAAATATGTGAACTTCTCGTAAATTTATCATTATACATTTACTCTGCATAAAAAATATTGCCGTAGAGCTAACAAGGCGTGAAAAAAAATATTTCTTTTTGTCATTAATATAAGATAGACAAAGTTTTTTGACATTGTGCATCCATAGATAGTATAGCCAATCATAAGAATATATATAAGTTTTTCTAAAATGATGAAAAAAACTTGACAATTCCAAGACCCAAAGAACAAAGTAAAAGTGCAGCCTTTTAGATTATTAATTTTTATTTAAATGATTCATTTTAACTTAAATTATTATACTTTGTTAGTTATTTCGAGCACGCAATGCAAACAATTTTTCGATCAAATATTGAACATGCAAAACAGTCTATAGCATTTTTCTTTCAAGCTTCCTGGTTTAACTGCATATGTTTAAATGACAGAGAGTGACAACTAGAGGTTTATTACTTCTTCATTTTAAGAGTGCAAGCTGTAGCTGTAACTGCAACGACGGAGGAAGCTCTTGTCCAAAAACGCAATACTACACAAGCGCAAAGAGATTGGTAAAACAATGCGTATTTAAAAGCATAAACGACGATATAGACGTCGGGGTACTTATTGTAAGTAAAAATTAAAATTGCAGTGCAAAACATTTTTGAGAAGAAAGCGTGTGAAAAGTTTACTTTCGTAAGAGACTAATGAAGAATAAAACAGAAATTAAACCTTTCTAACAATGATTTTACTTGTTCTTCGTAGAAACTCTCTTGTGATTTCAACAAAGAAAAAACAAATACTTCACTACGAGTGACATTTAGCGGTGATATGAGAGTGATTGGTTGTTCTTCTGGATGTTGTCGTCGCTGGTTTATAACAATCAACGGTAAGAGAGGCCTGAGAAGGATGTACAATAGAATAAGACCAAGAATTCTAGATAATGTCATGCAGGCAGTTTGGACTTATTCAAGTAGAACACGTGTTTTTAAAAATACAAAAGAACATTCATATTAAAAGAAAGTTGCTACTTTCCGTGTGATCGTACATGCATGCTTGACTAGCATCTGCTTCGATATTCAATGCAATGCATCTGTAATCAAAAATTTTGACTGACACAGTGTTAAAACTGCTGCATTATGTAGCATATGTCTTCACAACTGGTGCATGGTAAGGTACTTCCAAAACAAAAATGGTGATACACTATATTTATTGACGTATAGGTAAGGAATGCAAAGATCCAGCAACAATTGACGCATTGATATATGCAAATGGTTCTGTAAATCGTCACATTCCTGGTACAACTGATGGCATTTGCAACAACATACCTGCAGGACTCGTGAGAGTCGGTCTCTCCATAGCAGCCTGCTCTGGAGTTAAGGGTGGTTTAGCTTACACAGGCTGGCAAACCGTTTCGCGGATTTTAATCGAAGAAATGTCGATATAGTGAAGAAGAAAAACTTAATTCAACAATTGCATATTTCCTACAAGTCTTTTATCTGAATTACCATACGTTTTTATAGAAAGAGATCACTCGCATTTTCACAATCAAAAGTGCAATAAATACTAGTGATGATAATCCTCACTGTTTTTTCTTTAACTTATTACTACAATTGCTTTTATCCCATACAGAAAGTCTGCATTTAAATTTTGAAGTACCAAGTCCCGTTGTAATCGATCTACTTAAGGTACTACACCCCAAATCAACAAAAGCGCGTATGGTTTAACATTTTTCTTTGTTCGGTTTTCATTTTAATACTTTGCGCAAAAAATTTGCAATCGTGAAATTCTCTTTTATCTATTGCGCTTGAGATTTTTATTGCTGGACAGTCTAGAGAAAGTATAAAAAATTTGTGAAATGCTTACTCTTGCTGTCGGAGACTAATGCGGAGTTTGCAACAGTTCACGAGAAGAAAATCTGACGCATATTGTCTATCATGATATTAGCTCCAACTGTTTAGCTTCTGGTAGTCAGTAAGGACCAATTGCTAAGGCATGCGGTTGTGGAGATGGAGTGACTAGGACCGCTTTCTTTTGGTTCACTTTATTTTTTTGCAGCATTTTTAGAATACTCAGCCAGCACGAAGTCTAGGTCAATGGCATAGTTTCCAGATGAAAAGGTGAAACATCCACAACTTGCCTTATTCCCAATTTTTTGGGGCATTAGTGATTAGAAAAGATTTTCATGGTTGATTGACATTTAGAAACTTATTCTATCATGGCATGTCTGAGTTGTAAAAATATAAAAAAAAATAAAAATTTTACTTTAATTAATTCATTTTACACTGATAACAGCTCCAAAACAGGTCTTTGCCCTTGATGATCAATACTGTGTATAAAACGCTTTAACAATCACAAAACTGTTTAAATTTAAAATGTGTGTATGTTATACAGTAGAGTGTACAGAATATAGAATACATAAAACCAGTCTATATATTTCATTTAAAAATTAAATAACATCATTGTTAAAAATACAAGCACTGTTGGGCTTCGGAAAATAATACACAGTACAAGTCACTTGCAACACAATCCTCACTTTAGAATCAAGCAAGCACTTGGCTAGCAACTAGAAAAAAAACAAAAAACAGTTATAACTTTGGTGATAACTTTTACAGAGCACAAATTGCTTTGAAGCAAAGTTATAATAATCAATATAGGTAAAAAATTGTGTACCTCTAAAAATAATATTTGATATTAAAAATGCCTGACATATTGAACTATTCACTCATACTTAAGAGATAAAACAAACTCTCCCTTGCTTTGAATTGAATGTTGCTAAAAACTAAAGGTCTATTAGACTATTATTAGTTATCATTCATAAACAAGCATCATGAATGATTATTGAATTGCTTGGTTAATATTACTTTACATATTAAGTTGGCAGTACTATGTGGCAATATGAAATATTGCAGCGTTCGTACAAGTAAGTTTCTCCGACATTTTCTTAATTATAACTACACCTCAAACAATTCAAAAATTATAATTTAGAATGGACGAAAACGCGAGAGATTCTACTTCATACTTTCGTACACACAACCTTACAACTCAATGAGCTACATTTAAACGGTTCATTTTTACCAATAAAAAGCCTTTACGTACTTGTTAGCAATGAAATAATGATCTCTCACCTTGTTTCTATCATTTTTTGTCACAACCTTTTATGATCTTCCAAAATCTTTTACGTACGAGGCGACTAATATTCCGAAATCGCACTTTTCCAATATAATTTTATAGTACGCCAGCGCCAAGTTACTGGCCAGAGTAATGGCGGACTTAACGTATGCGCACAAAAAAAATGCTACGCGTTTCACCCGCGAGTTGCCCTTCTATGTATTCTCTATTCTATGTTTTTTACCCTGCAGCAGATATAGCTTCATTCTTTGAGCTTGGGCCATAATAAATATGAAAGAAAACAAAAGCAATTCCAAAGTTTACCATTAAATATAAGGCATATATCCCACACATTTGAGCATAAAGTACGGATGACATTTGGCCACGTAAATTTATGTATGAGCCCACAGCCATTACCAACGAGTCGCACATTTGTTTTGAGCAACCTGGGAATAAATACACGCAGTAACAGCTGAACGATAACCAACCCCCTGTCCACAATGAAAAGAAATTTTTAAGAAACGACATGGCAATGTTAGGTAGAAATGCTGCTTTTCAATGCGCTTGTAGCTATGATTTGAAATAGTATAAAGAACCTTTGAACACATAGGTATATACGAGGTGGAGGTGCTGGGGTGCAACACTCCCAATTTTGAGCCAAAATGGTAACGTCGGGAATTTCTACTCACAACTCAGAAAATATTCAGTCTTTTTGAGGCCAAAATATTAGACAAATTAACCATTTAAATTGACAAAATTAATTTTAACAAACAAAAAGAAAGAAATTTCATTACAGGGAAAATTCCATGGACCTTTTGTTTTTATAATTATTTAAATAATGATGTCAGATGAAAGCGTCTAATATGTAAAAGAAATATTTTTGATCTGAACCATATTTGACATTTTTTAGGGAACACAGTAGAGAGGCTTTAAAATTTTCCTGACAGTAATTTTCATCCATAATTACTTCTTTCTGGCTTTCACCTTTCAATTGAATTAAATATTAGTCAACTAACTTGACAGTATGATGACAGAAAACTACAAAGACAAATCTTTATAGCGGATATTTAAGAAATTGTACTTTGCCCTTCATTTACGTAAACTCTTTTTTCCAATTGGTGACCAATAAGCCATTATACATTGACAAAGTACTCACACAATATAAACACAAATATAAAATATTTAAACAGCTAGTTTATCGTTATGTTTGACCTTCAGAATATACTCTTGTTGATCGGAAACACGTCATGCTGTAAAAAACCTCCTTATAATGTACATGAGTCATGCTGTATGAGTTATTCCCTTCGTTTATACACGATTGATTGGGTTTTCTAAATCTTAGCTCGAATTAAATTACTCATATCTACGTACAATACCATGAAGTTCACACTTTAATTTCTTGCGTTCATGTAGCACCTGCATGCCAATTCTAATGCAACGTTTTGCATTACAAATTATCTCATTAAGAATAGAACTGGCAATAAGCATTAAATTGTGTAAATTTGTATTATGATTAAACGACTTTTTGTTTAGGAGGCACAAATCTATAAGTAAATTTAGAAACACTTTTGTATAATAAAATTTTCTTAGAATTGTTCCGAGCACCCCTCCTAAAAGTGTTGGCCGGTACGCCCATGTCTATCTATAGATGGTCGAGGGTAGGAAGTATCCTGTAAAGCTAAAGTTTTAAACAATTTAGCTTTAATTCCACAAAAGAGTTAAAACGAAGTCACTGATAAGCTGACAGGAAGTCTATATTTTTATGTAAAAACACTAGGAAGTACTCTTAAAAACAATGACTGTCCGTATATACAACGTTTTTTTGTTCTCACCTTGTCAATAGCAAAAATATGCTTTTGGCGTTGTGAAAAAATTTGATTTTAGGCCATATTTTGTTTGTCTACATATCAAAAAAACATATAATCAAATAAAAGAAATTCACTATCGAAAAAATAGTTGTAGAGTAATGGCAAGCGTTATTTCAAGCATCAACCATTGCCAGCTAACCTACGTCATAGACTCCTACTTGTCGCAAGGATCTATGCAATACTGAAGAAAAGCGTAAGTGACATCCTTTTGAGACGTTGCATATATTGCAGTGGCGTGCGGTGACCGAATTTGATAGGCAAGCGCTGGGGGGTGAGGTTCGCGGCTTGCCGCGAACCTTCTAGGGGGTCTGGGGGCATGCTCCCCCAGAAAATTTTTGGATTTTGAAGGCTACTGAAGCGCATTTCCCGCGATTTCTGGGAGTACTTTGTCGAAAAAAATGTATCTGTCATGACTGAAACAGTATTGAAAAAATCTAAAAAATTCAAAAACTTTTATAGAGTATATATCACAATTACGGTTTAAAAGTATTACATGTGGTATTGTGATATAAAGTCGTTTTAAGTAAATGGCTACGCGTGCATTTCTATTGTAGTGAAGAAGTAACAGAACGAAATAATCCAAATGAGCGGGATAACAGTGATTCCACAATGCATTCAGTCATGTTGTACAGGTGTCGTGAAAATACCGAATGTAGAAGTAGAACATTAAAGGATGAAAATTCCTATGCTATATATTTTATAGGAACATCAATCTTATTTATACCTTACATCAGTTACATGATATCTTGTAGTGACGTACATAACGTGCGTATATTACTCATCTAGATTCATGTATTAGCAATAGAGGAAATAGCCAATCCTACACTTACTCAAACGCGCTACTTAAACTTACGCACTTAACTTTATAATTACGTAAAACTACTCAAATTTCAAGTACATTATCCGCTGTGTAATAACTGCACCTTCTTTAACCAAATATATAAAAAGCCTGTAAATAAATTCTAACACATAGAACACTCACGACTGTTGTAAATAACTTCTTTGCTAGTGAATAAAATAATCACAAAATTTAATAGCGTTCTAGTACATTGAACTCACGTTCGGAGCTCATACGAAAGACATATATAACGCTAAAATCTACCGGATACAAATATCAAAACTACTACGCAAAAGGAAGCTCTTGTCAATATCATAATCTTGTATTACATGCTACAGATAATATCTTCTACATACATAAATTGCAAGACATTAGGCGCGAAATGTATTGTAGCAGTCGTGATTATAACAATTAAGAACAGCCAGTTTCGCGCACAAAATTGGCACGGTGTGTTACAAACGTGTTCCCCCGTTCTTCAAAATGTGTCTGGCACTGACTCGTACGTTTCAGAATATCGGAGAGTCGTGTTTATTATTTAGTATCTTGTACCTTTTATTTTTAGTCATTAATTTACGAATTCAACGACACAAGACTGACAAGAGCATAGTGTTTTGGTCATAATGCTAGTCATACTTTACCACAACACACGTTTGCGTGCATTTCGATATCTCTGCAGACTGCGGCCCTGCTTGTTTACGCACATTGTGCGCAGAAAATAATAAAATAACCAGTAAAGCACCTACTACTTTGAATTAGAAATCAGAACATTACCTTTCGCTCTCAGTCATCTTTTAATAAACGATAACATTAACGGCGTGAATAATTCGGATGTCCAATGTGTTGAATATACGAATATTATTCGCGCGCTGTTATGTGTTTAAAATTGCGAGCGTACAAGACTGTTGACCAATCGCTATCAAGCGGCGCCCTTAGAAGCGCCGCTTGCCTTTTCTCGATATTCCTCGAATTAAGGCTCTTTTCCACTCATCGCAAAATGCTCTCGCTGCGAGCTTGCGAGTCTGTTCGCTCGATCAAAAAAATTTGTTCAATTAATTTAACACATGCGCAAATGTTCAAATTGAGCTCCGAAGGCAAGCGCGCTTGCCTTGGTTAATAAATAAGAAATTTTAAAGTGTATTTAATCCACTTGACTCATCTTACCAGTGTAGCAAAGTGAAACCGAAAACCACGACAGTAAATCGCGTATAAATAGCAAGCATTTCAACTGTAAAGACAATTTAGACAAAAGATTACATTGACATTGTTTAGAACAAAAAAATTTAAACTGATTTTGCTCAGAGATTGATCCAAAAAATTTTTGTTCGGTAAAATGCTTAGGCAAGCGGCGCTTGCATGACCGCACGCCACTGATATATTGTACTGCCTTACAAGCTCACGTGAACGGTTTCAAACTCTGTTCTGTCTGATCTCATCTTTTATGTATTTTATATCATTTTTGGCAGAAGGAACTTGATGACGACACAAAATACAAGCAAAATATCCGAAAGATACACTACCAAGCTATAAATAACTCTCATTTCGCAATGGGACAGCTCAAGCGAACGTTACGTATGTGCTGGTAAGCTTTTGACTTGCAAAGACCCTATAGATATAGTAGGAGATATGACGTTGACGATTACTAGCAGGAAATACTGTTTCAAGTAGATTGGCATTGCACAAGATAGTTCGAACAACACTTATTAGACCTACTAATTTGCCTTTTTCAGCTAATAGGAATAAAGAAATAGCAAATCACAGTCAGTAGTCTACTAAATACAGTACCAAGAGGCACAGCAAAGAAGCTTGCATATTTCTTATTCTATACTAAGCGCTGAATCAACTTTGCAGCATTTATTACCACGTAGTTTATTTAAGACATCAGTGCATAAATTGTACTTTACCCAAAATCATGAATTTTCATTACGCTACTGACGCATGTTTTATTTTGTTCGGTTTGTCTAAAATGCAGATACGGACGGACGGATGACAACTGTGGATGAAAAATTACGGATAGATGACAATTGCGGGTAGAAGAACGAATTTGACAGACAGATGAGCTAATATCATACAAAACGTATGTTTTAAGGCTAGTCCACGTTTTATCCGACGGGTGAAACGCGGATATGGTTTAAAATATGGCTTTCACGCTATTTCAATGATCCGCGTTTTAATCTAACCAGTATTTTAATATATGAGAGAATAAAGCCAAGTTTTCACTAGCGACATAAGCACAAGCAAGAAAGCAAAGCAAACCATGTTCTCCAGAGATTGGTGGAAATAAAAGAAAAAGGATTTTCTTTTCAATTTAATTTTGTTTTACCTTATGCTTATGTTTATGCTTATGCTGATGCTAATGCTTCTGACAGTCGCTTCATTGCCTTCTTTTGTATTTTCTTTTGTCTTTGTTTGTCCTTATGCTTATGTCGCTCGATGATATAGAACTTCCGTTTCTGTATAAGGGAAACGCGTCATATTTTTTGACCTTTAATTGGAGTGGTACTGCATAAATACACTGGCAAGCATGAGTTTCTTCACCATTCACGATTGATCAGCTTGGTGTTTTAAAGTTAGCATATCTTTCATATCTGCGATACGTAACATGAAGATATCACATCCATTTGCTGTGCTCGTGATCCTTTTTACTGGATACGAAAGTCTTGTTGAGGTACGAATAAGTTATTCGACGATTTTGTTGTCAGAAATTTGTACTCATTTTCCGTTTTCCTATATAGTATAGTTGTTCACTGTTCATCTTTACAATGAGTATACTCAATGCAATTCTTGAAATTTTCGCAGCCAGGATTAAAAGAACGATAATTGTTAGTGCGTTTTGAATCAGTAAAGGTTATATATGTTGCGAGTCACTGTACAACCGAGGTACAATCAAATTTTTAAAAGTCTTCATGGTTCAAGGTTGTAAAACACGAGAACTATGTCGGCGTAGTATATATTAACTAAGAAACCTAGCACGTAACAAACCATAAATCAAAAAGTATTTAGCTTCATGTTGATTTAACATTACATACGTTAATACGCTCCACAAAAATTGGCATAGAACAAACAAGGTGTGACAAAAAATACTTCCGTTTATCATTCTTTTAAGGTAATAGGCTTGCTTAGTTCCTCTATGTGTATGCAATACGTACGTTTACAAGTTGCTAGTAGAGTGGAATTTATTGAGTCATATTCCATGCAAAGATATCCATTTTCATAAACAAACGGTACATATAAGTTTTCCAATAACTATGACAAAAGCTTGACATTCCCAAGACCCAAAGAGCAAACAACTTTGTAGGTATGGCAGAACTTATAGCCTCAAGGCTGTGCTTAAGAGTTATATTTAGATAAAAGTCTTTATGACAAACACTTGTTACAAACACTTGAACTAGCCAACAGCGAGTAAAAAAAGGGTGTGATATGTAAATTCAAAGGTGAAATAAAATATTGGTAACATTTTGAATTATCTGTGAATGTGTATCATCAAAACTCTACAATTCCAGTGTGTTTGAATTCAGTGAAGTGTTGGGAGAAACTTTGGAGGCAATCCCCAACAAGAGGTTAAGTATTTTTTCATTTGAAGAGTGCAAGCTGTAGCTGCAACTGCAACGATGGAGGAAGTTCTTGTCCAAAAACGCAATACTACACAAGCTCAAAGAGATTGGTAAAACAATGCGTATTTAAAAGCATAAACGACGATACAGACGTCGGTGTACTCACTGTAAGTAAAAATTAAAACTGCAGTACAAAATATTTGTGAGAAGAAAGCGTGTGAAAAGTTTCCTTTCGTAAAAGACTAATGAAGAATAAAACAGAAATTAAGACCTTTCTAACATTGATTCAACTTGTTCTTCGTAGAAACTCTCTTGTGATTTCAACAAAGAAAAAACAGATACTTCACTACGAGTGACATTCAACGGTGTTATGAGAGTGATTGGTTGTTCTTCTGGATGTTGTCGTCGCTGGTTTATAACAATCAACGGTAAGAGAAGCCTGAGAAGGATGTACAAGAGAATTAGAGCAAGAATTCTAGATAATGTCATGAAGGCAGTTTGGACTTATTCAAGTAGTACACGTGTTTTTAAAAAAATACAAAAGAATATTCATATTAAAGGAAACGATACAATTGATAAAAAAAATTATGCTTGGGCTTTCAATACACAATGTTATGTTGGCAGGTTTTTGTAGAAAGTTTATGCTACTTTCCGTGTGATCGTACATGCATGCTTGACTAGCATCTGCTTCGATATTCAATACAATTCATCTGTAATTAAAAATTTTGACTGACACAGTGTTAAAACTGCTGCATTATGCAGCATATGTCTTCACAACTGGTGCATGGTATTTTCAAAACAAAAATGGTGATACACTATTCATTGACGCATAGGTAAAGAATGCAAAGATCCAGCAACAATTGACACAGCGATATATGCAAATGGTTCTGTAAATCGTCACATTCCTGGTGTAATTGATGGCATTTGCAATAGCATACCAGCAGGACCAGTGAAAGTTGGTTTATCTATAGCAGCCTGTTCTGGAGTTAATGGCGGTAACGGTTACACCGGCTGGCAAACCGTTTCGCGTATTTTAATCGAAGAAATGTCGATATAGTGAAGAAGATAAACTTAATTACTTCAATAATCGCATGGTCATCGATACAAGTTTTTCAACTGAATAAATACGATTTATGAAAGAGATCACTCGTATTTTCTTGATCAAAAATGCATTATAGTCATAAGAGGCAAACCGAAGATGTTTTTCTTCAGTATGTGACTACAATCAATCCCGAGGGGAATTTTAACACTCAAAAACCTAACTTTGCTTGACAGTTTAATCATGGTCATAAAAATTCAACCTTTTTTAGGATTTTGCATAAATTTATTAACAATAATCTGTGGTTGGTTTTATTATAGAAAACTTGGTATTGGCACGTTTAAAAACTATTAGGTCAAACACTTCCTATACAATAAACGTTTATTTGAAAATGTCCTGTTCCTCCTTGAATGTGCCATAATAAATACACAATAAGAATATTCTGCATTCATGACTATCAAAACATTCATTAACAATTGCTTCCAGAGGGCAAAACAAACACAAGCCAACTCCATAAGACAACTCCTCTTTTCAATGCTTTTAAAAGAAATCCAAAGGGCTTTTTATCTATTTTGGTTGTGCAGACATGGCCATTATTTGTTTGTCATCATTCAAATGCAAGCGAACGTCCATTTCAGATCTCTGTATCTTCGTACATACATCCACATGCAGAACGTCGACCTTATCTGTTGCACAATACTGACAAACACATGAAGCGCTACTCTAATTCCGCCTTAGCTACTTGTCTAAATATTTTGTAATTGACGTCGATTTTTAAAGTATCTCATGTCTAAGTTTAAAGAAATACTCGTGACAAACAGCAATTTAATTGAGCTAAGTTCACCTATAGGATGACTCATGCCGCAACACAATAGGTAAACACAATGTGAGAACTGAAAATGGGTTCTTGCTGCATGCTTTTCTTACATAATTTGCAAGCTATCATGAATTTTCTGTATCGCGCATAGTAGCAATTACTTTTGCTTTAAAGCCCGCCGCACACTGGTAAACTTGCCGCGCGTACTTGTTATTCGTGACAAGTGTGATCGACAAAAGTTCCTAGTGTGCGCGGAAGTTTTGAACAACATTTATCATTCGTGACAGATGAGTCAAAATGTCAAATATCAAACGCGTTTGATATTTTTTGTCACGAGTGACAAAAAATCCTCGTGTGAGGATTCAGAATGCAGCAAGTGCGCTGTAAATGACAAAAATGCGCACGCGCGAGATTGAGAAAACAAAATGGCAGACCAAACCTCGGAACATGTGGCGGACGTTATATTAGAGGACCAGCTTTTTGATATTTGGCCTGAATATCCATGTCTTTACGATGTAAGATCGTCGGAATTTAAAAATCGAGACGCAAGAGATAAGGCTCTGCAAGAGACTGCAGAAAATCTTGGGCAAACAGGTTGTTATTTTTAATAATAAATATCGACTTTATAAGTGTTAATAATAAATATCGACTTTATAAATATCGACTTTATATAGTCATTGTCCAATCTTTTAGTTCTTTTATTCAGTCCACGCTGTTGAGCAGAGATGTATTTGCTGGAAAATATGATTAATAGTCGCAATTGAACTCACACGTCAATTTCTTACTTAGTTTATTGGGTCAAGGCTAAAATAAAAGCATTGAGAAATGCTTTCACACGAGTCAAAAAACCTCCTCCAAGTGGTAGCGCTCGCAAAAGTCTTACGAAGCGAGGTAGCTGGTTGCTGGATAAACTGAAGTTCCTCTCTCCTTTCGTGGCAACAAGAGTTCCCATTTCAAATATTGTTACTGTAAGTGAAATTCTTGTTTTATTTTGATTTTCCAAACAATTAATATTATGCATAACATATATATATATATATATATAATTAAGAGTAAGTGCTACTGCTAGATAATGTTATCCTGCCATGATACAGCTCCGCAAGTTTTAAAATATGTCGTCAGAATTTCACGTTGCATTTTGGCACTATTAGAAGGATTTCTGTCTGTGTTGAATGGATTCAAATTTGTCATGCATGCATCTCTTCTCCATGAGCCAGGTGTGACAAGATGATTGTCATCCTCTACATCTGCTGGTGCTGTATAACCTGATTTATTCTTTTCTGTCATATAGTTATGCAAGCAACAAGCAGCTAGAATTAGATAGGTAACCTTGTCAGGACACAATCTTATTGTAGTTAGGAACACATGCCATCTGCTGGCAAGAATCCCAAAAGCATTTTCTACTACCCGTCTGGCACGAGACAATCTGTAGTTAAAGACTCTTTTCTCTTTATTTAAATTCCTGTGAGGGAATGGCTTCATCATTGTTTTGCTCAATGGGAAAGCATCATCACCCACAATGTGGTAATGTATTTTTGATGAAACTCCTGGAATTTCAATTGGTAATGGTAGACCAAGAGTATTTTCAACAACAGCTTTTCGCAAGCTAGACTCATTATACACGCCAGCATCTCCTGCACGGCCTGCTGCTCCAACATTAACATAGACAAACTTGTAGTTTGCATCTACTAGAGCTAAAAGCAAAACACTGAAAAAATGCTTGTAGTTGAAAAATTCTGATCCACTACTATTTGGTTGTTGTATGGCTATGTGTTTCCCATCTAGAGCTCCAATGCAGCCAGGATAGTTCCATTTTTTTTCAAATTGGTCTGCAACAGCCTTCCATTCTGCACAAGATAGAGTCTGTAATTGAAGAAAATAAAAGCAATTACATCATAAATTTGCTTATGTTAAACTAATGGATGTTCATTTATTAAATGCTTCTAGGACGATTCCAATTCACCATCATGCATAACAATTGCTGATAAAGTTGATGATCAAAACGATGATGATGATGACGACAGTTGTAATGATCCAGCAACACCAAGCAACAGTCTTGAGAATGAGGTTGACTGTCCCATTTCTAGTACTAAACAGCCAACCCGTATAAAGCCAAATAGAAAAAGGCAGGCAGATGAAGAACACAATCTCAGTATCAATGTACTTCAATATGAGCGTGGTCAATGCACAATTGCAACAAAAATTGAAAATATAAAATTGACATTGAACAGAGATCCACCCAAAGATCAAAAAACGGCAGTCGATTTGACGTCGGTCATTGTAGATTTTATCTTGAATTTTATGCATTCAATTGCGTCGTCACTCAACAAATATGATTGAAATAGTTTTTAAGCGAACATGCTGTTTTCTAGGTAACCTCATCGAGTATTCCAGAATTCTCTCTTGCAAAAATATAGCCTGTAAAAAATATTTCCAACTCTTGCAATGAAAATGAATTTTTCATAAGTGGGAATTACCGAAAAGATATTTCTTGAGAAGACATTTCCAAAGAGAGAATGAGGTAAAAATAGGACTTACGTTCATTGGAAACACGTCATGTTGTAAACAGCTCCGAAAATTTTACATTAATGCACATGTGATGATTGAAGTTATGCAGCAACGTCTCATGTTGTTCGCGTTATTCACTTCATTAATACCGCCACGATCGATCAACTGTGTGTTGTAAAACTTCGCTCAAATCAAATCAATTTATATCTGCAATACATACATACCATGAAGTTCTTATTTTCAATTGTTGCGTTCTTGATTTTCATTACAGGACATCGTAGTCTAGTGGAGGTACGAATATAATTGTGTGTGATCTAAATCAGTGTCTTGTTGACAGAGACATGTTGCTTGAATGTAAATATACCACGTTTATTATACTTGTCTACGTTTTCCAGCCTTCCTGTCGTAGAAAGTGTTTTTTTTGCTGTGAAATCGTCCAGATACAGGCAGTTCACGAATTATGTTTATCTCAATAAAATGTCTATAAATGTTCCAAGTTTGAAACCATTATATGTGCTTTGATAAAAGTCTAAATAAAAAAAATAACGATGCATGTTGTTTTTGCGCGTACTAAATAAAACTCGTGATTACTATGAGATATCATGGTACATTAAGATACAACCATACGAAGAGCATAGCAATGCAACGGAAGCGAGCATCAATTTACTCATCATGTTTCTAAATTACGACAAGTCAAAGTAGAAATTAACGATTGACGTGAAGGTGGTCGACTCCAACGAATATTTCTAAATTATACATATCATTAATGAAATTGTGCTCTTTGCAACAAAAAGCTGATACACCGAAAGGCAAGGTATGATAAACGGAACGCGTTCCCGTTGCTATTGCAAAGAGATGTTTAAACTTGTAGCTACACAAAGAATGTTGTCATTAACTAAAAATGCACTTGCGTGATTCGTTTAAAAATAGGCAATATTTATGTTGCCAAATTACAGCAGGGCCGTAGCTAGGACGTTGAGTGGGAGTGTGAATATTCGTGTGTCCAGTTATAGTCGGGCACAACACTTCCCTTTCCCGATCAACTATACCTTACTGCCTAACAGTAAGCAGAACATTTGGTATTTACTAATGCAAAGGTTATTGTCTTAATTATTGTGTGGATAATGATACATAGTCATGTACACAAAGTAATAATCACAAAGAAAGGCAACTTGGGGGTGCAACGCCTTCTCAAGTCCGCTAGTTGACTTACATGTTTGCACCAGATTGCGGGGCATTCTGATTCCTAACCACTAAAAGATGACGTCATTCTGAAGTCTGATATATACTGAGAATATTTAGACATAAGAAAGACGTCATCTCACTTTAGTGGTAAGAAATTTATGTGATTGTCATAGTCCCATCGCGAAGTATATAAACATTTCTAATACGCACAAAGAAAGCTACTGACAGCTTTTATTCAAATTATCATTTGAATGATTTGTTTATTGTTTATAAATCGTTTATTTTTTTAATTTGTTCATTTGTTGATTTGTTTGTTCTTGTTTTACCGTGTAAACAGTTTTTGATACGTGCAAAGAAATGCAGCGAATACCTTTTATAATTTTATTCGCTTAGATTGTGAAAATGTTTCTGTGATCAATAATCGGGGAATGGTTTTGTGATAGTATTTTTACTTTAAGAGTTCAAGCTGCTACTGTAACTGCAACCATTATGGAAGCTCATCAATACCAAGAGCGCAACATTGCACAAGTCCAACGAGATTGGTAAAACAGTGCGTTTTCAAAAACTTAAACGACGACAAAGACGCTGGCGCGTTAACTGTAAGTTAAAATTTCAAATCATATTGCAATTTTAATTTGCAAGAAGAAAAGTTGTAAAAAGTAATTACACTACTTACATTAAAAACGTGAAGAGAAGTGAAACTGAAATCACGACTTCATTTCTTATTCTTCACAGCAAGTAACTTGTGCTTTCAACAAACAGAAAACAGACACGTCACTACGTGTGACATTTAATGGTAATATGAGAGTGGTTGGTTGTTCGTCTGGATGTTGTCGTCGCTGGTTTATAACAATCAACGGTAAGAGAAGTCTATAACAGGAATTACCTAAGTGCAATATACACCCGTCAGGAGTTTTTGATATAGCAAAACACCACAATCAATAAATACTCGAAGCATTTTTTAAAAAAGAAAAAAATTATAAAAAACGACAAAATTAAGTTTTTGGGTTTGAAAGATTCTGTCTGTTCTATTGTACTTATTTGTTGGTGCATAGGGAGAGAATGCCAAGATCCAGCAACAATTGACACACAAATATTTGCAGACGGGTCGGTAAATCGTCACTCTCCAAGTACTTTGGATGGCTTTTGCAATAACATACCTGTAGGGACAGTGAAGGTCGGTCTCTCCATAGCAGCCTGTTCTGGATTTACGGGCGGTAATGCCTACACCGGTTGGAATTCTGTTTCACGTATTGTAATCGAAGAATTGTCGATTATTTGAAGAAGCAAATGTTAAGAGTTGAGAAATTTTTTAGGCTACGCATGTTTACAAATGGTACATTTTGTCTTTTTCATAGTTTTGTAACCTCAATGATTTTAAAGAGTGATGCTGCGACACTAAACGAGTAAAAAAAATAATTGAATTTCTTTCATTTTCCCCCTACACTGGGCACGACCTGCGTATCTATATTTCATTTGTATACACCCGCTAATTATAAAAAACGTCGTTAACAAATCGAAATAAAGAAAAGTGCACCAGTAGAGTTCTGCCTTCATCAGAATCAATGTTTCTAATTTCTCATTAATTCCGACAAACATCGGAAGCAAACCCTCTTCAAATCACCAAACAGTCACAAAAACATTGCCTGCTAGCTAAAGTGATTTCTATACAAGAAGTAACTTTTGAAATTGCAGTAAAATATGCTATTATTCCACCTTTTCCATTTGAAGCCTTTGGCAAAGATTTATTGCTGAAAGTCAAATTTCGGAAATTAAAGAGGAGGGACTTCTTAAATGTCGTGAGATGTGGCCTTCAGTGGCTTTTCTCATTTGTTTCTCTTCTATTGCCACAGCAACTTGACTTTCTTTGGGAAAAGATAGTGCTACTTATTCCTTGATCATTCATTTTGAACTACATATTCCTCATCGCACATTTTGAGCTGGTTGTCGGATTTAGAACAGTAATTGAATGAGGCACAAAGAAACTCCCTCATAAAGGATTTGTCAAAGGAACTGTAAAGCAAATTCGAACTATTCAAAAGCACATGATGTGTATCACTTGCATAATATCAATAGTACTTCGGAACAATTTGGAACAATTCAAAGTTGTAAAAAATTTCATGATTTACTGTGGTTAACGTTAAAGAAGGAAAAGGTAAGAGATGAGCACGAATTGTTTATAACTGATTGGTCGGAATCCTAGTTTTTTGCAGTATAAAATGGATGGTGGCCAAAGTACAGGCTATCAACAATAACAAAAACACTTAACGTGTATAAACAACCTCACAACGCGAACTCGCAACCACATAGCTACGTAGCGATAGTATAGCGTAAGCACAACACAATTTTGTAACTAACAACCACACATTTTTCGTTAATGACTTGATAAGCAACTAAAAAAACGCAAAATAGCAATCACATTACCAAACTAGCCGCAAAATACTGCAAATTCTAAAGTCAGAAATTACCAAATAAACATGTAAGGCTCAGCAGCAATCAGTGGTAGTGTAACGCAATAGTTTGTTTTGAATTATATGCGTTATATTGTATATTGCACAAGTTTACACTATGTGGTTGCTATTTTGCGTTCGTTTCTTGGTTATCGTTTGTAATTGCTAGTTTGTACAATGTGCTTGACAAAATTGCAAGCACGATTTAAAATAAAGCACGATCTTGCTGTTTAATAACAACCAAAATATATTCTTTGGAATTGATTCACGAATCATTTTAGGGTTGGATGTAAGATCCTCAGAGGTGTAGTTCTAGTGCCAAGGACAATGAACCTTGTCACATGTTTGTCATTCACACAGCAGAGCATGCAATACAAAGCTTTACGTTAGATAATTTGGTCGCCAAGTGGCGAAACCCAGGAATCTACCAAACCAAACCGGAATCTAACAATGTGACATTTGGACGGTAGAACAACGTTCACCATTGAAACAGTATTCTTGTCAGTCGGTAGCGTGCAACGTTACGGCGTGATTCTAAAACAGTCGCTGACGACTTTCCAAACATCTCCCTCGGCATTTAAAACAAAGTTTTGCGAAAATATTTTCGGTTTTCCATCATCATATGACACGGTACCATCAACAAATACCGCAATGGTCGTACTTCCGGGCGAAACTTTTTCTAAAAGATGCACAAAATTTAAATTTTCAATTCTAGGGACTAATAGCTTCTTCTGTAGCTTTAGCAGCAGGCTTACGCACACCGTTTTTGTGGGAGATATTTACCAAGACATTTTCACGACATCTAATGTTGACACATTAACAGATGCCATCGACGTACGTAAGTATTCAGAACGCAAAGTATGCACGAAATTAACGGACAAGATCAATTTTCTCTTGTTTGTGATGTGCATGGAAAAATCTTTAGTGTTCGTGTAAACATATCACAACAAGGTTTTTTTATCAAGTAAAACAGCTTCCGTCGGAGCTGTTAAATTATGAGTATCAATAGAATCGAATTAGTATTCTATTGCAAATGCTTTAATTTGATTGGCCACTTTAGCCACTGTCGCAATTGATTACAAGTAACAAAAACAACAGAGAGCGTGTAGCAAAAGCGCATTGGTTTCCTGTTTGCGCTTTTCTCAGGTTTCTGAAGATGAACTTTGTTCACTTGAGAAAGCAATTCCAGCGAAGACTAGAATTGCCGCAAAACGAGGCGTTATTGTAAAACAAATGTTTGAAAAACGTTTACTTTACCTGAGACTGGTTGACAATCTACAGCATGAACATGATGAGCTGAGGCAGGTAGTGAAGCAAAATATTCATTCAATCCATCAAACCCCTTCACATGGTGTCCATTCCACACTATTTCGGATGTGTCCGTGTAGAGCTTCGACAAAACCTACATTGTCAAAAAAACTATTTATTTCATTGTTGTTGCAACATTAAGTCTAAATGAACTAGAGTTAGTTGTGATGGGTGAATGTGTAAAGGTGGATTGACAAGATCACTTGTATCTTTCAGGCTGTCACATATTTAAATACAAATTTTCTTGCGCAGACATTCACACATATCGATTGAAAATATTAAATGATCAATGATCACAAAAGCTTAATAAAACATGCTATGAAAATCAAACAATAAAGAAACAAAAGAAATCGGCTTAAACAATTGTTTAAAATAAGGCAATACCAAGTATAACTTGCTTCATAACCCAATGAGTTACCTAGCCACACAAAAATGCTAGCAAAGTGCAATATTATTATGAAAAGAAAAGCAGTTCATTGTGTGCAAGATATACTTTTTTTGTTGGAGTACTAGGTCCTTAAATTATGGGCCAGCAAGATTGAACAAGTAGGCCAGTCTACTTTGCCAGACTTTATTTGAGCCCAATATTAAAACAAAAAATAAAGAATAACAAAACATAAATTATAGCACACAGACAGTAGGTAAATATTTAACAATAAAATCCCACTTTGTTCACTCTGTCTTCTTATGCATGTGCAGATTTGTAGATTTTGTGTTTTTGTGTGGTCGTTCCTTGCCATGCCATAATGTGTGTGAATACTTAATTGTGAGTGTTGTTATGGGTCTGTATGATTAGAGCTTTGGTCTTCCTTTACATTAAAGATAGAGATTATTATAGCAAGAAAAAAAATCATTGCAATGTGGAAGGGGCGGGAAACATGCGTGCATGGGCCACTTTTTATTTAATAACTTACATGTCTTCGTTTGTCAAAAGTTTCATAGTATAAGTTGATAAATTCTTCACCAGATCGACAAGCATTTTCCACTAAACGCTTTATGTACTTTTAGAAATAAAAACAAAAAGGATGTATAAAGTATTTAAATCACTGAAAGCAAAAGTAAGCAGGTTAATAAATAAATGACAAAATATTTCTACTCTGTAAATGACTCTCACCTCCTGCTTGGCGGCCATGTTTTTTATGCAGGGGGAGGAATGAGGATGAATTTAAAGGGGAGGAAAAGAAATGACAAGATTGTGCATATATGATACTTCCATTGATTTGCCTCGTTGTTAATCTTATTATTGCTCTTTACAACGATTTAGGTTGTGGAAATTGACAATGTTTGGATTTTTTATATTTTGACTATCATAAGTGAGTGCGTGACTTTTTGACGACTTTTAAAATGATTAGAATAAGGATGCTACTACTTATTTGCATAAATTTTCAAAGTTCTCTATTATCTGATGAGCATACCAACTTAGATGAGTGCGTGGATAAGGGCACGAAGAGCTGTGGCTGTCATGGGAACTCTCGAAGGCCAGAATCAAACTCATACAACAGCCATGGAAAACTCAAGTGGACAGAATTTCAGACGCCAACAGATGCCACCACTCTGAAATTTAATTCAATGGTTCATTTGCCAGGTGGTGAATTTCATATGGGGACAAATAATCCAAAAACAATATCTGATGGTGAAGCACCCGCAAGGAAAGTAAAACTTAATGCTTTTTATATGGATCAATACGAAGTTAGTAATCATGATTTTGGCATTTTTGTCGATGGAACTAGTTATGTTACTGAGGTGAGTCAATATCCTCCTATTTGATTGCAGAATACTTTTTATTAACTCAAAATGTGTGAATGGTCTAGTTTCATGTGCTGGTTGTATTGTGTGTAATGTACCATATTTTTGCTTTGATGTAGTAGATATTAACTGACAAAAAATAACGATCAATGGGTGTTAATGTAATCACAAAAATACTGGCAATGCAAGAAATTGTGAAGATTATAAACTTGAGCATAGTCATGACACCCAAGTCTGCATCAAGAGTTTTTAAAGGTTAATTTGAAATGTGTATATTCTGTAAATCTCATCAGGCGGAAGTGTTTGGTAATTCGTTTGTTCTTGAAAGCAAACTTAATGAAGATGTGAAGAAAAACATCACTCAAGCTGTAAGTGATGCTTTAGAAATTTTTACATTGATCATAATGATAAACTGATGAGAGAAATCCACGGGTTATGTTGCATATGATCCTGAGATGTAAGATAAATCAACTAGCTACGCGTACTTATTGACGTAGGATACCAGACTATAAGGAGGGATACCATGTAATAAACCTTGGCATCCATGTGGATACTTGATAAAAATTCAAATTTCAGACCCTGCTCACTGTTATTGCATGCTAGGTGAAATTTAATAGCTTGACCATTTTTCCCTTTGCATATTGTTAAGGTTGCTGGTTCTCCTTGGTGGCTTCCAGTTGTTGGAGCTACCTGGAAACACCCAGAAGGTCCAGGCTCAACAATAAAATCAAGGTATGACATTTTAGAATGTGCAAATTGGTCAATTTTTGGTCTGTATTCTATTGCTATGATTTGTCAACCTTTTTAAGGGGCTACGTGCAAATATTCACAGGAGTAAATTTTAATAAAAAAATACAACCAAATGTCAAATAATTTTTATATGCTCATTCAGGCTAGACCACCCAGTTTTACATGTATCATGGAAAGATGCATTGACATACTGCAAATGGCTTGGTAAACGGCTTCCTACCGAAGCAGAATGGGAGTATGCCTGTCGTGGTGGTTTGCATAAGAAGTATGCAAGAGTTTCACCTCTTATTTTGTATTCAATGCCATTGCATAGGGGTTATTATAGGGGAAGGGGAAGGAAAAAGAGAAGGCTGAATTTCAAATTTTCTAAAAATGAATGCGTATAGGGGATGTTGTCTTTCAAAAGCAAGAAACTTCTTTAATGGTTTTTGGACAGCAAAAAAGATTTGCTTGATTTTTAGTCAACATCTATTTTTTTATATTATGTATATATATAAGAAAAAGAGCAATTTTTTTGCGTTTGTTCAAACAAGTTTACCTGCAAAGGTTTCGTTGTGCAACGTATCAAAAACATAAGATTTCATTGTACCCCCCACCTCCTTCACCCTATTAACTGCCTAGTTAAATTAGTTTAATTAACTGATATGTTTTAATTCTTGTCATGTTGTTCTACTTAATCTCCTTGATTTTGACATGCTGGAAGAGGACTGTTCTATAAATATTTTAACAGTTAGCCGCAAAGCACGTATCTGTCAAAAGCCCCTGCTCTTCCACTTCTCGTTGTCAAGAACTTCTCCTCTTCTAACTCCTCATCACTTCAAAGCAACATGTCGACATTATTTCTCTTAGCTTGATCTTGACTTGGAAGTAATGTCCAAATATTGCTTTAAATCACGTCTCTTCTAATCTTGAGTTTGCAAGATGATGTTTTGTGGAGTGTGTTTTATCTTTTAAGTTTCTATGTTCTCTATGAATTAAGGAATTTTGCGATTTCTTCAACTAAGTCACGTTCTTCCAACGAACACGTTGCCATTTTCATTTTTGTAAATGCCACATGACCAAGATTTGGAACAAAGGAATAAAATTTCGTAGTAATTATTAGGCATTTAGTAACTTTTTCGAATTGTCCATGGCATTTTGATGCATTAGACTCACGAGATTTGCGTGGTTTTAAATATACCTAACCTTTGGCGTTTTGTATGTATGTGTATATGTAGGATGTTTCCTTGGGGAAATATTTTCAAAGTCGAAGGAAAACATCGTTGTAATACGTGGCAAGGAGAGTTCCCCGTTCAAGACACGGCGGAAGACGGATACGCGGGAACAGCACCTGTGTGGAAATTCAAACAAAATGACTATAATCTTCATAACATGGTGGGCAACGTTTGGGAATGGACTTCTGACTGGTGGGACATTCGTCATTCATCAGAAACTAAGGAAAATCCCGTGAGTATTTATTGATTTGAAATATAAAAATCTTGAAATATACTTACTACACTAATAATGAGTCATTGAAAGATCCAGCTAGCGAGGAATTTCGAGTTTTCCGTGCAATACTTTACCATGCAGGTATAGACAGAAAATTGTACTATCACCACTATCACAACACTTTAAAATTATATTGTAGAAGTAAATTTGAATTAGCTGACCAATTACCAAGTCTTTCTTGTACATGTAATTTGTTTACTACCCGTTTTTCGAATCTTTAGCGATGAAATTATATTTCTAAACCACTATTTATAATGGTCAACTTTGTACTTATCCTGTGTCTTTGTTAGCGCAACGTCGTTTTCTTTAATGTGTAGATTGGTCCAAGCGATGGTGTTGATAGAGTAAAGAAAGGAGGTTCTTACATGTGTCATAAGGTAAAATACTTTTGACGAAATCAATTTTTTATTTGAATTTTTTTAGCTATTTTTATACTGGAAAGAAGAATGTACCCGAATATGAACGCCCTCCTTAATCATCGTTATGAAAAAAGTGCTTGTACGAGCGTTAATATAACCAAGCTTAGCGTCATGAGTTAATGGAATTCGCGTCTTGTTGTGTAACTTATATAGAGCTTGGTAAAATGCATTTAATCTCGGGATCTGATCAGACAATTTTACATAACGGCAAATGATAAGTTTCATTTTTTTCAACTCGTTTATCTGATTGTTTCGAACATTTTTCAGTCGTTTTGCTACCGATACAGATGTGCTGCTCGGAGTAAGAATACGCCAGATAGCTCAGCGTCGAATTTGGGATTTCGCTGTGCTAAGGATGTAGCGTGAGATGCATATTTCATGAAACCATCGTGTTCTATCATATGTCATTGTAAATTGACTCATTATTGAAATGAATGGTGATTACGCTTTTCTTTGAGTTGTTTTCTCTAAATATTCTCATTTTAGCTACATCTGGTCCATGGTCATGGCATGGTTACATGTTTACACCTTAAGCGTTAAAACAATTAAAGGTTAAGCCTACATTTAAGTGAAAGTATATCTTATTTAGTTGAAATTTACTTAGCTAACTACAAGAGGCATTTTGAACCGTTTTTTTGTATACATCGCATACTGTGATTAACTCGAGGAAGACTTAAATGTGCCATACAGATGATTTCCATTGATCAAATCATCCAAGAGAAACCAAAAGACTCATTTGTGCCGACGTATTATAATATGAATAAAAAACGAATTACTCCAATTCCTACTTACTCCAATAATATATATTTAATTCAAATCTGGTGCAAGTGAAAAGTGGATTCGATGCGCTCTTTGGTCGGGAAAATACGTATGTTTCTGAATGTTAATGTAGGATGTACATTAAATTTATGTACGTTCTGCAGTTTATACAAGAAAATATATACGTTCTACAATGAAGTAGAGTAATGATATCATTGATATGTTACGGCTTCGCGCTGACTGGAGTGTTTTGGAATGGTATAAAATGAGAGCAGCCAAATCTGATACAGAAATTGTGAACTCGAGAAAAAATTCAGTAAATGTAAACAAGGCATCATTCAAACTTAATTCAAGATATCTGAAGTATCAAACTCACGGTTAATAAATTTTCCGTGCAACTGTAGATCTAATTTGAAAATATTTTAACTATCCATGCAATATCGATATGAAGAACGATTATAGAATACCCTTCTTCATACTTATGATCCTAACCACATAACCCAGCCTGATTGTTATTGGCAGGCAATGTATTCTTTAACAACTGTGCCAATTTTAATACAACATTCTGCATTACAAATTATCTCATTCAGACCTGAACAAGTGATAATCATTAACACTAAAATACATCAGTGGATTCACTGCTTATAGACAACGCTGTGCAGCTACGAGTCTAAAGAGTAATTAACGTTAGCTGGCAAGTGACTTGTCATAAGAGAAGAAAATACTGAAAAGCTGAATGTTGATATTTTACATATTACCTATTGTGATGAAAATCAGCAATTTTATAACAAAAGAGTTAAAACAAAGTCAATGATAAGCTGATGGGAAATGTTAATTTCTATGTAAGCCGACTAGAATGTACTCATGGACTCAACAACAGGCCGTATAAAAAGTTCTTTGTTAATTGTGACGTTGACATAGTGGATTATATAGTGGATTTAAAGTAAGTCATTATTCAAAGCATACACTTGCATAGTTATAGAGTTAGACCAAAAGAGATATTGATTCCAGCAGAGCTGGAAATACTATGAAGTGCAGATTAGTACTCACGAGATAATATAGTTCAAATGCTAAATGGCAATAATTCTGTTGTAATGATTCTCATAAAAAATACACTTCTTATAATTTCTCTAATTATCTTAACGGTAGACTGCACTAAATGGAATTATCTATATAGCTCGATCAACTGATTTTATTTTGACTTTGGGCACAGTAATTAAATTTAATATATAGTCTAATATAGTACAGTGTTACACAGCGAAGTAGCGTGCTTCAGAGTATTCCTTATTCTCTACCGAGCACTAAACCAATCTTGCGACCTTTAATAGACGTAAAGGGTTTTGTAAGAGATAGATGGATCCGATGAATAGTATTTTTAACCCAAAACAAAATCATGAATTTTTATTATGATAGTGACGCGTGTTATTTCTTGTTGGCTTCAGCAGTGTGCTTCAAGTGTGCATACGTAGAAACAAAGACTTTATTTAAACCCCAAGCTATTTATCCACGATCTGCGATCATTATTTGCTTTTTTTGGAGCTCTTGAACAAATGAGCAGAAGTTTTGACAGAAACTTTGCTTAATTTTGCCGAAGGAAAAAGAGGAGGAGAGGATCGAAGAACACAACACGGAAAAAATCGAATTAAATATATTCCATTCTTTATAATTTCATAATTTTATCTTATTTATGTAATTTTAAGGATACAGCACGAACATTAATAGCTGACCTATTGTAAATAATTATTTATACAAATATATGGTACATACTGAAGTTGTTATCCAGTCAAAACATTTGTGAATAACGATGATAAGAAACAATAATCTTTATTCTTTACATTTATTTAAGAGAGTAATTTAAGAATCAATCACAGAACTTCCGTTTCAGTAAGTGAAACGTGTCATTTCTGTGAGCTGGCATGATATCTTATAAATACATCAGTGAGCTGAGCATGATATACTTTACCATTCACTATTGATCGGTTTGCTGTTGGAAGCTTAGCAAAAATAATTCATATCTGCAATACATAATGAAGATATCACTTCATTTTACTGTGCTCGTGATTCTTTTCAATGGATCCCCAAGTCTGGTTGAGGTACGAATGAGTTTCTTATGATTTTGTTTTCAGAAATTCGTACACATTTTCCGTCCGTCTAGCATGCATTGTTGTTCACGGTTAAACTATGTACTCACAACGTAGTTGGGTTTAGCAACATACTTCGTAACCTAGAGTTTTGGAAACAGGATTAAGGAGAACGATAATTGTGGGGCGTTATAAATCAACAAGAGCTATACTTTGCAAGTTACAGTCCAGCCTAGATACAATGATAACAGTTTTGAAGTCTACATGGCACAAACACCATCTCATCCCAGAATTTATATGAACTACAAACTGAGCTCTTAAATGACAAAAAACAAAAGAGTATTTTGGTTTATGTTTGCAAATATGTGAACTTCTCGTAAATTTATCATTATACATTTACTCTGCATAAAAAATATTGCCGTAGAGCTAACAAGGCGTGAAAAAAAATATTTCTTTTTGTCATTAATATAAGATAGACAAAGTTTTTTGACATTGTGCATCCATAGATAGTATAGCCAATCATAAGAATATATATAAGTTTTTCTAAAATGATGAAAAAAGCTTGACAATTCCAAGAACCAAAGAGCAAAGTACAAGTGCAGCATTTTAGATTATTAATTTTTATTTAAATGATTCATTTTAACTTAAATTATTATACTTTGTTAGTTATTTCGAGCACATAATGCAACAATTTTTCGATCAAATATTGAACATGCAAAACAGTCTATAGCATTTTTCTTTCAAGCTTCCTGGTTTAACTGCATATGTTTAAATGACAGAGAGTGACAACTAGAGGTTTATTACTTCTTCATTTTAAGAGTGCAAGCTGTAGCTGTAACTGCAACGACGGAGGAAGCTCTTGTCCAAAAACGCAATACTACACAAGCGCAAAGAGATTGGTAAAACAATGCGTATTTAAAAGCATAAACGACGATACAGACGTCGGTGTACTCACTGTAAGTAAAAATTAAAACTGCAGTGCAAAACATTTTTGACAAGAAAGCGTGTGAAAAGTTTACTTTCGTAAAAGACTAATGAAGAACAAAACAGAAATTAAACCTTTCTAACATTGATTGTACTTGTTCTTCGTAGAAACTCTCTTGTGATTTCAACAAAGAAAAAACAGATACTTCACTACGAGTGACATTCAACGGTGTTATGAGAGTGATTGGTTGTTCTTCTGGATGTTGTCGTCGCTGGTTTATAACAATCAACGGTAAGAGAAGCCTGAGAAGGTGTACAAGAGAATTAGAGCAAGAATTCTAGATAATGTCATGAAGGCAGTTTGGACTTATTCAAGTAGTACACGTGTTTTTAAAAAAATACAAAAGAATATTCATATTAAAGGAAACGATACAATTGATAAAAAAAATTATGCTTGGGCTTTCAATACACAATGTTATATTGCCAGGTTTTTGGGGAAAATTTATGCTACATTCCGTGCGATCGTACATGCATGCTTGACCAGGATCTGCTTCGATATTCAATACAATACATCTGTAATTAAAAATTTTGACTGACACAGTGTTAAAACTGCTGCATTATGCAGTAATGTCTTCACAACTGGTGCATGGTACTGGTGCATGGTACAAAAATGGTGATACACTATATTCATTGACGTATAGGTAAGGAATGCAAAGATCCAGCAACAATTGACTCATTGATATGGGCAAATGGTTATGTAAATCGTCACATTCCTGGTATAATTGATGGCATTTGCAATAACATACCAGCAGGACAAGTGAAAGTTGGTTTATCTATAGCAGCCTGTTCTGGAGTTACTGGCGGTAACGGTTACACCGGTTGGAATTCCGTTTCGCGTATTTTAATCGAAGAAATGTCGATATAGTGAAGAAGATAAACTTTATTAATTCAATAATCGCATGGTCATCGATACAAGTTTTTCAGCTGAATAAATACGATTTATGAAAGAGATCACTCGCATTTTCTTGATCAAAAATGCAATATAGTCATAAGAAGCAAACCGAAGATGTTCTTCTTCAGTATGTGACTACAATCAATCCCAAGTGGAATTTTAATTTAAATATGGAGACAGCAAATCTCTCCGATTAGCAAGAGGCGCAACACTCAAAAACCTAACTTTGCCTGACTGTTTAATCATGGTCATAAAAACTCAACTTTTTTAGGATTTTACATAAATTAGGTAACAATAATCGTCGGTTGTTTTTTTTATTGAAAACTTGGTATTGATATGTTTAAAAACTATTAGCTCAAGCACTTCCTATACAATACAAGTTCATTTGAAAATGTCCTATTCCTCCTCGAATGTGCCATAATAAATACACAATAAGAACATTCTGCATTGACGACTATCATAACATTCATTAACAATTGCTTCCAGAGGGCAAAACAAACACAAGCCACCCAGGAGATAACTCCTCTTTTCAATGCTTTTAAAAGAAATCCAAAGGGCTTTTCATTCATTTTGGTTTTGCACAGACATGGCCATTATTTGTATGTCTCATTCAAATGCAAGCGAACGTCCATTTCAGATCTCTGTATCTTCGTACATACATCCACATGCAGAACGTCGACCTTATCTGTTGCACAATTCTGACAAACACATGAAGCGCTACTCTAAGTACGCGTTAGCTACTTGTCTAAATATTTTGTAACTGACGTCGATTTTTAAAGTATCTCATGTCAAAGTTTAAAAGAAATACTCATGATAAACAGCAATATAAGTGAGCTAAGTTCAACTAGTTGGATGACTCATGCCGCAACACAATAGGTAAACACAATGTGACAACTGAAAATGGGTTCTTGCTGCATGCTTTTCTTACATAATTTGCAAGCTGTCATGAATTTTCTGTATCTCGCATAGTAGCAATTACTTTTGCTTTAAGCGCCATTGTACTTCAATATGAGCGTGGTTAATGCACAATTGCAACATATATTGAAAATATAATATTGACATTGAACAGAGATCCACCCAAAGTTCGAAAACGGCGATCGATTTGACGTCGGTCATTGTAGATTTTTTCTTGAATTTTATAAAACCTGGTTTTCATTTCATTCAATTGCGTCGTCACTCAACAATTATGTTTGAAATAGTTTTTAAATAAACATCCTGTTTTCTAGGTAACTGCATCGAGTATTCCAGAATTCTCTCTTGCAAACATATAGCCTGTAAAAAATATTTTCATTTGTTGCAATGAAAATGAATTTTTCAAAAGGACTTCTGTTCATTGGAAACACGTCATGTTGTAGACAACTCCGAAAATTTTACATTAATGCACATGTGATGATTGAAGTTATGCAGCAACGTCTCATGTTGTTCGCGTTATTCACTTCATTAATACCGTCACGATCGATCAACTGTGTGTTGTAAAACTTCGCTCAAATCAAATCACTTTATATCTGCAATGCATATATACCATGAAGTTCTTATTTTCAATTGTTGCGTTCTTGATTTTCATTACAGGACATCGTAGTCTAGTGGAGGTACGAATATAATTGTGTATGATTTAAATCAGTAATCTTGTTGACAGAGACATGTTGCTTGAATGTAAATTTACCACGTTTATTGTATGTGTCTACGTTTTCCAGCCTTCCTGTAGTAGAAAGTTTTTTTTTGCTGTGAAATCATCCAGATACAGGCAGTTCACGAATTATGTTTATCTTAATAAAATGTTTATAAATATTCCAAATTTGAAACCATTATATGTGCTTTGATAGAAGTCTAAATAAATTAGATTTCATAAAAAATAACGATGCATGTTGTTTTTGCGCGTACTAAATAAAACTCGTGATTACTATGCGATATCATGGTACACAAAGATAAAACCATACGAAGAGTTTTGCAATGCAACGGAAGCGAGAGCATCAATTTACTCATCATGTTGCTAAATTACGACAAGTCAAAGTAGAAATTAACGATTGACGTGAAGGTGGTCGACTGCAACGAATATTTCTAAATTATACGTATCATTAATGAAATTGTGCTCTTTGCAACAAAAAGCTGATACACCGAAAGGCAAGGTATGATAACGGAACGCGTTCCCGTTGCTATTGCAAAGAGATGTTTAAACTTGTAGCTACACAAAGAATTTTCCATTAACTAAAATTGCACTTGCGTGATTCGTTTAAAGATAGGCAATATTTATGTTCCCTAATTACAGTAAGGCGGTAGCTAGAACGTCGAGTGGGAGTATGAATATACGTGTGTCCAGTTGTAGTCGGGCACAACACCTCCCTTTCCCGATCAACTATACCTAACTGCCTAACAGTAAGCAGAACATTTGGTATTTACTAATGCAAAGGTTAATGTCTTAATTATTGTGTGGATAATGGTACATAGTCATGTACACAAAATAACAATCACAAAGAAAGGCAACTTGGGTGTGCAACGCCTTCTCAAGTCCGCTAGTTGATTTACATGTTTGCAGCAGATTGCGGGGCATTCTGATTCCTAACCACTAAAAGATGACGTCATTCTGAAGTCTGATAGAAACTGAGAATATTTAGACATAAGAAATGACGTCATCTCACATTAGTGGTAAGAAACTTATGTGATTGTCATAGTCTCATCGCCAAGTATATAAGCATTTCTAATACGCACATTTGAATGATAAATCGTTTATAAATCGTTTATAATTTATTTTATAAATCGTTTATTTTTTTAATTCGTTCATTTGTTTATTTGTTTGTTCTTGTTTTACCGTGTAAACAGTTTTTGATACGTGCAAAGAAATGCATCGAATTCCATTTGTAATTTTATTCGCTTAGTTTGTGAAAATGTTTCTGTGATCAATAATCGGGGGATGGTTTTGTGATAGTATTTTTACATTAAGAATTCAAGCTGCTACTGTAACTGCAACCATTATGGAAGCTCATCAATACCAAGAGCGCAACATTGCACAAGTCCAACGAGATTGGTAAAACAATGTGTTTTCAAAAACTTAAACGACAACAAAGACGCTGGCGCGTTAACTGTAAGTTAACATTTCAAATCATATTGCAATTTTTATTTTGCAAGAAGAAAAGTTGTAAAAAGTAATGGGCTTACATTAAAAACGTGAAGAGAAGTGAAACTGAAATCACGACTTCATTTCTTATTCTTCACAGCAAGTAACTTGTGCTTTCAACAAACAGAAAACAGACACGTCACTACGTGTGACATTTAATGGTAATATGAGAGTGATTGGTTGTTTGTCTGGATGTTGTCGTCGCTGGTAACAATGAACGGTAAGAGAAGTCTATAGCAGGAATTACCTAAGTGCAATATACACCCGTCAGGAGTTTTTGATATAGCAAAACACCACAATAAATAAATACTCGAAGCATTTTTTAAAAAAGAAAAAAATATTAAAAAACGACAAAATTAAGTTTTTGGGTTTGAAAGATTCTGTCTGTTCTATCGTACTTATTTCTTGGTGCATAGGGAGAGAATGCCAAGATCCAGCAACAATTGACACACAAATATATGTAGACGGGTCGGTAAATCGTCACTCTCCAAGTACTTTGGATGGCTTTTGCAATAATATACTTGCAAGGACAGTGAAGGTCGGTCTCCCCATAGCAGCCTGTTCTGGAACTACGCATGTTTCCAAATGGTACATTTTGTCTTTTTCAGAGTTTTGTAACCCCAATGATTTTAAAGAGTGATGCAATAACAAAACACTTAACGTGAATAAACAACCTCAGAAGGCGAACTCGCAACCATATAGCTACGTAGCGATAGTATGGCGTAAACACAACACAATTTTGTAACTAACAACCACACATTTTTCGTTAATAGCTTGATAAGCAACTAAAAAACGCAAGACAGCAATCACATTACGCAAACTAGCCGCAAAATAATGCAAATTCTAATGATAGAAATTACCAAATAAACATGTAACGCTCAGTAGCAATCAGTGGTAGTGTAACGCAATAGTTTGTTTTGAATTATATGCATTACATTGTATATTGCACATGTTTACACTATGTGGTTGCTATTTTTCGTTCGTTTCTTGACAAAATTGCAAGCACGATTTAAAATAAAGCACGATCTTGCTGTTTAATAATAACCAAAATATATTCTTTGGAATTGATTCACGAATCATTTTAGGGTTGGATGTAAGATCCTCAGAGGTGTAGTTCTAGTGCCAAGGACAATGAACCTTGTCACATGTTTGTCATTCACACAGCAGAGCATGCAATACAAAGCTTTACGTTAGATAATTTGGTCACCAAGTGGCGAAACCCAGGAATCTACCAAACCAAACCGGAATCTACCAATGTGACATTCGGACGGTAGAACAACGTTCACCATTGAAACAGTATTCTTGTCAGTCGGTAACGTGCAACGTTACGGCGTGATTCTAAAACAGTCGCTGACGACTTTCCAAACATCTCCCTCGGCATTTAAAACAAAGTTTTGCGAAAATATTTTCGGTTTTCCATCATCATATGACACGGTACCATCAACAAACACCGCAATGGTCGTACTTCCGGGAGAAACTTTTTCTAAAAGATGCACAAAATTTAAATTTTCAATTCTAGGGACTAATGGCTTCTTCTGTAGCTTTAGCAGCAGGCTTACGCACATCGTTTTCGAGGGAGATATTTACCAAGACATTTTCACGACATCTAATGTTGTCACATTAACAGATGCCATCGACGTACGCAAGTATTCAGAACGCAAAGTATGCATGAAATTGACATGATCAATTTTCTCTTGTTTGTGATGTGAATGGAAAAATCTTTAGTGTTCGTGTAAACATATCACAACAAGGTTTTTCTATCAAGTAAAACAACTTCCGTGGGAGCTGTTCAATTATGAATATGAATAGAATCGAATTATTATTCTATTGCAAATGCTTTAATTTGATTGGCCACTTTACCCACTGTCGCAATTGATAACAAGTAACAAAAACAACAGAGAGCGCGTAGCAAAAACACATTGGTTTCCTGTTTGCGCTTTTCTTAGGTTTCTGAAGATGAACTTTGTTCACTTGAGAAAGCAATTACAGCGAAGACTAGAACTGCCGCAAAACGTGGCGTTATATTTACGAGTAAAAAACTATGCATCGAGCAAGAGTCGTTCGCTTTTTAATAAAGATGTCAACAAATGCATAAAACGACGAATTATGATAACCTAAAGTTATTGATGAATTATGAAAAACAGATTTCTTTACGAATTTCAGCATGAACCTACTAGTTCTCCATTTCGTTGAGAGGAAAGTTGATTCACCCTCATTAACTGTCAACTCACAGAAACCTCAGGCTCGTACGCAATTTAATTGTTAACTAGGTAGAACTTTCTAAATTGCCCATATGTAGGTACTTTTGTCGAGGAAATTTACTGCACACAGTAATTACTGATTCCAGTAAACAGACTGCAGCACAAATTGTAATTTAAAATTCAATCATCTTATAATCAAGAAATATCTTTGAAGGAATTTATTGTAAAACAAATGTTTGAAAAACGTTTACTTTACCTGAGACTGGTTGACAATCTACAGCATGAACATGATGAGCTGAGGCAGGTAGTGAAGCAAAATATTCATTCAATCCATCAAACCCCTTCACATGATGTCCATTCCACACTATTTCGGATGTGTCCGTGTAGAGCTTCGACAAAACCTACATTGTCAAAGAACTATTTATTTCATTGTTGATGCAACATTAAGTCTAAATGAAGTAGAGTTAGTTGTGATGGGTGAATGTGTAAAGGTGGATTGACAAGATCACTCGTATCTTTCGGGCTGTCACAACTTTAAAGACAAATTTTCTTGCGCACACATTCACACATATCGATTGAAAATATTAAATCATCAATGATCACAAAAGCTTAATAAACCATGCTATGAAAATCAAACAGTAAAAAACAAAAGAAATCGGCTTAAACAATTGTTTAAAATAAGGCAATACCAAGAATACTTGCTTCATAACCCAATGAGTTACCTAGCCACACAAAAATGCTAGCAAAGTGCAATATTATTATGAAAAGAAAAGTAGTTCATTGTGTGCAAGATATACTTTTTTTGTTGGGGTACTAGGTCCTTAAATTATGGGCCAGCAAGATTGAACAAGTAGGCTAGTCTACTTTGCCAGACTTTATTTGAGCCCAATATTAAAACAAAAAATAAAAAATAACAAAACATAAATTATAGCACACAGACAGTAGGTAAATATTTAACAATAAAATCCCACTTTGTTCACTCTGTCTTCTTATGTCTGTGCAGATTTGTAGATTTTGTGTTTTTTTTGGGTCGTTCCTTGCCATGCCATAATGTGTGTGAATACTTAATTGTGAGTGTTGTTATGGGTCTGTATGATTAGAGCTTTGGTCTTCCTTTACATTAAAGATAGAGATTATCATAGCAAGAAACAAAATCGTTGCAATATGGAAGGGGCGGGAAACATGCGTGCATGGGCCACTTTTTATTTGATAACTTACATGTCTTCGTTTGTCAAAAGTTTCATAGTATAAGTTGATAAATTCTTCACCAGATCGACAAGCATTTTCCACTAAACGGTTTACGTAATTTTAGAAATAGAAACAAAAAGGATGTATAAAGTATTTAAATCACTGAAAGCAAAAGTAAGCAGGTTAATAAATAAATGACAAAATATTTCTACTGTGTCAGAGCCCTCTGTGTCAGAGCCCTCTGTGTCAGAGCCCTCTGTGTCAGAGCCCTCTGTGTAACTGCCTCTCACCTCCTGCTTGGCGGCCATGTTTTTTGTGCAGGGGGAGGAATGAGGATGAATATAAAAGGAAGGAAAACAAATGACAAGATTGTGCATATATGATACTTCCATTGATTTGCCTCGTTTTTAATCTTATTATTGCTCTTTACAATGATTTAGGTTGTGGAAATCGACAATGTTTGGATTTTTTATATTTTGACTATCATAAGTGAGTGCGTGACTTTCTGACAACTTTTAAAATGATTAGAATAAGGATACTACTACTTATTTGCATAAATTTTCAATGTTCTCTAGTATCTGATGAGCATACCAACTTAGATGAGTGCGTGGATAAGGGAACGAAGAGCTGTGGCTGTCATGGGAACTCTTGAAGACCAGAATCAAACTCAGACAACAGCTATGAAAAACTCAAGTGGACAGAATTTCAGATGCCAACAGATGCCACCACTCTGAAATTCAATTCAATGGTTCATTTGCCAGGTGGTGAATTTCATATGGGACAAATAATCCAAAAACAATATCTGATGGTGAAGCACCGGCAAGAAAAGTAAGACTTAATGCTTTTTATATGGATCAATACGAAGTTAGTAATCATGATTTTGGCATTTTTGTCGATGGAACTGGTTATGTTACTGAGGTGAGTCAATTTCCTCATACTTGATTGCAGAATACTTTTTATTGAATCAAAATGTGTGAATGGTCTAGTTTCATGTGCTGGGTGGATTGTGTGTAATGTACCATATTTTTGCTTGGATGTAGTAGATATTAACTGACAAAAAATAACAATCAATGGGTGTTAATGTAATCACAAAAATACTGACAATGCAAGAAATTGTGAAGATTATAAACTTGAGCATAGCCATGACACCCAAGAGTGTCTGCATCAAGAGTTTTTAAAGGTTGATTTGAAATGTGTATATTTTGTAAATCTCATCAGGCGGAAGTATTTGGTAATTCGTTTGTTCTTGAAAGCAAACTTTATGAAGATTTGAAGAAAAACATCACTCAAGCTGTAAGTGATGCTTTAGTTCAGGGTCTGAAATTTGCAGTATCTCCAGATTCACAGGAACAGGAATAAAATTTTGTTTAGATCCAAGTTTATTTAACTTGTATCCCACCCAATGGGTTGTATGGAAATTCTTTTTAGTGGAAATTCTTTTTAGGATTCTTACAGAAATTTTTACATTGATCATAATGATAAACTGATGAGAGAAATCCATGGGTTATGTTGTACAGGATCCTGAGATGTAAGAAAAGCCAACTAGCTATGTGTACATCAGTGTGTGAATTAGTTGAGAAAAAACAATGCGCAATTTTTTTTTGACAAAAGTGTTTTTTTAGAGGCATAATCAAATTTGGCTTCTTTTTCTCACCTTATCAAAATTCTCTTTGGTTTATTTTTCAAATTTGGCCTATTTGTTTTTTTTTTTGTCGTCTTTTAAGAATCAAAATGAAAATGTTTCCTGATTTTACTGAAAATACTCAAAATAGCTATGATGCCACAAACAGTATGTAACGGTTTACAAAACAATGCAAATGCAAAAATTGATATTAATAATGTATTACACTCCTATTGTCATAAGCATATAAGCACCATGTGTATTGACTGTTGACAGACTTCCCAGTCTCAAGAGTGACAACGTCTTTGAATTTGATGACATTGTGTCAACATGGATTTTAATGTTGTGCAGCGCAATCATTTATAAAGTAAAGATCAGTAAAGATTAAGCTTGAAAACTTTTTTCAAATAATGTGGTAGTAATCAATAAAGAAATGTTTTGCATATCATTTGAAAAATGGATGTGCAATTGTTTTCATTTTAGCTAAAACGATGTGCAAATTGCACATTGCACACCATTAATTCGCACACTGGTGTACATACTTACGTAGGATACTAGACTATAAAGAGGGATACCATGTAATAAACCTTGGCATCCATGTGGATACTTGATAAAAATTCAAATTTCAGACCCTGCTCACTGTTATTGCATGCTAGGTGAAATTTAATAACTTGACCATTTTCCCCTTTGCATATTGTTAAGGTTGCTGGTTCTCCTTGGTGGCTTCCAGTTGTTGGAGCTACCTGGAAACACCCAGAAGGTCCAGGCTCAACAATAAAATCAAGGTATGACATTTTAGAATATGCAAATTGGTCAATGTTTGGTCTGTATTCCATTGCTATGATTTGTCAACCTTTTTAAGGGGTTACGTGCAAATTTTCACAGGAGTAAATTTTGATAAAAAAATACAACCAAATGTCAAATATTTTTTTATATGCTCATTCAGGCTAGACCACCCAGTTTTACATGTATCATGGAAAGATGCATTGACATACTGCAAATGGCTTGGTAAACGGCTTCCTACTGAAGCTGAATGGGAGTATGCCTGCCGTGGTGGATTGCATAAGAAGTACGCCAGAATTTCACCTCTTATTTTGTATTCAATGCCATTCAATGCATAGGGGTTATTATAGGGGAAGGGGAAGGAAAAAGAGAAGGGTGAATTTCAAATTTTCAAAAAATGAATGCGTATAGCGGATGTTGTCTTTCAAAAGCAAGAAACTTCTTTAATGGTTTTTGGACAGCGAAAAAGATTTGCTTGATTTTTATTCAACATCTATGTTTTTATATTATGTATATATATATAAGAAATAGAGCAATTTTTTGCGTTTGTTCAAACAAATTTACCTGCAAAGGTTTCGTTGTGCAACGTATCTAAAACATAAGATTTCATTGCACCCTCCACCTCCTTCACCCTATTAACTGCCGAGTTAAATTACTTTAATGAACTGATATTTTTCAATTCTTGTAATGTTGTTCTACATAATCTCCTTGATTTTGACATGCTGGAAGAGGACTGTTCTATAAATATTTTAACAGTTAGCCGCAAAGCACGTATCTGCCAAAAGCCCCTGCTCTTCAGCCACTTCTCGTTGTCAAGAATTTGTCCTCTACTAACTCCTCATTACTTCAAAGCAACATGTCGACATTATTTCTCTTGCTTGATCATGGCTTAGAAATAAAGACGAAATATTGCTTTAAATCACGTCTCTTCGAATCTTGAGTTTACAAGATGATGTTTTGTGAAGTGTGTTTTATCTTTTAAGTTTCTATGTTCTCTATGAATTAAATAATTTTGCGATTTCTTCAACTAAATCACGTTCTTCCAACGAACACGTTGCCATTTACATTTTTGTAAATGCCACATGACCAAGATTTGGAACAAAGGAATAAAATTTCGTAGAACTTATTAGGCATTTAGTAACTTTTTCGAATTGTCCATGGCATTTTGATGCATTAGACTCACGAGATTTGCGTGGTTTTAAATATACCTAACCTTTGGTGTTTTGTATGTATATGTATATGTAGGGTGCTTCCTTGGGGAAATATTTTCAAAGTCAAAGGGAAACATCGTTCTAATACGTGGCAAGGAGAGTTCCCCGTTCAGGACACGGCGGAAGACGGATACGCGGGAACAGCACCTGTGTGGAAATTCAAACAAAATGACTATAATCTTCATAACATGGTGGGCAACGTTTGGGAATGGACTGCTGACTGGTGGGACATTCGTCATTCATCAGAAACTAAGGAAAATCCCGTGAGTATTTATTGATTTGAAATATAAAAATCTTGAAATATACTTACTACACTAATAATGAGTCATTGAAAGATCCAGCTAGCGAGGAATTTCGAGTTTTCCGTGCAATACTTTACCATGCAGGTATAGACAGAAAATTGTACTATCACCACTATCACAACACTTTAAAATTATATTGTAGAAGTAAATTTGAATTAGCTGACCAATTACCAAGTCTTTCTTGTACATGTAATTTGTTTACTACCCGTTTTTCGAATCTTTAGCGATGAAATTATATTTCTAAACCACTATTTATAATGGTCAACTTTGTACTAATCCTGTGTCTTTGTTAGCGCAACGTCGTTTTCTTTAATGTGTAGATTGGTCCAAGCGATGGTGTTGATAGAGTAAAGAAAGGAGGCTCCTACATGTGTCATAAGGTAAAATACTTTTGACGAAATCAATTTTTTTATTTGAATTTTTTAGCTATATTTATACTGGAAAGAAGAATGTACCCGAATATGAACGTCCTCCTTAATCATCGTTATAAAAAAGTGCTTGTACGAGCGTTAATATAACCAAGCTTAGCGTCATGAGTTAACGGGAATTCGCGTCTTGTTGTGTAACTTACATAGAGCTTGGTAAAATGCATGTAATCTCAGGATCTGATCAGATAATTTTACATAACGGCAAATGATAAGTTTCGTTTTTTCAACTCGTTTATCTAATTGTTTCGAACATTTTTCAGTCGTTTTGCTACCGATACAGATGTGCTGCTCGGAGTAAGAATACGCCAGATAGCTCAGCGTCGAATTTGGGATTTCGCTGTGCTAAGGATGTAGCGTGAGATGCATATTTCACGAAACCATCCTCTTCTAACTTATGTCATTGTAAATTGACTCATTATTGAAATGAATGGTGATTACGCTTTTGTTTGAGTTGTTTTCTCTAAATATTCTCATTTTAGCTACATCTGGTCCATGGTCATGGCATGGTTACATGTTTACACCTTAAGCGTTAAAACAATTAAAGCTTAAGCCTGCATTTTAGTGAAAGTATATCTAATTTCGTTGAAATTTACTTAGCTAACTACAAGAGCATTTTGAACTTTTCACGGAGAAATAAAAAAAAGTCAGTCAACGTAAACCAATAGCTGAGCCATATGCATCTTTCCAGCGGTCACTTGATGTGTACGTTCCACATCCTCCAAAATGCATTTCCGTCAAGAAAATGAAGTTATTCGGCAGCTGACGATGTCCATACGAAGGAACACCAGAATTACGCCAGTCCACAGCAACACCTTGTGATTCATAAATCAAATTGTTTCCGTGAGACAAACTGATTTTCCTTTCTTTATGATTTGGATAAAATACAAAGTAGGAGCTTGGAGACTTGACGCAGATGCTATAGGAAACTTGTTTTCCATTTGATCTACAAGGAAAAAAACAGTGTCATGCATAATAAAGTGAATCTGAGATTTCACGATTTTACGATTGCATCATCGATGTCTAATACCAATTTTCATTGCCTCTAGTGGATGAATCTGATAAATATCATTTGTGTTTAGCATCAATTTGCATTGAATGGTGATGAGAGAAGTCGTTTTGTGATTGAAGATAGACAGAAACGATTTTTGCTAATTTTTGGGAACTTTGCCGTGATTATTTAGGACGATCGTGTCATAAATAGTTTAGAAGAAACCTGTCTTAAAATGTTGAAGTTTTTGTTAAAATGTTGAACAAAAAAGTGTACCAGTTAAGCAGTGATTTTGATACCCCTAAGTAGTTTAACCTCCAATCAGTGGCCATCAAAGCTGACGCGGGATGAGACAAAAAGATTCGTAGCAGCTTGTGAAAGCTTAAGCGCATATTTGTGAAAATTACTCGATGAGGACATGGGCAATGGTATTATCTGTGTTGGTATTGAGCAAAACTCATACGAGATACCTTTTGAAGTTACAGTATGTTAACATTTGAATCGATGAGAAATCGAATGTAGTTGAACTTGAAAGTAAAACTAATCAGCAGACGAGTAACTAACGTACATCTATCCTGGTTGCGGGAGTTAGAAACATATATTTTGTAAGCAAACAATGAGCTCAGCACAATGGTCATTTTGAATTGTTAAACTGCCTCCTGCTCGGCAATTTATATATTCATTTCATAAAAGTTATTCATGCCAAATAATGTTAACTACGAGAGACATTTTGATATTATTCTATGGTTATACTACATAGCTCATATTTATGAATATGAATATTGTATGCAATTTATCATCTCGTGGATTGCGTAGGTTTTAGAAACATAGCATTTCCTACCTGAAACCTTGAGTACTTTGCGCACTCGCTACACTTTTTGGTAACACACCAAGAAAAAGATAATCGCGCATGTAATAATTTTGAGGCTGTGTATATCCATTATAATTATGCATCAAGACTGCGAGATTATATTGAGTAAATTGTGGAAGTTGTGTGATAAGTGTAAATGGTTGAAGACCATCTTTCTTCTGGATACGAAGCAATACTTGTGTTTTGTTCTTGAACACTTGATTGATGAGCTGGGGTAGTTTGCCTTTGATAACAGCCTCGCGTGGGATGAACGTAAATCCACCGCCTTCCTTTGCCATTTCACAGTATACCGTAACGACAGTCTCATCTACCACAATGCGGTAAAGACCACTCAACGATTCCGGTGAGCTTTGCTTGATTTGCATACATGATTTCGGGTAAGATGCAACGTACGTGTCTGGATAAACAGCAATCTGTATAGGCAAAGCATGGAAAGGGTAAATGGGGAAAATTTTCGCGTGCTCACCAACGGTTCAAGGAATCAAATCTTTCCAACCGCAGGGTTAAAATCGCATATTTATTAATTTTGCCAAATTTATAAACATTTCCTGTACAAAACCATTAATCAGTAAACGAAATGTAAGTTTACAAAATCAACTTAGATCTAAAGATGAAGTAAAATACTCACCGTGTTTAAACCAGAAATAGCGAAAAAGATGCAAACGATTACAATGAGTTTTTTCATTGTGAAGAAAGATAATGAAATATTTAAGTCAAATGATTGCTTTCGTACTTGTTCGAGTCTCTTATTCTTCCTTCAGCAAGTGAGCCTGTTTAAATGACGGCGTTGCTGACACTACAGTATACGTAACAATAGGGCATTACCTGACCTGTCGTCTCTTGAAGTTAAAAAGACACAATTTAGAAAATTAGCATTAAGTTGTGTCAAAACACAGCAGTCGTAATTGTCTCTATCAAGACTATCTGGAATTCATTCATTTAGCACGTATAATAAGTTATCTACGTGGTGTTCATTCACTTTATATTGTACCAAGTTGCACATGAAGACCGTTTACTTTTTTGTTGTGACAACTGAATCGACAGGTTGCCTTTATGCGTTTTTATAAGAGTTTATTTGCATTACTGCATGCTCAAAGAGCATTGTGACAGCATGGATTTCCCCTAAAGAGACTATAAATTTTGATATTATGTAATTTTTAGGTAATTCGACTTTTATTATAGCGCAAAGTTGCTCATAGTTTTCAACGCAACGAGTGATTTCAACGGCATTTAGACAAATAGGGTGATTGCGAGTACATTTTACGCCAACGTAATGTCAGTTGTCCCTCCAAAGTAATAATTGAGGGGGGGGGTGACTCCTTACTTTCTTGACCAATAACTCATAATATTACAGTCAAACTTCTTTTACAGCCTACAGGTAAGTCTCGTTAAATTTTTAAATTCTGTTTCGACATTAGACTGCGTCACTAAGGAGTCATTTGTGATCACTGTGAGATATTCAAAGTGTTGTAATCACGAGTTATTACATAAACCTAACTTTATCGAAAACATTCTCAAAAAAGAAAACAACATTTGATAAACTTTAACAAAAGTTCATGACTGACATTTGGAAACTTTTAATAATAGGCAGCCGAAGTCAGCTTTTGTTGGAAATTGCTTATTATATAGTATTTTTGAAAAAGTTAAAGCATTGGTCCACCCCACCGCATCCATAATTTCCTCCATTGATACTGATCTCTATAGTCGTAGCTGAAGAGGACATTGCTCTTGTGCTGTATCCAGAAAATTCCTCTATTCCAGAAGGCTGTAGAATTGTATCAAGCCATCAAAATAGCATATGTGCTTATCATATTAAAGGGCTTTTGAAAATTACCAAATATCTGTATGGAATTTCATCTAATAATTTTTGTTTCTTCAATGTACTCAGTGTGGAGTTTGAACGGGCAAAGCGTAGCATCTGGATAATATTTTTATAAGCTTTTAAAGACTGTAGAAGTTCCCCAGGCCTAGACATTTTTAACAGTCGGTCGAAAGAGTATAAATACTTATTATCCTCCCGATATATATTATCAAGTGATAATGCTCCGAGGATTTGGCACTTTAATGCAATACTTTATCCCTTCTTCTTGACAGCTGCTGCCGAAAGTCCCAGGTCTTGGAACTGTTTTCCTGACAAATGATGCATTATTAACTCTACATTTTCAAGAAGCGGATGTATTTCCGATGGGTTTCTGAAAAGAAATATTGTTAATGGTGTTTGTTGGAGAGTAAGATGGGTAAATGCCTTAACATTCTCATTGTCACAGGCCACCAAGATTGGGTTGACCACTGTGGTATTGTAATCAGTTCCTCGAACTTCTTTTTTGAATAATTGTAATACCTGAGTTATAAAACAAAAAGAAGGCGCGGAGGGTAAATTGATTAGTCATGATTAATGGAAAGCATAAACTGCATTCAGATCTGAGATGCATGAAATATGTGGCTTAACCTAGTAATTAACACTGGAGGCAAAGAGCATGAAAGAGGTCAGTGTTTGCTTTTATATTCACTTTCGTACAAGCACTATGAAATATGTTTTTATTTAGGAAACCAATTCGGAGGGCGTCTGGCTTTTCGGCGACTCCCTGTCTCTCTGCATAAACATTCTCCCTCAAGGGTATACGGGCAACTATGATCTATTTCATATTTTATAGAGTGTGTTCTGCACAGTACTATTGTCAACTAGTACTTTGACATGCATTTTTGAAACACATTTTTTGTGTGACTTTAGTCCAATATATCCAGCGAGCATTAAAAAGTAATTGATGTAATATTGATTATTCCAGAGTACTCCAGTTTCAATATTATTTATAACACACCCTTAAACCACTTTGGATGCGTCTATGGACATTATAGGTATTCTACATGCATTCTAAAAACATCCTGGTTAAAAATAACCAGGATGGGATTAAATCTTAACCAGGAAAGTATTCCAAATGGGACCAACGCAATCCTGGTTATTTTAACAAGGAATCGGGTTTAAATTAATTAACCCTTCTGGTTAAATTCAACCACGACCTAATGTTCAAATTTTGACTCCTTTCCCAGTTAAAATTAATTAGTTGCCTTGTTAAATTCCTGGGCGATTTTTAGTGATTTATTGTGAGAGTATATTTATGCTCAAAAAGTATATTTATTCAAGAAAAAAAGGCACAACTTACATTTGGTAAAAAACTACAAACAGAAGATAGACAAGTATCATGTATATTAACAACAGGTACATGCAATAGCTGGAGAAGTTTAGATTTACATCACTATATTTTCAGCGTCAATAGTCTGATTATTTTATTGCTGCTCTCATTGCAACAACAGCAGGTGTAGTCTTCTGTTTTCCCTAGTCCTCGATGCCATAAAAAACCTTTTGTATAAACTCCACGAGGAACAGCTCTGCCATGGGTAATTAACGTCAAGCACGTAAAATAGTTTAAAGCTAACATCAATTGCCCTCACAAGATTAGGCTGCTTCAAGCCGTGGCTTTCGATTATGAAAAACACTTGCGTTGGGCTGCATCGACTACCAATTGCTAAAACAAACGGCCATCTTGAGACTGTTTCTAAATATTTAGGTATTTTCGTACCGACCTAAAAGTAATTAAACAGTAGACTTGAGACTTTACATCAAATACACGAGTTTGATTATGCGACTACTTATATGGTGTATCTAAAAGTGACAATATATAGCTACTCTTGGAAGAAATGCTCAGAAAAATAAAACCCAAAAACTAAGCCAAATTTTTAGTGATTTTGCTACTTTATTGTTCTCTAGCACAGCTGGTACCGAAATTTTTAAAAATGGTGATGATCTAGTAATTTGTGCAAAACAGTCCATGCACGTATGGACTTAAGGTTAAATTGTTTTTTTAAATAATTCATTTTTCTCACTGTTTCATAGGACTTAAGGAAAACTTTCTCACAGAAAAAAAAATGCTCATGTTTTAAACATTTTACTGCCAACAGCACGAGACAATACTATTAAGTACTAAAAATTAATGATGGTTTTGTGATATCTTTTTTTGCAATGGCATCAATCCTGCTTTAATACGGGGGGACCATATTCATATGCCAGTCTAATTTCTTTTCAAAACAACTTCCCTTTCAAAAAAATCAGCCTGGCATGACCGAATATATGAACATGGTCCCTTTCAATTAACGATGGATTGACGCCCGTGCTTTTTTGACACAGCTTGTATAATTAGGTACTATGAATAAGTTATGAAAAGATTTTTAATTGATAACTGTTGGCAATTGATAAAAGCACATAATGCTTCATCAGTTGTACACCTCTTTTTATTCTTTCTTTCAGTAGGAAAAACGCATGGAAGGAGACCAATCGCAGCATTTCTTTTCTCTTCATCTATAAAGTAGTTTATAAATAAAAGTCAGTGTTTTTGGCTAGTAGATGAAGAAAGTATTTCATGTATCACATATGTTTCATGCATCATGTAACCGTTTTTGCAATATTTTACCGGAATTCAGGTTTCTTGTTGCAATATTCAAGTATTTTGTCCATTTTTCTGTTTGTGTATCTGCGTAACAAATTATTTTCCCTACTGTGTCTGGTGTAAATCACAGAAAAAGATTATCTGCGACATCTGGATACAATGTTACAAAGTCTATTTCAACCTGAAGAAATTTTTGAAAAACGTTTGGTTAGCCGTACAGGATTATGTATTACTGAAAAACGTTGAAGAATTTTTCTCTACCATACCAGGGACATCAAAAAGATGTGGGTATTCTTTCATAACCTCTCGTATTGTAAGTTGGGGCGTTTTTCTAATCCATTCTAATCGATTTAAGACGGTCTTTTGCACATAACTTTTTAGGGTTGAGATAGGCTCCCAGTTGTCTTTCATCCACTGCTTCATGCCAGCATGATCTGATTGATTTAAGACTGGCTCTTTTTAAGAAAAAAAAGCAAATTTTCTACAAGCACCATCAAATAACTTCTAATATTTTCGTAATTGATGAATTTAACCTGGTAAAGTGTTTTAGAGAAGTTAAAGTTGAGCCAAATTCTTGTTCAGCCTGACGGTGTTTTATGCTCCTTCTCATAACATTTCTAAGTCGCTTTCATATTTCTTTTCCTTAAAGAATGAAAAAATGTGGCAAGAAACGAAATCGTCGCAATGAGACGGGGGGTGCAAAACGTATACATGGGCCACTTTTTATTTAATAACTTACATGTCTTCGTTTGCCGTAAGTTTCATGGTATAAGTTGATAAATTCTTCGCCAGATCAACAAGCATGTTCCACTAAGCGCTTAATATACTGCTTAAAACAAAAAAACAGGATGTATGAATTATTTGAATCACCGAAAGGAAAATAAGCAGGTTAATAAATAAATGAAAAAATATTTCTACTCAAAATATTTCAAAATATATCTACCTTACCTCCTGCTTTGAGGCTATGTTTTTATCCTTGGGGGGAGGAATGTAGATGAAAGTAAAGGAGAGCGGAAAAAAAATTATCAGATTTTTCATATTATGATATTTTTATTTATTTTCTTCGTTGTTATTGCTCTTCGCAATGAAGCAATGATTTAGGTTGTGTTGAAATTGACAGTATATAGATTTTTTTATTGCGTGGCTAAAGGCATTAAGAGCTGTCACTGTCATGGGAACACTCAAAGGCCAGAGTCGAACTCAGAGAAGAAGAATAAAAAACTCAAGTGGACAGAATTTCAGACGACAAAACGTGCCACGAGTTTGAAATTCAATAATCGAAAAACAATATTTGATGGTGAAGCACCGGCAAGAAAAGTAAGACTTAATGCTTTTTATATGGATCAATACGTAGTTAGTAATCATGATTTTGACGTTTTTGTCGATGGAACTAGTTATATGTTTGCAAATGATGATCGTCCAGGTTAATAAAGTCCTGAGAAGGACTGTTTTTGTTGTTGTTGACTGACGTTTCGACAACCTTAGCGGTAGTCATCTTCAGAGTGAAACATCTGAGTCAACAACAACAAAAACAGTCCTTCTCAGGACTTTATTAACCTGGACGATCATCATTTGCAAACATGTAACGATATTCCCGGGTTCAAACCATTTACTTTGGAACTAGTTATGTTACTGAAGTGAATCCATTACCTCATATCTGAATGAAGAACATTTTTCATTAAGTCAAAATGTGTGAATGGTCTAGTTTCAAGTGCTGGTTGTATTGTGTGTAATGTATCGTATTTTTGCTTGGATATAGTAATGTATTTTTGTAGTAGATATTATGTGAACGATCAAAAAATAATCAAGGGGTGTTAATGTAATCACAAAAATACTGGCCTTGCAAGAAATTGTGAAGAGTATAGACTTGAGCATAGCCATCACACCCAAGTGCGCATACAGGGTTGTTAAAAGGGTATTTTGAAATATGTATATTTTGTAAATCTCATCAGGCGGAAGTATTTGGTAATTCGTTTGTTCTTGAAAGCAAAGTTAATGAAGATCAAGCTGTAAGTGATGCTTTAATTCAGGCTCTGAAATTTGCAGTATCTCGAGATCCACAGGAACAGGAATGAAATTTTGTTTTTAATCCAAAATTATTTTACTTGTATCCCACCAAATGGGTGTATGAAAATTCTTTTTAGTAGAAATTCTTTTTAGGATTCTTACAGAAATTTTTGCATTGATCATAATGATAAACTGATGAGAGAAATCCATGGGTTATGTTGCATATGATCCTGAGATATAAGAAAAGCTAACTAACTACGTATCATATTTAGGATACTAGATTATTGGGAGGGATACCCAACAATACAACCTTGGTATCCATGTGGATTCTTAAAAAATTTCAAACGGCTTCCTACCGAAACAAAATGGGAGTATGGCTGTCCAGGTGGATTGCATAAGAAGTAGGCAAGAATTTCACCTCTCATTTTGTATTCAATGCCATTGAAGAGGTGTTGATGTAAGGGAAGGACAAAGGGAAGGGTCAATTACAAATTTTGTAAAAATGGATGTTAATACCAGGTGTTGGCTTTCAAAACTAAGAAACTTTTTTAACGGTTTTTGGACAGCAAAAAATGATTTTACGTTAACATCTATGTTTCTATATTAGATAAAGAGCAATTTTTTCGCGTTTTTTTCATTTAAGGTCATTGCACTCCTACCCCCATCACTCTGTTTCTTGAGTGCCTAATCAAATTAGATCAATGAAGTGATATTTTTTAATTCTTATGTTTCTACACACAATCTCCTTGATTTTCATTCGCTGAAAGAGGACTGAGCTTTTTTAAATTTTTTAAAAGTTAAGCGCACTGCACGTATCTGTCAAAAGCATTTGCTCTATACAGCCACTTCTCAGTGTGAGTTGCCCCATAATCCTTATTAATATGCGATCGCACTGCTCATACGCGTAGAGAGTTATGAAGAGCAATTAGATTTTGTAAATAATTGCACTAACCTCTAAAGATTTTGATTTTAAACATAACTAATCCTTCGCGCTTTTTATGTATATGTAGGGTTTTTCTTAGTCGAAGAAAAATATCTTTGTAATACGTGGCAAGGAGAGTTTTCCTCGAAGGACACGGTGAAAGACGGATACGCGGGAATAGCACCTATGTGGGAGTTCAAACAAAATGACTATAATCTTCATAAAATGGTGGGCAACGTTCGGGAATGGACTGCCGACTGGTGGGACATACGTCATTCATCAAAAACTAAGGAAAATCCCGTTAGTATTTGTTAATTTGAAATATGAAAATCTTGAAAGATACTTACTGCACTAATAATGAGTCATTGAAAGATCCAGCTAGCTGGTAATTTCCAGTTTTTCATGTAATATAAATCCAATCATCGTTGAAATTTACTTAGTTAACTGCAAAAGCATTTTGCACTTTTCACGGAGAAATAAACGTTTCTTGAGGCAAAAATTAAAATCAGTCATCGTAAACCAATGGCTGAGCCAAATGCATCTATCCAGCGGTCACTTCATGTGTACGTTCCACATCCTCCAAAATGCACTTCCGTCAAGAAAATGAAGTTATTCGGCAGCTGACGATGTCCTTACGAAGGAACACCAGAATTACGCCAGTCCACAGCAACACCTTGTGATTCATAAATCAAATTGTCTCCGTGAGATGAACTGATTTTCATTTCTTTATGATTTGGATAAAATACAAAGTAGGAGTTTGGATTAGAGCCGCAGATGCTATATGAAAGATTTTTTCCATTTGATCTACAAGTAAATAACAAGCAGTCGTGCAATGAAAGTGAATTTTAGCTTTCGCAACAAGATACCTTTGTGTCATTGATACTTAATGCCGATATCCAGTGGATAAATCTGATTAATATCACATGTGTGTAGCACGTATTTGCATTGGATGGTGATCTAATGCAGATATCCAGTGGATAAATTTGATTAATGTCACATGTGTGTATAACGTATTTGCATTCAATGATGATTAAAGAAGTCGTCTCGCGATTAAAGAATGACGGAAAAAATTTGTGCTAATTTTGAAAAACCCTCAATGACTTATCCTCCAATCAAAACCATTGAGGCCATTGCACGGTTGAGACAAAAAGATTAGTAGCAGCTTGTGAAAGCTTTTTAAACGGACTAAGTACAAACTTGTCAAACTTGCTTGAAATCAAGGACGACGACGATGTCGCCTTTGTTGGTTTTGGGCAAAACATTTACAAGTCCCCTTTTAAAGTTACAAGCCAACTTATGCAAGTTACGAAAGAGATTTTGATATTATTCTATGGTTATATTATATAGTCTCATTCATGAATATGAATATTGTATGCAATTTATCTACTCGTGATTGTGGGTTCTAGAAACATAGCCTTTCTTACTTCAGACCTTGAGTACTTTGCGCCCATGCCACATTTTTTGGTAACACACCAAGAAAAAGATAATCGCGCATGTAATAATTTTGAGGCTGTGTATATCCATTATAATTATGCATTAAGACTGCGAGATTATATCGAGTAAATTGTGGAAGTTGTGTGATAAGTGTAAATGGTTGAAGACCATCTTTCTTTTGGATACGAAGCAAGACTTGTGTTTTGTTCTTGAAAACTTGATCGATGAGCTGGGGTAGTTTGCCTTTGATCACAGCCTCGCGTGGGATGAACGTAAATCCACCGCCTTCTTTTACCATTTCACAGTACACCGTAACGACAGTGTCATCTACCACAATGCGGTAAAGACCACTCAACGATTCCGGTGAGCTTTGCTTGATTTGCATACATGATTTTGGGTTGAACGCAGCATATGTATCTGGATATGCAACAATCTGTATAGGCAGAGCAAGAAAAAGGTAAATGGGGGAAACGTTTGATTGCTCACCGAGGGTTGGTGAAGTCATATCTTACGAACAACATGGTTAAAATCACACATTTCTTTCTTTGCAAAACCATTATTTCGTAAACTTAATGAAAATTTTACAAAGTCAACTAAGATCTAAAGATGAAGTAAAATACTCACATTGCTTAAACCAGACATACTGAGAAGGATGTAAGCGATTACAATGAGGTCTTTCATTCTGAAGAAAAAACTGATATATTCCAGCTTTAGTCAAATGCTTTTTAGATCTCTTAAGTACTTCTTCCTCTCTCTTGTTCTTTTTTCAGAGCCTATTGAAATGACCTGCGTTACTGACGCCACAATATACATATATGCAACAAACGATAAGGCCAAATTACAGAAGGGCCAATGAATATGCATGTGTACAGTTACCATGGTCAATGAATTGCCCGGTTTGACCAATAAGAGCTCTGCTAAACTGATCAAGTAGCAATGAAATAAAACAAAAACACAATTCAACCCAAGACATTTTATAAATTCAAAGTGAACGAATCTCATATCATTAAAGACAGTACTAAGAAGACAATATAATTTGCTTACAGCCATAAAAGAATGGGATTCCTCCTGCTTTAAAAAAGGACGTGATGTGTTGTCTCTCGATGGTAAAATTACAAAATTTTAAAGTTAGCTTTTTCAGACTAGCTTGGATTCATTAATGTGGGACTTACAATAATTTATCTACAAGGGAATTTTTTTGTGTTGCGTTTATGCGATACAAGTAACAGCTTGCACAGAAAGACTTAGACTGTTAATTTTGTGGTGGCAACTGACACGACGAGTGGTATTTCATGTGTTTTTAAAAGGATTAATTTGCATTATTGCATATCCAAAGAAGATTGTTGCATTGATCGCTGCATATCACCTAAAAGTATAATAGTTTATGTTATCCGCTTTTTAGCTGATTTGACTCTTATCAAAGCGCAATTTATGGCTCTACAGCAGTTTTCAGACCTAAAAACAACGTGTAAACTTAGACTTACAAAATATAGCCCTTGAAGTGATGTCAGATGTGCCAATTATCACTTGATGTATCACATTAAAGAATCACGAAAACAAAAAACGAGAAGACATGTAACAACAGCATTCAAATAAAAGCAACAATTTTAACGCTACTTATAACATATGAATATCAATAGTAGCACTAGTTGACATTGGGAGAATAAAGCCCACAAACAAGTAGAAAATTAGGACAATATGTTATTTTGTAAATTTCTGCTGCAATATTTTCTCATATTTCGACAGACCTTCTTTCGTCACCCCCAACTTGAACAGTGATCCACGTTTGAACCACTGGTCAGGTCCTATGGCCTGATTACAGTTAAAATGATTTTAGTTATCAACATATAATTGTAATTATAATTATATAATTTTTTTCATTTTTTATTGGACAACTGTTGACACACAACCTAAGCTAAGCGTTCTCTTGTACGTGATGCTGGATCACGATTGACCATTGGCGTTAATCCTGTCTTAATTGGGAGGGCATATTCATATATTATGCTATGCCTGGCTAATTGCTTTTCAAAACAATTTCATTTTCAAAAGAAATCAGCCTGACATAACAGAATATATAAATATGGTCCCCCCAATTATCGCAGGATTCACGCCTATACGATTTACGACAAGATGGGACTGTATTTTACTTTACCGTAACTGCGTAAAAGCAATATTGAAAAAGCGCATTTAAAAATACGACAATTTTTTTTAAAATAATCATGTTTCAACATCTCATGATGCTATCTTCAATATATAAGAAAGAGTATTATTTGTGTGATAAATGTATATATGAGTAATAAGATACAGTGTTACGAGTAGGTTATAAGTATAAATGCTACAATGAAATAGTGGTTAGAATTAATGATGAGTGTATTTACAGGCTGAATATAGTGTTAAAACGAAAAACTTAAACGTTGAGGTTAGGGCTATTTTTGTTAATGTAAAGTGCTTCTTTGATTTTGTGTTCGAATGTAGTGTCTGCAGTGTCGATGGTTTTAAAGTATGAGGGTGAATAGCTATTCTGCATGAAGATGATTTTGAAAGGTGTCGATAGATAAGTGAGTTTTAGTCAGTTGTGATGTGTTCTCTAATTCTTGTGAGCAAGGGATGGGAAGTTTCGCCAATGTATTGGGCATTACATCCCGCACAATCGAATTGATATACCATGCATCATAGACTTAATAGAATCAGGGATAGGATCTTTGAAATTTGAATGAAAGTAGTTTTTGATTTTGAAGGAAGTGAAAATTAGTCGGAATGTTAATGTCAGGCATAAGCGTTTGATGATATTTGTAAGTCTGCGTTGTGTGTGTGTCGTGAATGATGTCCGATGTACGGTAGTAATCGTTGAGATCATTGTATCTCACATATTGGTTGAGACATCATGCAACGCAAATGCTTGGGTTTTCTTTGTATTTATTGAGCACTATATTTCGCGGGGGATGGTATTGTCTTGCATTGTTAACATGTATGAGGATGATGAAGTCACACATCTCCTCCTTAATAAGAGCATAAGTCAAATCTAGCCGTGGAATCTCGTGTGGCCGAGCAGCTGAAGTTAAAGCCAGTAACACTGTAAGCTTTATGGTAAGATCTTTCAACGAAAGGTTGTTTAAAGGCGCTAGGTTTTCAAAATATGACAAAACGTATCATACCGCCCAGACTGAGCACAGCTTTGGCTGCGGAGGTCTCAACTCAAAAAATACCTTTCATGAATCTTGTCATATTGGTAGGTTTCCAAGCTGTTTACCCTCGATTGGATCATGTAATTGAGAAATGTACCAACTTGACTATGGCCACTCGTATCTTTTTTGCGTAGATCCTCGCCATGATGCCCTGAGAAATTTGCACACCTCTCCTGGAATTCCCGCTGTTTCGAGACAATTCCTGAAATCAGCCATACCGTCAACTGGAGACTTTTTGAAAGTGGGTTCAACTGTTCCGGTGCAAATGGAAGTGAAATTGGTAATGGTAACCTTACTGAAAATTTTACTGGCATTTCCAGTATCATTGGAAAACAGGGTTGGCTCTGCCAGTTTGGTCCAATCAGTAGTCCTGTTGCTTTGTCGCGTTTCCTTTTCGGTAAAATCCTTGAGATCAAAACAGTTAGTGAATGAATGAAGACTTTTCACTTTTTCCAAACTACGGAGAAAGCGCCCTTTGCTATTGCACCAGGATTGGGGTAACGTGCTATGTAATTTCGTACTTGATTATTCAGTCGGGAAGCGAATAAATCCACTTGCGGTGTGTAATATCAAAAATCCCAAATTCCTCAACAACGTTAGTACCCAGATGAATATATCGACAATTTTCTGTTGACTCTGGTGCATTATCAGAATGTCTTCCAAGTAAAGTACTATCTTGATTCCTGAGGAGCGCAATACCGCTATCACCGCTATTATCAATCTTGTGAAGGCGCAGGGGGCGGAGGCCAGCCGAAATGGAAGGCACTGAAAGTCGTAAGTCTTGACTTGATACTCCAGTCTTAAGTATTTCTTAATGTGCTACATGTATGGGAATCATGAAGTATGCATCTTGTAAATCCAACATTATCATGTAATCTTTCGATGCAAGAAGACATCGAACCATGTCTAATCCTTCCAGTTTGAATTTCTCCACGAGAGCACAATGATTCTGAGAATTCAAGTTGAACAAAGTCGGTTTTTTATACCTTGTTTCACAATTAAGAGTGTCCACGTGTACTGATCCTTGACTTTGTCGACCTCCTTCAGAGCTTCTTTTTGCTGTAGTTCTTCAATGGCTGTCTCTATTGCCTTTGTTTGTTCTTCTGAACTCCCTTTTGTTACCCTTTGTTCCTACTGACGGTGGTACGCACTGGTTTCTTATAATAAGAAAACAACAAAATTGTCTATATGTGCTTCTTGTAAGGGTAACACTTGAGGCTGCTGGACTAAAGGAAGCGAATGTTTTAATTGTTGAGCAATGAAAGCTTTTGCTTTCTATTTTGAATCAAGTAAAAAACAACTCAACAATGTACACATTCGATTATAAGATCCCAGAAATTTTCACTTTACCTTATTTCTCTAAAATTTACACTCTTTCCTCTCTTGGGTTTTACTCAGCAAGTATAGAAAACAAAGGTAATTGTTCCACTTTTAATATATCCAAAATGGAGAAGGGGAGACAGAACACTCGAACGAAAGTGTACTGACAATGAAAAAATCAATGACAATGAGAAGTGCTGCAACAGAATACAATGGTATGACGCCCCCAGAGTCCATTTCATGAGGAACAACTGAGGAACAACTTGAAAACTTTGAATGCAAGTACTAGCGGATTATTTTCCAGGAGGAAAGAACCTACTAAGTTCACAATCAACGCACCACGAATTCAAGATCTCCAAAAACACATTATAGCTCTACCCCATTTCCTCCGTATTCAGCTCAGCCCGATTGACGTATTTTGTACTCCCGATGACTTTTGAAATAAATCAGTGGGCAGAGTTGAATAAATGAGCATTCATTCCTCCTCCCCAGCAAGCGTTCAAGCTATGCCTCTTCTGCATGGGGATGACTTTGCTGTAATGGGGATGACTCTCTTAGAAAATATTCTGTGGAATGCACTTTAAATCAAGTGAATTTAATAATAATGCAATGAATGGTATTAAAAGTAATTCTAACAGAAAAAAAGCACTCAAAAAGCCATGCGGAAGCACAATATATTTAAGAATTATTGGATGAGGTTGATTATGATCAAAATAGCTTGAAAGCTTCTGCATTTATAACTGTATGAAAAAACAATTAATGAATTCGGCTTTAGCATGTTATCAAGAATTACTTTATGGCAAATATGTCGTATCGATTGACCTTTGGACGTTTGATCAAAAAACCTAGACAGTTCTGTTATAAATCAAACTGCTCCGTTCTTAACTGATCTGAGGATTGGCTTGTGACATTTTTTAGTCAGAGAGTAGAGACGAGAGTTCTGTAAGAGCTGTTTGTTAGTGAGATCGTAGACATAAAACGAAGGAATAAAACATTGGAATAAGAAAATTAACAAATTATTCCTTAAACGTTCATAGCTGATGGCTGATAAAGAGTAAAAAAATTTTCTTAAAAAAGGACAATTTAGTTACAGCATTTTTGCTTGTTGGCTTTATATACATCTCAAGTGATCGACCTTCTGACAGTATTCAAATGCTTCCAAACACGCACGTTGTCATGATTGAGTCTTTACAAAAATATCAGTAAATAAATGCAAAGTATAAACGTTTGAATTTAAATTTTCCGAGTATTTTCGATTAACATATGGATTATGAATGACCAATTCGTGAGAGAAGATGTGAAAAGATTTGCAAGACTGAATTAGCTCCTTTATTGACAAACTAAATTAAGTACAAAAGAAATTTGCTTTTACTTTTGAAAGGAAAATAAATGATTTTAAGGGTAAGTAAAATGTCGGTCAACGTAAACCAATAGCTGAGCCATATGCATCTCTCCAGCGGTCACTTGATGTGTACGTTCCACATCCTCCAAAAAGCAATTCGGTCAAGAAAATGAAGTTATTCGGCAGCTGACGATGTCCATACGAAGGAACACCAGAATTACGCCAGTCTACAGCGACACCTTGTGATTCATAAATCAAATTCTTTCCATGAAAAGAACTGATTTTCATTTCTTTATGATTTGGATAAAAGACGAAATAGGAGTTTGGATTGCCGTCACAGTTGACATAGGTAACCTTTTTCCGTTTGATCTATAAATATATGATTTTCTCTACTTCAAAATATGACATAAATTTATGTTATTACTGGGATCTGTTATATGTTATTGCCTTTATAGTTCTACAAATATTTTGGTAATATATTAAAGGTAACTCTTTTTTCCATTTGATCTGCAATTAAAAAAAAGCAGTGTTATGCAATCTAAAGTGAATGATGCGAATTTGAGCTTTCCCGACAAGTCTGCGATACAACTTTGCGTCATCGATATCCAACGCCTCTTTTCATTGCCTCAAGTGAATAAATCTGATTAATATCATGTAGCATCAATTTGCGTTGAATGGTGATCAAAGAAGTCGTTTCATGATGAAAGACAAACAGAAACAATTTTCGAGCAATTTTCCGTGAGTATTTAGGATGATTGTCTTATAAAGAGTTTTGTATAGACCCACCCTCAAAACGCTAAAGAAACAAAAAGTGCAAAATGAAAGTGACTTTAATATAGTGCGCTTGCAGCATTGAACTAAAATACGTGGAACGCTACCTGTAATACAAAATCCTAATAATTTTTCGAAGCCAAATTTTACATCCAGACACGCAAGATTACACCCAGACACGCGTGTGCAATCAATCAATTTTCACTCCGCCAGAGAATCTAGAAACACTAAGCACGCGTGTCAGTGTGTAAGATTTGGCTACAATTATTTGTTTCGGGTAGCGTTCATTTTAGTTTATTGGTTTACGCATGCTGCTGTGACGTCCCCTAAATTTATCCGGCGCCATCTTGGAGGACTGAATGAGTGCTTAATTGTAATAGTAGATACTAGATAGTATTTGTAATTGAATATCTTTGCCGATTAGCACAAAATGCCGACTTTTTTGCCTAGTTTTGAACTGCAGTAATAAAAATTTAAAACGTAAGGATATTTCTTTTTTCGAGTGCTTAAAATCATCACAAATCAAGGGGAAGAAATGGAAATATTAACATCGGAACGTGGACGAAAATGGTTGTAGGCGATAAGTAGAGAAGACTTAACCCATAAGACTTAGAATATTCAAATAAATATTCTGTGCGCGTTCGAGTACATAAGTTTCTGTCCAGTCGAATGTGTTGTTGTTTCAGTGGGTATGTTCTGCCGGTAGTGAGTTCGGATCTCGTCGTTTTATGGCGTTTTTGTGTTCTGTGAGTCTTGTTTCGATTTTCTTGGATGTTTGTCCTATGTATTGTTTTGAGCAGTCTTTACATGGTATCATGTAGATCGCGTCAGTTGTATCATGAATTGTTGTTTTGTCTTTATGTTTGGTGAAACATGATTTGAGTTTTTGTGTAGGTTTGTGGGCGACGTAAATATTAAATGGCAGTCATATCTGATGTTCCGTTTATGTATGGTAATGTGACGATTTTTACTGTTTTGTCCGGTTTCTTGTTGCTTTTGTCGGTTTGTGTTTTGTTTTGTTTTTGTTTATAGTTTTGTTTATGAAGTTTCTAGGGTAATTGTTTTTAATAAATGTGGAGTATAAGTAGTTGCGTTCTGTTTTCTTGGCTTCTTCGGTGTTACAATGAGTGTTTATCCTGTTAAAAAGTGTTCGAATGCAGCTTATTTTGTGTTGTGTTGGGTGATTGCTGTTAAAATCAAGTATTTGGTCTGTGTGGGTGGTTTTGCAGTATACTTGTGTGTTTAGTGTACCGTCATCTTTTCTGGTTAGTAGGATGTCAAGGAAAGTAAGTTGTTTTTCGTGCTCTTCGTCTTTAGTGAAGGTTATGCTCTTTGTGGTATTGTTTGTGGTGTGTAGGATTTGTTCAGTTGTCTTTCTTGACTATGGCAAAGATGTCGTCGACATATCTTTTCTATTGTCTGATGTTTGTATTGTTTGTGACTGATTGTGTTTCGAGGTGTTGCATGACGGCTTCTGCGAGGAAGGTGGATAGTGGTGACCCCATTGGTGTGCCTGAAATTTGTCTGTAGTATGTGTTTTGGAAGGAGAATTCAGTGGAGAGGCAAAGGTTGAGTAAGTCTAGGATGTCATTTTTGTCTAGTTGTATTGTAGCTTGCCAAGTTTTGTCGTTTGCTCGTAGTTCGTTTGTAATTTGTTTGGCTATGTCTAGTGGTATGGATGTGAAGAGTGATGTCACATCGTAGGATATCATGATTTCGTCCGGTCGTAGTTTAATGTTTTCAATATTGGCGAGGAAAGTGGTGGCATTTCTGATGGTGTGAGGTGAATTTTTGACTAATGGATAGACAATGTTACAAAGATATTTTGAAAGTTCATACGTAGGTGATCCTGGAAGCGATACGATAAGTCGAAGTGGGTTGTTTTCTTTGTAAATTTTTGGTAGTCCATAGAATTTGGCGGTGGATGCGTCATTGGGTCGGATTCTTCTGTAATCGTTTTCGGTCAGTTTCTTTTTGTCTTTTAGTTGTTTCAGTTTCTGGTTTATACGGTTGGTGGTCGTTTTGCTGGGGTCTGCGGATAGAGGTTCGTAGGTGGTGGTGTCTTGTATGAGGGTTTTGGCTTTGTGGATGTATTCTGATCTGTCCATGATAACTGTTTTGCGTCCTTTGTCAGCTCGTAATATGATTATTTGGTCGTCGTTTTGTAGGTTTTTAATTGCTCGTAGTTCTTCGTTGTTTAGATGAAGTTTCGTGGTGTCGTTTTGTTCTATAAATGGATGTTGCTTTTTTGATGGCTTCATTAATGGATTTGGCGTCTGATTGTGTAGTGTATCTTGTTACGATTTTTCGATGTTCTTGTAGTTTATGTCGGTAGATTCGTAAGCGGTTGTGGGCATCTCATATGAGTACGTTTAACACACGCCGGCCGTTTCATAAACAAAACTATAAACAAAATACAAAACAAAACACTAACCGACAAAAGCAACAAGAAATCGGACGAAACGGTAAAAATCGTCACATTACCATACATAAACGGAACAACAGAAATGACTGCCATTTAATATTAACGTCGCCCACAAACCTACACAAAAACTCAAATCATGTTTTACCAAACATAAAGACAGAACAAACAATTCATGATACAACTGACGCGATCTACATGATACCATGTAAAGACTGCTCAAAACATTACATAGGACAAACATCAAAGAAAATCGAAACAAGACGCTCTAAACGTCTAAAAATTAAAAACAGTTGTAAATAACTTCCTGTATAATTCTGATCAAGACTCGAAGCACCGAGTCGAAAGCTCAATAAAATCATTTTATACAATCCGGAGAAACTTTTATTTTGTATACATAATATAGTCGATATTTATGAATATGTATATTACAAAACGGAACATACACTACCTGAAACCTTGAGTAACTCGCGCCCATGCCACATTTTTTGGTAACACACCAAGAAAAGATAATCGCGCATGTAATAATTTTGAGGCTGTGTATATCCATTATAATTATGCATCAAGACGGCGAGATTATGTTGAGTAAACCGTGGAAGTTGTGTGATAAGTGTAAATGGTTGAAGACCATCTTTCTTTTGGATACGAAGCAAGACTTGTGTTTTGTTCTTGAAAACTTGATTGATGAGCTGGGGTAGTTTGCCTTTGATCACAGCCTCGCGTGGGATGAACGTAAATCCACCGCCTTCCTTTGCCATTTCACAGTATACCGTAACGACAGTGTCATCAACCACAATGCGGTAAAGACCACTCAACGATTCCGGTGAGCTTTGCTTGATTTCCATACATGACTTTGGGTAAGATGCAACGTACGTGTCTGGATAAACAGCAATCTGAATAGGCAAAGCATGAAAAGGGTAAATGGGGAAAATTTTCGCGTGTCCACCAACGGTTCAAGGAATCAAATCTTTCCAACCGCAGGGTTAAAATCGCATATCTATTAATTTTGCCAAATTTATAAACATTTGCTGTACAAATCAGTAAACGACATGTAAGTTTACAAAGTCAACTTAGATCTAAAGATGAAGTAAAATACTCACCGTGTTTAAACCAGAAATACTAAAAAAGATGCAAGCGATTACAATGAAGTTTTTCATTGTGAAGAAAGATGATAAAATATTTCAAATGGTTGTGCGATTACTTTCTCACTTCTCCCTGTCCGTTATTCTTCCTTCAGAGCCTGTTTAAATGACCTGTGTTTCTGACACCACAGTATATGCAACAAACAATAGGGCCAAATTACAGAAGGGCAAATGACGCTGGTGTATAGTTACCACGGTCAGTCAAGTGCCCTGTTTGACCAATAAGAGCACTGGTGAACTGATCAAGTAGCGATGAAATAAAAAAAACGACACAATTCAACCCAAGACATTTTATAAATTCAAAGTGAACGAATCTCATATCAATAAAGATAGTACTAAAAAGACATAATATAATCTGCTTACTGCCATGGAAGAATGGGATTCCTCGTACTTTAAAAAAAGGACGTGATGTGTTGTCTCTCGATGTTAAAATTACAAAATTTCAAAATTTTCTTTTTTCAGACTAGCTGGGTTTCATTTATGTTGGACTTACAATAATTTATCTACAAGGGAATTTTCTTTTTGTGTTGTGTTTGTATGATACAAGTAACAGGTTTCACAGAAAGACTTAGACTGTTAATTTTGTGGTGGCAACTGACACGACGAGTCGTATTTCATGTGTTTTTAAAAGGATTAATTTGCATTATTGCATATCCAACGAAAATTGTTGCATTGATCGCTGGATTTCACCTAAAAGTGTAATAGTTTATGTTATCTGCTTTTTAGCTGATTTGACTCTTATCAAAGCGCAAGTTATGCTTCTACATCAGTTTCCAGACCTAAAAACAACGTATAAACTTAGACTTACAAAATATAGCCCTTGAAGTGATGTCAGATGCGCCAATTATCACTTGATCTATCACATTAAAGAATCACGAAAACAAAAAACAAGAAGACATGTAACAACAGCATTCAAATAAAAGCAACAATTTTAACGCTACTTATAACATATGAATATCAATAGTAGCACTAGTTGACATTGGGAGAATAAAGCCCACAAACAAGTAGAAAATTAGGACAATATGTTATTTTGTAAATTTCTGCTGCAATATTTTCTCATATTTCGACAGACCTTCTTTCGTCACCCCCAACTTGAACAGTGATCCACGTTTGAACCACTGGTCAGGTCCTATGGCCTGATTACAGTTAAAATGATTTTAGTTATCAACATATAATTGTAATTATAATTATATAATTTTTTTCATTTTTTATTGGACAACTGTTGACACACAACCTAAGCTAAGCGTTCTCTTGTACGTGATGCTGGATCACGATTGACCATTGGCGTTAATCCTGTCTTAATTGGGGGGAGGGGGGGGGGCATATTCATATATTATGCTATGCCTGGCTAATTGCTTTTCAAAACAATTTCATTTTCAAAAGAAATCAGCCTGACATAACAGAATATATAAATATGGTCCCCCCAATTATCGCAGGATTCACGCCTATACGATTTACGACAAGATGGGACTGTATTTTACTTTACCGTAACTGCGTAAAAGCAATATTGAAAAAGCGCATTTAAAAATACGACAATTTTTTTTAAAATAATCATGTTTCAACATCTCATGATGCTATCTTCAATATATAAGAAAGAGTATTATTTGTGTGATAAATGTATATATGAGTAATAAGATACAGTGTTACGAGTAGGTTATAAGTATAAATGTTACAATGAAATAGTGGTTAGAATTAATGATGAGTGTATTTACAGGCTGAATATAGTGTTAAAACGAAAAACTTAAACGTTGAGGTTAGGGCTATTTTTGTTAATGTAAAGTGCTTCTTTGATTTTGTGTTCGAATGTAGTGTCTGCAGTGTCGATGGTTTTAAAGTATGAGGGTGAATAGCTATTCTGCATGAAGATGATTTTGAAAGGTGTCGATAGATAAGTGAGTTTTAGTCAGTTGTGATGTGTTCTCTAATTCTTGTGAGCAAGGGACGGGAAGTTTCGCCAATGTATTGGGCATTACATCCCGCACAATCGAATTGATATACCATGCATCATAGACTTAATAGAATCAGGGATAGGATCTTTGAAATTTGAATGAAAAGTAGTTTTTGATTTTGAAGGAAGTGAAAATTAGTCGGAATGTTAATGTCAGGCATAAGCGTTTGATGATATTTGTAAGTCTGCGTTGTGTGTGTGTCGTGAATGATGTCCGATGTACGGTAGTAATCGTTGAGATCATTGTATCTCACATATTGGTTGAGACATCATGCAACGCAAATGCTTGGGTTTTCTTTGTATTTATTGAGCACTATATTTCGCGGGGGATGGTATTGTCTTGCATTGTTAACATGTATGGGGATGATGAAGTCACACATCTCCTCCTTGATAAGAGCATAAGTCAAATCTAGCCGTGGAATCTCGTGTGGCCGAGCAGCTGAAGTTAAAGCCAGTAACACTGTAAGCTTTATGGTAAGATCTTTCAACGAAAGGTTGTTTAAAGGCGCTAGGTTTTCAAAATATGACAAAACGTATCATACCGCCCAGACTGAGCACAGCTTTGGCTGCGGAGGTCTCAACTCAAAAAATACCTTTCATGAATCTTGTCATATTGGTAGGTTTCCAAGCTGTTTACCCTCGATTGGATCATGTAATTGAGAAATGCACCAACTTGACCATGGCCACTCGTATCTTTTTTGCGTAGATCCTCGCCATGATGCCCTGAGAAATTTGCACACCTCTCCTGGAATTCCCGCTGTTTCGAGACAATTCCTGAAATCAGCCATACCGTCAACTGGAGACTTTTTGAAAGTGGGTTCAACTGTTCCGGTGCAAATGGAAGTGAAATTGGTAATGGTAACCTTACTGAAAATTTTACTGGCATTTCCAGTATCATTGGAAAACAGGGTTGGCTCTGCCAGTTTGGTCCAATTAGTAGTCCTGTTGCTTTGTCGCGTTTCCTTTTCGGTAAAATCCTTGAGATCAAAACAGTTAGTGAATGAATGAAGACTTTTCACTTTTTCCAAACTACGGAGAAAGCGCCCTTTGCTATTGCACCAGGATTGGGGTAACGTGCTATGTAATTTCGTACTTGATTATTCAGTCGGGAAGCGAATAAATCCACTTGCGGTGTGTAATATCAAAAATCCCAAATTCCTCAACAACGTTCGTACCCAGATGAATATCTCGACAATTTTCTGTTGACTCTGGTGCATTATCAGAATGTCTTCCAAGTAAAGTACTATCTTGATTCCTGAGGAGCGCAATACCGCTATCACCGCTATTATCAAATCTTGTGAAGGCGCAGGGGGCGGAGGCCAGCCGAAATGGAAGGCACTGAAAGTCGTAAGTCTTGACTTGATACTCCAGTCTTAAGTATTTCTTAATGTGCTACATGTATGGGAATCATGAAGTATGCATCTTGTAAATCCAACATTATCATGTAATCTTTCGATGCAAGAAGACATCGAACCATGTCTAATCCTTCCAGTTTGAATTTCTCCACGAGAGCACAATGATTCTGAGAATTCAAGTTGAACAAAGTCGGTTTTTTATACCTTGTTTCACAATTAAGAGTGTCCACGTGTACTGATCCTTGACTTTGTCGACCTCCTTCAGAGTTCCTTTCAGCTGTAGTTCCTCTATGGCTGTCTCTATCGCCTTTGTTTGTTCTTCTGAACTCCCTTTTGTTACCCTTTGTTGCCACTGACGTGGTACGCACTGGTTTCTTAAAATAAGAGAACAACAAAATTGTCTATATGTGCTTCTTGTAAGGGTAACACTTGAGGCTGCTGGACTAAAGGAAGCGACTGTTTTAATTGTTGAGCAATGAAAGCTTTTGCTTTTTATTTTGAATCAAGTAAAAAACAACTCAACAATGTACACATTCGATTATAAGATCCCAGAAATTTTCACTTTACCTTATTTCTCTAAAATTTAGACTCTTTCCTCTCTTGGGTTTTACTCAGCAAGTATAGAAAACAAAGGCAATTTTTCCACTTTTAATATATCCAAAATGGAGAAGGGGAGACAGAACACTCGAACGAAAGTGTACTGACAATGAAAAAATCAATGACAATGAGAAGTGCTGCAACAGAATACAATGGTATGACGCCCCCAGAGTCCATTTCATGAGGAACAACTGAGAAACAACTTGAAAACTTTGAATGCAAGTACTAGCGGATTATTTTCCAGGAGGAAAGAACCTACTAAGTTCACAATCAACGCACCACGAATTCAAGATCTCCAAAAAAACATTATAGCTCTACCCGATTTCCTCCATATTCAGCTCAGCCCGATTGACGTATTTTGTACTCCCGATGGCTTTTGAAATAAATCAGTGGGCAGAGTTGAATAAATGAGCATTCATTGCTCTTCCCCTAGCAAGCGTTCCAGCTATGCCTCTTCTTCATGGGGATGACTTTGCTGTATTGGGGATGACTCTCTTGGAAAATATTTTGTGGAATGCACTTTAAATCAAATGAATTTGACAATAATGCAATGAATGGTATGAAAATTAATTCTAACAGAAAAAAAGCATAAAAACAGCCATGCGGAAGCACAATATATTTAAGAATTAGTGGATGAGGTTGATTATGATGAAAATTATCACACAGTATAAAAGGGAGCAGTCAAGACTTTGATTGTTCAAGAGCTTAGAAATAATTCTCAATGTTTTGCCACCTCCAAATCATTAAAAATTATTTGTAAGTGTTTAAGATGGCGTAATTTATTATGTGATATTTTTATATACGAAAAGAATTATGGCTGAATCATGCTCGATATTTGTAAGCGTTTTACAAACTGTTTTCGCTCAAATTATTGGGAATAAAGACTTAAAGAAATAAAAATGGATACACTGTCAGTCAGAAAGTCTTCAACGAGTATCTAAAGGAATAGGGCAAAAGCGAACCTAAAAACTTATTTGTGTCAAAGCATGGAAAACTTTGTGGCTTCCGTACAAAATAGCTTGAAAGCTTCTGCACTTATAATTGTATGAAAAAACAATTATTGAATTCGGCTTTCGCATGTTATCAAGAATTACTTTATGGAAAATATGTCGTATCGATTGGCCTTTGGACGTTTGATAAAAAACCTAGACAGTTCTTTTATAAATCAAACTGCTCCGTTCTTAACTGATCTGAGGATTGGCTTGTGGCATTTTTTAGTCAGAGAGTAGAGACGAGAGTTCTGTAAGAGCTGTTTGTTAGTGAGATCGTAGACATAAAACGAAGGAATAAAACATTGGAATAAGAAAATTAACAAATTATTCCTTAAACGTTCATAGCTGATGGCTGATAAAGAGTAAAAAAATTTTCTTAAAAAAGGACAATTTAGTTACAGCATTTTTGCTTGTTGGCTTTATATACATCTCAAGTGATCGACCTTCTGACAGTATTCAAATGCTTCCAAACACGCACGTTGTCATGATTGAGTCTTTACAAAAATATCAGTAAATAAATGCAAAGTATAAACGTTTGAATTTAAATTTTCCGAGTATTTTTCGATTAACATATGGATTATGAATGACCAATTCGTGAGAGAAGATGTGAAAAGATTTGCAAGACTGAATTAGCTCCTTTATTGACAAACTAAATTAAGTACAAAAGAAATTTGCTTTTACTTTTGAAAGGAAAATAAATGATTTTAAGGGTAAGTAAAATGTCGGTCAACGTAAACCAATAGCTGAGCCATATGCATCTCTCCAGCGGTCACTTGATGTGTACGTTCCACATCCTCCAAAAAGCAATTCGGTCAAGAAAATGAAGTTATTCGGCAGCTGACGATGTCCATACGAAGGAACACCAGAATTACGCCAGTCTACAGCGACACCTTGTGATTCATAAATCAAATTCTTTCCATGAAAAGAACTGATTTTCATTTCTTTATGATTTGGATAAAAGACGAAATAGGAGTTTGGATTGCCGTCACAGTTGACATAGGTAACCTTTTTTCCGTTTGATCTATAAATATATGATTTTCTCTACTTCAAAATATGACATAAATTTATGTTATTACTGGGATCTGTTATATGTTATTGCCTTTATAGTTCTACAAATATTTTGGTAATATATTAAAGGTAACTCTTTTTTCCATTTGATCTGCAATTAAAAAAAAGCAGTGTTATGCAATCTAAAGTGAATGATGCGAATTTGAGCTTTCCCGACAAGTCTGCGATACAACTTTGCGTCATCGATATCCAACGCCTCTTTTCATTGCCTCAAGTGAATAAATCTGATTAATATCATGTAGCATCAATTTGCGTTGAATGGTGATCAAAGAAGTCGTTTCATGATGAAAGACAAACAGAAACAATTTTCGAGCAATTTTCCGTGAGTATTTAGGATGATTGTCTTATAAAGAGTTTTGTATAGACCCACCCTCAAAACGCTAAAGAAACAAAAAGTGCAAAATGAAAGTGACTTTAATATAGTGCGCTTGCAGCATTGAACTAAAATACGTGGAACGCTACCTGTAATACAAAATCCTAATAATTTTTCGAAGCCAAATTTTACATCCAGACACGCAAGATTACACCCAGACACGCGTGTGCAATCAATCAATTTTCACTCCGCCAGAGAATCTAGAAACACTAAGCACGCGTGTCAGTGTGTAAGATTTGGCTACAATTATTTGTTTCGGGTAGCGTTCATTTTAGTTTATTGGTTTACGCATGCTGCTGTGACGTCCCCTAAATTTATCCGGCGCCATCTTGGAGGACTGAATGAGTGCTTAATTGTAATAGTAGATACTAGATAGTATTTGTAATTGAATATCTTTGCCGATTAGCACAAAATGCCGACTTTTTGCCTAGTTTTGAACTGCAGTAATAAAAATTTAAAACGTAAGGATATTTCTTTTTTCGAGTGCTTAAAATCATCACAAATCAAGGGGAAGAAATGGAAATATTAACATCGGAACGTGGACGAAAATGGTTGTAGGCGATAAGTAGAGAAGACTTAACCCATAAGACTTAGAATATTCAAATAAATATTCTGTGCGCGTTCGAGTACATAAGTTTCTGTCCAGTCGAATGTGTTGTTGTTTCAGTGGGTATGTTCTGCCGGTAGTGAGTTCGGATCTCGTCGTTTTATGGCGTTTTTGTGTTCTGTGAGTCTTGTTTCGATTTTCTTGGATGTTTGTCCTATGTATTGTTTTGAGCAGTCTTTACATGGTATCATGTAGATCGCGTCAGTTGTATCATGAATTGTTGTTTTGTCTTTATGTTTGGTGAAACATGATTTGAGTTTTTGTGTAGGTTTGTGGGCGACGTAAATATTAAATGGCAGTCATATCTGATGTTCCGTTTATGTATGGTAATGTGACGATTTTTACTGTTTTGTCCGGTTTCTTGTTGCTTTTGTCGGTTTGTGTTTTGTTTTGTTTTTGTTTATAGTTTTGTTTATGAAGTTTCTAGGGTAATTGTTTTTAATAAATGTGGAGTATAAGTAGTTGCGTTCTGTTTTCTTGGCTTCTTCGGTGTTACAATGAGTGTTTATCCTGTTAAAAAGTGTTCGAATGCAGCTTATTTTGTGTTGTGTTGGGTGATTGCTGTTAAAATCAAGTATTTGGTCTGTGTGGGTGGTTTTGCAGTATACTTGTGTGTTTAGTGTACCGTCATCTTTTCTGGTTAGTAGGATGTCAAGGAAAGTAAGTTGTTTTCGTGCTCTTCGTCTTTAGTGAAGGTTATGCTCTTTGTGGTATTGTTTGTGGTGTGTAGGATTTGTTCAGTTGTCTTTCTTGACTATGGCAAAGATGTCGTCGACATATCTTTTCTATTGTCTGATGTTTGTATTGTTTGTGACTGATTGTGTTTCGAGGTGTTGCATGACGGCTTCTGCGAGGAAGGTGGATAGTGGTGACCCCATTGGTGTGCCTGAAATTTGTCTGTAGTATGTGTTTTGGAAGGAGAATTCAGTGGAGAGGCAAAGGTTGAGTAAGTCTAGGATGTCATTTTTGTCTAGTTGTATTGTAGCTTGCCAAGTTTTGTCGTTTGCTCGTAGTTCGTTTGTAATTTGTTTGGCTATGTCTAGTGGTATGGATGTGAAGAGTGATGTCACATCGTAGGATATCATGATTTCGTCCGGTCGTAGTTTAATGTTTTCAATATTGGCGAGGAAAGTGGTGGCATTTCTGATGGTGTGAGGTGAATTTTTGACTAATGGATAGACAATGTTACAAAGATATTTTGAAAGTTCATACGTAGGTGATCCTGGAAGCGATACGATAAGTCGAAGTGGGTTGTTTTCTTTGTAAATTTTTGGTAGTCCATAGAATTTGGCGGTGGATGCGTCATTGGGTCGGATTCTTCTGTAATCGTTTTCGGTCAGTTTCTTTTTGTCTTTTAGTTGTTTCAGTTTCTGGTTTATACGGTTGGTGGTCGTTTTGCTGGGGTCTGCGGATAGAGGTTCGTAGGTGGTGGTGTCTTGTATGAGGGTTTTGGCTTTGTGGATGTATTCTGATCTGTCCATGATAACTGTTTTGCGTCCTTTGTCAGCTCGTAATATGATTATTTGGTCGTCGTTTTGTAGGTTTTTAATTGCTCGTAGTTCTTCGTTGTTTAGATGAAGTTTCGTGGTGTCGTTTTGTTCTATAAATGGATGTTGCTTTTTTTGATGGCTTCATTAATGGATTTGGCGTCTGATTGTGTAGTGTATCTTGTTACGATTTTTCGATGTTCTTGTAGTTTATGTCGGTAGATTCGTAAGCGGTTGTGGGCATCTCATATGAGTACGTTTAACACACGCCGGCCGTTTCATAAACAAAACTATAAACAAAATACAAAACAAAACACTAACCGACAAAAGCAACAAGAAATCGGACGAAACGGTAAAAATCGTCACATTACCATACATAAACGGAACAACAGAAATGACTGCCATTTAATATTAACGTCGCCCACAAACCTACACAAAAAACTCAAATCATGTTTTACCAAACATAAAGACAGAACAAACAATTCATGATACAACTGACGCGATCTACATGATACCATGTAAAGACTGCTCAAAACATTACATAGGACAAACATCAAAGAAAATCGAAACAAGACGCTCTAAACGTCTAAAAATTAAAAACAGTTGTAAATAACTTCCTGTATAATTCTGATCAAGACTCGAAGCACCGAGTCGAAAGCTCAATAAAATCATTTTATACAATCCGGAGAAACTTTTATTTTGTATACATAATATAGTCGATATTTATGAATATGTATATTACAAAACGGAACATACACTACCTGAAACCTTGAGTAACTCGCGCCCATGCCACATTTTTTGGTAACACACCAAGAAAAAGATAATCGCGCATGTAATAATTTTGAGGCTGTGTATATCCATTATAATTATGCATCAAGACGGCGAGATTATGTTGAGTAAACCGTGGAAGTTGTGTGATAAGTGTAAATGGTTGAAGACCATCTTTCTTTTGGATACGAAGCAAGACTTGTGTTTTGTTCTTGAAAACTTGATTGATGAGCTGGGGTAGTTTGCCTTTGATCACAGCCTCGCGTGGGATGAACGTAAATCCACCGCCTTCCTTTGCCATTTCACAGTATACCGTAACGACAGTGTCATCAACCACAATGCGGTAAAGACCACTCAACGATTCCGGTGAGCTTTGCTTGATTTCCATACATGACTTTGGGTAAGATGCAACGTACGTGTCTGGATAAACAGCAATCTGAATAGGCAAAGCATGAAAAGGGTAAATGGGGAAAATTTTCGCGTGTCCACCAACGGTTCAAGGAATCAAATCTTTCCAACCGCAGGGTTAAAATCGCATATCTATTAATTTTGCCAAATTTATAAACATTTGCTGTACAAATCAGTAAACGACATGTAAGTTTACAAAGTCAACTTAGATCTAAAGATGAAGTAAAATACTCACCGTGTTTAAACCAGAAATACTAAAAAAAGATGCAAGCGATTACAATGAAGTTTTTCATTGTGAAGAAAGATGATAAAATATTTCAAATGGTTGTGCGATTACTTTCTCACTTCTCCCTGTCCGTTATTCTTCCTTCAGAGCCTGTTTAAATGACCTGTGTTTCTGACACCACAGTATATGCAACAAACAATAGGGCCAAATTACAGAAGGGCAAATGACGCTGGTGTATAGTTACCACGGTCAGTCAAGTGCCCTGTTTGACCAATAAGAGCACTGGTGAACTGATCAAGTAGCGATGAAATAAAAAAAACGACACAATTCAACCCAAGACATTTTATAAATTCAAAGTGAACGAATCTCATATCAATAAAGATAGTACTAAAAAGACATAATATAATCTGCTTACTGCCATGGAAGAATGGGATTCCTCGTACTTTAAAAAAAGGACGTGATGTGTTGTCTCTCGATGTTAAAATTACAAAATTTCAAAATTTTCTTTTTCAGACTAGCTGGGTTTCATTTATGTTGGACTTACAATAATTTATCTACAAGGGAATTTTCTTTTTGTGTTGTGTTTGTATGATACAAGTAACAGGTTTCACAGAAAGACTTAGACTGTTAATTTTGTGGTGGCAACTGACACGACGAGTCGTATTTCATGTGTTTTTAAAAGGATTAATTTGCATTATTGCATATCCAACGAAAATTGTTGCATTGATCGCTGGATTTCACCTAAAAGTGTAATAGTTTATGTTATCTGCTTTTTAGCTGATTTGACTCTTATCAAAGCGCAAGTTATGCTTCTACATCAGTTTCCAGACCTAAAAACAACGTATAAACTTAGACTTACAAAATATAGCCCTTGAAGTGATGTCAGATGCGCCAATTATCACTTGATCTATCACATTAAAGAATATCAGGGATAGGATCTTTGAAATTTGAATGAAAAGTAGTTTTTGATTTTGAAGGAAGTGAAAATTAGTCGGAATGTTAATGTCAGGCATAAGCGTTTGATGATATTTGTAAGTCTGCGTTGTGTGTGTGTCGTGAATGATGTCCGATGTACGGTAGTAATCGTTGAAATCATTGTATCTCACATATTGGTTGAGACATCATGCAACGCAAATGCTTGGGTTTTCTTTGTATTTATTGAGCACTATATTTCGCGGGGGATGGTATCGTCTTGCATTGTTAACATATATGGGGATGATGAACTCACACATCTCCTCCTTGATAAGAGCATAAGTCAAATCTAGCCGTGGAATCTCGTGTGGCCGAGCAGCTGAAGTTAAAGCCAGTAACACTGTAAGCTTTATGGTAAGATCTTTCAACGAAAGGTTGTTTAAAGGCGCTAGGTTTTCAAAATATGACAAAACGTATCATACCGCCCAGACTGAGCACAGCTTTGGCTGCGGAGGTCTCAACTCAAAAAATACCTTTCATGAATCTTGTCATATTGGTAGGTTTCCAAGCTGTTTACCCTCGATTGGATCATGTAATTGAGAAATGCACCAACTTGACCATGGCCACTCGTATCTTTTGCGTAGATCCTCGCCATGATGCCCTGAGAAATTTGCACACCTCTCCTGGAATTCCCGCTGTTTCGAGACAATTCCTGAAATCAGCCATACCGTCAACTGGAGACTTTTTGAAAGTGGGTTCAACTGTTCCGGTGCAAATGGAAGTGAAATTGGTAATGGTAACCTTACTGAAAATTTTACTGGCATTTCCAGTATCATTGGAAAACAGGGTTGGCTCTGCCAGTTTGGTCCAATTAGTAGTCCTGTTGCTTTGTCGCGTTTCCTTTTCGGTAAAATCCTTGAGATCAAAACAGTTAGTGAATGAATGAAGACTTTTCACTTTTTCCAAACTACGGAGAAAGCGCCCTTTGCTATTGCACCAGGATTGGGGTAACGTGCTATGTAATTTCGTACTTGATTATTCAGTCGGGAAGCGAATAAATCCACTTGCGGTGTGTAATATCAAAAATCCCAAATTCCTCAACAACGTTCGTACCCAGATGAATATCTCGACAATTTTCTGTTGACTCTGGTGCATTATCAGAATGTCTTCCAAGTAAAGTACTATCTTGATTCCTGAGGAGCGCAATACCGCTATCACCGCTATTATCAAATCTTGTGAAGGCGCAGGGGGCGGAGGCCAGCCGAAATGGAAGGCACTGAAAGTCGTAAGTCTTGACTTGATACTCCAGTCTTAAGTATTTCTTAATGTGCTACATGTATGGGAATCATGAAGTATGCATCTTGTAAATCCAACATTATCATATAATCTTTTGATGCAAGAAGACATCGAACCATGTCTAATCCTTCCAGTTTGAATTTCTCCACGAGAGCACAATGATTCTGAGAATTCAAGTTGAAAAAAGTCGGTTTTTTATACCTTGTTTCACAATTAAGAGTGTCCACGTGTACTGATCCTTGAATTTGTCGACCTCCTTCAGAGCTTCTTTTTGCTGTAGTTCTTCAATGGCTGTCTCTATTGCCTTTGTTTGTTCTTCTGAACTCCCTTTTGTTACCCTTTGTTCCTACTGACGTGGTACGCACTGGTTTCTTATAATAAGAAAACAACAAAATTGTCTATATATGCTTCTTGTAAGGGTAACACTTGAGGCTGCTGGACTAAAGGAAGCGACTGTTTTAATTGTTGAGCAATGAAAGCTTTTGCTTTCTATTTTGAATCAAGTAAAAAACAACTCAACAACGTACACATTCGATTATAAGATCCCAGAAATTTTCACTTTACCTTATTTCTCTAAAATTTAGACTCTTTCCTCTCTTGGGTTTTACTCAGCAAGTATAGAAAACAAAGGTAATTGTTCCACTTTTAATATATCCAAAATGGAGAAGGGGAGACAGAACACTCGAACGAAAGTGTACTGACAATGAAAAAATCAATGACAATGAGAAGTGCTGCAACAGAATACAATGGTATGACGCCCCCAGAGTCCATTTCATGAGGAACAACTGAGGAACAACTTGAAAACTTTGAATGCAAGTACTAGCGGATTATTTTTCAGGATGAAAGAACCTACTAAGTTTACAATCAACGCACCACGAATTCAAGATCTCAAAAACACATTATAGCTCTACCCCATTTCCTCCGTATTCAGCTCAGCCCGATTGACGTATTTTGTACTCCCGATGACTTTTGAAATAAATCAGTGGGAAGAGTTGAATAAATGAGCATTCATTCCTCCTCCCCAGCAAGCGTTCAAGCTATGCCTCTTCTTCATGGGGATGACTTTGCTGTAATGGAGATGACTCTCTTAGAAAATATTCTGTGGAATGCACTTTAAATCAAATGAATTTAATAATAATGCAATGAATGGTATTAAAAGTAATTCTAACAGAAAAAAAGCACTCAAAAAGCCATGCGGAAGCACAATATATTTAAGAATTATTGGATGAGGTTGATTATGATCAAAATAGCTTCGTTTTTAACCGATCTGAGGATTGGTTTGTGACACTTTTTAGTCAGAGAGTTGAGACGAGAGTTCTGTAAGAGCTGTTTGTTAGTGAGATCGTAGACATAAAACGAAGGAATAAAACATTGAAATAAGAAAATTAACAAATTATTCCTTAAACGTTCATAGCTGATGGCTGATAAAGAGTAAAATATTTTTCTTAAAAAAGGACAATTTAGTTACAGCATTTTTGCTTGTTGGCTTTATATACATCTCAAGTGATCGACATTCTCACAATATTTAAATGCTTCCAAACACGCACGTTGTCATGATTGAGTCTTTACAAAAATATCAGTAAATAAATGCAAAGTATAAACATTTGAATTTAAATTTTCCGAGTATTTTTCGATTAACATATGGATTATGAATGACCAATTCGTGAGAGAAGATGTGAAAAGATTTGCAAGACTGAATTAGCTCCTTTATTGACAAACTAAATTAAGTACAAAAGAAATTTGCTTTTACTTTTGAAAGGAAAATAAATGATTTTAAGGGTAAGTAAAATGTCGGTCAACATAAACCAATAGCTGAGCCATATGCATCTTTCCAGCGGTCACTTGATGTGTACGTTCCACATCCTCCAAAATGCAATTCGGTCAAGAAAATGAAGTTATTCGGCAGCTGACGATGTCCATACGAAGGAGCATCAGAATTACGCCAGTCTACAGCGATGCCCTGTGATTAATAAATCAAACTGTTTCCATGATGCGAACTGATTTCCATTTCTTTATGATTTGGATAAAATACAAAGTAGGAGTTTGGATTAGTGCCGCAGATGCTATAGCAAAGATTTTACAGGATGTATAGATAAAAGACGAAAAAGGAGTTTGGATTGCCGTCACAGTTGACAAAGGTAACCTTTTTTCCGTTTGATCTATAAATATATGATTTTCTCTACTTCAAAATATGACATTAATTTATGTTATCACTGGAATTTGTTATATGTTATTGCCTTTGTATTTCCAAAACTATTTTGACTGTCTTTTTTTTATTTATTTTGACTGTCTTTTTTTTATTTATTTTGACTGTCTTTTTTTTACTTATTTTTACTGTTTTTTTAATTTATTTTGACTGTCTTTTTTACATATTTAAGCATGGCAGAGATTAGGAAATCGTTTGAATAGTGGCATCATGAACAATAAATACTAATAGAATATCAATGAATCAGTTTACTAGAGCAATTGATTCAAAACATAAAAGTTACGTGACACAATAACTACTTCGAACGACTATTAAATACGCTAAAATATTAGCAAGTTAAGAAAACTAACCTCTCCCCCCACGACACACTACCCCGGACTGGCTTTCGTATGCTTATGCTAACCCGAATGTCAAATTCCAATGTAATTAAATTTTAATTTATTATGTTACATAAGTTACAATTGAATTTCCTCTACGGATGACAAATACCTCACCTGAAACCTTGAACACCTTTTTTACTGTGATCTTGAGGCTTTTGTTTTGCAATAATATTAGGTAAAACTCCAAGAAAAAGGTAATCGTCCAGGTTATGATTTCGAGGCTGCGTATATCCTCTATGCTCATGCATTAAGACGGCGAGATTATGTTTCGAATGTGTAAATGGTTGAAGACCATTGTTCTTCTGGATACGAAGCAAGACTTGTGTTTTGTTCTTGAACACTTGATTGATGAGCTGGGGTAGTTTGCCTTTAATCACAGCCTCGCGTGGATTGAATGTAAATCCACCGCCTTCCTTTACCATTTCACAGTATACCGTAATGAGGGTGTCATCAACCGAAATGTCGTAAAGACCACTCAATGATTCCGGTGAGCTTTGCTTGATTTCAATACATAATTTTGAGTAAGATGCAACGTACGTGTCTGGATAAACAGCAATCTGTATAGGCAAGAAATTTTAACGAGAAAAACATTTGTGTGTTCACTGACTACTCATGGAATCATATGTCTGAAGCACATGATAAAACTCACGTGTTTATGATTTACAAACACTTTTAATAAAGAAAGCTAAGCAGGTTTTTAGGCTTGGACTATATAAATGAAAGAAATTATAATACTCGCCGTAATCACACCAGAGATACCAAGAAAGATGCAAGAATCTGCAATAAGGCTTTTCATTCTAATGAAATATCAATTATCATTTAGTTATTCAAGCTACGGTGAAATTATGGTATGAGCTGGCCTAAATAGCCACTTACACATGTATATATGGTTCTTCCATAGGCGATTGCACGCCAATCAATTGTTTGAAATGCATGCACATAGTTGTAGTGTAGAGCAGTGGATATCGTCAATTTCCTTAAACCCGCCACCATATTACGTAATGAATTTTATGATCAACTGCTAATTAACATTACGTTATATCGGTATCTTATAAGTGAGGGGAGATATTTGGGTATTGTACTTTAAGTTATCAATACCTTCTTGTAGTTTCTTAAATATTCTGCTCCCATGCAATAAAAGCAATTTAAAACATCGCAGTGCCAGCAGTGGCGGCGGAAGATGCTTTGCATTAAGGGGGAATGTCTCGGAGGGGCGTGGCATTTTGACCTTTGTAGTTGTCGTTGTTGAACTCACAAATAATATCACTTTTTTCTTGTCTTGCTTCTGTTCCAGACTAGTGAAAAAGTTTTTGTAGACTGCTCCATATTTCCATTACATTTACCATAGATATATTACATTTACCATAGCACAGGCTTATGCAAACCAAAGACACCTTTGGGAGAAGACGAGAGCAGATCAGTGCATGCCCGAGACATAAGGTCGAAGGTTGCATATGCTCGAGAGTTCTCACAAATCCAGCAAAAAACCTTTGTAATTTGTCTGCCTTAAATTTTCATGACTGGATCACATTGTAAAATATGTGCTACCTAGACAAAATTTCATGACTACTGTGCTTTAAAACAAAACTTTGTCCAACTATGGATAAAACTGATTCAATGGCAGGCACAGCTTAAGTCAAAATAAATTATAGCAGCTCAAGGGTAAATTCAAAATACATTTTAGTTTCAGAATAAGATTATTAGTGATGAATTTCTAAAGAATATATTTTTACCAGTTAAGTTGCCTCTACGGTTTCGAAATGTAAATATAACAAAAAACGAGCTGCTGTGACTTATTTTGACTTACCTTATACCTGCCAAAGCATTGATTCAGAACTGGACGTATATGTGTGTAGTAACGTGTTTTCCTGGCCAAGAATATGCAACCGAAATGTTGAGTATTTTCTTTGTCGCTGGTAAATTATAAGCAATGAAAACAAATATCTTGGCGCTGTTTGTGAAAACTGCCAGAATATACGTTCACATACGTAAAAACGCTTAGCAGTGGGTCAAGATTAGTTTCAAAGCACGATCAAAGCACGAACTAGTCAACCGCGAATGTAGATCAAATCCATAAAATTGAGTTTGGTTTGCAGTAATTATTCACAAAAACGCCAAAAGCTTGATTGTGGTTTACGATATATTTAAAATTTCCATTCAACAAGGCGGAATTGCTTCATTCTTTGGCTCATTGAGCAAATTTCAAACAGTTTCATTATGAGTTTAACTTGCAAGTAGGAACGAAAATGGCGGCGCTATCAAATAATTAACTATTGAATCGATATCCACAAAAAATCAAAATATTTCCTAAACATACTAACAAACTTGTTGTAATCGCCAAACAAACACTAGTTAAAATTTCAAAATTAGGAACGAAAATGGCGCAAATTGATCATATGACCGATATTGCCCAATCGACGTTTGCAAACCAGAGAACAATACATGTCTCAACTCTCCCAATAGAGGGCTCCGCCAATCGAGGGCTCTGCGATGGCCCCAGCAGTGAACTCCATAAATAACTGGAACGATAACTTCGCTGCCATCTTTGAATAAGAACCTGTAGGTAAAACTCTAGAATTAAATTTATATGAAGTGGAGAATATAACACCAACCTCCAAATCTGTTTTCAGCCACCAAAAAGTTTTGTCGTTTCTTACCAGTTTCTTATTCTTTCTTCTGCGAGGACGACTGTTTGAATGAAATGTATTGGTGACAGGTCGTATTTATCTGAGTTTTTGAGAGGATATGTTCGCGTTTCCCATAAACATCATACAATGACGTTTTCTGCTGATTTCGCAAGTAATTTACAATGTTGTTTATGTTTTAAAAGTTGTTTATGAGCGACATGTTATGCCTGTGAAGATGGTTTCGCCACAGAATATCAACACGCATTACAATTAGTTTCCATGTTTTTTTGTACAATTCTTATAACTACGTTAAATTTCGTATTGCTACTATAACGCAAAAGAAAGCATGATTGTTAAAAATACCCTGGGGCAACTTGTAGATTAATATTCTTAAGATCTTCTGCTATAATGTTGATTTTCACATGCGTGAATAAAGTGTGAACCAGGTAGAGTTAATAGTTAGGACAGCAAAGTTTCAATATTCACATTCGTTTCCAGTTCAATGTAGATAATGATTTTAAGAGATGGAACTTTTCGTGCATCGATACATAATTAAGTGTTACTAATTGTGTTGTTTTGTTTGTTTTAATGTATTTCGGCGTTCGCTACTTAGCTACTTATCTGCAGTAGGTTTTAATCACAAAAAAATTCCTGCGCGTGATCAGTGCCAAATCTGGAAAAGTGAGGGCCAAGTAATTATACAGTTAGAACTTCAGCAAATACTAGGCAGGATACACATGTTTAACAACATATACAACATAATTGATAATAGAAAGCAAACGTTCTTAATATTCAAACACAAAGTGCGCTACCCTAAAGCGTTTTGACATTATTGCATGTTCAAATTAATTTGTTAAATAAATATTTCTATATGATCATATGTAAAGAATGAATTAAGAATTAAAAGATGTTTACTTTGTTTTCACAGGCTTATGCAAACCGAGGAGACCTTTGGGAGAACTCGAGTACAGATCAATGCAAGCCTGATCGAGGGTGTGCACCCTTATTGTACATGCTCGAGAGTACTCAAAAACGTCTCCGAAGTTAGCATATAAGCCAATGCAAACACAAAAATTTTAATTCTTTTATAAAATAACAACAATAAAAACAGACAAATTCAATTCAAACGTGTTGATATTCCCAAATACAGCTATTGACCAATCACCGTACGTATTTAATTTTATAATATTCAAACCATGTTCAGATAATATCTGGTCTGAAGCTAGACTGAATGATTTACATTTACAGGACAAAAATTACACACTACTAGAACTGAAGTGAACGAGTTTCACTATTTTAATAATTAAGAAACATTTGTTCTTGCATGGCTTTTAATTCCATTTAATAAAGTTTAATGACAAACAAAGAGTTAAGTTAATTTTTTCGTGCAAAATGCAAGTCTATTGTAAACACAATACGGGGTTATTTGATTTCGGCTGTGAATGCTTAAATTTGATCGCGTCGGTCAGATGCAAGCACAGCCAAACTCTGTGGACATACATTCAAAATGAAATGTTGCCGCTCAATGGCCGGTAAACTTCACAGTGACAAATTGAAAATACATTAATAACAATAGGAAAAAGGGCTTAGTTTTTCCTCAACAAGCAGCATTGAGTATCGGACGAAATAAATCAATGAAGCCCGTTTTTGTATGTATCATACTCTTCTAAATAACTTTGAGGTTATACAGTTGGTAAAACTTTATTTTTAAGAAATTCATAACCAACAGTTCGGTGCTAAAACATTCATAATATAACTACAAAATTAATGATTTATTTTGTTTAACGCTTGATTTTGACAGCTAGCCACGCAATGTTTCTCTTTTGATTTCAATTTTGCTGTCCAGAAGCTTTATAACCCATATGAGTTTTATAATTATTAAAACGAATGCAGTTATTCATTAATGAAGCTAACTCGTTCTTTACCCTAAAATTGTATTCATTCACAGTAAAGACGATGAATGGAATTAATTTCTACAAGGAAAAATACTTTGATGGAAAAGTTTCTCTGTGGTATCGATAAAGTTTGGGCTGGCATTTGCTCAAACAGAGGAATTTAAAGCGACAATGGTATAAGAGGTAGATGTCGAGTTCAATATTACCTAACTTCGATTAATATAAAGATTTGTTGTGATGATTGATTCTACACAATTGAAGTTCGTCACATATATTTCAATTTTTGCCAGAGAAGCTTCTTTAATATTCAAGAGGCTTCATAATGCAAGACATATATTTAATTTGCAAAATGCAACAGAACCAAATGAAATAAAATTTTACACAATTTTGTTCCTTCCTCAATGTAATATGGTCACAAAAAACACGGCTTAACTAATTTACCATGACGTAAATGAGATTCTAGTTTTCGGTAATTAGACGTAATCTGTGATATTTGTTAAATATAAGCATTCATGTCCGTTGCATTACGGTGCAAACATTTGCATGTGTTTTGGGATTTTTTCAAAGGCATTTAACGAAGCATGCAACATAAGCGCGAATAAAAGGGAAAGGCTGAAAAACAAATAAAAGAAAATTATCCTTGTAAAGTTCGGGTAAAAAACCCCCCCACAGTGTTTCCGTTTATGCTTCTTTTACTCCTGTATTTCAACCAAGGTTCGACTGTAATAAAAGAATCACTTGTAGAGAATTTCAACTAATGTTGTCTCGATTAGTAGTTGCCAACACTAATCGTATAACAAGCTTCTTTTGCTTCAGCATGCACAATTTTTGGAATGAGCTTAGGAGCTTCGAAATGACTTTTCAAACTTTTGAAACGTGCTATTTGAAACAAATTGTGAAAATCAATTTTTCACAAGGTACAACTAGCAAGCAGTAAACTTGAAATCAAAACTAGCTACGTTTGTGCTTTTAAAAATTTCACTAATCGCTATTTTAAAACGCGCAGTGATATTTAGGTAATTGAATTCAACACTCTAAACCTTCCGTGATCTTGCTTAATCTGCTATAATCTATTTTAATAACCAAGTTAATAAATCCCACCTCATGTTTGGACAATCTAACATTCACCTTGTGAGCCGACCTGAAAGGCAAATAACGACTTCATCGATTCCAGTTATTCGCCAGATCGCTAATTGTTTCGAAATTATCATGAATTATCAATTTTGTGATTGCGCATGGTAAATCGCCTTCATGGTAAAGTTTAAAATTTTTATCAAATAATGCTATATCTTCAATTCCAATGAGCATCTTATAAAGATCATTGATCTAAACAAAGAATCTATTCAATGTTTTTCCTGTTTGTTTTAGCTAGATGTAATAAAAAAAGATAGCAACGCGATACCAGATCCTATATAGGACAGGAAAACAAGTATGAAATGCTACAAAGAATATCTTATACCTAATATCTATCTGTCCGTTCATCTGGTGCTGTACCATTTGTAGAGTCTGAAATACAACAGCACATAGCTACACTTGTAAGAATTTAGGACTTAGGAACAGACAACTGCGCTAGAATATTATTGAAATGAAAGGGTTAACGAGAGTGCAAACGCGCCTCGTTTGCTGCAATAATTAAATTGCAAATATCACAAGTTAATCATAATAAATTTTTTAATCAAAAATTTTTTCAAAGTAACCAAAATGTGTGGACTATTATCACAAACTTTTCATTTTATTGGTCGTATAAAGACGCTTCAAAAGGCAAAAAGCCAACACATTTCTTGTCTTCACATAAGCATTTTATTCTCGATCTTGCAAACTTATCCTTCTCCAAACTATAGTTGTCACTGTCGTGTTTAGATAAAGTATCCCCATAGCTAAAAGTCAGCTCCTCTCCACTTTCAATGTCGCGGGCGGCAAAAATACAAAGTTTAGGAACTACAGAATTATGACGAACTGGAAATATAACCGTATTTGCGTTGCAAGAGTGATTAAAGAATCTTGTTACGCTGCCGTAACGCACAGCATCTATATGAGTCTTGAGAACGCTACCCCCTGCAACATGCTCTCTCAAAACCAATAGAAAGTTTGACCTTGCTTTACCCCAAATGTCAGCAGTTCTTCGTTTAGCTTCCTCGTATCGTATCAATTCACCTGTATATTGCGCAATAAAACGATATCGAAGGATGGGAACTAGTGTTCTCACTCCCAATCCTCTGTTGCCAGTGTCAAACACCTCTAGATTGAACGTCAAACCTTGCTGCGAAATACGGTTAATGCAAGACAATCCACAACGGCAATTGCTGTTACATTCGAAGATCGGTAAGCAGATGCCTAAATGAAAATAATTCTTTTAGTCGAGAAGGACAACCAGTTTTCATTGTTCGAGGGGAAAATTGACTTTTGCATGGAGCACATAATTTCATTTAAATTAAGCTTTTGTTAAATGAGTGCAGACTCGATGTGATAGAGTTCTCAAGATTAGTAAAGACAGAGATCTAATGCTTTACACTGTGCTTCACGTACTAACAGTCATCAGGCAAATCAACTGTCGCTAATCAGGCTTAGTCGCCCAAGCTGCATAAAATTATATAAGTCACGACAGATGCGCGTCATTTTGAATCTATGTGCAATAAATTTGAATAAAGGCGTAACGGCATCAGGAGGAGAACTTTTATTTTTATTGAGAGTTTTCTATTCATCCAATATAAAATTGGGCAGTTTTCCTTGAAACACATTCCCAACATGATTTCACTAATGATTTCAATGATCAACGATCACCATTTATCATCAAATATCTCAGAAACATTTAAGAATGCTCCAGTTGATAATTCTCCTATTAAGACAACAACTTTACCACGCCATACATTCTTAGTAGTGCTTACATGAGCCTCTATGTCCCATGAAAACGCAACATTGTTTGAAACGTGATCTTGTGTGTATTTTAGATGTCCTGACATAACAGCCACTGACCTTCAGAGTTCTCCATCTTTAATAAGCGACACTGTTCATCATAATTCTCTTCATATCTCACAATACACTGGCACGTTTTGACAACACACACATCCGGGCAATTACAGCCGGGGTACATAGACCGGTCGAAGTCGACATTAACACCTGGTCCACACGTTACACGTGTAACATACTGCAACATTAGAAAAATCAGGCAAATGAATGATTGCAGAGATTAATTCGCTTTATTAATAGTTTATTATTTTCTCTCCTAACTGCTTCTTGTTTTAGAAGACGAAATCAAAAACACCGTTAACAAAACGGTATAAAACCCGTTTAACACTGTACACTTGTACTTTATTAGTTTTCCTTTTGTTTTCAAACGTGTAGCTAGGAGAGAAAATCATAAGATTCACATGACTCCTATAAAAACTAGCGTTTATTGTTTATGTATAAAAACAGTAAACAGTAAATAAATATGGTCACATGGCTCTTTCACCGCAAGTTTTGTTCCAAAAGTGCAAAATCAAACAACATTTTAGTTGACATATAGACTACATTTAACAGTTGAGTGTGCAGCTATAGATAGACGGGTATGACGTCATTTGTGATAAGAACTAAAAAAGTGACCACGAGCCGCCGAGGCGAAAGGTCGCTTTTTGTTCTTATCACAAATGACGTCTTAATCGTGTAAACGCAGTCAAATGCTTTTGTCACTTTTTATTATGTTTCTGTGTACATAACTTACGGGCAATTCACTGAATCAAAAGCTTTTCTATTATTTTGATATTCACATTAAAATTAACAACTAAATTTCAAATGTAGCGATCGCTGTCTGTTCGTAAACAAGCCAAAAATATAAAGCCATACTACATTTGCTGGTATTTGGAACAAAAATAGTAGACGCTAAGTACTTTTACTTCTACTAATTTCTTTTGAAAGTGAATTGGCTTTCAAAAGAAATGAGCCGGGCATAACTGAATATATGACTATCGCCCCCCCTCCCTATCTCCCCAATTAACGTTCTAGTTTCGCCTTTGCCAACAACTTCAACACCCAAAGCATTATTTTCCATCACCTTTAGCTACACAGTAAAAAGAAAAGGGCCATTTTAGCCCCATGAGGTCGTTTTGGCTTTTGAACTTGCTAGCCGTATTGGCTAACAATGAGGGCTAAAACAGAAAATAAAGCCGTTTTGGCTCCATGACGGTTGTTTTTGCTCTACAATTGGTGCTAAAATATAAATATACGGGCCAATTTGGCCCCATGAGGTCGTTTTGGCTTTTGAAACTGCTAGCCATATTGGCTAACAATGAGAGCTAAAACAGACAAGAGGGGACGTTTTGGCTCCATGAGGGTTGTTTTTGCTCTCCAACTGGTGCCAAATTGGTTCGAGAGCAACTTGATGACTGCATCGAATCGGGTGACTCAATACAAATATGGCGGCCAACTATTCATGATGCACGCGCGTTTCGATTGCTGTTTTCACTATGATAACGGTCGTAGATGACTATGATATTGCAGGAAAAATAGTATTCCATTATCATTCAAAGTATAGAGTTTTTGAAGACGACCATTTGCTTTGTTTTGAAGACGACCTAATGGTTTTGAAAGTGATTCAATTGTCGTAGGAGTGAACGGCAGAAAACAAATTATGTCAGGTATTGTCTAGTATGAATGTATTTTTTGCATTTTAGCAGTTTTAATTGCTTTTGAACAAACTAAATCACATATTATGACAAAGATCTGATATCTTAGTTCTCAAAAAATTTCTGTAAGATTTTTTGTTGTCCCATTTGAGATTATTTAGCTGTTTTTTTTTTCAATATAAAGAGTTAGTGAACTTAGAAGTATCACATAAATTCAAGATGTACTTAGCTATATATTTCCTAAATGAACAACAAAATATTTATTTCTTTTATATATATGCCTTGTTATCTAAGTCTTTACTCATGAATCTTGTTTGCTGTAACTCAGCTTCAATACTGAATATTTCCCCTATACTAATTCTGAACAAAGAAAAACACATTTTTACATATGCTTCAATCATTCTGGTCAACAAAAAGCCTATTTTTACTTGAAAATACTTCAAAGTGTAAACCTGCAACTCCAGTTATCATATTTCTCACATTTACAAGAAAATATGCCTTAGGGAACCGTAAGAAATGCACTGTTTTCATTAAAAATGGAATTTGTTCTTTGCTTTATGATGAAGTAATAGCACTTTTGAGCAATTTGATAGGCAATACTTTACAATGTGATGATATTTGCTAAGTACAATACATTAACAGCAGCTCATTTATTATACAGAATAGCAAGAATATTATGCTTAAGTGGTTAGTTAAAGTTGAAGGCTTACTAAAGTTATTTAGGTTTAAGTCCTTTTAGAGGTGAGCTGATGAATGATCAGCTTTTGTTTAAGAGTTGGTCTCTCAACAGCCATTTCTTTAGCCATTTTACAAATTTGAAAACCACAATTGTATTTCTAAATTTCTGACATTATCTTGCCCCTAAACTAGCCTCCAACCATTTTTTGGGAGGGAGGAAGACAAGTCACAACAAGTGTTTTTGTGTTGTAGTATTCTTATGCTGTTGAAGCTGGGTTGAAAACAGAGTATTTACCCCCCAATCTGATTAACGAGCTCATCAGAGATGTCTGCACAAGTGTGCTAAGATTTACAAGCCATCCCAGCAAAACAGAATGAGTAAAGATTGCACTGATGATTGTCGAATCATATCCATTCTTGAAGGATCCACTGTTTGATGCAAACTCAAAGCCATGGGTAAATAATACTTAAAAGTGTTTATAACGTTTTGTTCAATTATTGTTTTGTTTTGTTTCATTATACATATGTGTCAAATAATAATGAATATTGATCACATGAATGTTAGCTCCTTGTAAGCAATAAGAATTTTTTAAAGCTGACATGTGTGATGTCATTCATTGTATTTTACTGTTAGCAAAAGTAAGAATGTATGATTTCTCAAAAGCGATTTTGCCAGACAAGTTAAAACTTTGTACTTCAGAAAGCATTTTGGGCAGTTACAAAGTTTTAATTTGCCTTGATAAATCTCTTTTAAAGAAACCACACATTCTTTTTGCTAACAGTCATGACAAATACATTTGATGATGTCACACCTCAATTTCCTATAATCATGCCTGCTAAAATCAATAACTGGGTGACTAACTAGCTTTCTCTTATAGGGGTCTATTGAGATGAAAATCTATAACCGATTCAAAAAATTGCAAAGAAAGAGATCTAACACGCCTGTTACCAATGTCTCGCAAACTAAAGGCAAAACAACAAAGAAAAAGAACAGTCACTGTTCTTCAAAAAGATTGGCGATGCTCTGGTTGCTTTTTTGGCCACATACTATATATACAATATACAATACATTGATGGCAAGAATGTCTATAGCTTTCTTGACATGGCATTATTGGGAATTATCCCAGAGAAGTGTCCATCTTCTGTGAAAAGTTTAGTTGGAGTATTATCAAATGTGTTCAACTAATCATGAATGCATATGCGTGGTATATACATTATGTTTTATTTCAATTCTTTTTTGTGAAGTTTAATTTCAGTGACATAAAAATATGTGCATGTAAACTATTTTAATGAAGGTGTTAAGCACTTATGTGCTTACGTATATTATACGAGTCTTGTTTATTGTAAGCTTTCAGTAATTTCATTTCTTTCCAGGGCAAGGGGCTGCTTTTTAGCCATTGCCGATTTGATGAGATAATGGGGCTAAATTGGCTATTCTGTCTAGAGCTGAATTTCACACAAAAGGGCCATTTTAGCCCCCAAAATGGGGCAAAATATTGACCCAGAAGCCCCATAATTTAGAGCCAATTTTGGCCCTTTAAAGAGGGGCCAAATTTGGCCCCTCTTGAAAGGGCCGAATTTGGCCCCTCTTTAAAGGGCCGAATTTGGCACTAAATTATGGGGCCGTTCTGGGGTCAATATTTTGGCCCCATTTTGGGGGCTAAAATGGCCCTTTTCTTTTTACTATAGTAAAAACGGTCCTGTGGAATCCTTTATAGTTATAAAAAGTCGATATGCCGTCTATGAACAAAGACAGTTTGGTCCCACGATACTTGGCCGCTATCTCTCATCCATCTCCATACAGATTCCTTTCCCACTATCAGCATGGGTGCGTTTTTATGAACGAAAGAAATTGCTATTACTAAGCTTGATTGAAACTATGTGCGTTGGAAGAATCATAATTGGGAGGCGGGGGGTTGGGGGGTGGCTTATCTTCATAAATGCATGATATGCAGTATCAGGTAACTTTGAAATTTATTGTTTTGAACGGCTTATAAATTTATAAATTTACATATCATATCTAAACGTGTGTTTGCATGTGGCGTCAAAGCAGCCATCTTGGTTTTACATTAAAGTGCTGATGCCCAACAAAGTATAAAATTAACATAACTTTTTTTCACTACATGCAATTTTCCCCAAACATGGCGACTGATGAAAACACTCTATTGAATAAGTCTCTCGCGTACTTTCTTGGCATCAAAAATGTCAACAAGATTTTGACATAAAGTGCACATAAGATTTCATTTTCGATGCTCAAAATACCTAAGAATAATACCTTCTCCACACGACAACATACATGTTCGAATCCATATTTGTCTCCGAGTTCACTATTAAATTTACTGTTTTGTGCGTGCAAAAACTTTGGCGGTGCACACGTATTTCCGGCTGTCGGCAGAACGCGTAAAGAGCGGATTGAATTTTTTGACCAATAGGAGCGCAGAGCTAGTGAGCACCAGTCAATAATTTAATTATATACAGTAGCAAAGTTGTACAGTGATGTCACAGTGGCAAGGTGTTCTGTGGTATACTCATTGCACTGCATGTCTCAAGGAGTCGTCAAGAGTCAAAACGTTGATAGCATATTAAATTGTTGCGTGAGATCCAATGGCTTTTTCCACAATCCTCGCCAGTCTGTTTATAATTTTAGCGGTACTGGTCGCTAATAGTGACAGTGAGTCTCGGCAATGCTTTACTGACGATTTTGGTATTATATCTCACAAGTATGTATGCAAGAAGTCGTGTTGTGGAATAGTGCATCCGTACTCTTGTCGTGACGATTGTGATGGCGTGCTTTGCGATAGCAACGAAGATTGCGGAGATGGATGTTGCAAGGAAAACATTTGTAAAGATTGTCCGCTTGGCACTAAAATGATCATCATTATAGGAGTTTCAGGTGTTGTGGGATTGATCGTACTCATCGGTCTCATCGTCTGCTGTTGTCGTTCGTGTCAAAGACAACCACAAGTCGTTGTGGGACGTTGGAATCACTTACACAACCCTAATCAGCTGAATACGATGCCAAATCCTGGAATAACCGTGGTTAATTCGTCGTCCATGAACGCCAACGTCTACATCCCACGATGAAACGATGATCCGGTCAAGTCAAATCAAACGATCGATTTTATAAAATGATAGAATTTTTCTCATGAGGAATTTTGGTATATAGTAAAGTAGATTTTTATTGTATCAGCTTGGTTGGGAAACAACAACAATTACAAAAATACAGGTTTTGAAAAATGGCGTTTATTCATTCCATATTTAAAAGTGAAATATTAGCAGAGTCAGCGCAACGAACTCTCTGAAAATAGAATTTATTGACTAGACTAGACATGAGTGCTTAAAAATGCGGAGCGAAAACTCAAAAAAGTTGAACATATATGATATTGAAACCTGTAACTAAGGGAAGTGTGCCTCGAGAAAAATTGCTTTCATTTTTAAAACCTCGTCAAGACTATAACAAACCCAACGTACCAAGCATCAAATTATATAAGCATGGGTGAAACAGACATCAAATTATAAGCATCCTGACAAAACGAGATCCACCAGTTAAATCTTTAACAGCAAAAGCTTCCATTTAACTCGCTTCTTTTTATGATATACTATAATTTTCGTAATTGGGTTGACCGTTCGTGTCCTTAATTTACATGCGCAGACAGCGCTAATTCCAAGAAAAACATTTTCCGCGTCGTGGTTTCAAATGTTTAATGCTTCAGGTCGTATTTCAAATTATGTCTCGCAATATTAGTAAGCGACATGTATGTGGGTTGATCCTTTTGAGCAAAACACCATGAATGAATGAATGAATGAAAATCTTTATTTTGACACGCTGGCCTTGTCAACTGGGGTTGATTTCCACAAGGGGCGTGCTTTTGTTCAAAAACAATTACAAAATTTACTAAGAAATAAATTATCTACAGAAGAGAAGTTTAAATATTTACAAAGTTTAGTTTATTCCATCAGTTACATGTTAAACTAAATCATAAAATGCAAGTAGCAATTTTCTTTTGCAAAAGTGACACGCTTTTGCTATTTCTGATTTCTGCTGGAATTGAATTCCAAACAGAAGCCCCATCATACGCAAAGCTTTTCTTCAAGGAGCTAGTACTAGGCATAGGAACATTTAGACAACTTGTAATATTGCGTAGATTGTAATCAGTGATGTCTTTTTTATAGGTAAACAATCTAGTAAGTGAATTTGGTCCAGCATTTTTTAATAATTTAAACATCAGCTTTGCTTTAGCTTTTTTTCTAAGTATTTCAAGAGGTTCCCACTTCAATTCTTGTAATGCGTTACAATAATCGACATCAATGCCCATGCTTATGATAATTTTTGCAGCTCTATTTTGAAGTTTTTGTAGTCTTTTGGACTGAGTTTCCCCCAATACACCCCAAACTTCACAGCAATATGTGAAGTAAGGATGTACCAGGGCATTATAAATAGAGATAAGTGTTTGTTTATCTGTGTATTGCTTTAATTTTCTAAGGGCGGAGATACCGGCTGCTACTTTTTTGCAAATTTTATCAGTGTTACTCCTCCAAGATAAGTGTTGGTCAATTATTAAACCCAAACTTTCGTACTCATAAATTCTATTTATAACGTAATTGCCAATTGCAATATGCAAATTAGAAGTAAAAACATTCTTGATCATTTGTTTCGAGCTTATGATCAAATATTCTGTCTTGGTTGAATTCAAACTAAGTTTGTTTGCTATCAACCACTTTTCAAGATTATTCAAGTCAGAGTTTACTGTCTTTTCTAGTTCAACTATATTATTATTTGAAGCAGTTATGCTAGTATCATCAGCAAACATTTTTGGTTTACATTGCTCTAAGCATGAGGGTAAGTCATTTATATATATTAAGAAAAATAACGGACCTAGAATAGAGCCCTGGGGAACTCCACAGGAGAGGAGTTGTTAGGATGAAATAAAATTTTTGATTTGGCATCTTTGAGTTCGCTTTGACAGATAGGATTCAATTAGGTTGTAGGCTTGTCCTTTAATTCCATACAACTCAAGTTTTCTTAATAAAATTTTGTGGTCAACAGTATCAAAAGCCTTTTTTAGATCAATTTGGACTACAAGTTGAGCAGTCTTTTATCCATGTTTGTGTACCAATCATTCGTACAGTCAATTAAGGCAGTTGTTGTTGAATGTGATTTTCTGAAACCAAATTGACAATCACTTAGGATTTCAGATTTAGAAAAGTAGTTGTAGAGTTGATCGTAAAGTATACGTTCAATGATTTTACTGACGACTGGAAGAATTGAAATTGGTCTATAGTTTCCAGGCAAGTTACAGTGTCCATTTTTGTAAAGAGGTATAATTCTTGCTGTTTTCCATTCATCTGGGAAGACAGACAAAGTTATGCACTGATTGAAAATATAGGTTAATGTTTCAGATATGACAGGTGCAGCTAGTTTTAAAATTTTACATGATATTCCTTCACAACCTGTTGCCTTATTTGCCGAAAGTCCACAAATGAGATGGTACACATTATGGCAGTAGTTGGCCGAAAGGCAGCAAACTCTGATTTAGTTGTATTTGTATAATTTTCAAAATTAGTTTTTGTGTTGTCTATTTCTTCAGCAAGTTTTGGGCCAATATTAGAAAAATATGTATTAAGGCCCTCTGCTATGCTTTCTGAGGTTGTAAAAGTATTGTCATTGATAATCAATTCATTTATAACTGTTTCTTTCTTTTGTTTTCCCAATAAATTGTTAATAGTTTTCCAGGCCTGTTTAGGGTTTTGTTTTTGACCAACAATCTTTGAAGAGTAGTACTCTTTTTTGCATATTTTAGTTTAATATTTACTTTATTCCTGCTTTTCCTGTAACACAGCCAGTCTGTTTCTAAATTTGTTTTCATTGCCTTGTGTTTTAAATAATCTCGATTTTTCATCAGTTCTTTTATGTTCCTTGTCATCCATGGAAGATTTTTTCCTCGAATCTTTTTATTTTGAATGGGTGCATATTTGTCAAAAATCTCAAGGAATAGACCTTTCCACATTTCCCACATAGCATTAGTATCATGGGGGAAGAAATATACAGAATCCCATGGCTGCTCCCTGAGTTCATCAAGAAACTTTTTCTCATTAAAGTTTTTCATGTTTCTTATTTCAATGATGTTTTTACTTTTTGGTATGGAAGTTTTCCTAATTGCAAAAATCATATCATGGTCACTAATACCTGTGTAAATAACTCCTGATTCAGATATTTTTTCAGGAGTATTTGTGACTATGTGGTCAATCAGGCTTTTGGAGCATTTTGTGACTCGTGTAGCCTGATTGGTTAATTGAGTAAGCTGATAGGTTTCGTAAAGTGATTTAAGTTTCTTTGTTTTCTCTAACATTTGGTCACATGGTTTTAGCATGTCACAATTTAGATCACCTAATATGTACATTTCTCGATTTTCATCATCCATTGACTGTATATATTTCTCAAATTCATTAAAGAACTCAGAAGGAGCACCAGGGGGTCTGTAAATTGTGGCAACTAAAAATGGTTTACTTTTTGGTTTAATAATTTCAATGCAAATTGCTTCTATATTTGTGGAGACAAGGTCATTTTTTATTTTATAGTTTATGGTATTGCGTAAATAAATGCAAACACCACCACCATTCCTTGAACGGTCTTTTCGGATTAAATCATATCCAGTTACATGCATCAAACCATCGTTAAGGGTTGTGTCAAGCCTAGTTTCGTTAAAGGCTATTAAATCAATATGACCCTTTGATAAGGAGCACCTTATCTCATCAATATTTTTTGGGAGACTGACTATGTTCAGGAAAACCATTTTAAAACCCCTTTTGCTAGAAACCTTGTTAAGATCATATGAAAAATTGCTACTTGCATTAATAGAATTTGCTTTTTCAATAGTTAGACCTGCCTCAATGTTTGACATACAAACTGCAGATAATCGTTCCACTTTTTTGATTATATTAAAGGTTCTAACTGCATATTTTGAAGGAAAGCCAAGAAATACCTCATTGGTTTTGCCATTTCCGAATTCAAATGGCAAATTTAACGGCAATAACATTGGACACAAATCTTGGGCAAAAAGATGGCACTCTTATTGCAGACTAGCAGCTGTCTAGTTTAAGTACATAGTTTAAACAGACCTGTCACATGATGACTTTACACTAGAAGTTACCATGGCAAAAAGTAGAAATGTTGACAAATGCCTATTAAGTATGTCAGCAGAGCAATATCGGTTGCTTGGACAGCTCTAGTAAGTGCTGAGATGAAGTTGGATGATATTCATGAGAATCATTGGGAGACACTAGACAAATTGCTTTTATATGAAGGTGGGTTGGTGAGTCAAGTCAAAAGACTAAAGGCAATGCATGTAATTATAACTTGCATATCCAAGTTATGCTAAAATTTTGTAATTTGTATGCATTAAATGTTATTCTTGCACCCTCCTTTGGTGTGCATGTGATATGTAAAACTGTAAACTATGAAAAAGATCAACAAATATTCATTAAAGCATGAATGAAATTGAGTAAAATTCCAATATGTGTCAAAGCAGTTGTTGCTTCGCATTTGCTGAGTTTAGCTTGTTTGAAAAAATGTTGAATCTAACAAATGTTTCAATTATCAGCTACATGCATTCATTAACAGGTTCATCATTAAAACTGAAAATTGATATAAATCACAATGGTAGAGATAAAGTCAATAAATTGTGGTATAGTTTAAAGACATTCCAAATTTATGTGCAGAATAATTTGACCATTTCTTCACAACTTTCAATGGTAAAAAAACATGACATAGACAAGTCACACACACTATTAACATGTTCCATTTGAAAATTTTGATGAAATATATATAGCAAGAGCAGAAAATTTCACAAAGAACAAAAAACATAACCCAACAATTTTATAAAAATATTACTTGCATTCGCTTGCAACACTTATTCAGTTATTCCATTGTATTCATGAATCAATTCAGCTGAAGTTTTCTTCAAAGCATTTTCCCATAAGCAAGCATATTAACTTTTTCAAAGTGATTCCAAATTTTCAATCAATTTTGTGTCTTGAAAGCATTGAGGCATCAGAAAGATTTAATTTAAAAAATCAATGCTCCCGATAGCTTATCCATACTCAAAGTCACAGACTTTTGCTTTTTTAATTATGTTGCAGGCACTCCATGCAATTTTATTCTCAATCTAACAAACATACAAGTGAAGAGTTCCCAGTGGCAAATCCAAACAAGGCCTCTTCAACACCGCAAATCATAATTAGATCATGAGCCACTGAGGCAGATAATCCGAGCAAGCCAAAAAGGAGCAAGAATTTGCATGATATATAGCTTGTAAATGCAGGTCTAAGGGCATGCCCCTAGCAAAATTTCAAATCTGTGTTTTGATTGACCACTTTTCCTGCTTTCTGAGGTGATCTATAGGCACGCTTAACCAGTTTTCCATGTCACCAATACAAAATTTTAACCTATGTCTAGCTGGAAATTTTGCTTGCTGGGCTGGCAAGCTGCCAATATTGCCAGAAATTCGGCATCTATCTATGAATTGTTCATAAAGAAATTGAATCGGCCATTAAAGTAAAAAGCATTCAATGTCTTGAATTCATCTATTCAGAGCTATTTCAGTAGCCAGAAGGTAGGCTTACATTACTTACATACCCCAATTTACACTAGTGGTTTATGTTTGACAAATATGTTATATGTAATGAAATACATGTATAGCTTTGATGTAATTTATAGACATCGACACTCCTCCCCAAGCTCCCCCTTCTTTTAATTCATTTTCTGACTGACAAAGTGTATTCGGCAAAGTTTGAGTAAATGTTACCTGAAAAGAAGACGTAATTGAAGCGCTGTCGTTGATACTTTCGTGAAGACAAACTGGAACATTTTCCAGACCATTTGATATATCACGTACACAATGAGGCTGACTTTTGAAATCCAACTGTCCTCGTGCCTTTGTTTTTTCTTGCATTTTGCTGCATTGCTGAAGTTTGTCACAATGTCACCGAAGTTCATCGATTATTAGATCGATATTACACGTTTTGTTGCAAAATACATAATGTATTTACATTTCATACAACAAACCGCTGAATAGTTGTATCGAACAGCTAACAAATATAATAGATTTCTCGAATGTGATTGGTTGAGGGGTGTAGATAAAAAGCGGACGCGGACGGCGGACGCAAAACGCGCAAATAAAATGCTTTTAGTCCGTTCGTAAAATACTCTTATTCTACGTCGAAAAATAAACATTGAAAAAGCTAAAATAAAAACGAAACTAAATGATGCTTTTAAGAGACATAGGTATAGGCAAACAGTGGAAACAGTTTCGTGCAGCTCTGTTTTTAATGATTGTACGAACGTCTGTTTGAGAGGTTTCATTGTTTCTCAAACAATGAGGTTTCATTGCGTTACACTCTATATGACTGACTGAAAATTGAAATATGCATGTTTAATTGCTTTAAATAATGAGGTCAAAAAATATATCCTGAAAGATAAAGCTCGTACAAACAGACGTTCGTACAATCATTAAAAACAGAGCTGCACGAAACTGTTTCCACTGTTTGCCTATACCTATGTCTCTTAAAAGCATCATTTAGTTTCGTTTTTATTTTAGCTTTTTCAATGTTTATTTTTCGACGTAGAATAAGAGTATTTTACGAACGGACTAAAAGCATTTTATTTGCGCGTTTTGCGTCCGCCGTCCGCATCCGCTTTTTATCTACACCTTGGTTGAGAGCATAGCACCATATGTAGTTGCTCTGTTATGTAAATATCTCTTTGGCTGAAAAGCAATGAGAGGTAAACAAGCTTCTTTCTTGATTTGAAACCAGTTTGAAACATAGCAGCAGTTGTAAGTGAACAATGTCAGCAACTCAACTGTTACTAAGTACTACTCATACAAACAGCTCTGCAGCATCGGCACACCCGGAGGCCAGTGCGTCTATTTTATGAACACTCGGTAGATTTTCGTCCATATTTATTCACATGATTGTTAATTTACACAATAGGTACACTTCAGCTCGATAAATAATAGATAGTGATGGGTTATATACAATGTTGCAAAAACAGCTCATATAATGCAGCTAATGCTATTATGAATACGTAAAATATTGCTATACACTTCTAACTGTATTTTCATTCGCTGACCAAGACCTATCCATTCCCTGAAAAAAATGTGCACATAATAAACTCAATTGTCTTTTTAGTCTTCTGCCTTAGTCACGTGCTGTAAAATATGGATGAAATTGAATGGAAATGTCGTGCCTCTTCTTGACCCCTCTTCAAGAGTGAGAGGTTAGCTAGTCTTAGCGGAACCAGTGTCGGTCAGAATACATTACTGAAAATATATTTCCATTTTGAAATACTTTGGAGTGATTCCAATTTGGTGTATTTTAGTCTCAAGTAAGCTTCTATAATTTATTTTAACCTATCCTAGATTTGCCACATTTGGTTAGTTTCTTATAGTTATTTATAACAGGATGCTAAGAGCAATATTACACTTGGTTTTCGGACACGTTTGATGGGGTACAGGGGTAGAAAGTGTCCAAAAGAAGTGGTATTTTAAGTGATATGCTAAATCGTTTCTGGTCACTTTTAAATGAAACAGACATGGTACGAATATTTGAATGCAAATTGATTAAATGTAACCTTTCTGTAAACGACAAAACCTTAACGGTCTCAATTCTTACCGCAAAATCCACACGCTAGTGGGCAGTATAATTTCATAAATGGATAGTTGCTTTCGCAAGCGTCGCTCTCTTCCGTGTATGACTTGCACCCGGAGATCTTGTTTTGACAAAAGTAGGTCTTGCTACCAGCTGAAAAAATATGAAAAGACGGATTTAAGTCACTTAACATGCAATAGAGATAAAAACAAATGTTGCGAGTCATAACCTTTTCTGGAGAAAATGATCCGTTGATCAGATGAGATCAAACAAATTAAATGCATTTAAATTATATCAGTTCGCCAACATTGCTCCCCTCGTGCAAACTTGGCAGTGAATATGTTAATCATTTTATAAATGGATTCCCTTTTGATGCAAAACGATTGCTGATCGTATAACACAAATAAAACAAGCCTTCAAAGGAGCGGGGAGGGGTCATGTTATGATCTTGAATGTGTTATAATTTTAAATATATACTGATGACCCAAAGGCTCATTTCATAGTGACGTTTCAAGTGTGTTAAAAAGGAGGGCATTTAACATGTTTTTCTCTTTGCTTTCCAGTTAAAAAGGTTTTTGAGCAATAAAACCAGTACAATCAACTTTATTGTACAATTCAAAATTCGCGCCATTGCCCCTAGTCCTTTTTTGTCATTAGTGCGTTCAAACGAGACTGTCACAAGTCTTACCATCAAGTTTGGCTTTCCGTCTGTCGCATTTGTACAATTTTCTTATTCTTTTAACGTCGCCAGGACTGAGATTCTTGGCGTTGCCAAATCTTAAATTGGGGTTTCTTAATGATTGAATTGTATCTTGACCATTTTTCGAAAATGCTCTGTTATTATAATGTAAAAGACTATTGAAGTCGTATGGCTGAGAAAAGGTGTCCACATCGAGGTTTGAGTATGACTTGAAATTTCTATCCATGCCTGCAAGAGTTAAGGAATTAATACATATTTAATTTAAACATTGAACATAAATGAAAACTGAATGTTTTAACTCTTCGGAGATTAATCGACTTCTGTTATGCGACTGATGTTGGTGTTTTTTTGTTTTATACACGCTGCAACAGTTGAATAGAATAATCTGTTTCAATATTATAGATATATTCTGTCTGTATCAGTTTTCGAAAAATACCTCAGTTTGTTGGTTTGACTGAGGTTTAACTTAAGTAACTTTTTATGAAAAATGAATCGATGACTCTTGCATAGAAAACAAGAAAACGTATTTTTGCTGCATTCACTCTATTGTTGTTTACTTATCTACTAAGCCTTAATTCATGTATCGTTTCAAAGAAATTTATAACTGCCTCTACATTCATATAATGAGACTGCATGCAGTAATTACATCTCTGCTACACCGCTCATTACTTTGCTAACCATCTGCTATGTTCCAGTGCAGTATTTTCACGTAACGATCGCGGTCTGGTCTTGAGTGCTCGTGTAAAAACCCTAGAGCGTGCATTATTTCGTGAATGGCATGGTGGCGTGTCTGGCACGTGACACCAATGGATATTTCCTGACCAGCATCTTTCCGGCCAACCAACGAATAACAGCTAAACAAGAATTATTGAGATGACTTGTTACACATGTTGCCTCTGGTGAAAGGTGACCGACAACAAAGTATTACAGTCATGAAATTCCATTTTGGCTCCTGTGAATTTTAGAATGATTTTTATACTGGAGTTGTACATTTGTACTCGATGAAGTGGAGATCAAAATGAAGGTGGGCTTTGATATCGTCTTCCTTACAAATATCATCCCAAGCCTAACCCAAGCCCCACCCTCAAATAAAAAATGAAAATTCTTCGAAGGACATTTGGCGCAATTACGTCATTTCAAAGATTGAATAAATGACTTCATCTAAACACAGTTTTCCTCTATAGTTGGGACACCAACACATACTATTTGCCGAATTATCATTTTCTAAATCATCGATGAAGATTATTTTACTACGTGTCAGTTCACTGAAAGAAGCATCATCCCCATAGTTTCTTACTTGCTGTGTCATTGTCCTCATTTTGATATTTTTTTAAATGACTAGTCAGTAAATACGGTTTTCCTCATGACAATGGGGAGAAAACTATGTCATTGATTGCCGGAGGATTCTCATATCCTCGTCAAGTACAAAAGGTAATCTCAAGTTGACACAATTTCTGCTCACACACAACATACAGGGAAATTGGTTGGTTTGACTTACGTTTAGTCTAGAAAGGTCAGATAAAGTAATTTTGTAGCATACGTACCCTTGGCCCTGTTTGAACGTGATGTATTGCTTGTCCGATGGTCTTTTCGGAATGAAATGTATGCAGGTTTTGGCTGCCAAAGCTCTGAACGCCCTCCTCAATTCTTTACGAAAACGAGGTGCTGTATATAATGAGAAAGTAAAAGTTGAAAACACAGATCGATGCTCAATTTAAATGAATTTCACATGCAGGGCCGTCCCTATAACGTTAGTTGGAAGGGTTGCTTATTCGCATATTCAGGTTTTCCCGACTGATTTCTTTTGGACGTATGATTGCTTATAATATCTTCAGTGAATTGCTTTCGAAAGAATCAGTCTTGCACAACTGATTATATGAATAGAATAAACCACTCCCCCTAATTAACGTTCTAGGAATGGCCCTGTTCACTTGTCCAATCCGTTTTCCACGCAGATCACTCTTTTTACTAGTATTTACAGTTATTGCTTGCTAGCATAGACTTTGTTGGCAATAAGATTACGTACTTGCACTGTTTGAGATGTTATATGGAATCAAACCATTGTCCCATAACTTGACATTCTTTCTCGCCATTCTTTTCTGTCGTCTTCCATGACTTCGTTCCATCATTTTCAGCAAATTCTCATCGGGGACAATGTCGCCCTCAATTATAGCTATAACAGAAAAAACCCCTTTATCAATCCATTGTCTTGGTACGCTGTTGTAATATATTGTTTTTAACAGAAGTTTATGTGTTCTTTTTTTGAGAAATTTGTTCATGAAGGACTTATGCATCAAAAAAGACTGAATTTCTATGAAAGATGCGTATTATCTGAGCTTCTCACCGACTTGGTAAAAAATTTTCAAGTACCTAATTGGCTATATATAAGTTGCTTAGTTGAAAAGAAAACGGGACAAGGTATCAAGTTGTCAGTTGCTAATTATTCTCATTGTAAAAACGCGATTCCATCAGATTACTTCATTCAGTTTATCTGCATGAACAAATCTTATATGGTTTTCTAACTTCATCAGTTATGTCACAAGAGCTATAAAACACTTTTCGCTTCCGCCACTCAACGCAGTTTGTTTTCTTTTCTTGTAAGAGTAAGCTGCGGATATTTGGGATTTTTTAGTCTGATTTGTAATTTAACTTGGCTAACCTTGACCTCTCATTAATCTGGAAGAATTATATTCTTGGAGGCTTGAAAAAATATTTGGCTATTTTTTCCTTGTAGGTGCTAGTTCAAAGTGTAAATTATGTATGTGGTGCCTATTAAAGTTCATTCGACTCAATCAAACGATGGGCCCATTTTAAGTTTGGTGTATGTCGACATAAAAAGACTGGTTGCATACGGATAAAATAATTCTTTGAAGGGTTTATCGATAAATAGAATATCGCAAGTTTATTTAGTCCATTACACGTGTTTATATATGCAGCAATTTGTCAACAACAAGTGCATTTATTGAGTTAAGAGCTAACTTTTAAATTGCAGTTGCGAGAAAAGTTACGCACCGAAAGCTACAAAACTTGTTCGTTGTCATAAATTTCACCATTACATTTTTAAACATGATCATACTATTAAAAATGTCTGTTATTGTGATTTCCTACCGAAAACAACAAATTTAAGCCAGCCACTTTCGTTTGATGAGCGATGGAAAAAGGCGACATATATTATACTGCTTATGTGGATGCCGGCTTAGATGATCGTTTTATTGCATTTTGAAGAATCTTTTAATTTGTTATTTCTACTTAGTGCAAGCTGCAAGATGTTATTTTAGGATTCACATGATTAGTCAAGCTCTTTAAGGTAAATTTATGTTGACGCAATTGCTAAAAAAATTCTATACGATGAACTGACATCGATATCTATTCCAGACAGTTTTCAATCTGCAGTTAGTGCAGTACACTGTTTTGCATGCATGCAGTTGTATATCATATGGCTACAACACCAGCACGATAATTCCTCAACAAATTCAAATACAAGCAAGAAACGTTAACTAAAAAGATTGCCTTATTATAACTTGTCATTTTTTCTCCTCTTCCGGGCAAAATAAAATTCATTATTTTTTGTGATAAGCAAAAAAGTTTTGTGACGCACTTGAACGGCCAATTCTAGCATCACCGGAAATGTAAATACTTTAGTTTTTTTAAATCATTCTTCCTGATCAAGTAGTTAAGCCACCAGAAAATTCTATACCAATCATAATAGTTAAAGAGTACGAGGATCTGGCTAATTGCAACAAATCCTTAGTAAAAGCCTGTACAAACAACCATATTAGAATTAAAGCTCTAGCAGCTCTGTTAATTTCGATAAATTGGATATATAAGCTCAGCAGGTGCGTTATGATCCAAAAAGCTTTTGTATTGTTGCATTGGTCTATCTATCCATGTATAAACCCCAAGTTACATTACATGGCGTAGCCAGCCTGCAAGCTAGTCCTGCTACGCAAATTTCAAGATGTAGTCACTTATTTTTCAGTTTCTTTAGAAAGCTGTTGTTAAACAATGATTGATATAGCTATGTAAAAGATTCCATGGAAAAGCATTCCGACGTTTCTGTGTTCGTGTTTGTCATTTATCAGTTAGATTAAGTTTTCGCAGGATGAAATCATATTTTTTCCTTTTAAAGGTTGCGATGGCTGACAGCTATTATTGACTGTTGAGTTAAAATTTTCAACTAATTTTCTCTCTTTTACTATGCGGGCACTTCTTGTACTTAGTGGACATTTCATTGGTACATGTTGACAATACTCTTCATTAAATGGGCTTAGCAAACAAACTGGTCTCCAGATAATTCGCGACTAGCTAGTGGAACTAAATGACAGCATGTGGTATGTTTGAGGACAGGTTGTTAATCCAATAACACGCCAATTAAATTCAGTTCTGTAATTCAGTTGGGTTCAAGTGTCCAGATCTGTCGATGTCCAAGATCGTAAATTGAAAGAAATTCAAGCTATTTTTGCTTTGCAGATAATGATCTCAATGCTGTGTTAGCAATACAAGTTTGCAATAATTCCGTGAAAAAGACAAACAGGTTTGCTAACAGCCTTTCACCTAAATATCTTTGCTTGATTCCATTGTAAAGTGTTAAGAAAATGGTTAACTATTGCATGGCAAGAATGTTCAACTACGTGCTTGAGGATCTAATTTTCTCAAAAGAAAAACGTCATTGTAGTTCCCGTAATTATATTGTGCCCGATAACTTAATTTATTACGTGATTTGCTTCGGTCACCGGCAGTTAAAGCTGACATAGCGCGTGAAGTGAAAAGGTGCAGGATATCGCGTATATTGATGTGGCACGAATGCAAACACTGTGCAATAGCCATCCGGATTTTTCCTCCCGCTATGCAAATATTCCGGTGTCTATTGACTATGAAAACAATCAATTGCTAAAGAAATTCATTAATAAGAACGATGATATGAAATTGAAAGGGCAGGACAAAATTTGCTGACTGGCTACGCAGGCTTCGCTATAATATCCGATACCCTGTATAAAAATCGTAAGTGTCTTCTAATTTTAAATTCGATTGAATGATGACAACGCACAACTTTGGAAAAACACAACATGACAGATCATATTTGCGTGCAAAGCGAACATCAGCTCATCAAGTTCCATTTAAAACAAAGATATTTTACATTTTTTTCTAAATGCCAGTGTAGATTCGCGACTTACTTGGTTTTTGACTCAACTCGTCGTCCGTCATCATTCTTTTTATGGCAAGTGGATTAATGGCTTCTCCGACACGAATTGCCACAAAGCATAACGAAAGACATTGCGCATAAAAGATAACCGTCGACATATCCTTATTTTTCTGCTCCTTCAATATTCTAAATTGAATTCGTCGATTGCTTCGCTACGTTTATTTATAGCATGAGTTTGAAACGACAGCATGAGCCGTTGTATACCGTTTCACAAATGCAAACCTCTTTTATAGTACCAATGACGCGCACGCAAAGTAAATATTCCGACGTAAGATGACAGATTAATGACAAATATAAATTCGATCTCAATTGAATTGTTGTAATTTATTTACCGTTTAGTACATCCGCCCTCATAAAGTCGCGTGAACTCAATTACTTACGGAAGTTGCCAAACTACAATGGTTGGTATTCTACTACCACATGAAACTCGAGCATTCCTCAATTAAGAACAGCAAAATGGCGTAATCAGTCCGCTTGTATTCTGTCCTGTGTTCATGTGAAAACAATAGATTTCTAAGAAATAAATAACTATGATGTCCTCAAATGTACATATAGCATGACTAAAACCTTTTGGACTAGCCACGGCACAGGAGAAATATAACCATTTCCTATGCCATAATCTTGTGTGCAAAGCAGAAATGAGTTAGTCAAAAATGGCAATTTGGCTTCAAAACCATACTCTCATCTATTTTGGGGGTTTACTCTGATGCAAAATTGTTTTCCTTATTTACGAAACATACGCCCAGATTCAGATCACATTCACTGGATGTGATATGAAAATCACTCTCTCTCTAATAAATGACAATTCTCAATTGATGGCAAGTTTTCCTCTAAAAAACATCAAATCAAGAATTAAGTGGAGGGAAATACTGTCTTCGAATAATCATGGCGATTTCGATTTCCAGCTCAATAATGATTGCTATCTACACTAAAGCTCTTAATTGATTCATATAACTATGTCGGATCACAATATCGTCAAGAAATTTTGCTTGTGTAAACTCGAATAACATTATGCACTGTGCAGTTGATTATAATGAACCAAAGTCTTGGGTCTCTTTGGGTCTCGAACCAAAGTCTTGGGTCAACTTATTCTTTATAGTTGATTTGCATTTTTCATCAAGAGAATGTTTATATCATCGATAACTGCGATGTCCATGATGCTCGGCCTATCTCTACACAATGTCCCTTGATTGATGTTTCTATCTAAGAAGGGAGGGACTCCATTGTGTTCTTTCTACAGCTAGTGCTATGATATTAAATCAAAATGGTGACAATGCAATATGATATTGACAGCATGAACACTATACACAGACCTCATTTCCTAAATACGTAGCTCTTTCCATCATATTATTAAATACATACTTTAAACAGAAAAATCTAATGAGAGACTTCATTGATTAAGTTATGGCATATAATTATGTATTTCTCATTGTTCAGGAAGAAGTTTGCTAAAGGTTCCATCTCTATTGGTTTGCAGGCTAGAAGCATTCATACAGGGGATTATTATGTTTGTCTATTAACACAAATGTAGCTCCATTTGTTGATGTAGATCAACCGCACGTTCCGTGAAACAGAAAATAGCTATTGTCATTGAAAAAGCGGCTACTTTTACAACATAAAACCACTTTTGACTCAGTGATTTTTAAATGAATAAGAAGAAATAATCTAGAAAAATTCAACTCATCGGTGCTCTTTTCCGATGACGCAAGTTCCGTATACACCAAGATTATCAAAGGCTTTGCTAGATAAGTCTAGTAATCTTATAAAATTTTCACTATTGTTCTTCCATATACAGCTGCAACTCTCATGAATTATGCTAATCGTATAAAATAATTAAAAGCTAACTGTATTAATTTTACTTATAAATTGCCATATCATCTTCATTTATCTCCTGGTTGATCGATATAACTCTGTCGAGCAGATCGACGCCTTCCAGCAGCCCTAAAACCTTGCTCCCAATGTTCATATTAGCATTCATTGCAATAAAAGACGATAGAATGTTCTATAAACATATCGTTTACAAGAATGCATTTGTCGGGTTTTTCATATAGACTACCGGATGTAAAAATGATCACGGTGAAGTTAAGTAAGAGAAATGATGTACAAAACTATTAATTTGAGAGACGTCATTTCTCTGAAACCAAACGAGCACTACAAATAATGATATATAATTTTCACTGTTTCCCCATAAAATTAATATTTCTAAAAATAAAGTCTGCGTGGTCTTAAATTTCTTTCTAATTCAACGAGTCTCGCTAGAGATAAGATATAAGTGATTTGTATATGAAATGCACCTTGGCGGAATACGTACTTCAATTAAAAGGCAGAACAATTGGATTTCACTATCTATATATAAATTAAGAAAATCCGGTATTACCAATGGGATATTGCACACTTATTTTATATGGTTCTGCAAATTAGGACGGACCATTCATCTGCAAAGGTTGTTAATATTCACATTTAATATAAACGACAACTTTTTTGAATATTGTTAATATTACTGATATATTGAAAAACAGATTATTAATAAACAGCTGAAGTGGAAAAATGAAAATTTCAGAGATAAATATCAAATAAGGCCAAAATACTTATCTATTAATGGCTAATGCATCGTTGCCTTTTTCTATTGGGAAAGAATAGATCAAGAGTTCAACAGGACTCAAATTGTCAAGAGGGAAAATTATAGATAGAATTGGTCTGCACTATCCATTAAGACATGCTATCGAGAACTAGATATGTGATATGATTGTAATGTGATGAATATGAGTCAAACTTTGTTACGAAATCTTCGGCAAAATATGTTAGCCATGTTATATAATCCAAAATATTTCTGGTATATTTTTAATGAATGTGATCATGCTGTGCTTCCCAAATTATTTTTAGTCGACGAAAACAACTCATAGTGAATGATATATGGCCATATTGCTATATTGCTTGCAGTGTCTGTGTTTTTGCATTTTTTATTCATTTTTCATAAAATTAAAGCAATCAACGTGTAAACTGATTTGAGCTCAACAATCAAAACAATCGAAGAGAAAGTCCAAATCAATCATGAGTACCTATTTCAGGAAAAATGAAAACTTTTGTTTCAAATTTATCTTTTCGCGTCATTGTCATTTTATGAAACAAATAAATTATGTTTTTCGTGTTTCCACTGCCTTAATTATGCACACATCGGAGACATTGATAAGAACTCTTGAACAGGTGCAACCCTCGACCTTTGGTCTCAAGTTTGCACTGATCTGCTCTCAGCTCTCTTAAATGTCTCCTCGAGCTTGCATAAGCCTGTGCAAACACAGTTAACATCTTTTATTTTCAGAAAAAGACAACATTGCTCAGTCTGCGACGTATATGCTTAAGTGATAAAATGTGATGAGTTGATTTTTTTTATTATATTAATAACAACTATGATTAATTGATTATACATTCACAGTCATTCACAAAAGGTACGTTCAAGTTAGCTAATAGACAATTGGCTGGCTTGGGCTGCACGTCAGGTTGCGTTAATAGTTTGTTTTTTTATTTTAAAACTGAAAGGCGATGCTCCGGGTTGCTATTTTATATCATTGTACATACAATCTCTGAACCTGGTAATGATATAAAACAATGTCATAACGAAAATTTAGCTATAACACACACTGAAATGACTCATTATTTGTTATGAGTGCATGTTCATGATAACGTGACAGAGAGGATTTCATTTTTCAGGAAAAATCTCAAAACGGATAATTATACCTTCCTGCAATCTTTGTTTGTAGTGTCAAAGTTAATCGAATGACTTAAATTTTTGTAAAAATCTATTTCATAAAAGAACTTTAAATTCTAAAATGAAATGTATCTAAAGCTGGTGAAATTGTCCTTGAAGTAAATGCTTATTCCTTTTAGTGTTACAAAGCCTGTTTATCCATATCTCTATTTTGCCTGAAGACACGCGTTGTCAGGCAATAATAAGATATAGCTAGAGATAATAAGATAGACAGCTAATCTATATCATCTGTTTATTCAAAATCACGTCGTCGCCCATAAGCTCAATTAATAGTATAAGCTCCATATTTTGTATGTATTTCTACAGACCGTGATCCAGAGAATTTATAAAAGGGTATAAATCCAAACCAAATGGTGAATTCCATTGTTTAAAATAGTTGCCGCATATTTTTAAAATGGATAATTGTGACAATCGTAAAATTTTTGCGCTCAATCCACCAATACCAATGTGCCAAACATAAACTTCAACGGCTCCGACGTAATTTCAATGATCTTTAGCATTTTAATGAGTTCAAAAGAATGTGCATAATATGCTAAATGAAAAACTCAAGTAGTACACATTCAATTTACAGGATTAAACAGAGAATATGTGGAGAGGCTTGGTCTCATAAATGCAGCGCCGTTCGTAATTTTGACACTAAGTAGTTGTGTCATTTTATCATACAAAAAATCTTCTGGTCAACGATCCTTTCACCGCAGAAAGTTCCCCCATGGGTAGAACTTTCAATTGATATCGAAGATACCCTTCAACACACATAAATAATTCATAAGCAATCAACCCATGAAATCAATATAACAACTCACGCCACGTGGCTTTAATTACACCTGATAAATTATGTAATACTAATTACGATGTTACATTATATAACTTTAATTGACGTTCATTCATTTCATTGGGATGGCCCCTAGAACCCCGAGAATCCCTGTGGTGACGTCGAAAAAGAAAAAGAAGCTGTTTTCCAAGCAACAGTGCGAACGCATTATATTACGGAATGCTAACTGCTTAAGCGACAGGTAAAAGCAAGGTTCATCTAATCCCCTCCGATGAGGTAAAAAAAACAATTTCTTATTGGAATGATCCAAGCACAATCGCACTGTTGACAATAAAAGTATTGAAACAAACGTTTTGTGGTAGTAGTGGTTGTGCATCGTCAAGATTAGAATGTGAATGCAAAATTTTTATTGTTCTTGCTACTGGTGTCGAGCAAGAAGCATTGCGTAAGTGCAAACGCAAAAGTAAAGATGAAATTTTTGAAAGATGTGATACGAAATAAGAATCTATATACTGTGGTAGCTTGTCATTCTAATTAAGATGGCACATTATGTAACTCTCACGTTTATTCATTTCATTGTGATGACCCCTAGAACCCTGAGACAACCTGTGGTGACGCCGAAAAAGAAAAAGTTGCGCTCAAAGCAACTGTGCGGACGCATTATATTACGGAATGCAAACTGATTAAGCGACAGGTAAAGGCAAGGTTCCTCTAATTCTCACTGATGAGATAAAAACAATTCCTTATTTGAATGATCCAAGCACAATCTCGCTGTCGACAATAACAGTTCGTGGTGAACTTTATGTGCTATTATATGCACTAGGTCAGAAAATGAATGCAGTATTTATTATTGTTATTGCAACTGGTTCCGTGAAAGAAAACAGTGCACAAAGGAAAAAATTAATGTAAAATTTTGGGTAGATGTGATATGAATAGAGAATTTAAATGATGTTTAATATTTTGTTGGTTTACCACTATCGCAATTGTTGGAATAATTTTGTGCAAAAAGAACTGTGATGGAAGAAGTCTATATTTCAATGAATATAGTTTCCAAGCAAAAATTTATGGAAAAGAAACATCGGCAAAGGCATGCAGAGGTTTACCAGGAATGCCATGAAGAGATAGTATGTGTTTGATTTATAGAATTGATTTTTAAGGTATTATTATGTTATCACATGCATATGTATAAAAAAAATGAGCAGAATACACTTTGAATTTTCATTCTTTTGACCGTTATATTTGGTTATATATTTAATGAGACTGTCTGCATGATATCATCGAGCACCATACCTCGTGAAGTATGACATGATCACTCCACAAATATTCCGATTAAAAGCTCCATCTTGATATCAAGGTTTGGGAAACAAAATAAGACTATTTTAAAAAAGTGTTATTTCGAATTTATCTCAAACTCGTCTTCAGATTGATACAAGTTAGTCATCGTTTTCTAAATGCAAGTGAGATGACATCATATAACAGGAAAGTTTGACGTGGAAGTGGAAGATTGATGAGAAGGATTTATCTTTGATGTAGGAGCTGCTATCGCCAGGATGTATGGCAAAAAGACTGGTGTAGTAGCAGGTGGCATGTTGTGGAGTCTGTTTGTAGACAAGAATGTTAATTTTGAAAAATGGTTTTATGACGGAAAATTGGAGGAATTTCATCTTTCGTATAACTGAAGATGGTGATCTATTTTAGAAAAAAATATAGGACAAATTAAATCGCCTTAATGAGATATTTACAAGGTTTTTTATTATGCAAGATATTACAGATTAATTTTCAAAAGAAAAGAAAAATAGTTTTGTTCAAATTCTGCATTGTGAAGAAAAAGGTCTGCCTTGCTTTGCTACTGATTGCGGTGCTTTTAAATTATTGTGATAAAAAGTTAAAACATTTACGCTACTAAATATTCAGATCAATGATTTTACAAATTGCATAATTTGAACAGACA